GCCATCTCTAGCAGGTCCTACCTACCTAGTAGGCAAGCGATGGATGGACTCGAACTTATTGCATTTTCAGCCTTGCGTCTTAAGTCTCGACAACTCGCCTTCAGCCCGGAATGCATGGCCAGTGAAAAGTTATGCAACAAAACCCTGCTTGATCGCAGGGTTTCGAGAAGAAAAGAGATTAACTGGTTGAGTGCGGAGCGGCTCGTCGTCCCCAGTTCCAGACGCAGAATATAAATATCCCACGTTGCACCGCTAACTTCAAGAGAAATAGAGCCGATTGCATGAGATTGTGTAGCATGACATCACACAGCTAGTTGCATATGAGAGAGGTCTTACCTTTTCCAGCTACGCGCTCGACTGACCATTATGCTTTGCCCTTGCATCTCCTCCACCAAGGCTGTTACGAGGCTGCCATTGACCCAGCTGCAAGCCTTGAGTCGCTTGTCTGCTCAACTTTGGATGGACTTGCAATCCATTGTCCTATTTCCGCTCTTCTTTTCTCTCTTAGAGAGGGCATGCCTAGGTTTTGTAAATGGGTCCATGGCTATTGCTGGAGGATCCCCAATTCTCCACGCCGAAGGGCCATCCCCATGTTGTACTAAGCTGAGGCTATAAGCATCTTGCCGCTACCATCGCGTTGGCCCCATGAGAAGCACTGACAGCGAGCTACCATATCTGCGCCAGCCCCAAGGAGCCTGGCGTCCCACTCGACACCAACTAAGAGGCACCAGGCACCGCCGTCACACCGAGAAAGCGTAAACCCAGCAGGAGGGTTGAGCCGCGTCTAGTACATTGGCCAAAACCGACTGTCGGGCCTTGCTTGTGCACCAAGAGGTAGCGCGGCTTGGACCCTCGACGCAACGACGTTCGTGTTTTCTCTTCGTGATGCCTCAAGACTCGATGTCGAGAACATGCTGTAAATAGAGCAAGAATCATCCCGATCCATTCCTGAAGAGCTATGCTAGACCCTCACAGTGCTGTCTCGGTGGCATTCCCCTCTCGCGAACAGATCGATCCCACGGCTTCAACCCGACTAAGCAAGCTTGCGCTGGAGCACTATCCCCAGACCTGAGCCTCCACCAGCCATGCCAGGGCGGGCACAATCCTAGATCACAGACCGATCGACGGTCTAGCAGGCCTGGCCACACTCCACGGGCCATCTAATAAAGCTTGACTAGACTTAGTATGTAAACAACTCTGCTACGGAGTATTAGGAGCGCCTTGATCGTTATTTGGCTTGAGATGCGGGGAAGGAGTCTCTGAGATTGTCTTTTCGGCACGACTCCGTACCAACGGAGTACACAATCACTGCGACAAATCTCATCCAGATCACCGTTTGCCTTTTTTGGAAACCAAGAAGAGGGGCAATAGGAAAACCGGCGTCCTCCAAAATGCCTCTCTGAAAATGAGACTGACGTTTATGCCGATGCCGGTGCCTCGGGCGTTACCGGGCGCAGACCTTGATCAATGCCTTCAGAGAGAGGAGGGATCACATTGCGCAATTTGCACACCCTGCAGCATTCCCCCAACCCCAATCTCGTTGCCTCGAGTCAGCGAACGATGCCTTGGGAAAGTCCAGCGTGCATGCGATGCGAATGATTGCCCGATGGACAAGTTCCAAGGAGACACGGAGAGGACCCCGATTCCCCGAAACATGCGTGAAATGGGACCTGCCACCAGCCCAAGTACAAGTAGCTAAATAGTTCGCCGCGCGACCTCCAGCACAGCTCCGCACTTTGAACACGGCCAGGACAAGGAAGTGAGTGTTTCACGCGTGGAATTCAGCTCCCGGAGATTGTCAAGGACCAACATTATTCAACTCATGCTCAAGCCTGGCATGGCACAGTCGGCAGTCGAAACAGGCAGGACGTCCCGTATGTTGGTTTGACAGAGGAAGAAACGAAGCATCACAGTGGAGTGCCGCGTGCCGTGTTCCCATTCGTTTTTTTGGGACTGGGAAATGCCTGGACGAAGCCAGGTAGCTCCCCGTCGACCCCCAGCACGAGACGGCGGTCAGCTCGCCGTCATTCGCCCAGGTCCGCCTCTCGAGTGGAGGAGAACACGCGAATCCACCGGGCACCCTTTCTCACTTCTCTTCATTTGGGACAATCGCGGGTCCAGCCACATTTCTGGCCCAGGACATTTTCCAATATTTGACTGGGTTAGCGCCCCTTTGGACTGGGTGCTGATCTGACGACGACTTGGCACGATCCCCCTAGCACTGCATGCTCGCTGTCGCCCACCCCCCCTTGGTCGGCACAGTGCGGAGATGCAGGTGAGGGCGGGCCCACTCAACCTCGTCTCCATGTCCCCATGTCTCCACCGTCGATTTCCAAAATGCACACCCTCCCCCTCTCCCTGCTCGCTGCTCCCTGCTGGGATGTAGGTACTTGCTGTTTCTCTGCTTCTCTGCCCCTCCGCCTCGAGCCCCACTCCTTCCTCCAACCCTTCCCTCAGCGCGACTCTGCGACGGCCCAATCAAATTGCCCCTCGACCAAATTACTCGCAACTCATGCGCTCTCAGAGGCAGCATTACTTATCAAAAAAAGATACTTCGAAACTGCGCAGGTGCTCTGGAACTTTAATCAACCCAACCCGGCAGGAGAGAGGCAAAGAAATCAAAATCTTGTAGCAAACGGCACGTGAACTCTGTCGAGGGGCAAAATGCATGAATAAGCCGTGCAGTCACTCAGTCAGTCATTCAGTTTCTTTCGGCGTCACCGCAGAAGAAAAGCATCTTTCGACATATCGCATGGAGAACTCTATCCTGAACTCTCTGGCGCATACGCACACACTCTCGATTCATGCAGGACGGACAGGAGGTGTGTGGGTGTGCGAGTGTGTGTGTGGTGCACGCGTGCAAATGGGGAGACAAGGTAGGGAGATTGATGGATCGTGGGCATCGAACTCTTCCATGTCTCTTTTTTTTTTTTGCTCTCCCTCTCTTCTACTTGCCCCCAAGGTATTCCATGTCTGGTACCTGATCCACTTGCCACGCCCCTCATTACCCCCATCCGCAACCTGGATTTCTCGAAGAGGTACCTACCCGGACGGAGACCTGCCTGGGAAGCTGCCCTGTCATGCCCTTGCCTTGCCCTGCCCTGTTGCTGCTTGGCTGGATCATAATAACGGGACAAGGATTTCTCCTACTGTGAGGGGGGAGGGTTCTCGTTCGCAGCAGCCAGAGTCGCGTCGCAATTGCCGCCACAAAAGAGAAAGGGAGAGCAAAAAAAAATATTCCCTTTCGCTTTGGCATTGTTTTCCACTACACACTCACCGTCACCATTTTCGGACAACTGCTCTTTTCGCACTACGCCCAATTCTCCATCACACGCTTCACCACTACCTCTTCACTTTTGGTCCATCGATCAGTGACATCGTTACCCGCCCACAACTTTACATAATACCTCACAAAGAGGTATCGAGGCCCACTCCCGTCACGAGTCAGATACCAAGGTCCGGCACCGGTTCCCTTTCTCATCTCGCGACCAGGGGAGCTTCTTGGGACTAAGCAGGCACATGCGCTGTTTAATGCGTTGGAGAAGCAGGGTTTGAGAATCCACTGCCGAACACGCTCCAGCAGCTCCAGCTCCGGCTTCAGCTCCAGCTCCGGGGCAACTAGAGAGAGCGTCTTGATCGCTCGTGCTGCTTGCGTTCTCCCAGGAGAGAGAGAGAGAGGGAGAGAGCCAGTATCAAGCAGCAGAGCAGGGCCATCACTGGCCGCGTCGCTTAGCCTCCGATTCCCACGCGCCTCACGCACTCGGGGGTTAGTGAGAGAGTCAGGCACCTTTCGCCGTACCTCGTTGCTGGGAGTTGGAGGGGGACTTCCAAACCCTGTATTCTCCCAAGCAGCCGGAATTCCCTTGTACCAGGTCGCGGCCCTTCACTACCTACTTCTGGAGCTGGGACTGCTCAGCCGTCCACCTTGGGTCCCCACCCAAGCACACAGACAAAAAATCAGCCCCTCTTCACCTTACCACAGGGACAGGGACTCTGGGAGGAAATTACCCTATTATTTACTTCCTGGTCCTCGCCGTGGCTGCAGTATAAAATCAAGTCTCTCCCACACTAGACTCGATTCATCCTTCGCGCCTCATCACCTGTCTGTCTCTTCCAGAAAATCCCACACACAAAAAAAGACACCCCACTTCTCAGGCATCCGGTCCGGAGGGCAGGTTATAAAGCCGACAAGTGTGTGTGTGTGTGTGCGCGCGCGCGCGGAAGTGTGATAGAGAGAGTCATTCACCCAGACCCGGAAGCCAGAGAGTGATAAACCTTAGATCACTCGGACGCTTCGGTCTAGTTCAAGAGGGGATCATCCTTGGATCTGGGTATATCGCGCTAGTCAGGTCTCGTTCTAGCAAAGCATCCCATCCAGGAACCCACTGGAGGCCCAGCCCTCCAAAACCCTCGCTCGACTTTCGCAATTGGCACTACTTTAGTGTTGGTCTCTCCGCACCATCTTGCGACCACCCTCACTTTTTCACCCGGCCTATCTCTGATCTAAACGACGCCGGCTTTCCCTCTCCCCTTGCCACAGTTCCATCATCTGGGTCGAGTGGCTGACGACCGCCGCTACTTTTTAACTCGTCCCAAACCCTTGGTCATCCCGGGCCTTGCGCTACCCCCCAATCCTTTCTGCCGCCATCTCAACCACAACCTGGTGCAACTTTCCTGCCTAGGCTGTTAGTACCGCAAAACGCATCCATCTACGGACTACTTTGCCGTTGGCTTTGAGAAGATTTCTCGCCGTACCAATTCTACCTCTGCATATTTGGAAAACTCTGTTGAGGTCTCGAATCTCCGGTTTCCAGTGTCAGAGAACGTTCCCGTTGAGCAGTAGTACGATCGTGGTTTCAACATCAGCTACACAGCTCGTGTTGCAAAATCCCAATCCGCATCTACTACCGTCGACAAGCTCGTCGCCAGCTTGGACAAGTGAAGGGTGCAGGAGCTACACGCAGTACGCTCCTGTCTTGCCCTGTCCGAAGCGCAGCTCTATGGAACGCGGTGCGCCCGAGTACTCGCAGTCAGGTTTGCCTTCGCCCTACCCAAGCAACTACGGCGACACCCGTTCTGAGGCCTCATCTGCAGATCACGCGTCTGCTGCGCAATACGCGACACAGCAGGAAGTGCGGTCCAACAACTACTCCACGTCGGCCACCCCCACGTCTGAGTACGGTGTCTACCCGCCTTCTGCGCGGTCAAGCTCCTTCCCCGAGCACCTCCAGCGTTCATACCACCCAGCTAGCAACCACAACGGCAGCAGTGGAGGTATGGCGCAAACACCAACAAGTCCGTCCATGCCTATGCAAGATGGACGCAACCATCAGAACCCCCAGCAGGTCAAGTCTGACAGCGATGTACCTATAGATCCCTCAATCGCAGCCCCCAGCCCGACTGCCTATACCCACCAACAGTATTCCCCCTACGGTGCCCCGCCCAGCCAGGACATGTCACACGGGTATCATCCCAGCAACAATATGTATGCGCAGCCCCGTCCAGACTGGGGAGGATATGCTGGGCAGGGCGGCCCTATGACCCCTGGACATCACGTCTTTCCCCAGACCCCTACTTCCGCGGCCCCTCAGGCACGGCCCAGCCAGGTACGTTTGCAAAGTCGTTGCGCAGGAGCGGACGAATGAGCGAGAATCGGCCCAGCAGGACACCTTTGCCTGGGTCGCTGGATCGTTGGATCGCCGCTCCCGGCACGAGAACCGAGAACCTCTTTGCTCGAATATGGCGACTAACATCCGTTTTGCGCAGGTGTATTCATTTGTCCCCATCCCTGGTGCGCAGCAGCACAAGCGCCCGAGGAGGCGCTATGAGGAGATCGAGCGCATGTATAAGTGTGGTTGGAACGGCTGCGAAAAGGCTTATGGCACGCTCAACCATCTGAACGCGCACGTCACCATGCAATCCCATGGCCAGAAGCGCACTCCTGAAGGTATGCCGCGTTCTTGTTTTCTTCCCCTTGGTCGAATTGTCTCCCGACCCCTATTCTCTTGCACACTAGCTCGATGGTGGTTGGTTGCGCCTGGTCTTTAATGCTGTACTTGAGATTTCGCCAAGATATAGATCAATGGCTGACTTTTTTTTTGTTCTCTATATAGAATTCAAGGAAATCCGCAAGGAATGGAAGGCCCGCAAGAAGGAGGAGGAGGCTCAGCGCAAGGCCGAGGAGGAGCGCCAGAGGCAGGCGGCAGCTGCTGCGGCCCAGAATGGCGCACCCGAGGGCCAGCCTGGTGCCGAACAGCCGCCTACCAGCTACGGCGGTAGCCGACCCGTTCAGCTCCCTCCAATTGGATACCAACCAAACCAGTATCCGGCACCCCCATCTGCGGGCGTCCAGCAGCCGTTGCCTGAATACAACAGCAACTATATGCACAACTATCCTCCTGCGTCTCCGTACGGACAACCCCCAAACCAGCAGATGTACAACCAACGTAAGTGCTCTCGGCGGCTCTCACTGCCCCGTGCGAACAAGACAGCTGACAGTCTCCATCACAGATAACGGTGGCCAACCCAGTCACTAGAGGGCGTCGTGCAAGTCCTCAACGATGACACCGGGTTGCTGTCGGGTTGTGTCTTGGAGTGGCATTCTGCCGACCGCTTCACGTAGCTTCCATTCCTCCAGGCTTTTCGGTGGTCGTCTCGTTTCCTGTTTGGAGATGATACTATGTCTGCGGTTGGTTTACGGGAAATGGTTCTTTGTCTTATCAGGGTTTTCTTTTTCCGCATACTGCATGAAGAGCTTTGACTCTACTGGTCGGGGTGGTTGCATTTGATAGTTTTTTTTCATCTTTTTCTGGTGCTGGTGGTAGGATGTCAGGGCGGTACATTACCCCAGGTTGATTGTTGATTGCATTTCTGCGTGCTGCTAGGCATGCCCTGATATTTCCAGTCCGTCCTTTCACCCCAGCCGTCCAGCTGTCTTGTCGCGTGTGCTTTTGTGCGTGTCTCGCTGGTCTGTTATCCGCGTACTAGGGCTGTCCTCCATCCCGGATTGTGCGCAAGGCTTGCAAGCGGCTGGGATGCGACGAACGTGCCTCATGGCAAATCCATCTAGACGACGATCGGTGCGCAGCATCAGGAGGCAGTATCGAATGAGCAGGCCAGGGCGCGACCAGCTTCCAGGGCAGGGCATTGTTTGATTTCTCGAGTTTGTCATTTTTGACGTTAGTTCTGCACCAAGCGACTACTATCCTCTGGCATTTAGAGTTCAGAACGGTGGTGGTAGCCAAGGTCTGGGGATATGGGCAACTTGAGACAGCTGCTGATGGTGCAAACCTGCCACTTTTTGTGTTGTTTTTCCAGGGGTAAAATTAACGAAAAACAAGCGCACGGATACATGGGCGCAAAAAAGGTTCTTCTTTATTTGGATCCTGTTCGAGTAACAATGGTGGTGGTGACGGGGGCGCGAAGAAATACAGAAGAGTTGTGCTTTCTTTTTCACTTATAAGTTGTCCTAAGTGAATAAGCAACCCTTCCAATAGTCTATTTCATGACAAGTGCAACAACCCCAAGACAAGATGGTGGGGGGGAGACAGAACTAATAAACGATGCGCCTGGCAAGAAGACAAGACTGTCGTTGAATTAGAGTAAGGCCGGCCAAATTTCTGGTCCCTGGTCTACCAAATAGGCCCTCCATTCAGCCGACGCTGTTCCAGACTAGATGGCTCTTCATATTTGGCCACCTTACTTTAGGACAGTCTCCATGTGTTTTGTTTTTTTAATTACTTTGGGACAATTGGGACTCGCGATGTGACGGGGACTTTAGCCCCGAAAAGGAGTTGGCTCCCAATTGTCTCCCTATTCCCAGCAGCTCGGGACCCAAAATGTCTTGCATATTGGGGATGGAACTTTTGACAGCAGCGCGACCAGAATCCCAGCCCAAGGCTAGTTAAGCTACCTTACGGTGCTACCACGCTCGGCTGGAGCCGAGCGAAGGAGAAAGGGGCCTCGTGGCGCACGAGGGGGGGGAGGATCCTTGCTGGGACTACTTTAGCTTTGGGTAACCCAGTAAGCTGTTGTGGTAATGGCGTGCGTACTGGTCGAGTGAAATACACTAGGATACGTTGTGATTCTGGAAGTAAAAGTAGGTCAAGTCTGAACCAGCGAATTCATAGCTTGTGCTTGCCCCCTTTGCTTGGTCAGGGCGACCTTTGTATTGAAGACTGCTTACCCCCCAATGTGAACCGCCCTGGGTAACGCGCGGGGTGCGTAGAGCAATGAGGAGGCAGCGATTCTCCCCTTTTGTAGTGCCATGCAGGAGTGTGCTTCATTGTGATAGGTACATGGAACCAAGGTAGTACGTACGACACTTGACCATCCAGCACTGCCAAGCTTTTTTCTTGTGGTTCGGTCTTGTTTGGCTCCATGCTGTGATACCACTCCCTTCCCCCCGAAGTTTGACTCTCGCTATGATCCGAGAGAGGGAGGGGAGGGGGCGCCGGCACGGGACCGTGCGTGCTGTACCCACACGCCGCACGTCCCGGCTAAGGTACCACTAAGGCAAGACTTGAGGCTTGGAAGGGTGACATGGTGGACTTTTTTGGAGATAATAAACTTCGAGTTACACTGCATTGGTCTGTGTTCTAACAGGGCAAAAAAAAAAGGGTTAAGGCTCCTTTTTTCGTTTCGGCCTTTTTTTTCTTCTTCGATGATGCTGCGCCCCTCTTAAACGGGCTGAAGTGGGCGGGCTTCAGGCAAAGAAGTTGCAGCGAAGGAAGATATCACATGGCAACTCTACAGAGTCAGACTGGGAGGGAGAGTGTTGCACTGCATTTAACCTCCCGAGTCTTTCTTCTTCTTCAAGCGTGGGCCCATGCCAAAGCATCCCCCGGCCAAGGAGTGTATGGTCTGGCATGGCTGGAGACTAGGTAGCCATAAGCCTATGCGAAGAGGTCATATAAGTGGTACTCAGCTACCTCAGGATGCCTTCCCCCTCACCCTCTCACATCGTATCAATCATGGGGTGGAAGAACTTCTGCGGTGATCTGACGCTACTGCTAGGCCGCGGGACCTACTGTAGGTACGGTATGCTCTGACAGGCCGTTGAAAGCAACGCCCAGTTCAATTGAATTCGATCTCCCCTTGGGAAATTTTCCCGCCGTTGCAATCCCGGGGGTCCGGGAAACCCACTTTCAACCCACCACCCACCATCTCGCTACTTTTTTCAGAAGCTAAAAACCCTTGAAGATCCCCGCTAAGTGACCCGGACCACAGCGCGGCGCCGCCCGCCACACTGGGAACGCCGGGGATTCGGGGAACCAAACCTTGTTTTCCTCCAAGCGATTTCCCCTCCCCCCTAGGGCCTAAGGTAGTTGACAGAACGAACTAAGAAGATTGCCGAGGCAGCCAGTTCGGATGAAATGATGTAGAAAAAAAAGAGAACAGCCCGGTCGTTCTTTTTGGCGTGCCGGACTGGTGCCATGTTTCTCTTTAAGCGTGGGTTGGTACATGACAAGGCTGGCGACGGCGTGGGTGGCTTCCGACCATCTAACTCCCCCATTCCCGGCCGCCGTTCCCCTGATGGTTGTCAGAGACCCTCTGCGAGCCATCTTCTTATTCAAGGTCGAGCCGCACTAGGTAGGCAGGCAGTGTGGTGTGGATGTTCGCGTGGCTTTTCCCCGCCCCATCTCCCAGAGAACTTTGGTTTGGGGTTCAGGTGGGAACATGTATGGAGGTGAGAATTGGAGATACTTGTACTTGTAGATGTATTATGCAGGCAACGCGCCCCGTACACACATGTAGGTCCAAGTTACCCTCCTACACTAGGCCATGCACCTACTTGTACATTGGTTGGACTTTTCAGCCCCTGTCTCGGATCCGCAGAACGGGGAGAGACGTGCATTGCCAGTGCCGCCCCTCCCCTCCTTCCTCACCTTCCCTTGACGGAGATCACCCTTTGTATTTTTTTAGGCGAGCTATTTCAACCGGTGAGAGATGCCTCTCTACCTACCAGACGAGGGCTTGCGTTGCAGCGCTACTAGTAGCTCGGGGGCACGCACGCATGATGCACGACAGATCCATCCTTGGGGTTGGTTTCCGTTTCCCGTTTCTTTTTTTTGCGGATACACACCCCTCCTTCTCGCTCCTCCTCTCACCCCCCAGCGGGCCTAGTACCCGAGCGGAAGGTGGTGGTGTTTCGTCTTGGAGAGAAGGAAAAGGCCGTCTTGTGGTGGGGTGTACAGCGGTTGCGTGCGTGCGTGCGTGCACCCAACCCCCTAGCTACCTAGCTCCCCTCGTGGCTGCCTGTGAATCCATGTCATGCCCATGTGGGAGTCGAGGAGATCCCATCGGACGGGTTGGTAGGCGATATTGCCCTTCAGAGACCGATCCCCGCGTGAGCTTGTCGGCGGGCAATGCCTAATGCATCAAAATGTGCAAGGTCCCTCTCGAGGGCAAAGGACAGCGTGCCAGGGCCTCGTTTGACGTGCTCCTAGCTTGCTCAGGGCCGGCGGGTGGAGCGACGGCAACTGTCGTGCATAGATAGGTAGGCTGATGTGCTCTTGCATACAAAGTCCGCCGTTCGGACGTCTCTGCTGTAGTCCACGATAGCTCACATCGCCTTGGGAGGGAGGGTCAGCCAAGTACCTGCATTAGACAAAGTAGCCACACAAGACTAGAAGGAGGGTCGCATAATCTGCTACAGAACGTTCTTAAAGCCTTGCGGGCATTCGTGCCACGACTTTTGTCGATCTCGAAAGAGTCAGGCGAGAATTCTGGGGCGGGAGTTGCGATAGGAAACACGCACAGGCTGAATGAGGAAAATGACGTAGCATGGGGCCAGCATCCCGCTTGGTTCGCTCCAAGAGAAAAGAGAAAAAAAAAACAAGCAAAAGACATCTCTTCTGTCGCCTTCCTGCTTCTAATAATAAAGCCAACCCGAGCATTTAAGACTACGACGTCTCCGACTTGGCTACATATTACTTCTCTGACCTTTCTAGACTGCCATTTCCAGTAGTCATTCTCCACTCAGTGTTGTTAGTGCAGAATATTGATCCCTCTCGCACCGCCGCCGCCATCATCCAGCTGCCGCGCCAAGAGACACCACTGTCTCTCCACAGGCAGACCACACAACAACACCAAGGCACCTATGCCAGGCACCGGGCCTGACGCAGAACGGGCTCCGAAGGGAGAAGGCACCGCAGCACCGCTCAGGACCCGCGCCCGCAACATCTCCCAGGCCTCGACGGGCCTCGCGGGCAGCCCCTCGTCGCTCTCGAGCCTCGCCAAGTCCGACTCGACCGCGTCGGCCGGCCGGTTCTCAATCAACTCGCACGTGTCGATCCCGGTCACGGGCTCCCTGCCCCTCGGGTCACTGCAGCTCCACCAGCCGGCCGACAGCCCTTCTCTGCCGCCTACCAGCGGCGGCGTCGCCGACGCCACCGTCGCCGAGGAGGAGGTGCTGAGGCCCGAGCCCGCCTGTCTCGAGAATGGCGACTGCTTCCTCATTCTGGGCCTCCCCAGCGACTTCACGGTGGGGTGCGACATGATGGCCCTCAACACCAAGCAGACCGAGTTCCTTGGCTTCCGCGACCTGCATCCCGGGCCTCACTTCATATGGGTGTCTGAGCCCAGCGCCATGTCCCGCTGCGGCTACTGGTTTGTGACCAAGGAGCGCGGCGACGTGCGCGTGAAGCAGTGGGACTCGTACACGGAGGTGCTGGGCGAGGCGTCGAGCCAGTTTGAAGTCCGCAACCACAAGGACAACATCGAGTCGACGTACCGGCAGCTCGTGCCCTACCGCTACCGACCCGACGACTCGATGCCTCCTCCGCCTCCGCCGAAAGACCCGCCCCGGCCCGGCTCCGTCGCCGGACCGGACCTCGCGACCGACGACGCCGTCATCTGGCACCACCTGACCTCGTACATCACCGAACACCTGCTCTGCCGGGTGACGGGCAAGAAGGGCGCCGCCTCGGAGTGGATGGTCGAGACCTCGGACATGGCCAGGGGCGAGGTCAACTTTGCCCAGGCCAGCAGGCTCTTCAAGGCCGTCGCGGGCTCGGAGCTCAGCTTCCTCTTCCCGCGCGGCGACGTGGACCTGCACCTCCTCCTGAGGCCGACCGGAGAGAAGAAGCTGCCCGACACCACGGCCGACGTCCTCCGGCTGCTCGAGGCCACGGCCACGGCCCCGACGACGACGACGGGCCTCACCGAAGGCGACCTCGTCGGCGAGCTGCAGTTCGCGTTCCTGACCGGCGCCCACCTGAGCAACCTGTCCTGCATGGAGCAGTGGTGGCACCTGGTCCTCAAGGTCGTGTTCCGCGCCTACGGCCTCGCCCTGGCGCGGCCCGTCCTCTGCCGCTCGCTCGTCCAGACGCTCCACGCGCAGCTCGTGTACAACGAAAAGTATATATCCGGCGGCAATGACGACGACGACGACGGCGACGGCGCCGGTAGCCAACGACAGCAACATCCAAAGCTGGGGGGCGCCACGGGGATCCTCGAGGCCACGAGCCCGCGCAACATGCACCGCCTGCGCGAGGCGCTGAAGCTGTACAAGCGCCGGCTGGATGAGGCGCTCCTCGGGCTCGGCGACGCCATCACCCGCGAGCAGGCCGCCGTGGGCCACGCGTTTGTCGACCTCGAGGCCTGGTTCTGGAAGCACGGCTGGGACCTGCGGAGCAGCAGCGACGAGTATTACGTCGCCGCCGCCGGCGATGAGGAGGGGGGCGAGCAGCGGAAGGGCTGGGCGCGGCTGGGGGTGCCGCACCGGGGGGGACACGGCCCGGACGACAGCGACGAAGACGACGACGAGTACGAGCCTGTCGTTGTGCAGCTCGATGCGGAAGGGAGGGAGGTCGGGCTCGTGAACTGGAATTGATTGATCAAGCGGGTGGACTTACTTGTTACAGGACGGGCGTGTGAAGAGGATGGATGGTGCGATCTTTCTCTCGTTTCGGAGGGTTTGTAATTTTCTGAAAAGACTGTACACATATACATACATGTACGAAGTGAGGTAGTGATGGACGACATCTGAAGGGACAAAGACATTGGTCGTAGCGAAAATCTTGAGACGTAGACTTTTTCTAATTAGACAATAATACACGTTCGATTCTCAAGACTTGACTCTTCTTTTCACTCAGATTGCACAGCTTGCCGCCAAGCCACGGTAAACATAACACCAGTATCATGCCTCTCTTGGTCAAGGAAACGATACTCGGATATGAGACCCTAACCAATCCACGCACAAGGGAGTCATGACTGGAACATGTACGTCCGTAGCCATCTCAGCTTGAACTGGAAGGCTCTCAAGGTTGGCTAGACCATGATCAGAGAGAAGCCAGGCAAACCTTGTTCCTCACCAGATGGTGTCACGCAACAGGCACTGTAGACATGCATGCAGACGTCGAGAGACTTTTTGATCTTGATGTATTTTTCATTTGCCGTGTCCCTTTACAAACAAGCCTAGAGAGGCCAGCCATGCAAATGCAGCAGTAAAATGCAAAGGCTTTCCATTTCCGCAGTACGGTCCTCTAAGACTCCCGAAGCCACGAAAACCCAACCAGCCCGTGTGGTAGCCGCCACGATTTTGTCCAGCCAACGCACAACCTCTTCCTCTCCTCTCATCATCCTCTGGTCCTCCCCCATGCAGCGAAGTGGTGCCAGGTCATTAGGCAAGCCACTGCCGCACATGCCAAACCAGTCTCCTCCACCACCGAAAAAAAGCCAGCCCCCAAAAAGAGAGAGACCGCTTAACGGTAAGACTTCTGGTATCTGGCTCTGGCGCCCGGACCGCCGAACTTCTTGGGCTCGCAGCGACGGTTGTCGGCAACGAGGAGGGTGCGGTCGAACTGGGCGAAGGCGGACTTGAGCATGTTCTTGCTGTGCTCGTCGACGAACTTCTGGTAGTAGGCGATCAGGGCCTTGGCGATGGCCTGACGGACGGCGTAGACCTGGGAGGTGTGACCACCACCGGTGACGCGGACGCGGATGTCGACGTTAGCGAACTTATCGAGGCCGACGATCAGGAGCGGCTCGTAGACCTGTTCATTAGGATCCGTCAGCATCTATCCCTTCTTTCTGTCATGTTTCTTTCTCTCGACTGCCATCCATCCTGTTCCGTGTCTGTCCGTGGACGACCGCATCGAATCTCTTTTTCAATCCTTTCCCATGCCCCAGTCGCTTCCGTCCAACGCCATCCAACACATGCAAACAACCCAGCAGCGAAAATCGACGAGAGTGCCGTACCTTGAATCGGAGGATCTGGGGCTCAACGAGCGAGAGGGGGCGGCCGTTGACCTTGATGAGGCCCTTACCAGCCTGCAGAGAACACACGAGAATGTCAGTAATCGTCATCCCCCACGAGACCATCACAACGGAGCCAGAAAAAGACATACCTTGCATTGCGCAACAGCGGTGGCGCTCTTCTTCTTGCCGAAGCACTGGACGATCTGAGGGGACGCCATCTTTGCGGTTTGGTGGTGTTTGTCGACGAAGAAGGTGGGAATCTTGGGACGGGGAAGTGTCTTCGATATTTTTCGCGAGGACTTTGCTGGGCACGCACAACCAACCGAAGTTTTGCGGGCGGGGACCGATTAGGGTTGTGGCCTCTTGCAAAATTCCACGCTAGGCTATTTCTAGACCTGAGGCGAGGCACGTGATTTGAGGATCTCAGAATTGAACCTGAGTCTCTTATCTTATCACCGATCTTCTTTATCACCCTTATCAAGAAGGTCCCACTTGCGTCACTTCAATGTTAAGTTTGGAGCCATACCTCCTACTGCACTCAAAGGTACCGAGCTCCTCCGTCCGTCTCTCCCAGGAAAAGCCAGACTGTGGGAACAAGGCGTCTTTCTCTCGGGCCAAGACACCTACCTCCCTTTACATGGCAGGAGGCCGCACAAGCTTCCAACGGGGCCTTTAGGTCCCAAGACTTGTTTCCCCCCGCCATCCCCTTCCCGGCCATGTCCCGCAAGGGCGTCGGCCTCGCGGCCTTCGACCGCTCCCGCCTCACCTCGGCCCAGTACGCCAGCCACGGGTCCAACCTGCGCAGCACCAACGCCCAGGCCCTCGAGACCCAGCTCGCCGTCTTCCGCTCCCTGCTGCAGCAGTTCGCGCAGACGCACGCCCGCGACATCCGCTCCGACCCGAGCTTCCGCGCCCAGTTCGCGCGCATGTGCGCCGCCATCGGCGTCGACCCCCTCGCGAGCAGCAACAACAGCAGCTCCTCCTCCTCCTCCGGGTCTGGTGCCGGCGGCGGCGGCGGCGGCTCGATATGGGCGCAGCTGCTGGGCCGGTCGGTCAACGACTTTTACTTTGAGCTCGCGGTGCGCGTCGTCGAGGTCTGCGGGCAGACGCGGAGCGAGAACGGCGGGCTGATCGAGGTGCGCAAGGTGCAGGAGCACCTGATGAAGGCGCGGATGGAAGGCGCGCCCGAGGTGACAGAGTCGGTGGCCACCTTGTCTATCGTCTTACGTTCCACCTTTGTTGAACACTCTCCTTTGCTGACCTGGGCTCTTTTCGTGCTTGTCATTAGGGACGACATCCTCCGTGCCGTCGCGACCCTCAAGCCTCTCGGTTCGTCCTACTCCGTCATCAAGGTCGGCAGCAAGCCCTACATCCGCTCGATACCCAAGGAGCTCAACACGGATCAGAGCGCCGTCCTCGAGGCCATCCAGGTCCTCGGCTACGTGACCCTATCAATGCTGATGGTCAATTTGAGGTGGTCCCGCGCACGGTCGCAGACGGCCTTGGAAGACCTCATCAGCGAGGGCATGCTGTGGCTTGACAAGCAGAGGCCCGAATGGGAATATTGGAACCCGGGGTTCATGATGGAAGGTCTTGAACCCATTACTGATGATTGAAATGATCGACATGAACAAGCGATACTAGACTTTGGACTGGCCAATATTACCAGAGGTGGGAACCTCATAGCGCGCCGCGGCCGAGTCGTGCCCAGATCGGTATAAATACAGGCTATAAATGCTGCGTCCGAGCAGGCTCATACAGATTCGCTGCCAAGGTCGTGTATGGGACATGCAGCTGAGGTGCAAACAAATGCGGTGCGTGCAAGGTAACCAGGAGAATGATGATACAGCGACTGGCCCGACGTCACCCGTAACGTTTGTTGAACGGCATACTGGCCTGTATGCACCCAGCCATTCCGATCAACTCATCTTGTCCTGTTGCGAGGAAGAACCCCTGGTAATAGGCCAGCATTCCACTGCGAGGCTCAGGTGCACGATACACAGACTGTGTCCTTGCTCTTGCGCACGATGAATTACGTTGATATATATCATTGAACCTCGGAACGAAACAGAATATACAGTCCAGTTATCATACCATCACCAAATTGCCTCCCGAGTGCCATGATACCCTACAGCCCCTTTCGCCATTTCTTCTCGTAGAAACTCTACCCTGCGCGTCAGCCGTTCCACTGCCTGTTGCAGAACAGCCCGAGTTCAACGAGGCCAGTCTCGCCCACCGTCTTGGACAGGAAACCCCCTCTCAGGCGTTCTTTCACCCCGACATCCATCTTCGCCCTGCGCCGCCTTTAATAAGGAGGGTTCTGACCCATGGAAGGGTAGCCGCCGGGACCGCCCATCTCCGGGCCGGGCCCGTTGTTGCGGCCGTCGCCAAAGTGCTTCTTGCGCAGGGCGGCGAGGCGCTTCTTCTTGGTGACGGTGTTGATGTAGGTGCCGATGATGAAGCCCACGAGGTTGAAGAAGGGGACCCAGGTGGCCTCGGGCAGGAACTTCTGGGCGAAGGCGAGGCAGATGGGGCTGGTGATCCACGAGACCTTCATGACCTTCCAGAAGCCGACGCGGACGGTGGCGCGGACCTGGTGGAAGGTGCGGGCGCCGGCGATGAGGGCCATGGCGGTCAGGTAGACGCTGTTCTGGATGGGCGCGATCTGGATAGCACGGTTCATTAATGGACGAGCTCGCATTGATTGGAAAACGCTTTGGGGATAAAACATACGATCAGGTTGCTGACGAGGATCTGCAGGATCTTGGCCCGGAGGCTGGTGCGGCCCTTGAAGGCCTTCTGCAGGGCCCAGATGAGGACATGGCCGAGAGGGGCCGAGACCAGAGCACCGTAGGCGGCCATCTTGGGGACGCGGGAGGTGAAGTAGTGGCCGTGCTTGTTGCGGTCCTTGGCCAGCCATGAGGCGAGGACCTCCTGCAGGCCGGCGAGGGTGCCGGCCGTCAGCATCTTGGTGCGCATCGGGTTCGACTCGAGCTGCTTGATGTAGGCCTAGACATGAAGGGGGAGCACCCTTTAGCACTCCATTCGATCGCGCGGCAACGGCCATCAGCGCCTTGGGGGCGCGATGGCCGAAGGGGAGAGGGAGGCGCCGACATACCATGAGGTAGCCCTTGGTGCCGGCATTCTGCTTGCCGCCGGTCAAGGCAGTGCCGATCTTCTCGGCGACGGGGTGCTTTCCGCTAGTACCGGGCAGAGGGCCGCCGGGAGGCGCAATGGAGCCTTTGGCGCCGGCGGCGGAGGCCACGCCCTGCTGGAATGTGTCCCGCTCGATTTTGAACGACATGGCGGCGTTTCCGGTTGGCGGAGGTCGATCAGTTCGGCATGGACGGGGCAAGGGTCTCTCGAGAGGGATTCAAATTCCAGACTGGAACAAGTCGCACGAGCATAAAAATGTTAGCATTCAACTTCCCCGTAAGAAATTGGATCGCGTTTCTCCCCGAGCTCGTTTGGGCATTGACGATTGAGAGGCTGGGGTTCGTCGAGATTTTGGCAGTGTTGTTGCGCCAGCCAATGGTTTGTTTACAGCTCCCTGTTTGGCTCGGTTGCGACCAGCGACCAGCGACGGGCCGGGTTGGGCGGTAAACACTGCGAGATTGGGCCTGGGCACTGCAGGCAGGCTGCTCTTTTGCGATGACACAGGGAAAAAAGAAAAAAGGCAAGACAGAATGAGATTCGGGGATCATAGACTTACAGAGTCGCTCTTCTACTTGTGAATTGAGAAGCAGGAGGAACAGAGAGGGGTGTAGTTGTGAAGTTGGCGGAAAGCGGCAATCACTGGGGGTCGGGGTAATAAAAGTGGGAGGAGAAGGGGAGTTAGGATAATGAGAGGCGGCCGCGCTAAAGGATCGATCGCGATGGAGGAGGAGGAGGCAGTGGCAGTCGGGCAAGTCTGGGAGGTTGTCATGGTGCCGAGGGTGCTGTCTCGCGTCCCTGACAGGGGTCGACAGGGGGGGTTGAGGCGCTGATGAAGAGCTGCTCCAGCTGCGGAGTAAGGATTTGCCTCGCTGTGGTGCTGTGGTGGTGCGTGTGTGTCCCCGAGGTTTGTCGGGCTGGCTGAAGAGGCACCAAAGGCCTCCAGGCCTACCCGGATTGGGTGAAGCGTCCAGACCAAGCTTGGCTAGCAATTGCCTCGGTGCGCAGGCATCAATGCAGTCAACCTAGAAGTCAATGCATCCTAGTGCTGGTGCTGGGAGTGTGGGGTTGGTGAGGACAGTCGTCAGCCAAATGCAGGCAAAGACAAGGTCTTGATTGGCTCTGTCCATTTGTTCTCAGAGACAGCTAGGTGTAAGCCATGCCAAGATTTGAATTCAAACTTGACAACCCTAATGTGACCGACCCATTGCCTTGCCTTGTATTCATGCAGATGATGGACCGTTCAATACAGGGAAAGAAACTCTCTCGGCACGCCTTACGACACTCACTTGAGTATGCGACGATTAATATGAATCCGGCTTTGCCAACCCTCGGGTGCAGACTTCGTAGTTGTATGGGTTGTTGCGAGCTCGGAAATATCGCTTCATCATTGCTCGGAATATGTAACATCAAAGCCTGCCTTTCAAGGCGGCAGGAGATCAGGTGCAGGCTCCCAGAGACGCGACGAGGCATGGAAACAAAAGAATTGGTTGAGGGAAGCAGATTCTGGGTGGGCAGATCCATCTGGATTGACTTGGTTTCCAATCTTTGGTTCCCATATTGACACCTTTTGATTCAAGAGTATCAATACCTTCCATCATCCAGGCCCTTGGCCAATCCAAGCCTCGGCCTCCTGCGTATATCTCGCAAACGGGCTCCTATGGCGCCTGGTTTTCTTCAATTTCCTTTCCTTGGCTGGTCTGCTCGCAGTAAAGCCCTCCCAATCGGAGATCCGGTCAAGCTTCTCAATCTGCGCGCCTGCCCTATAAACAAGCGTTTCTGGCGCAGCAAGGCTTCTTACTTCTCCAGTAGATCGATGGCATGGGCAAACCCAAACTCCATTTTCCATGTTGAGCCCGTGGAACCGCAGCAGAGGTCAGACCATCCACCCTGGGAGCATTAGCAAACAAACTTGTGTGCTTCTGGTGACCTGTCGACCACCAGCAAGGTGAGGTGCTCTTGATATCCGTCCCCAGTGTGGCGACTGCCTACTTCTACACAATGATTTTACACACTTGAGCTTTTTCTCAGATCAAATTCACTTCCAGAACACAGCTACAGAACCTCTCGTTGTATTCATTTCCACATCTTCAAGCCCGCGGGCGAGCTAAGCTGCTCTAAGCCTTCAGGCGAAGCAACACCTAACCACACTGCCCACTCATCTCACTTTTGCACGATGCCGTCCGTCGCCGAAGACGGCGAGCTGGCTTCACAGGCCATCGCTCAGACTCACCGTGCGCTTCCCGAGTGCCCCCAGCCCCTGCCCAGAGATTCGTCTTCCCGCGCGACCACTACCTACAGCCGGATATCCAGGTCGGCATCCCCCATGCCGGCTGCCCAGCTCTCACATCGCCGTTTCCGGCCGACCTGCACTCACCTCACTACGACCCGGCTGTACACTGACTCCCTATTGTGCGATGTATGCCACCAACCACCACCGTGGGGATGGCTATACCGCTGTATCCAAGATCGGGAGCTCGAGCTGCTCAATCAAATCTTTGAGGGCGAGATGCTCGATGAAATCTTTGAGTACGAGCCTATCGAGGTCAGACAGTCATGCCGACACCTTCCTCCACCCAGTAAGCTGATAAAATGTGCTAGGATTATTTCGACGACATTGGAGAGATGCTTTGCCAAAAGGTCAAGCTTCCTGCCCGTGGACGACACGCTCGCATAGAGAGATACAGCCTCCTAAGAGAGATGACACAGGAGCAGTTGAGCTCATACGATCCGATACAGCTAGAAACGCTGTTGAAGCAACGGGACAATGTACGTATTGGAACCGCTGTTCTCGTCTCGGGGAATACTAACTTCTGTAGGTTCACCAGACCATCAAGCGACAACGATGGGGCTATGCTACAATCCCATCCACCGATCCTGGCCAGCCGCCCACGTACAAGAAACAGAAGGGCATCGACACTGACCTAAGATGTCGCCTCAAGGCATGCCATGACTGCCGGGCCAGCTTCGAAGCCCGAAGCTTTCTGAGCCTAGATGGTGTTGCAGATGGTGATATACCGGCCACCGCGGCTATAGGCTTTGGCTTCCATCTCTCTAAATCCCGTCCGATGAGCAACCCACGACTTGTTCAGGGTTTGGGCCTTAGACCGGTGCCTCTGGTAATTCATTCCCAAGCGCCTCGACCATGCGTGAGAGAAGTACAAGATGGTTCTAAGCTAACACCGACCTAGACTCAGCCACCCTGGGCTTCCATGCCTGCATCGCCCATGTCTTCGTCAACATCTATCTACAGTCTGATGGAGTTGCTGGATGAACCTAATCCTGAGCCTGAAGGGGGTGACACCGACAAAACGGTCACCGATCACTCTTCTGCCGAGGAAGAGGATACCAATAAAGCCTCCGGCCACTCTCAAGACCTGGCTGGCTTTGTCGACCCTGCCCAGAGGCTGACGCGTCCACCCTGGACACCACCACCAAGCCCTCGTCAGTCTGTTGGCGGCTTGGACACAGTAGCTAGAATGAGAGAGCAGGTTGGTCCTCTGGGTCTTCCGTGCCCTCTCTCCGGGATGGGTGGTCGAAGCTCCCGGTCATTGAAAACGAACAATCGTCTTCGCAAGAGCGTTTTCCGCTCCATGTCTCCAGACCTGATCGCCTTGAAAGGCGGAGGGGACTCTATGCACGGCGGCCTATGGCCTTGGATGCCCTCGTCGTTGAACGACAGCACTCAGATCCCATATGTCGAGAGGGCTGAGCTCGACTACTTCTACGATGTTGGACTCACGCTTCCTTTTGATCAACAGACCTTTGACCTGGCATGTTCAACCCCGCTGCCACATGCTACTGTGGAAGAGGCGGCTTTCTTCGACGTGCCCTACAAGAGCACGATGGAGGAGTACGAAGACAGCGAAGGCATCTTTCTGGAGAGGCCGCTGCAGGTCCCGGGAGGCATTGCCCTGACAGAGGAGGCTGTCGAAAGCGGCTCTGCAGATGTCATGACCCAGGTCTAAACAAGGGGCAGGTGTCTGACTGGTTGGATTCGTTAGGAGCATCGGAGAACTGGCACAGGATCTTGTAGCGACCACTCTGTCTCGTCTGTCAGGGTTTGCGGCACGCGTTGCATGGTTTGGATGGGAGAAGTTGCTTGGCTTTCACGAACGGATCGGCGTTTAAGGTGTGCTTTCGAAATGGGGTTCAGAACTGGGATGTAGCTGAATCGTCATGGTATCAATTGTTAGTCTAAGTAGAGCCTGAAGGCATATGATCAGTCTGTCTGTTGACAAAACGAGATGAGTTTTCTCTGTCTCTTCCGCTCCCCTTGAACTCCCCATCTTCGCTCATCTCCTGGAGCAATGGTGCATGAGCATCTCCACTGCCAGCTTTACGAAATGGCGATGTTTATGTGCTTGGCTTGTGTATTCTTTTCAAATTTGTTGGCGGCGAAAAACACCGACCCCCCCAGCCTCTCTCTTCAGGGAGTCAGCGCGAAGATCTCCTCCTTGGTCCAGTACTTGCGCATGTTCTCGGCGCCCAGCGTCTTGACCTCCTGGTCCAGGTGCGTCCACAGCACGTCGCCCCACGAGTCCATCTTGGCCTTGAGCGTCGCCATCTCGAGCTCCCTCTCGCCCCGCCGGCACTGCGTCAGGTACTCCTCGAACACGTCCATGCCGGCGTGGATCTGCCGGTGCTGCTGCAGCAGCTCGGCCATGCCGCCGCCGCCGCCCTTGCCACCGCCCTTGCCCTTGCCCTTGCCGGCCTGGAACTCGGGCATCCGCTTCGCCAGCTGCGGGAAGAAGTACGTCTCCTCGATGTTGTGGTGCATCGTGAGCCCGCGCACAAAGTACAGGCCCTGGTCGATGAACTGCCGCAGCGACATGCCCTGCGGCCGCCGGTTCTCCGTGCAGGCCGTGTAGAGCATGGTCCAGGTGTGGCGGAAGTGGTTGTGCTGTGTGTGTGTGGTCAGTTGTGTATGCTTCTCCCGCCGCTAAATGCCATGCTGAGAGAGGGGAGTATCACGAGGGCCCTGGGGTGTGCACTCACATAGGCGTTCATCTGGTCGGCGAGGTGGTTGTACTCGCGGAACTCCCTCGGCGAGAGGGGCGGCAGCGGCGCCGGCGTCTCTGCTTCGGCGGCGGTCTTCTTGGCCCCTTCTCCTCCGGCCTCGGCAGCTGCCTCCTTGGCGGGATCATCCGCTGGCACAGGTGTCGTCGTCGAAGCCATCCTCGTCACTATTGCCGCTCTCGCGCGTTGGAATATGTATGCTGGCTGGGCCCTGGGACGGAGGAGCCGTGGCACTAGGCCCATCTATTTCTTCTCCACGACTGTGACAAAAAGTCCCGTCCAGAACAGTTCGGGACCCGACCGCTACTCTTGGCTCTACTTGGTATGAAGCAGAGATTGCTGCTGCTGCTGCTGCTTGGATAGATGGTGATGCACGGGCAAGGACGTCGAACCTTTGCTAGGTAGGTGATAAAGCCGTGGGCATATACATGTACACATATATATAGATATAGCCGCTCCCTACACCACCGCCTGCGCGCGGCGACAAAACCAACCGTTGTAAGCCATTGCAAATCATCGCCTCCGCACGGCTTTTGGCGGTGGGGCGGTCCAGATCAAGCCCGGAATCGAGGTTTTGCATCCACACTAAGTCGAAAAGCCTCCCGGCGCTTATCCCTTTCGAGGTCCCGCGCGGCATGCATCTCACACACATCACAGGCCACAGACATGTCTTCCATCACTGGACTTGCACGTAGCTTTGCTTGGTGAGCAGCATGGACAGCCCATTTGTACAGGCACGGTCTGGGCAGCGTTGTATCCCTTGCAGGATCAATGAGACTGACTGAGAAAAAAATATGTGTGTTATTTCAAGTGTAAAAGCCTCCGGGGGTATCGTATTTCTCTAGGCGCTCCCCCGGGCTCGCACATCAGCCCAGAGCTTATCGATGATCTGAAAGATGGCAGTGACATCCTTCATCAGTGCCGGGTCGGCCTTCTCCCGCCCGCCCAGGCGCTGCTGCATCTTGTCCGGGTGCCACCGCACCCTCTCGTCCTTGAGCCGGGCCGCAAAGGCCTTCTCCCCCAGCGCCTCGAGGTTCAGGCCCAGGACGAAGAACTGGCGGACCGCCTCGGCGTCCTCGGTGTCGCCCCTGCGCCCGCTCTCCACGGGCCACGGGATCCCGTCGACGCTGCCGCCGTCCCAGCCGTCCCAGGCCCGGACGTACTGCTCCCACCTCGCGGCCCAGGCCTTCTTCCTCCGCCGCTCCTCGCCCCGGCGCAGGCTCCTCTCCATCTCGGCCGTGACCCGCCGCTCCTCGTCCTCCCGCGCGGCCCTCTCCTCGCGCTCGCGCGCCCGCCTCTCCCGCTCCTCCAGGAGCCCCGCGTGCGTCTTCTCCCACATGCGCTGCCGCACGTACGCCGCGTACTCCTCCTCCGTCATGCGCTCCAGCTCGCCCGTCTGCGCGTTCGGCCGGCCCGGGTCGCCGTAGACGTGCAGCGGCTGCCCGTAGACGCCCTCCCAGTACGACGCGCCCTCGTCGTCGGCCATGGCGTCGAACAGCGCCTCGCGGAAGGCCGCGTCGGGGCTCAGCGGCGGGGGCGCGTAGGGGTCGTCTGGCTCGGTCTCCCGCTTCTCGTCCTCGCGGGGCGGGGAGCCCGAGCGCCGCCGCCGCCGCCGCTTATGTCGCCGGTGGTGGTGGCGATGGTGTCGCGAGCTGCTGCCATCGTCGCGGTCACGGCTGGGGCTACGGCTCCGGCTACGATGCCGTCGGTGGCTGCGTCCCTGCTCGTCGCCGTCGCGATGGCGGTCTGATCGGTGTCGCGACCTGGAGTCTTTGGACTTGAAGCGGAAGCGCGAAGTCTGGGGCTTTTGGCTATCCTTTTCGGTCACATTTTCTTCAGTTTTGTCGTCTTGCGGCGAGGTAGAATCCGGCGCATCGTCATTTCGACTCTTGTCGTGCGGTTCATCATGAAGGTGTTCTGGCGGGTTGATGGACGAAAGGATATGTACCCGCTTCGGAGCCCTGGACTCCTCTGTCATCGCGGCCATAGCACAAAATCCATAGTGCGCATCGAACTTGAAACACTTTGGGCGTCCTGGATTTGGGGTTGATGCCTGGAGAGTTTATGCTTAGAGGAGGAACAAAGACGATTGAGTGTGATCTTGACTGAGCGAGTCCTGCTTATCTTATCGATGCACCTAGCGCCCATCAAAACGTCACAGGCTCCATCCAGCACTGAGTGGCCCTCTAACCACGCTAATGCACGTCGTGTATTTGGAGATGGAGCAGTAGCGGGAAAGTCTTTATTATTGAATGACTTCGGACACACACTTTTAAGTCTGTCCTGAACTCTGGAAGAAATTATATCAAGTAGGGACAATAGCAGACTCGATCATATATCTGAGCCGACTGTCTGATCCAGGTCGATAGTCATCAGGACTTGGTCCCTGATCGAGCACGACATGCTTCTCTCTCAAAAACACCGATCATAACCATTGGTATCAGTACCTCATCCCGAATCCGTTTCCCAAATGTGTTTGCCGAAGGACACAATGGCGGCCGAACCAGTCAATCACCATAGCAGGACGAATCTCTCAAAGAAGGCAGCGTCTAGCTAGACCTTGGCCTCCGTCCCAAAATACTCGTTTGTCTTGCCGTGAGGGCATTATTCATGTGCAATGTGAGAATCCAGCTCCTCGCATCAGACCGCTGTATAGGTCATATAGCCGTCATCAACACAGGAACTGAGGAGCCCCTGGTAGAGAACATCGTCCCCGCAGCTTCCGTCCGGGGGAGCATCGAGGAAGGACAGGTCTGGGTCGCTGTCCATAGGCTCTTCAAGAGCACTGGGAGCTGAGATATGCGGTATGTCATCCATACAGATAGGTAAAGGCTGTTTAGGAGCGATTCCCTCGGAATAGCCCGCTCGAAAACACTAGATTCATGTCAATGTTAGCATTGAAAACGATTGAGAGGCCGGAGTGCGTACCTGAGGGGAGGAATAGTTCAGGCCTGGTGGCACTTTGAGCTTTAGCTTTGGCATCGTGGCCTGGCTGCTCGAGCTTGCACTTGACGCGCGGGTCGACTTGGATCGCCGGCTCGATGACGTTGATTGACGACTCGAGGATACTGATCGACGGCTCGAGGATACTGACTTGACACTTCCATTGGCGCTCGACGAGGCGCTATCTCTTCGTCGCCTGGAGTAGTAACGTTGCTCGCTATTTCGCATGAGCTTGTACATGAGCTGGACTAGGTAGACGAGGATCCTGTCCAGGTGATTAGTATTATCACAGGCAGAAAAGGATTGGTGCTGACTTACATGGTCGAATCTTCAGGCCACTTGAATTCATTTCCGGTGGCTGTCTCCGAACTCCCACAGAACCATTCATCTCCCAGCCCTTGCTGGAGAAGAGCAAAAGCTGCGTGAACAAGACTGCGCTTGAGCTGAGGAAGTTCACTAGGGTTGGACACGTTGCTCGAGGAGAATTGTGTCCCGGATTCAGAGAGGAGCGACTCTACCTGCGCCTTGAATCGGCGACCGCGGTGTTCAGTGAGGTGTAGCGTGGCATAGATATTGGAGAATGTCAGATTCGCATCTGCCAAAAGTGTTAGCATTAAACCAAGGATTTTTTCGGCGAGGGGAGGTGTCAACTGACCCAAGGTGATGCCCTGTGCTACGAGCTCGAAGTTCTCGTCGCCCAGATCGACACGTCGAGGCAGAGGGTATCGACCCGCCGGCCCCGAGGCTGGACGGGGCAGGATTTCTTCCGACGGACTGACTTGACATGCTTGAGCGTCAATGTCGAGGGATGGCCCTGCGTGGGAGGTGTCAATTGCTTGCTCTTGTTGGAGTTCAAGCTCTAACTGGAGCTCCAGCTCCAGCTCTTGCTGAGTGAGTTCTTGGGCACTAACGTCTTGATTCCCAAAATGCTGCGCAACCTCGCTGGGTAGTGGAGGCAAGGTAAGTTGCGGCACGGGTGGTGGTTCAACAAAGTCCGGCCTTCTTGGTGGTGTACTCTGACGAGAGACGGACTCGCGGGTCGAGAGAGCCAGGACTGGGGCGTCGCCGGTTGCTGCAGCTCCGGCAGTCTCTGAGCTCTGGTCTTCCATAAAGGGGGAAGCCGTGTCCTCGTCGTCGCTGGCCCCAAACAAGCTCTCGAGGTCGTCGCCATTTCCACCGAAAAGGCTATCTGTGTCATCGCCATTTCCACCGAAAAGGCTATCTGTGTCATCGTCATTTCCACCAAAAAGGGACTCAAGGTCGTCATGATCATCGGCCAGTGAGTCCTGTACCATTGGATCATGTAAGGCCATGACTGGTCGGGCGCTGCTGCGCGACAGGTCGAAGAGGAGAGTGAGAAATGCTTTGCAGAATAAAATTCAAAGAGGTGATTCTGGCTAGAGAACCGCCTCTTGTTGTAGAAAGCAGGCACCAAGAGACATGGAACGTGCTCTTTCTTGCAACTGTGAGGTTTATCTTGTCGGAGGCGAGATGGGGGTGAATCGGGGCAGAATAGGCAGCAACGCGCACCACCCACAAGCAGGCACTTTAGTTGGTCTCACGCCTTGAGAAAACCCCACCTGCACGACACACCTCAGTCCATCCCACTCACTGACACCCGACATCTCAGCATTGAGACTTTCATTCAATTCCAAGCACGTCTGCGCAATTCCATTCACAGTCATAAAGGGCTCTTCCTCACTCACAATACATTGAGCTACACGTCTATTAATCTGTGGAGCTACTTCTTGAGCTTGAACTCGAAGGGCTCGACACCGGTGGTGCCAACATCAACTCTGAACAATGCCCCCCCGTTCTTCTGGCTCTGCTCGTCTCCTTCGGGATCGCTCGCCGTGGTGATGAAGAGCTCCGTGCCCACGAACTGGGTGCAGGTGATGTTTCGTGTCGGCAGTTTGATCTCGCCGATGAGCTTGCCCTCGGGCGAAATCTTGATGACTCTCGACTCGCCGTAGATGGCGTGCCACATGTTGCCCTGCACGTCGATGCGGAAGCCGTCCGGGCCGCCGGTGCCCTGGTGCTTGTAGAAGACGCGCTCGTTGGACAGCGAACCATCCTCAGCCGAGTAATCCCATGCGAAGACTGTGCCGGCCTCGGTCTGGGTGAAGTACATGATGCTGCCGTCTGGTGACCAGCCAACAGAGTTGGGAATGGTGATGCTCTGACGAGTAGTCTCGACAGACTGGCCCCCGTCGAACCGGACCAAAGAGCCTAAAGAAGAGTGTCAATACTAATATCGTCCTGTTGTACATGAAAGTAGACAGTTCTTGCTAGACGTACCTTCGGGCTGAAATTCTCCCAAGTCAAAGTCGGTCATGGTGCCGAGCCAGAATCGGCCGTGAGGGTCGGCAGCACCGTCGTTGCTCCTCGTCCGCGGGTTACCCTCGCCCTCGACAAACCGGGTGATGTACTCATACTGTCCAGTCTTGCGGTCCAGGATGGCGAGGCCGAACTTGGCGCCGATTAGAATCTTCTCCTTGGGGTCAACGCCCTCGATGTCTGCCGTGACAGACACCCGGACGTCGAGTTGCTGTGTCTTGACCGACTCGGGACCCTCCGTGACCGACACTGTGTGAATCTGCTTCCTTGCGATGTCAAGCCATCGCACGGTGTTGGTGCCCTTCTCGTAGTATGGGCCCTCGCCTAGACTGTCGTGAAGGTTCACGTAGGGCTCGGTCACCTCCCAGGTCTGGTAGTTCTCGGCCATGATGCTGTGGTGTTTGCTGGTGGGAATCTTGTGTTCTTGTGAGGATCTTGGGTATTCTTCCCGAGTAAAACGACAAGACGAAGACGCTTTTTGTGAGACCGCGGGGTCAGTGGACGGCCGGCTTTAACAGTTTCCACAGGGAAAGAGGGAATTTAGGCCATTTCCACTGCCGGAGCCCGGCGTTGTTGCAGAAACGGCCTGTCGGTCCGGCTGAATTGGCGACTTACCACGAGCTAAATTGCGGGAAGCGCCTCGAATTGTGGATTCACAGCCGTGATCTTGATCGCGGGAGGAGCAACAACCAAGTACCTTAGTTACCAGAACTCGGCACGAACCAAACCGGCAGAGGCCATTGAACCCAGCACAGTAGAGTGCGGCCTCCTATCGAAAGGTTATCATACCATTGAGTCCATTTCCAAAACACCACCAATTCCGCGCAGCCACGATCCCCTCGCAGCGCTTCGGTTCGGATCCGGACCATGGCCAGAAGGGAATGCGGGCCTGGCTTCCGATCCCGCAGGTCGGGAGAACCAACATTCAGGCGCGTGCCCGACTGGATTTCCCGTCGCGTATTTCGCCTGCAGATCCACCTCCCAAACCAAACCGTGCAGACTTAGAGTCTCGATGACACAACATCATCGAATAGACGGTTCTTAGGTCGGCGGCACAGTACCCGTCCTGAGTATGGCATCATCCCGTTCGCAGGTGTCCTTGGGCGTACGTCATTGCTGGCAAGTCGAGCAATTGATGGATGGGCCGGAGGGAACAATCACATCTGGTTGGTCCAGTTCATCACAGTTGCTCAACAGTACACTCCTTCGCAGGGCGGTCCAACGGTGGTGATCAGCCAGGGTATCCTGCAGCAGGAGGGTTGCATTCAACATCAAACCTCGTTGGTTCGCTTGGTTCGCTTGGTTCGCCTGCCGCCCGCCACCGCCGACACGGCCAGCAATGCATAGCGAACGGGCTGACAGGGACTCGCCTCTCGATGATGTGCATGGTGATCAGGAACAGTGTCTTGCACTTTTGACATGTCACAAACCAAGGAAGCCGCGCTCGACATGTGAGGCTGACCGGTGGCTTGGGGTGGGATGGAGCACGCAAAAGCAGGTCCAGGTCCCGGGGCGGCATCCGTGTGGTCGCCTTACAGATCTGCAATTGTGCATGAAGAACTCATGGGGGCCCATGGGGGTCCTGCGCCTGTCACATTCTCGCCGCTCGCCTCACCCTCCCGCGCTCCGATGCTCTTCGCTCTCCGCCATGGAGGATCCGACGCCTCATCCAACCTTTTGCCTCTTGCCGGATGTGCTTTTCAATACTTTCCGATCTGGAATTTGCCATTTTTTTTCTCGTTGCTTGTTATTGTCAGACACAAAATCCGCCCTGCATCTCGGAGATCGTCAGGGACGCCATACATTGTACATGCGTCCACGAAGTGATTATGTCTCCCCTGCAAGATGAACGTTTTGCCACGCTGTCGGTCACTTCCAACTGCGCAACGAACCTATGTCTTGTCTTTTCTCGTTCCTTTTATCCCTGTTTCGGCCTCCGAAAGCCGGGTACTTCTGAATACATCACCTTCTATGGTCTCTTGCCTTGTCTTGGAATACGCAACTGCATGATGATCAAGCGATCTGATTTCTTCTCTGTACATACACTCGGATGTCTCATGGGTTTGCGAGGCGACCCCGGCTCCCTGCCTTGGCTGAAGAAAGCGCCGAGCCGGATTCGAAGCAACCATGGCATCGTGATGTTCGAGAAGCCCTCCTTTTTCTAGAAGCCGGGCCGAGTCGTTGGCCCAGACGAGACCAGATGCTCTCGACCCGATCATCATGTTGCCCATAATGCATGGATGATCTGAGCAGGCGGCACCGTGGCGAGCCACAAGACACGACAAGGCCGGGGGTCCCCAAATTACTTTGGTTGTGCGGCCAGCAGTTCTGATCCTGTTCGTGGAAAGCAATCGTCCTGTAGCACATTCGATCGGCGCCCTGCTTCTGATCCAATTTCCTCCGCATCATCAGCTTTCAGCCTCACTAAATATTGGCGGCTGTGGCCCATGCTCTGCATTACATTGCATATACCGTTCAGTTATTGTGCAACAGCGCACACACATCGTTTAAGTTACTATCTGTGCAACATGACCTGGAGAAGATCTCGAGGACTTGGTTCGTGGCCAACTGCTCCATCTCGGGGTGTGATTACGAACAACCAGGGGTCTCCTTGACACCCAAATATGTAGCTTCCCAGGGCAATATGCCGCATCACGGCACAAAATTACTCTCTAACATTTCCAGGGTTTTTATTTCTCCATCGTGGCCAGATCACTGCGATATCCTCAGCGGGACAGGGTTCTTTCTGGCGGTCAGCACTGACCTTTCACTGGGAAGGATGACATGGTAAGGTCCATGGCCTGCCACCGGCAACTTGATACTTTGAGATGCTGCGATCCGTCTGTCTCCCAAGTAACACTCCGGTGACATCTTGCCCAATCCTATTTTCCCTTACCAAGCATTCTGGAACCAGGTAACAAGCTGGATGGGCATGGCAACCGCCTTCTAGCTCAGCTGATCAGGTATTAGCAGCATGTGGTCCAACATATCTGGGACGATGGAGGGAAAGGACTTTATCAATACATCCTAAGGAACATGGCTCCTGTAAGATTGCGTGGACGGCACCTCGCCGCACGTACTCAATATTAACTTTGGATTAAAATGACATCGACGAGGAGACGTCCGCCACCCAGGGGTATCGTAAACATGGGTCGTGACCGGTGTGAGAGATGGCAGGGCCGCCAACGCCCCGTCTCGAGAGTTCCAACTAGCCCGCGAGGTGTGCAATTTTAATTACCTAGGGGTGCGCACACTCGTGACATGAGAAGATCTGCCGCTCATCATGTTCTCGAAGTTGAGACCCTTTGGTCTCTACGATGAAGGGATGGCTGGGATATGGATCTACCGTCGACGTGATGATGGATGCCCAATGATTCGATCGTAAAGCGGCCTGAAACGAGATGAAGCCCTTGATTGAAACCCCCTCTCCCCTTGATGCCTCGACACACAGACGCAGTGACATGTCCGGAAGATTGTGGTCAGACTTAAGATCTCGAAGACCCTGGTCACAGCCCTAAATTGGAAGTTTCCTTGGGGCGCTGGTTCTCAGCAACAGCTTCTTTGAGTAATCTTCCGTAGGTGTTTGGTGCGGCTGGCGCATCCTGACAGCGATATCGGAACAAAAACACACAAGGGACACCGGCATATGATGCATTATTGCTCTTGTGGTTACAACAAAGAATCATGGATGGAATGGAACCAATCGCATCCCGAGTTTCTTTTGATTGAGGACAACATGGGTGTGTCGTGGATGGAGAAAGCGTAGTACATCTTGAGACTCGGGTAGGGACAATTCGACTTGGTCGATGGTCACAGCTGCTTCGTCCGACTCCAGGTTCAAAGGAGTGCCTAGGCAAGTTAGACGTCGGTGATGGCTATGATGTCAGAATAAATCAAGAAGAAGAAGGCATTGACGCTCAATAGGATCAGATCATCCTGGTTCTATGTTCTGATCCAGTCGTGTTGGCACGATGAAGCTGGATTGGTACACAGCCCGTTACCACAGGACTTGAGGCATTGATCAGAGGTCCGCGGAGCCAGAGCGACTCTGTAACCCGGAGATCAAGGAAAGGGAACAACAACTCTGGCTCTCTGGTTCGAGGGCGCCCCAAGTTGTGATCCGCAATGGCCATGGTATCTGCGACGTACCGTCGTAGATTGATGCTCACCTTGTGGGGATCGCCTGCCACACCTTGTAATGAGAGCTGGGAAATGTAGGTGTGTGCGAGCCTTAGCTTCCATCCATTGCGACCCAATACAACCTCGTTTAGCTCTGGATATGACCGATCCATCTAGCGATCTTGGTTCATCTGCGCTCCAGGACAGGGCATCGCTATGTCGACGCCTGACAATGATACTTCGTAGCTTTGGAAACAGTCCTCCTACGGGTCTTGGTTTCCCAAGACACCGCCGCATTAGAGCCCAATCGCATCCACAACCCGGAAGATTTACATGCAAGTATGATGTGTACAGAGAAACCAGAGATAGGAACGACAACTTTGATGTGCATATTGCATACTGAGCAGCGGTGACGTATTAGGATGCTTGCGGGCCCGCATACCAAAGCTTCATTATCTAGTCCACGTCGTTATGCGCAAGAAACAGGTCGGGATATTTCTTGTACATACTACTTGTACATACATGGCCAAACTTGGAAGAAACTGGCTAGGATGCTTCCGCCTTCCGCGAAAAAGGAAAAGAGTTCAGTTGCATCAGAGTTACGGTTCCTCCGGGATGAAGCGGTACCAGTGGTAGTCGACCAGGATCAGGGAAGTAGCGGTAAAGCTGCAAGTAGCCACTTCGACGTGCGTCTACTCCGTACAAAGGACCAGATGGAGATGGATGGATCCGCCGGTCTGCCTTGTGTCCATCCGCTTGGACATTAGGAACCGCAAGGGACCAGACCGTACGCACCTCTGCGACCCACGGGGTACGAAGCTAAATTGGCGGCTGTCTGCGTACGTGCATACAATAGTTCGTCGGCACCACAGCCTGACGTGACGTGACGGGTTCATGGCGGTTTGGCAGACTTGGGGACGAAAGTCAAAAACGGCCGGTCAGAGAACTGACTGCCCGTCTGCACTGAAGAACGGCCTGTGGCGTGTGCCGAAAGTTGGGGTTCGCCAATGCAAGGCGGAATTTCTTTATTTTTAAGGCAAACAGTGCTTGGCCATTTGTCTTGATCGAGTAACGGCGGCCCTTGCATGTTCCCAATGCGGTTCCTTATCACTCCTAGAACGGCTGCACACATCGAATTAGGACAAGGAAAGAAGCAAGCAAGAGGAACGGGTGGTGGGAGCGAAACCGAGTGACGGCGTGGCTGCGCACCGCGAGAAGTGTTCGAGATGGACCGTGCTGATCTCTGCACCCATGGTTGTTTACGTCTCTAGGTACGTGTGAGTAAGGCGAAGTCATGGTTGTCTCCTTTGCGTCGCCATCTCTCATCACACATTCAAGACGCTGGTCGCCGAGGCTGCTCACCGCTCCGACTTTGCTGGCCCCCGGAAAGGCGCAAGGGGCCATGCAGGACATCCAAGCAGCTCGCCGAAAAGAGCCAAAAAAGAGGAGACGAACAAGTGTTCAAGTCAACAAGCGCCAAAACTCAATGGATTGACCGCCTCGTCGAAGATCGTGAGAGAAGCTCAACTGTGATGGTGATGGACGGGGATGGGATGGGAATTGAGACACTGCCTGCCTCAATCAAGAGCGCTGCGAAACGTACCTTCCTCCTCTGCCTGGTACCAAATTGTTTTCTACTGAAGCACCTGCTCACAGGAAGGGACGAGACATATGGTCTTGTCACAAACGTCAAGTAGACGGCGGTTGCACTTCTGTTGATGAGCATGGCATCTTTTCCAAACACTTCACGATTCCATTTGGACAAACTGCCTCAGACAAACCACTGGGATTCCCCATCAGGATCCACTCCATCAGCATGGATTCCGCCCAGCCTTGGAGCCCAATGGGCTGGTCACTGGCAGACAGTTCAGGCAAGGTCCGAAATGAGCTCGACGACTTGTGCAAACAATTGCTGATAACTGGGCGCGATGACCATTCGGTCACAGCACGGCCACGGATTCTTCCTAGAATATGAGTGCAAGTGTATCTTGCTTGGACGAGACATGCTTCATGACATCGGTCCCCCAACAACAGCGAAGCACCATGTATGTATTCACCAATATGCCACCATCCAAATCACCAAAGAAAATGACCGACCAGCGTGCTACCTACCTTCGCCATGAGCAAAAGGTGGGTGTGATCCCTGCTGGACGACCCACCGAACGCGAATTACAGAGCACACACGGAGCCACACGATCAGGGTGAGGCGAGAGATGGAGGGTTCCATCGAATTTACCTGTGGCCCAAGTATGTACCTTTATGGTCACTATTGTATTGACGATCGCTTGTAGCCTGCCGCCCTAAGGCCAAGGGCAGTGGCTTCTTCCCGAGTTCAGCATGGTCCCGGCAGCTATCCGGAGGTTGGGCTACGCGACTGATCGTACATGCGCTCATCTGTCTTGCAGATTCTGGCGTGGGCCCGGACCATGGAATGGTTCCAGCGAAGCCTGTCGCAGAAGCAGGGCCTCTCCTGCTGATGGCGAGGTTTGCGTCTGTGCCATCATCTCCCGCGCGGAGCAGCTCGCAACACCCTGGCCGCTAGAAAGTACTTCAAAGCCTCACATGGTCTCGTGTCTCCTACCATGGGATGGGGCCCTGCCCTGCACATGGCGGTAAGTGGAGATGTCACTTGTTTGTTATTTAATTATGGGCCATCAATGCGAGTTCAGTCTCTCTGATACAGCACCAGTTGTCTCAGGCATAACTGATACTCTGACACCTAGACGAGCAAACATCTCACCTACTCCGTAGCTACTCCTACACGCCCCAGAACCGTCTTTACCCTGGGATTAAAGCGGGATGTTTGCTGATGACACTTGCACAAGACTGGTGCCGAGGAGTGCTGCGAACCCTCGGAGGCCTTTCAGGAAGTGGCCTTATTCGACGTAACCTTGGCCAGTGTTGCCTCCAAACATCCGCCACACGTGTTCAGGTCTCGCCCACGATTCCCTGTGCCGAGTACTCCAGTTGTACAGCAAGCAACAGCAGATACCTACATACATATGTAGCTAAGTTCACTGACCGCCATCACGCTAATCACTAGTCTCAGGTTCTATTTTGTGCTGTTCCTCCCTAGTCACGCACGGCCAGGTTTAAGTGCATCATTGCATAACCGGGAGCTATTCTAGCATACCCGCCTAGCCTGCGGAGACCGCATGGGTTCGCATGCGCAATCTTGTCAGCGAGCCCACTGGCCAGGTGATGCTGCCGTAGCGTTGCCTTGCTTCCCTCCCCACGACGACTGAAGGCTCCGCACCTGAGCCTTAGTCAACTCTCTGCCAAGTTAGCCTAGCTCACGCTTTCCCAAGAACCCACCATAGTTGCTGCGCAGAGAGACGGTGTGAGAGCAGGTACCTGTCGCCGAATGCGCGAGAGACCGCCTTTTCACCTCGAGAACGGCATCGGGAGGCACTTGCTGGGACTGACTGTCTCACCGACTCTACACCACCTAACATGATGCACATCGAAAGCCAATAGGGGATCCCGGTAGGCCGCGGATCGGAAAGACCAACGACATAGTTCTTTAAGATCAGGGCGCCATCAGTGAACTCCTGGAGGCGGGCGTGAGCACCAACTGACCGGTTCCCATTGGAGCACGCTGACCGGTTCATCCTGCCTTGTCTCCCATCCAAAGTCTTGCATGGGGGGATTACGTATCTTGGGGGTACCAATGTACCTCCGGAGTAGGGACCAGCAAGGATCGGCCAGAGTGGGTGGGTGCCATGGTTTTCCGGACTGCTGGGACACTGTTCCCATCTCTCTGGCTGGCTTAGTAGCAAGGTACCGCACCAAAGGATCAGCCACGCATCAACGCCTGGCCGTTTTGTCGGGTCGCATCCAGGGCGTGTCGGCCAGGGCTTCTCGAGTGTGTGTAGGTCATCGGCTTTGCATGTTACCGGATCAAGATAGCCACCAGGTCATTGCCAACCACGTCTGGCCTACCTTCAACTGATCACAGAGAATGTCAGGGGGGGGGGGGGGCGCCAGAAGAAAATGGGAATCGACAACACCACTGGGCTAAGCAAGTTAGCTTGAACCAACCATTCCAGCCGAAGGAATCACTTCTGAGCCCTGTCGCAGTGGGAATGACTGACAAGGGTCCCCCCGGTAGGTACTTGCTGCACCCCGGCAAACGACCACATCCAACGTCTGTCTTGTGCCATGGGCTGCCCTGGCTCCCCAAAGCCCCGATCAACAATGGCGTGGGACTCAATACCAAAGCAAGTACCGGGGAGGGAAAAAAATCAAAAAGCAGGGCACTCCCTCTCGGGCTGGGTTTCTTGTCAGCTTAGGTTCTGTTGGTACGACAGCACATCTGACGACAGGACATGTCATTCTGAGTATCTACATGTGCCTTTCTCACTCTACTTTATATCACCTGCATTTCCTATTCCAGGCATAGTTCCCCTGCTCTTTTGGGCCTTGACTTCACTAATACCGTTTCACTCCCTGGCTTTCATCAGTCGGCAAGCCGTCAAAGTAATCGTCAGGCCTGGCATGACAACCCCTATCTCTTGACTCAAGCACACATCCAGGACACCGAGGAGGCTGGACAAATACGAGGCGAGAGGCAAAGAAGAAGAAAAGCCCGTCTGATCCTGAAAGAAAGCTGCCCACTGATCTCCAATCCAACCTGGGCGCCTCAGGGCCTCTGTAGCCACTGACTGTGCGAGGCTTGTCTTGAGGGCGATGGTTGGCTCGCTTTGCCACAAACCATCCCACTTCTCTTGCCATTAGATCTTTACTGCCCCGGTTACCCACAGCTATATTGCACCAGTCATCATCCTGTCGAGGGCAGCTGAGCTACAACTTGGGCTCGTAGGATTCCGGCGCATCCACAGACCAGTGACTGGGAAAGAGCTCGTTGCCTGCTGCTAGTCTCACCCTTCTCACGCTGTGTAGTCTCCCTTGTGTAGCTGCATTGCATCTACATATCACACTGGTTCGACTACTCACAGCCCCCGCTTTGGATATCACTTCAACCTTGACACCAGCACTCCGTCTTCTCCTCTGCATTCTTCAAGACTCGTCGTCCTCTGTCAGAGCTGGCAGAAAGTCTCGAGCGTCGAGGCTTGTTTCTTCCTAGTCCTGGTGACGAAAGTCGACCACCACTAGCTACAACTAGCTGCGTCGCGTTCTGCAGAGCGCAGCCGCAACATACCGCTCCCAGAACTCAAAAGTAGCTTTCGCCGTGGCGGTCGAGTCGGTACAGTGGCTCTCTACCAACCTCGACCGGTACCGGTCAGCAGCGACTGGTGCGGAGCGACCGGTACAGCTTGCCACAGTCGAAGGACTAGGGGCACCTAGGCGGCTGGAAGCAGGCTCCGATACAGAGTATCATCAGCGGAAGCGGAATAGCAATAGAAGTGGTCAATGTTCGGATTCTCGAGGTCATCACAAGAGCGAAGGGGACCAGGACTCGATGTTACAGAGGGGATCCACGGTCCATCCCTCTTCGCAAGGCTCTTCTCCGAACGAAACGCCGAAGGATCCTCGATGGGAGCTGCCAGCGCCTCCTCAGCACAGTGACCAGCTCAAAGAAGCTGTCGAGACCGAGCCGCAGTCCTCGGGTGGTAGTCCTATCCCTGTGCCGGAAGAAGGGGAGCAACTGCAGCAACCCGTTGCGCGCACCTTTGGTGTGTATAACATCCTCAACCCTTCGGACCACCGAGGAGCGAGCTCGACAGAGCAGCGCATAATCGATCCAAGGGCCGAGAATGAGGGAGACACAGCTGTCATGCAAGGTTCGCCTCACTATCACCATACCGAGTCGCCATCCACGGGGACAAAACGTCAAAACGTCGAAGAACAAACGCTAGAACGCGGCAATATATCACTTCCACCCATAGCGGGCTCGTCGAACCCTTCGCCCTCGACAGACCGGCCCTCGCCGACCCTTGCACCCCATTACAGCATGGGTGGAGTCCGGCGAATACTGACACCGCGGTCGCCTCTGACAAGAGCACTGTCTCACAGTTCCGTGCCGTTATCGACGACCAAAGGACGCCATGGCTACGGCGCGCACACGGGATCGCAGTTAGCTGCACAGCATTATGATGACAGCCCGCCTCCAGGTTCCATCATTGACAGGCCATCTGAATCAGCGTTCTTTCCTGCGTCATCGATGCCGCCACACCCTGCTCTTCGCTCTCTTTCCCAACCCGGTCTTGGGTTCCAAACTCCGGATACACAGAATGCAGGTCTTCCCAGTCTTGACTGGTCTCGACGATCTACAGCGCTCGCAGCTGCGACAGGATATGGAGGCAGTCCATCACCAGGAGGAGTCGGCTCGCTGACGGGAGGAGCGCCCGGGGCTGTTTCAGGGGAGCAGTGGTCTTCTGGGCCTGCCAGACTTGGACAGGGCAACACTGGTGGAATTACAGTCGGAGATACCCAACAGTATATAACTATCACGCCGACTCACGGCGAAGAAATTCGTGTTCCTGTGGACATCCACCAGGCCTCCCGCCAGGCAGACGAGAAGCGACTACGGAATGCCGGGGCTTCAGCTAGATTCAGGGCCAGGAAGAAGGAAAAGGACAAAGAGGTGCAAGTGGGCATGCAGAGACTGGAGTCGCAAAACCGCGAGCTGCAGAAGCGTCTGCAAGAGGCGGAAGCCGAGAGGGACTTCTACCGCAACGAACGCAACAGGCTGCGGCACATTATGTATCGGGAGCCAGGTTTGAGGGAAGCGGCCGAATCTGGACCGCCCAGTCCAACGTCAACAGCGCGGAGTGGAGGATCGTTCATTGCCGAGCACAGCCCAATGCCAGCGTTACCACCGCAGCAGCCATCGGTACCTGCACCCTCGTACTTCAACGAGCCTCCGAATGTCGAACCACCAGCTAGGCGTCGAAGAACGGATCCTGCGCCGGGCATCGAGTTCTCGACACCAGCATATGGATCGCCAGGCTCCACACCGCTCCCCCCGATTCCCGTCCCGACCTTCGTCCCTGCTTCTGGCTTGCCTCTCACGTCTCCCTCAGGCCAACGATTGCCTCCCCTTCGTGGCCTGGGCTCGTCTCAAGCACTGGCCGGCCCTGACAGCGGGCCGCCACCGCCGCCCTCTCTTCCTGTCGGTACCCAACCGGCGCAGTTGGCTCCGTATGGTCGGCGTCCGTACGACAGCCACTGGCAGGCCGGTCCGAGGTATCCTCATGACCAAGGACAGCGCTGAACGTCCATCTGATGGTACTCAGATTCACGTTGTGCATGCTGGTGGACGAACGACGACCTACTAGGTTTACCTAGCATTCGGAAGCCCGGCTGATGTGCCAGGGAGGAAGTATACTTTGGCGTTGTAGCCATACCGATAACTTTCAGAGGGTGGGCAACACCACACCCTGATGATATTTCCTATGTTTATTTTTAGACGATCTAGCATCAATTCGGGCAACCGACCAAGGGGAGTTGCGTCTTTTGCTTTCCTTTCATCTCCGGCGACACTACACCTCACTACACAACCAGATCGAACGAGTCTTTTTCCTTTACAACTTGACCATCCCTCAACCTACTGCAGATTCCTGCCCTTATATATCCTTTCACAACAAAATTGCGACCTCACCTGTATTATTGCCCCTGTTATTCATGTTTATCCTACTATGGCGGACAGAAGGGGGGCGCGTCTGGCGTTTTTAAGGGTTCAAGTTTGTGATAACATACATCACACAGTCTTGGTCTCTGTTAGTTTGGCAAGCATTGTCCTTTTATTTTTCTAAAAAGCACTTGTTGTTGTCTAGAGATACCACAGAATGGTTTTGATTTTCGCCTCCTCAAAAAGACGGGATTGGCAGGAGTACAAGTCAAAGTTAAAGGGGGGCTATACTTGAGGAGTTCAGGAGCGTTGATTATCTCGTTTCTTCGCAAAACAAGCAGTAGGTCTCCGCGGAGGCCCGATACCCAGGCACCAGAAGTACAGTTTTGGGGGGCGATGGACGGTCAAACCAACATGGCATTTTCAAAGATTATGCTGACCTTGCACAAAAAGGCCGATCAGGACTCGGGCCCGAGAAGCACCTAGGCAAGGATGGGCAACGCAGGCGGATTCAATGCATGTAGGAGCCACAGCACTACCTTTCGCCACTGCGTCGAAAACAGTACATGTCTCATATATAGAAGAAGAAGCAGAACATAGCCAGCAGAGGGGGAGGAACCAGAATGCATGTTCGCGCTGGTCATTGAACGACCGAATTAATTTGTTCAACTAACCAACCACGTATATCAACTTAAACACAAGTGTGACTTCCTGCTTGCTTGAGTGCAGGATGTTTCCAAGGTTTGAGCGTCACAGTTAAAGAACTCTATAATCAACAGGTATTGACAACTTTTAATCAGATGTCATTCAGGAGACAAAAGGTACCGGAACGGTCATCTCAGCAATTGCCCATCTGACACGGTAGCCATCGTCTGGCGAACTTCACAAATCCTTCGCCCTTGATCTTGACTCGCAGGCGAGGCAGCTCGCCCGACAGACAGTATGGCCGTGAGCCGGAAGCCCCCTATCGAGAGACACCCAGGCCGTCCTATGGCCAGGCCACCATCATCCTCCAGCCAAGACACGGGGCGAGAAGGCGTGGAGGTCAAGTGGCAAGTCGAGCCGAGGCAAGAGGCAAGCGGCCGCGTTGCAATACCGCATCTGACACATCGACATGCGAGGCGAGCAAATCGCAAGACATTGTGCCATCCACTCCCATCCCCCCCCCCCCTCTGTTCAAAAGACGGCAAACTTTTCCGTCCATGGCCGATTGGAGAGCAAAGGCAACTGACTAGTTGACTGCAGACAGGAGCGGATGCGGCCTGCCGAAGTGACACACGCACATACATGATCAGAGCGCGTGCGGAGAAAATGTCCGCCATCAAGGAGAAAAAGGAAACCTCTTCCGCTTTTTGGTTTTCGCCGCCGAGGGCTGAAAACCATCTCCCGTAACGACCCTGGCCAATTATGATCTACTGTGACGGGCGGAACGTTGCAGCAAATAGAGTCAAATGGTTGACTAGGGGGGTTGCTTGGAGTGAACGTTCGGCCTCTCCTCTCTTGGGGAACCCCTTTTCTTTTCTTTTCTTCTTCTTTTCAGCGTTCGAAAGGTGCCCTGCGCCTTCTTGAAAGCCCAGCCACTTCTCCTTCTTGCTGGTAACCCGTGCCTGTGACGACTGCTCCCATGAGCACCCAGTGTCAAAGTTTCTACAAGGAACATGCTTGCTGTACATGCCTGTCTCTAGAACGGGGGCTTGCATTGCTCTGCCTACCCTGGGCATTCAGCTCCGGAGGAGAATGTCGGTCGGTGTCCTGAACAGGCATATCACTTTCTGTATCCGGGGACGCGGGTTTCCGACTTCCCACCTATCCGGGCCGCCCTGCTTCTGACCGACAACCAATTTAGAATGTGCAATCATCAGATCAGCTCGCTCGGCCGCCCGCCTCCACGGTAAGAGGGGATTGGTGAGGTCAAGGTAGTTTGGTGACTGCAGAGTAAGAGCTTGTCGTGTGACACAGGACGGGGGGGGACCAGCTCAGCGAACCAATCCGCCAGCCCCGGCTGCCGTTCCCCGGTCTCATCTCACTGGAGGAGCGCTCCGATATTGGGCAAGCCACCGTGGCCTGATCATGGCCTCTGTGAAGGTATGTGGACAAGAGTGGTACCTACATCAGACACGCCGAGGAAGGCAACGATACCTACACATGAAAAAGGGGCTGCGGCCCAGACGATCACAGAAGGCAGTGGAGGAATACGTAAGAGTATTGGATTTCTATTGACAGTTTGCCCAGTGGGGTATCTAATGGAAGAAGAAGAAAAAAGAACAAAAGACTACTTCGTGCCTATCCCCTTGGCTAGCCGAGAGCGTGTTGATGCCCAATGAGGAGGCTCAAGAAGCTTCATTTCCCCCAAAGACTTGGCCAAAGCTCTCTCTCATCCACAAACCAACGTTCGGGCGTGCACACCGCGCTTCTTCCTCTCGTACATGAGATGCCCTGTGGGCCTGTGTAACACATTATTCCCGAGATCTGGGACCCAATGAAAAGACCGATGAAACCCTACCAACGCCAACCTTCTTCCAATGCAGTCCAGTGAGGCGAAAGGGCCTTTTGCGCGCTTTCCAAAAGCAAGGGGTGAAAAATCACAACACACATCAAAAGAGATCGATTGGCCAGAATCTTTCTTTAGAGGCGTAGCCGGCCCTCGCCGCTGCCGCCACCAAACCACCTCCTTATCCCGTCACCGGAATCGGTCCGGCCAAAGGCGCCAGACGGTCGAGCAGCTGCGTCCTCGTCGCCACCCATCCACTTGGGCTTCTTGATGCCCTGGCCGATGTCCTGCAGCCACCTGGGGGTGTCGAGGGTGTCGATGGTGTTCTTCATCCGGTGGCCGAGCGTCGAGAAGAAGTTGTCGTCCTCGTGTTCGTCGGGGAGTGCCCCCGCGGCGCGCGACGGCTGGCCCAACGCCCGTCGGCTCGAGCCTGCCGTTGCAGAGGCGATCGTGTTGGAGGGCGATGTCGCGAATGGTGTAGTTGCAGACCCTTGGCCGGCGCCACGGCGTCCCCCACCGGGCACAGTCAGCACAGGCGCGGCGCGGCCACCGGCGGCAGCATTCTCGGCCAGGCGGTGCCGGAAAGAAGTGCCGTGCAATTCGCGCTCGATCAGGTCGCGGCCTTCGCGCCAAGATCCAGTACCGAATCCTACGTCGTCCTCGGTTTCGTCGTCAACGAGGTCGACACCGAACCCAAAGAGGTTCCTGACCTTGCCGTAAAGGCCGAACAGGGTGGCGCAGACGGGAATAAGGATGAACATGGGGAAGAGGTAGTCGAACCACTCGCCCAACGGCGTGAGGCTGATCAGTTGGCCAAGAAACTCGAAGAAGACAGTCTTCCTATATATGACGGGCGATACGAAGGTAAGGAAGTTGTAGGACAGAGGAATGCTCAGCCGCGCTACTTGGGAAGCGTACCAAAACGCGGATTCGTGTGCAGTGTTTCTCTTCACCAGGGCTCGTCCTCGCCAGACCTTGACCTCGGTAATGGAGGTTAGTGCGGCAGTGCACATATAGAGCAGCCAGAGAAACGCGATGAGCTGGCCAGCAAAGCCGACCTGTGCTTTGTCGCCGCTCCAGTGATGGACGACAGTGATGCTGACCACCGAAAGCTTTGGCAGCGCAACTTTGACCATCTCCGACCAAACAATGCAAGCGGAGGCCAAGCCGAGGAACACTCCGAGGAAGAACTTGGCGTAGGGCATGAAATGATAGTAGTAGAGGTAGCGTGTGTAAGGGGTCAAGACGGTGTGCCTATCCCAGAAGCCGGACTGGGGCGACACACGGCCGAACTCGAGCTTCTTGGAGCCCGCGGAGTCAAGGACCGCCTGCGTTTCCGCCGCATCCTGCAGTAGTCGGTTCCATTCATCGACCCATCGAGACCGGGCATGTCGGGCCCGGACCAGATTTCTTGTCAGATCGGCCAGGTACTTCTCCGTGATAACGTGGGGCACAGATCGGTCCTCGGCTACGCCAGAGCCCCGAACAGCGGCTGGTCGAGGTTGGGACTCTGGCTGGTTCGTCATATCCACCAGCTCCTCGATCCAATCCTGGAAGTCTCGAGCAGTGCCAACTTTGCGACGGCTGAGCTCCGATACCTGCATCTCCAGATCCTCCAAGCTCATCTCGGCATCCTCCATCTTCTCATACACTTTCGGTGCTTGGGTTTGTATCCTCCTCAGCCTCCCACTTATGCTTGCGTTGCGGATCAAGCGACGAGGAATAGCGACCAAGCCGTGTCCCATGAGATAAATGGCGAGGACTAAACCCCAGCAATAAGCCAGTGCCATTATCAACCCCTTGAGCGAGTGCGGATTGAAGCCATAGCTAATAGACACATATATGAGTCCTAGAATACCGGAGCCGAAGACCATAATGTGGTATTGCATGTTGCTTCGTAGGGAGTAGAGTACTTTGTCTTTTGGTTCTCGGTAGCCGGAGTCGGAGTACTCGGCGAGGATAGGGAGGATGAACCTAGATCTGGGGTTACTATTTGCTTCTGTGTGCCGGGTGCAAACAAGCCAACATACCAGGTCAGGGCGAATGTCAGCCAGTAGGTTATCCTCCAAGATACCAGGAGCTGACGCTCCGGAAACCAGATGCCTCGTTGCGCGACATCATCGGTCCTGGCGCGCGACGCCAAGTCGATGGGGACCAGGAGCACAATGCCGGCGGGGAGCCATAGCGCAAAGAAGACTGGCACGAGGAGGTAGGCGGGCGTTGTGCGCAAGGGCAGGTAGTATCGAAGAATCAAGAGGACTAGCAGGGAGAGTACGAGAAGCGCAAAGCCCGCGAAGATCTCAGAGCCGACAGGCGAGCCTGAGCTAGCTGCGTGCATCATTTTGGACCGCGGGCAAGAGTTGAGCGCTCATGAGGCCGGACGGGAACTGGAGGCGGAAACTGGTGATGTTGGTCAGAAAAGCGAAGCCCTGATGAGAGGGTTGTATTGAGAGGATCCCTGGAGGGCGGAGGATTATGTCACACGATCTGCAGTGACCGGACCAGGCGGGAGACTTAACTTGGTTCAGTGAGGTACTTTGGCGACTACTGGGCCCAGCCCCTTGGTGAAAGTACCCCAGGACACCCGGGTGGGGTACCTCGGAGGAACCCGACCTGCGTATTCCTAGATCAGCTAGCCGTGACGTATCTCCAGTGTACCACATCCGCGACCACTTCCGGTCTCATTCAGGGTCCGAAGCTGGGACATCCACCGTACTGCAAGCAGACTGTATTTTCGATTTCTTCCCCTGCTGGGTCACCATTTCACAAGGGCGGATAATCCCACTAACACTGCCCGAAGAAACCCATCAGGGCTCCTAAAAGGCACGCTCCAAGCTTTGCAGTAGGTGGCCGGCGAGCTTGTAGAGCAGAAAACCGGTCAAACTCCGGGAGGGCTGGCTGCCGGATCTGTTCCTGTTTCTCAGAATCGGACCCGGATACGGACACCACCGCATTGTTCAAGAACTTGTAGCTACCCGGGGCCGCGCTTCCTTCTCCACACTCCTTCCGGCCAACCGCGACCACGCCCAGCTGTGCTTGCAAGCGGCTGCTGTGCGACGGACTGAACGGGTGAGACTGGCACTTTCGACGCCGGTGCGTGCTGTATAGATCTATCCTTGTGTCAAGGTGCCCCCCAAGGGCATCCACCGGAGCGAGGACAATGCCTCCTGGATCTTCCCGCTTCCTCGTCTGCACTTCGACTAGAGTCTTAAGTAGACCCAGTCGTGCCAGACCAGGAACCCTTCACTGCTTAGCAATACCTTGCTCGCTCAACCAAAGATGCCAACCTTTCTCAAGCCAACACCCTCTCCGCAACATGGAGACCCAACTCAAAGCCCCCAATGGAAAGTCGTGGAGTCAGCCACGGGGCTTGTTTATCAAGAATGAGTTTGTCAAAAGCAGCAACGAGCAAACGCTGACCTCGGTGAACCCTACGTGAGTTACCATGTTGCCCTGGCTATCTGCGACGAACGACTCCCAGCTGACTCATCTCCCATAGGACTGAGGAGGAAATATGTTCTGTCTATGCAGCCACTGCCGATGATATCGACCAGGCAGTCAAGGCCGCTCGCAGGGCCTTCAAGCATCCCTCGTGGAAACAGCTGTCTGGTACGGAGCGCGGCGTTCTGATGAACAAGCTTGCGGATCTGGTGGGCGAGCATGCCGAAGTTCTAGCCGCAATCGAATGCATGGACAACGGCAAGCCCTACAGCGCGGCTCTGACCGGCGATGTTGTGGATGTGCAGAACGTGCTCAGATACTACGCCGGCTATGCCGACAAGAATTTTGGCCAGGTCATCGATGTTGGCCCGACCAAGATGGCGTATACCGTCAAGGAACCTCTTGGGGTTTGCGGCCAGATCATCCCCTGGAACTATCCCCTCTCCATGGCCGGCTGGAAGCTCGGCCCTGCGTTGTGCTGCGGCAACACCATCGTTCTCAAGCTTGCTGAGCAGACCCCGCTCTCCATGCTCTACTTTGGAAACTTGATCAGAGCGGCTGGCTTTCCTCCAGGCGTCGTCAACATTGTCAATGGCCATGGACGAGAGGCCGGTGCAGCTCTCGTGCAACATCCAGACGTGGACAAAGTTGCTTTTACGGGTAGTACTGCAACGGGAAAGGAGATTATGAAGATGGCCTCCAGCACCATGAAGAACATCACGTTGGAAACAGGAGGCAAATCCCCGCTGATCGTGTTCGAGGATGCCGACCTCGACCTTGCCGCTCGGTGGTCTCACGAAGGGATCATGAGCAACCAGGGCCAGATCTGCACTGCAACCTCGCGGATTCTCGTCCACGAGTCAGTCTACGACGCCTTTGTCGACAAGTTCAAGTCCACAGTCAAGAGGGTGTCTGTCCTCGGCGACCCATTCGAGGAGTCCACCTACCAGGGACCTCAGGTCACAAAGACACAATACGATCGAGTCTTGGCCTATATCCAGGCCGGCAAGGAAGAGGGCGCAACGATCGCCATGGGAGGTGAAGCGGTCTCACACAAGGGGAAAGGCTTCTTTGTTAGCCCTACAGTTTTCACAGATGTCAAGCCATCCATGAGGATCTATCGGGAAGAGATCTTTGGGCCGTGCGTCGCCATCGCCTCCTTCAAGACGGAAGAAGAGGCCGTAGCACTTGCCAACGACACGACCTACGGACTGGGGTCGGCCCTCTTTACCCGCGATCTGACAAGGGCCCACAGAGTCGCCCGCGAGTTGGAGGCCGGCATGGTCTGGATAAACAGCAGCAACGACTCTGATTTCCGGGTGCCGTTTGGCGGCGTCAAGCAGTCGGGCATCGGCCGCGAGTTGGGAGAGGCTGGCTTGGCGGCATATTGTAACACCAAGGCCATTCATGTCAACATGAGAGCGTAGATAGAGGCTGTTGTTGAATAAAGAAAATCAAAATCGATGAGATGGAAAGACACTGCAGGATCGAGATCCGTAAAGGCGCATGTGTGTAGAGTATGTCCATCGTATCATCCGCCTCGGCAGACAGGAAGTTGAAGACAGAGTCTTTGGCGCCAGCAACGGGGAAGAGCAGATGCCCCACTGTCGCCCATGACAGCACTAAATATCCATGAAGAGGGGGCACCCCGGCACCCCGGCACCCCCGGCGCCCCCAACAAACCAGCCAAATCGACAGTCCGAGGCTGCTGATTTTAGCGACGTCATCCCACCGTCTCGTGTCACCTCGTTGCTCACCTCACGTTGTCGCATAACCAAGACTACCAGGCATTCCCCAAAAGCCACTCTCGCGCACACTATTGCCTTCGAGACCCTAGACACTCTTTGTTACGATTGAAGCCATCTGCATATACACTACGAGTCCTGCAACCCGCATAAACAACAGCCAGCTAGACTGATCGCTTGGATCGCCGCCCGAGCTACCTAGACAGACGCATCATGACATTTAGACCCGCGACGACGGCCCGTTACCATGGCTGAAGACGACAGATCCAGCCTGCTGCCGAGAAAGGCATACGGCTTCCCGGCAGAGGCATTCGACTCTAGCACGCTTCCCGACTACGACACCAACTTCCTCCCGCCCGAGCACCTCGAGGCTTTCATCCAAGCCCTGACCGCGCCGGACCCGGTCCACTCGCCCGACGAGCCGTCGGCACCCCGCAGCCCCAGTCTCCGGAGCTTCAGCAGCTACGACTTCACCAAGCGCTCCTCGGTGCCGTCCATCAGCCCGGACGACCCCCAGGCAGTCGCACGGCATGCCGAAGACGTCTCCGGGGGTGGTGTCCCGGCCCAGAACGGCAACGGCAACGGCAACGCCAGCCAGTCCATGTTCATCACCGCCCAGAACGACTGGGCCCCGGTCCACGAGAAGGTGGTCCGCCCGTCCCGCAAGGGCAGGCGGAGCAGGCGCGTGCGCGTCACGGGCCGCCGCACCAAGGACGAGACCCGCGAGGGGTACCTCTACGGCCTGCTCAAGTGGCCCTTCCTCTTCTTCGTGTCGGGCTGGGTGGTCAGCCTCGCCGTCGTCTACGTCCTGACGCGGGCGTACATCGCGACCTACGAGCGCTTCGTGACGTGGCGCGGCCGCCGCGAGAGGCTGCGCAAGCAGCTGCGCGCCACGTCGACCTACCGCGAGTGGGTCGGCGCCGCCAAGGAGCTCGACCGGTACCTCGGGAACGAGAAGTGGAAGGAGGAGAACGCGTACGCGTACTACGACTCTGACACCGTCCGGCGCGTCTGGGAGCAGCTCAAGAAGAGCCGCGTCGCGGCCGAGGCGGCGGAGCGCGAGGCGGCGAGCTCCGGGGAGTCGGCCGACAAGGAGGGTCGCAAGACGGCCGTCGAGGACCTGAAGTTGCTCATCGAGGCGTGCGTCAAAAACAACTTTGTCGGGGTTGAGAACCCGAGGCTGTACAGCCAGACGTACTACGGCACCAAGAACTTGGTGGAGAACTTTATTGACGAAGGTGTGTATTGGTGGTCTTACGTGTGCACGACTATCTGACTGTTTCAAGTTTGCTAATTCGAACCCTGCAGTGGAGAAAAGCATCAAGTTTCTCTCGGGGACGAACCAGCTGGAAATTTTTGAGAAGAAGGCCATGTTCAAAAGGATACATGCCAATTACGGTCGATCGGCACTCTGTCTATCAGGAGGTGCTAGCTTCGCCTACTACCACTTTGGTGTGGTCAAGGCCCTTCTCGAAGAGAACCTGCTTCCGGACGTTATCACTGGCACCAGTGGAGGAGCCCTGGTGGCTAGCCTTGTCGCAACTCGGACAGACGAAGAGTTGAAAAAGCTCCTTGTCCCGGCGCTAGCGGACAAGCTCACGGCATGCCAAGAGCCGATCTCCGTATGGTTTCGCCGGTGGTGGGCTACCGGGGCAAGATTCGATTCGGCTGACTGGGCCAAGAAGTGCTCATGGATGACTTACGGATCGATGACTTTCCGCGAGGCCTACGAGCGGACGGGCCGCATTCTCAATGTCAGCTGCGTGCCGGCCGATCCGCACTCGCCGACCATCCTCTGCAACTATCTGACCTCGCCGGACTGCGTCATCTGGTCCGCAGTCCTGGCGTCGGCGGCGGTACCCGGTATCCTGAACCCGGTGGTCCTCATGATGAAGACGCGGGAGGGGCATCTGGTGCCGTACTCCTTCGGGCACAAGTGGAAGGACGGCAGCTTGCGCACCGACATACCTATCAAGGCGCTCAACCTGCACTTCAACGTCAACTTCACCATCGTCTCGCAGGTCAACCCGCACATCAACCTGTTCTTCTTCAGCAGCCGCGGCTCGGTGGGCCAGCCAGTCACGCATCGTAAAGGACGGGGCTGGCGGGGCGGCTACCTGGGCTCGGCGACGGAGCAGTACATCAAGCTCGACCTCACAAAGTGGCTCAAGGTCCTGCGCCACCTCGAGCTGCTGCCCCGGCCCCTGGGGCAGGACTGGTCGCAGCTCTGGCTGCAGCAGTTCGGCGGCACCATCACCATCTGGCCCAAGTCGATCGCGTCGGACTTTGTGCACATCCTGTCGGACCCGGACCCGCCGCGGCTCGCGCGCATGATCCACGAGGGCCAGCAGTCGGTCTTCCCAAAACTCAAGTTCATCGCCAACAGGCTGCGCGTCGAGCGGCAGGTCGAGAAGGGCCGGCTCGAGTCGAAACCGTACGTGCGGAGGGGCAGCATCGAGACCATCATCAGCGAGGACGAGCTGCGGAACCTCCTGAGGGCGCGGGGCGGCGGCAGCACGACTAATACCGACGACGACGAGGAGACGACTACCGAGGCCGAGGGCGAGAGTGTCGGCCACCGCGATCGCGAAGGTACGGGTCTCGGGGTGTTGGATCCGACGGAAGAGGCTGTCGTTGATGATGAGAGTGATGTCGAGTTGAAGGTCAGGTATGAGCGAGAGAAGGATGGGAAGGCGGAATAGCCGGTCCGCACCTCACCGGGTCCAATGAATCCATTTCTATTGTTTTTTACTTTGTTCTTACCATCGGAGCAGGGCTCGGAGCTGTGTGCATTGCGGAGCATGGCTAAAGGGGTTTATGGGGGATTTGTGTGCATCGTGGCTTTAATGGAGTTTGTTCCCCCTGAGAGATACCTAGGTACTGAAAATTGCATTACTCACAAGCGAATCGAGGGTGCAAGGCTGTGTAGTCAGTCGTCTATCGAAGCTGGCAATGGCTAGTTGTACGCGACTGTAACGCACTATTGGTTCAAGGAAGCCACTTGCGAAGGATTCACGGTGGATTTGTCTATGGAGCCACGATCTCGGAAACCCCTCGCATTCCAACACGGTGAGGCTTGGTGATTACGCAAGCTTTCAAACAAGGCCTGCTGTTGTGAACGGCTCCTTGGCACCTGTTAAGAGATCGTGTGGCACGCCGAGCATGCCGTATTCTGTAGCACATCAAGTCTCGAGACTACCCCGGTGGCTCTCGGTGACGATAGCCACATTTAAGCTTATTAAGAGTACGGTTAATAGTCTAAATTGGCAGCACCGCTTAAGATCGAAAGCGGGCTTCGGTCCGCGCAAGAGACGACATCCACAAGGTAACGGAAGGACATGAACCCGGCAGGATCGAGATCTGTGAGAAAACGATACAAGATGACGAAGAATATGGTTTCTCAGCCCTACCCTTGCCCAGTGTCGTCGTCAGAACACGGATGAACTCGAGTCCATTCCACGTGTCGTTCAAGGGTGTGAGGGGAGCCCACACGTATGCACCAGCCTATCACCGCACAGTGTCGCTTTCGCTCCCGGGTGGGATAGACCTTGAGACAGCGCCAGGTTGTACGCATCATCATCAGCCTCCATCCCCTAAAATATGGGGCCAGTACACCCCCGACTCCCGAGTGCCTTTTCGGGCGGGAAGTCTAAGCGAATGCGATGCGACGCAATGGATGGCACTTGTCTTGCATTTGGGGGGGACTCTCTTTTCGTGTGTCTGTTTTGATGGGTGCCTAGCCTTAGGTCTGACAGTTTGAAGCGGGACCTGCATCCTTAAGCATCCTTCCTAGGGACAGTCTTGGTCGTGTCTGGACCCCAATGCGAATGCGAGGCTCCGAACTGCGTTCGGTGAACGGAACTGCACTTGCATAGACGTGTGTGTCTCTGGGCTGTGCTCTGCAGCCAGCATCATCACTGCCCTGCCCTACCTAAGGGGGAGGATCTGAGTCGTGGATACCGTAGTATAAGATTGAATGACATCCAATTCTCCCTCCTCGCACAATGCCGGGTGTTGTAAATCAAATCAGCAGAAACTGTAGGAAAACGACAATACCGTCGGACGAACACATAGAAGCCAGCATCCCGACGGAATAGCCTGTACCACTCGATACAAACCCCGGACTCCAAGAAAGACTCCTGCCGTTCTAGACTGACAACCCCCTTTGACCTACATCACAATGTCTCGCCAACACCCAGGCAACTTTATCTACTTCGGCCCGGGGGCCAACTGCACCCTCGAGCTCTGCGACGTCGGCACCAGCGTCTACCGCTACCGCCCGCACCTGGCCGCCAACATCACCTTCATCGCCCTCTACGCCGTCGCCATCGCCGTCCACGTCCTGCTCGGCTTCCGCTGGAAGAACTGGTGGTTCGTCGGGTGCGTCGTCGCCTCGTGCCTCGTCGAGATCCTGGGCTATGTCGGCCGCATCATGCTGTACTACAACCCCTGGAGCTTTATCGCCTTCATGATCCAGATCAGTATGCACTGCTTCGTGACAGCTCGGAAGGACGGAATGTGCCGCTGACAAAAGCATCCCTCCAGTCTGCATCACGATCGGCCCAGTCTTCTACTGCGCCGCGATATACTGCACCCTCGCGCGAGTGTGAGTAGTCCACCATGGCCTTCTCTCTCCCCTCAAGACCGGCACGAGCGGCTGCTAACCCCCATCAACCCGCAGGATCAACCACTTCGCCCCGTCCCTCTCGCGCTTCCCCCCGCGCCTCTTCTACTGGGTCTTCATCCCCTGCGACATCGTCTCCCTCGCCCTCCAGGGCGCCGGCGGCGCCCTCTCCACCAACTCGGAGGGCTCCAATTCGATGGGCGTCAACATCACGCTCGCCGGGCTCGCCTTCCAGGTCGCCACCCTCGTCGCCTTCTCCGCCTTCTTCATCGACTTCCTCGCGCGCCTGTACCGCCTGCGCCACAAGGGCGGCAGCACCATCGAGGGCCCGGCCGTCGACACCCTGCGCGTCCGCCTGTTCTTCGGCTTCCTGTCCGCCGCCGTGCTGCTGACGCTCGCCCGGTGCATTTACCGCGTCGACGAGCTGAGTGAGGGCTACGACGGCCCGCTCATCGGCGATGAGGGATTGTTCATCGGGCTCGAGGGGGTGTAAGTTGTTGCCCTGCCCACCCTTCAGATATGATCTCAGAGAGGCTAACGAACACTTTCAGACTCGTTATTCTCTCGATTTTCGCCCTCTGCATTGGCCACCCTGGCATGCTTCTGAACAAAGACTCTCAGAGCCGTCGCAGCAGCCAGGGGATCATCACCGAGGCCATCGTTGAGAGCGGATCGTCGATTGAGCGGGAGAAATAATCGGCAAGCTTAGAGATGACAGGTTTGGTGGCGAGGACATTAACCCCTATATTTGGTTTTGGCGTGTATGGTGTTCTGGGTGCAGAATTGTTGTCGGATGCTTCCTCATGCCAAGGCATGAGCCCATTGACATTATGGATAGAATTTGCATCATAAATGATGCTTTAATCGGAGTGCTGATCAGTCTACAGACCAAGCATCTTGCGTGCATCAAGGGTGGACTTTGACCGCAGAGTTTGTTGTGCGATGTTGTCGCATCGTGTCGTGAATCTTAACCCTTGCCGCAGCTCCAGAGAGCAACACCACATACCCAGGAGGGACGTCAGAGCTGCACAGGCTCGGGTGACAGCAAGTCGAAAGGATTTTCAGACCTCTTGCAACCAGGACATCTGCGTGTGACCGGCCAAGGCAAGGGCTTAATCTCTCGATTGGCACGCTGCGACCCGATTTTGCCAGCCCAGAGGGTGTGAATGTGCTTTGAGGCAGGGTGCTGAACTCGAATCCTCCTTGATGTCGCACCTGAGGGCAACTCAGTGTGAAGGCCCAGTCAGAGATGGCTGCGTCGGATCTTTCGCTGTTGCTACACGGTCCTCTTGCGAGCCAGATCAACTCCGCGATAATGCCTGGTCGATTGGGGACCACGAGTCTGACAGTCGGGTCCAAGCTGGGCATCTCACCGCTGATCAGGATCCCGCCAGGTAGAATTCTTTGCTGTTGGCAGTCCGCGCGAGCCGCATCACGCGACATACTCACAATCAACAACCGCAAGGGCAGATTTTCCACATTCCCCATCTTCCACAAAGGCTGAGCCAATCCCCAAAAGACGAGGCCTTCACCGAGGGGTCAACTGCAGAGCATGGCCTCGACACACTGATGTCCAGCCATGGTGACCATTGACTGACACCCGACGCCGAGCGCCAATAGCCTTCACCTTTTGGCCAATCGGACAGGACAAGTACCGGCTCACCAGCACGACCAAAAGTCCAACACTAGTTGGGAAGTCGGAGTGCCAAGATAATGATCGAGATGGTTCGAGGGACGATCGCCAGACGCGTGACGTCTATCGTGACCGCGTTGGAGCGTGTTGATGAGGAGAAGAAAGGAAAGCACACAGACATATACCTTGACACAAATCGACGATCAGTGCTCTTGTGCATGCTGTGACCGCCATTCTGCAGCTTCATCTCCCGACGGACAATGCAGGCGGCACGATGGGGCCAACGGCAACCCGCCATGGGTCCGAGATTACACGCTCGTACCGAGCGGGGAGTGCCTCTTCAGGAGTTTTGCTCCCACCCGCCATGACGATGAGACTTCCATCATGCAAACCCATGTGAAGGTCCGCCCACGCCAGGCCTATTGGCGACGGAATCACCGCGCCAAATTGGCTTGCGGCAAAGTGCCTTGTAGTGGAGAAGGACTGGATCGATCTCGGCAGACGGTGGACGGTAGCGCTGGGAGATGTGATAGGATCCCAGCCGGAGCTCATTAAACGTGTTCCCCACGATCTCGACCAGGCACAGTTCGAGCCCAGCGGCGGGGCTAGCACACTCAATAAAGGTCGTGCTCCCTACCCACGCATGTAAGAGGCCAATTTAAACTTGGAAGGTGGGCGCATTTTGAAATTACTCTTTGACGGAGTAGAGTTTCTTTCTTTTAGCCCGGTTCTGCGAAATGGGGCGGGCGGCTGCCGTATGCTGAATGGGTTTGTTCTGCCGTCGGGGCGTTTGATTCGGTCGGGGCATTCCGTCCATTCGAGCTGCTTGTGTAGCTACGTGCAGATCGAGCCGTACGAACGAGGTTGTACAGGTGGAGAGGGAAAAGGGGCTATTTCGCTGTTGGCGTTCTGAATCCTTAGTCCTTCAGGACTTCCAAGCCGTTCAAGCCTTTGCAGATACCCGACGATCGCTGCCCAAGAGATGAAGAGTGGAGTTAACCACGAGATAAGCTTCAAATGGGAAGAGGAAGAGGCGTGCCCAGCAATCCTGAAACAACAAAACGGATACTCAGCCTCGGAGCTAGTGCTGCAGCGAAACAAGGCACTGCTGTTCATAAAAGATGCACATAACGTCATATCACAGCCTTGGAAAGAGTGGGCGATCATCAAACAAGACCGTAGTCGGACGGCGATCTTTACCTGACCGCTGGAAGATGCCGTGCCTGAGCGTAGGCGCCCGGAGGCAGCTGCTGGGACTTCTTGTCCGTAGTCGGCCCTGCTGTGTGACATCCGGGTCGAACGCGGTCCTACTCACTCCTGTCTCGCTCTCGAGCATGTGGCTATCGGCAGCCGACCTGTCAAGCGACACAGAGTCGAGGTCGTGGTCGGTAATATTGACGCCCACTTGGGTTCTTTCAGGGGACCACTGACCGTCCTAGACGGGGAACCCGGCTCTGTGGCAGGATAGGCCGTCCTTCCCCAGCGCCATGATTATTGCCTATTTGTGGTAGATTGAGCTGCCATTGGTCTTGTCGGACGGTCATGGACATGCGACCAGGGCTGCACAGAAGGGGGATGCATCCCGGGAGAGTCGCCAGAGAACCAGACAGACTTCTACTCCGCATTCAATTAAAGCCCTGGTTCGGTGGCATTTCGACCGCGTCCGGAGGTGGTAATTAGAGGGGAGAGAACTGGGGGAGGCTATCCATGCTCTCGAACCGCTGGAGATGAAAAAGCCGCCGCTGTCAGTGGCAAATTGGTGAGGATGACGCCTGGTTCGTGCTAAATGCCAGGTTTTGGTTGGAGAATCGGTGAAATTGAGATGGACATGCTGGCGCTGGATGGGGCTCGTCATCTCGCTTGTGTTTCCCAAACGGTGCGGCTGGCCAGGATGTACTCTGGCGCACTTCTTCTTCATCCCAAGTGCGGGAGAGCGAGGGTTGTTCCTGCATTAGGGCGCTGCGCCTAGCCCTCCGTGCCTGCTCACTGCCTGTTTAAAGTACCCCCACTAGCAATGGGAAAATGCAAGCACGACAGGGCCGCAGAAAAGGAGCGTCGCAGCGGGCAGGCGCTCCAAACAGCGCTACGACTCTAGCCTCTTCACTGTGGCGGCGGGGTGCCGTCGCCTAGCAGGGCCTTCTTTCTGCCACAGAACGCCCTGGACCGGGGAGACTTCAAGTTGGTCTCGGCGAAAAACACCAGTGGTGGATGAAGTCTGCTTCGGAAGTCGCTTTTCTGATATTCGTATTTTTTCTCAGACAATACAGGACCAGGTGAGCTGAACAGCTGAACAGCTGCAGTCTCCTTGCAGATTTGCTCTCATATCTCGAAATAGAGTGCACCCAGCAAAAACCGGGTAACGGAGAGCTATTTTGGAGATCCGAATGATATCAAATACACATTATTGGTGTGGCAGACTCTGCCAAAGGCAAGTACCGCTGACAATTCCACGTCGCCTGTCTCAAATTGGAAAGCAAGGCACCAGTTGAGGGTGTCCCAAGGAAGGAAAGAAGCAAAAAGTGCACTCCTAGGGAACGCTTGAACTGCCTGAATACCTAGGTAGCCCAAAATGGCTGTTGTGCACAGGGAGGAATCCACTGAAGCTGAACTCCCAGCGATCTCCCGCGTGTGTGGAGAGCGCTGATTAGGGGTCCCTATCTTCCTGTTGGAGTAAAGTCAAGTGGTTTTTTACCTGTATCCTCTTTTTCATTGCCCCTGGGAATGCTCCCCTGACATCAGCAAACACCCTGACGAGCAGCCATTACTGAAAGCCGCCTAGTGGCTGCCACTTTTTGTGTCTTCTGGCACCATCAGGCTGTTCTGGTGCAGACCGCTGTCTGTCAATGAGACAGGCAGCGTCGAGCAAGCCCGGTTTTGGTGGGCTCTGGCCTCTGGGTGTGTCGTTGCATTATCCGTACTCGCTCCGCCATTTCCTCCAGCCGGGATGAAGGCTATTTCGCCGCCAATTCAAAGGCACGTTGCAGAGGGCAATCTACGGAAAACCAGGACCTGCTTGGTAGCCATCTCGCAGACGAGATTGACACTAGCCCAACGCGGGAAACTGGCCCTGTGCCATGTGCGGCGTAGGGACGAGAGAGGACAGCTTGTCGCCGGCAGATTGACGGCCTGCACGAATCACGGCCAGTCGCCTTCGTTCGTGCGCCCCCAGGCCAGCGCAATGAAGTAAGCGCCCAATCTCTGTCCAGCCAGTCGCCCAGGGTACGCGGGCAAATAAGGTGGCTGCAGCGAGGAAGAGAGGCGGTGCCCGGCTACCAACCAGCGGCGAGGGCGCGGCCGTTTCCAAAGACGTCTCCACCAATCTAAATCCCTGTCAAGTCGAGGGACAAGCGCAGACACCAGTGTGTGTGTGGGAGAGGATTCAGAGGAGGCACATGCGCTGCTCTCGATCCATTGTCCTGACTTGCCCCGAGAGTGGTTAGCTAGGTACCGCGGAGCAGTCCAGCCAACACACAGAAAGAAGCTCCATCTCCTGGTCGGGTCGGGGGGCCAAGCGGAGTAGAGGCCAGACCCATGCGCTGCGAGGAGACCAGGGCAGGGAGACAGACAGCCTCCACCATCACAACCCCCCTGCTGTCCTAATGTTCCTTCAACCTCCACCGAGCCCCTGGATTAGTGTCGAGCGGGCATGCACCGTTGGTCTTGTGTAATTTCCCCTTTGCAGACGACGGTCTCGATCCAAAGCCACCCGGCCTATTTAACACTGGCGTCCATCCTTCTTCCCATCCGTTCTCTTCTTCCTTTCTCTCCAGCCAAACAAGCCAATTCAGCTCTCGAGATCTACTTGACTCAACACTTGACTTCGGTCGTCCATTCTTTACCCAAAGCTTTCAGCTTCAGTCCACTCTTTTACCAACACCAAACCGTTTCTACCCGAAACCAAACCAAACCCCCCAAATCAGTCAAGATGCGTTTCACTGCTGCTGCCCTCTTCGCTGGCGCCGCCATGGCTGCCCAGGCTGCTTCTGACTCTCAGAGCACCGTCTACAGCACCGACTACGTGACCGTCACCTCGTGCGGTCCCACCGTCACTGACTGCCCGGCCTCCTCCACCAAGGTCTACTCTTCCTCGTACCCGGTGACCACCTCCACCGTCTACTCGACCACCGTCCGCACCATCACCTCCTGCGGCCCTACCGTGACCAACTGCCCTGCCCACAGCACCGTTGTTGTCACCGAGGAGGTCCCCGTCTCCACCACCGTCTGCCCCGTCACCACCAAGGGCTACGGCAACTCCACCGCCCCCGGCTACCCTACCACCAAGCCCGGTAACGGCGGTGGCAACGGCGGCAACGGCGGCGGCAACAACTACCCCACCACCAAGCCCGGCAACGGTGGCCAGAACTCCTACCCCGTCAAGCCCACCGGCGGTGTTGTCACCACCACCAAGGGCCCCGAGGTCTGCGTTCCTACCAACTCCGTCAAGACCATCTCCACCTCGGTCACGACTGTTATCCCTACTGTCATCTACGAGACCGTCCAGGTCCCGTGCCCCGTTCCCACCAAGCCTGCTCAGCCCTCGGGCGGCTACCCCAGCCAGCCCAACACCCCCGGCTGCTCCGGCTCCAACTGCACCGTCACGCCTCCTCCCGTCGCTGCTGGCGCCGCCAACCTGGCCTTCTCCGGCCTCTTCGCCGCTGCTGCCGGTCTGGCCGCTGTCGTCCTGGCATAAACGCCTCCAACCAACCATTTTTCTCTTGTCCATTTTTTGAGAAGTCCGGAAGGCTACGGCATATGTTCATGAACGAGAATACCAGCTTCAGGAGTAAAAAGCTACTGGGATATGTCTAGCATTATGGCATGGCGATAAACTTTTGTGTACTTAATTTTCTAATTGTATTTGCGGAGTCTGGACGGAGGGCACTCGGCCGCCCGGCGCACCAGGTACCAGAAGATCTGGGACCGGAGTCGGGGACGAGGAGAATCCGGACGCTCTGAAACCTTGAACCAAACCCTTTTTGACTTCTTTTGGAGAGATTTGATATGCCTCACCCCGGTAACCTCGAAACAGTGACTCGCGATCTTTGGCTAACATTCAGAACCCGACGTCTCTTCAGGCATTTTGGCTAACAGGTCCTCTAGGCATCTACCGAGGAATGTGTTTCAGCGCGGGAGGCCCATCAGAGAGGACAGGCGGACACATGGGGGGTGGGAAGAGGGACAAGAAACGTCCGCTAGGAGGTGGGCTTTCCATTCCTTCCTGAAAAGCTTCCGTCCACCTTGGGCAGGACGCATACTCCGGGACGCCAGAGCTCGAACCTCGATTGAGATCGTCGCATCCCTGGCGGAGACCTCATTTCCCCAGGGAGGGGCGGACCCTTGCATAAGCGGAGCCTGGCGTCAGGGGTCGACCCGGTCCAAGTTTTCTCTGGGTCCCCCAGAGAACCACGCGCCCCGGCGGGATTGGCTGGCTCGTTCGGTCGCTTTCGATGTTTCTGGCAACTGGAAGGACACCGCGGAAATTAAGCCTCCATGGCTCGTCGCACCTTGATTGGCTCCAGAGCTGCGTCTGGTGCGTGGCCGTGTCGATTTCGCGCTCGTGGGAAAAAGAGAGAGAGAGAGGAGACGGATTTGTCTGCTGACGAGAGATGGATGAATTGGGGTGTGTGCGCCGATGAGTTCCTCTGATGGCTCTTGAGAGAGATCTTTTCATCCGCATCTGCCCAAAGATGAAAACCAGAACGATTGTGTGGCATCCGACTGGCTCTTTACTGAGGTTTTCGAGATGCGTCTTGATGCTACTCTGTACCTCGCGCATCCTGCAACCGTGAGAGGTCAGTGACTGCTTTGCAGCCCTCGATCTCCCAGTGTTTGCTCCTCGTACAAATACCCACGACTCGCACGGTAACCACTCCTCGTGTTTTTCTTGTACCCTCCTCGTTTGGGTTTGTGTGTGCAATTTTCGATTTACTTGCGCCCGCCACGATCTTGTGAATCCCTCCTCGCGCGAGCCACTTTGACCACAAGTGAGACAATGCCCGTACCCAGGGCGGCCCGCCCAAGTCGTTCGGGAGGCACTAAAACCTCGATTGGGGAGAAGGGATCAATTTGATCTTGGTCTCGGTCCGGCAGCGCTTGCGGTGCCTCCCGCATTCCGATCCAAGTGTCCAGTCCCCCCCACGGGCTCACTGACAGCACTGAGGGTTGTTGGAACAAGGGATGGAACAACACGACGCACCATCCCTTAGAACTCGTGGTTTTTTTTTTTTTTTTTTTGGTTCCTGCATCCCTGACCGAAAATGAGGTTTGGAGTCTCTTTTCAGATTTATTTTTTTCTATTTTGGGGTTTCGCCTTCTCCTTTTTAGTACATGAGGGACAGAGCAAGGGAGAACAGACGTCTCGCTAGTGCGATGCTGTCAAGTTCAATGATATCCAGTGACAGACGCCATGCGTGTGGATGAACAAAGGGGAGCGAGCATGCCTCTCTCGGCCGTGGAGATGGGCTGCCCGGTCCGAAAGCAAGACTTTGGATTGCGCGTCACCAAATGCCCCGAATCGGCAGCCGGAGCACACTTGCGGCCTGACGAACCCCCTTTCCGAGCCAACACGTCCAACCAAGAGCAAAAAAGAAGCGGACAAAGGCCACGAGCCTCGTCAGCTTGAACCCCGTCGTCTCGCCACGGCGGGCGGGCCTTAAGAGGCACTCGTTATCGGAGGGGGGGGGCAGGCAGGCGACGCTTGGGACCATTGGGTTTTACACGACGGCTAAAGTCGGACCTGATATGCGGTCGCTATCCGCGCATTGCTCTCCGCTCCCGTCCCTGATTGCGGAGGTGGAGCGGCTGCTTTGCGCGGGCGGCGATGAATGGCTGGGTCGAGGTTTTTTACTCTGCTTCATTAAGGCCCGCCGAAAGGAGGAGGGCAAGATATGAAGTGACGCAGCCAAGCTGGCCGCGTTTTTTGGGGGATGTGGTATGCTATTTTCCAATGTGGGCAAGTAACGTGTGCTCTGGCCCTGAAAGTATACAAATGGAACCATGGGCCTGCTCAGATTTCAAGAGTCGGAGGAGGTCTGGCCTGGTTCTTTGGGAACGTTATTCCTCGACTTGGGAACCTTCCTGATCCTAGCAGGAGAATGTTCATTTGTCACCCAGTTTAATGCTAGTAGGCAGGCGTTGAAAGCCGTCTGCTGTCCGTCACTCGTTATTTTCCTGTCAAAAAGAAAGGTTCAACGTTCATTTTCTTCTAGCATTTTCCCCGATTATCATCTGTACCTACCGTGATCCGGAACAAGTCGTCGTCGAGAGACATTGTTGCCGAATCTCGCAATAGACCATGGCTCTGACCTCGGTATCTCGCCGGCATGGCCTCGGTGCCGCCGCCGTGCATCGCTCGTTCGCCCTCCTGTGCCTCCTCCTCCTCACCACCGTCCATCAGGGAGGCAGCAACTCGCCTTCGATGCTGGCCCACGCGCAAGACGTCACCGAGTCCGACACCGCGCCGCCGCCGGCAGACACGGAGACGGCGACCGGCGGGCACTCGACGACCATCACGTCCATCTCGACGAGCGTCAGCGTGAGCACGGCGACGGCGACGGCGACGACGACGACGACCGACGCCACGCGCGTCGTCTCGCTCTTCTACATCGACGAGCGGGCGTTCGAGGGCCTGCCGTACACCATGTTCCACCGCGACTCGGGCTCGGTCGTCGGCGTCGACGAGAGCGCCACGACGTTTGTCATCACCAGCACGCGCAGCGACAAGCGCCCGCGGCCGACGCACTCGCGCAACACCAGCACCAGCACCGCCGCCACCATCGCCACGGCGGACGGGCAGCAGGAGCAGGGGCAGGAGGAGCAGGAGCAGCCGCCGAGGCTCGCGCCCACGACAACACGCCCGCTGCCGCCGCCGCCGCCGCCGCTCAACAACCGCACGGGCGACCCGAGCACCATCACGCAGGGCCCCACGACCTTCATCTACACGGGGACGCGGGCGGGCGGCGGCGGCGGCGGCGGCGGGCGCACGGTCGTGAACCGGTGCCGGCTCAACGGCACGAGCACGGCGCGGTGCAACCTCACGCACGTCGGGGCGGCGTGGTACGCGAGCGACGCGGACTGGAACGGCACGTACAGCACGTACAACTACACGTGGACGAGCGGGGACCGGTGGGGGTTCGCGCCCGTGACCATCACGAAGGGGGTCGAGCTCCTGGCGCCGCCGGCGCTGACGACGGCGTACGAGACGTCGAGCAGCTCCAACGGGGCGGCGGCGGCGGGGGTGGGGCGAGGAGGCGGTGGAGGGGGAGGGGGAGGGGGAGGACGAGGACAGCGGCTGCTCGGCGGGAGGATCTTGGGGGAGCTGTACGGGTTGGGGTGCACGGCTGGGTTGATTGGTGCTCTTGCTGTGGGGGTGTTTGTCCTGCTTTGAGTGTGTGTGTGTGTGTTGAGTCTGTGTGTGAATACTTACCTCTAGTTAGTTGGTGTAAGTGGGATGTTTGTCAGACAAAAGAGAAGAGTTCAAGGGACGGGAGGGCCGGGAGGGAGCCAATTGGGCTTGGTATTTAGACAAAAAAAAACCGCTCAAAGAGAACCTTGTCAAGTTGGTAGACTTTGCTGGGGGAGTTGATAGTGCTTATGCTGTTTCCTCTGCCATGCACATCACCGCGTTTTGGTGCTGTCTCTTGGGGGCCGAAACACTTTACGGACACAGCCGCCTCGAGTGGGGAGCAGCGACTGTGGCTAGTGTCGGCTGGGGTGTCGGCTGGGGTTCCAAGGCTGGCACCCAAGCACCGCAAACCCCCGGCGGATTCGATCGAAAAGACACACAAAAGCAGTAAGGGCATGGATAGGTATCCCCGATGAGCAGATGCTGGGCATTTCTTGCTCAATTGCTTATTTTTGGACGAGGAAAGCCGAAGCAGGGGGGTTTCTTATCGCCGGTGCGGCTCTGCGTCGATGACGACCATTCTCTTCATCCCTCAGTGTATGTATTATTATTAGAAGCTGCGAAGATAGGTCATCTGAGCACTTGACATGCTTCTGTCGCATCTGTTCTAATTATGTACATCCAGTTGATCAAAGCATGTTGAACCCTGGGAAGGAGGCGGCAGCAGCTTCACCCAGAAGCATGATAGCTACCTCGAGGCTGCAGCTGGCTGCATCAGCAATCGGGAGAGATAGGCGACGGTGGAGGGATGCATGTGTCTCAGTGGCTAACTACCTAATCAACATCTGCGGCGGCCGCTTCTCCATCTTTATGCCCCTACCTAAGAGAAAGTCTTGGCTGCACCTGTCAGTGGTTGCGGAAAAGATGTGGAATGCCTCTTTTCTCTGCATGATGCAAGGAACGAAGTACGAGGTAGTGATCTTTATTGGCAGCAAAGGCGAAAACAACCTTATCAGGCGTTCTCCCAACGCAGCACCACCTTGCTGGATGCCAGGTGCCGACACGGGGGGTCCATGACGGATCCATGGCCTGCATGTCAACCTTGGGGGGGGGGCCAATCCATTGGACCCTAGGCGTTTCCGGCGCTAGGACCAGCCCATCAACGATGACAGACTGCCCCACGGGCTTGGTCCCCCTCCCGTCGAACCAACAGGAATGCGTTGCTGCCCACTGCTCCTCCACCAATTTCCACCAAGCCACCAAACGACGAAAAGCGAACGAGGCCACCAGCTGCACCGGGAGAGGCAGCTAAGGCGATTTCTCGACTGCCTGTCCCGTTTCCGTTTTCCCCAGTCCGCACGAACGATCTGGACCTGTTGGCGCCAATGACGTATCCGCATAGCTACTGGTTGCTGCATTATTGCCGCGCTAATATGGCTGGATGGATGGATGGATCAGTGGTGTAGCGATGCAGCCTCTCCCGTACACGAGCGGCGCCAACGACAAGCTGCAAGGCTGTCAGCTCGCACGCCAGACAGACTGTACACCAGCATGTCGTCCATCGCAGAGGGCCCACGGTGGTCTAGGTCCGGCTACGTCACTCTGGGCACACCCGCGCACACCCATGCAGGGTACGCATGACATGAAGTGTGCCGTTGGGAAGGCTTGGCTGGCCTGCCCGAGCGAAACCCGGAGTTGATCATTGCTGCTCCCGCACCGAGGGCTGTCTAGGTACCAACATTGGCAGCACGAGGCCGAAGTAAGCGGGAAGCGGGAAGCGGGAGGGCTCCCGTCAGTGTTCAGTCAGCGTCAGCACGCCAACGCCAACACCAGCCAGCCGGATCGCAAAGCCAAGAAGGCGTGCGAATGGGAATCGGCTTCCCGCATCTGCCACAATCCCCCATGCCCCATGCCACAATAATGTGGCTCGTGCAGTCAACTACCTAGGTAGCTATCGCAAGTGCGAGTTCTGGTGTGGCCCGCAAGGACCCTGGCCCGGGGTAGTTCTGGCTGGCGGTGGTGCAGTGCTGCTTGCTGTTTGGACCGCTGCTGCTCAGCCACTGCGCAGCTGCTCGCACATGTCCGACAGCTAGTTAGAGCTAAAAGACCAGTGCTGTATCCCTCCCGATCCTTCGAAATCTACCACTCTAGATAGCATGCCGTAACTAGTCGAGGTTCCTTTGTCGTGCATCGTTTATAACTGAGGCACCGCCAGTCCAAGTAGATCGACGCCATCATCACTGTTTTGCCCATTCTCACTCATATAATACAACTTGATCTGCAATTCCAACTAGTTAGCGCGCTAATCAATCTTCCGTACATCGAATAACCCGACTCGACTTACATCCAACGACTCAGAGAGGCTGCAAGGTCCGCGACGCAGAAATAGCATACAGTCTCCAGTAGTCGAAGCATATCTTTGATCTAAAGGCACTTCAGTCCAACGACGACACCCGGAGCACTTGAGTTGGACGGTGGACATGACGATTGTTGCTCTCAAAAGATAAAGGCATTCATCATATTCGGCGAGACCCACCACCACTCCTCGAGACTTACACCACCACCACCACCACCACCACCACCACCACATCCATCAACTATCAAACCGTCAACCACCGTGGGTTACTACAACTTGGCCGGAGGGCAGGAAGCGGCCGTTGCAGGGCAGCCCATCTCTGGTTTGTGCTTGCACACTCTGCCGGCCGACATGAACTTTGGCCCCGGCTACGGAGTGAACTACGACACTGGTGCTGGTACGGCTTCGTTCGGCCCCCAGCACGGCCTGCCCTCGGCGTCTAATGACACTGTAGCAGAACCCACCACCGACAACTACAGCCACTTGTTCGAGAGCCCGACCATAGTGGCCAATAACCCGCCGGCCAACGCCTTCCACCAGCAGAGCTCGTCGGTGGGCTTTGCTGTCGACAGCAGCGCGGCACACGACATCTCCAATGCAGCTCAGATAGTGGTGCAAGCCGCCGGACAGGGACAATACCCCTGTCCGGCCTGTGGGAAGCAGTTCCCCAGAAAATGCGACCTCAACAAGCACTTCAAAACCCATAGCCGCCGCTTCAAGTGCGAGTATCCGACATGTACTTATAGCGAGCAGGGCTTCCCTACTCAAAAGGAGCTCGAGCGGCACATCAATGACAAGCACAACCCGAACCGCAAGGTCTTCGCCTGTCCTTACCAGTCGTGCCCCTACAAGTCGCCGCGCGAGTCCAACTTGAAAGCCCACATGGAAAAGGCTCACAACTACCACTACATCCGCACGAGGTCCAGGAGGTCTTATCGATGCCCCTTCGAGGGCTGCAGCGCTTGCATGAACGAGGAGGATACCAGGCAAAGACACGGACAACACGCTCAGGTGCAGTCTGCGATGACGAGCCCCATGTATCCCCGGTACACGCGGGGTGACTTCATCCTGTACCCGGAAATGCAAAACCCAAACATGCTGGCCTACTCACAACCTCAGGCTGGTGTCCTGGGCCAGGGCGGTACTCAGCAGCCGCCTGCAACACCAGACTCTTACCTACCCTGGACCTCTCCGGCAACGCGACTGCAGAACGTCGAGAACAACATCCAGAGGGTCGACGATACCATCCGACCGGAGCAGCAGCATGGCGTTTTGATGAGCCCGTTCCCACTCGACCCTCAGCTCTTCCAGGCCCCCATGGCCAGCACACCCGTCACGCCGACCTACACACCAACTGCCACCGAGCAGCCTTCCACGATCTTTGCCGCCCCTGCGTACGCCAGAGTCGCGGCATCTAGGCCGATGCCGGCCATGCCGGTCAAGGTTCCTTGGACTGGCTCCTTGGATCACATGGAAGCCAAGGGCCAGATCGACATGGCTGCGCGGCCGGCCCAGCCCAGCAAACCTGCTTACTACCCAGGAGCCGCCGAGGCGCAGCAGGGGCCGGCGCAGGGCTATGAGCAGCTGGCCGCTTCGCCTGAGCAGCCGGCGCTCAAGCTTGAGGAATCCGACAACGACGAGTCGAGCCACGACGAGGACGAGCCGCCGCAGAAGAAGCCCAAGGCATCCCACGGGGATGAGGCGGACGACGACAAGGTCCCGTGCCCCTTTCGAGAGCACGATCCGGTTCACTTCAGCAGAGACAACAACGAGAAGTTTTCTCCCTGTCACTCCAAGCATGAGAGCATAGCCAGTCTTGTGTAAGTGTGAAAATGCGAACCTCCAGAAGAGGATGTGTCTCGGGCCAAGTCGGGGGGCTAACAGCAAACCAACCAAAAAATAGGCGCCATCTGAAGAGGCCGGCTCATCGGCTGCGGTCGGATCGTAAATACATCTCCTCCTTTGACGTGGACGACGACGGCCAACGCTACCCGCGCGCGGGCCTCTGCAAGAGGTGCTGGAAGCCCTTCACGGACGGGCAGCTCTTCGACGAGCACCTCGGCCAGACCTGCACCAAGTCATCGAGGGGGAAGAGGGAGAAGTACAACCTCTTGCGCGACACCTTTGTCACGGGCGCCGCCCGCCCGGTCTCCAACAGCCTAGAGGTGCCATCGCCGGCCACCGGCTGGCAGGCAACAGCAGCAGCAACAGCCGACGAGTCCGAGGCTGCCGAGAACGAGCTTCTTCCTCAACAGACCACCGACACGATCCACGTTGGCGCGGCGGCAAGGAACGCCACACCCTCGGCGGGTGCCGAAATCAAAGAGAAGAGGTTCCAGGACCTGGAGCAAAAGCTTCTCGCCCTCACCCAGCGCGTCGCAGTCCTCGAAGAGGAAAGGCAGCACAACGGCAGCACAATCGTGATCCCGGACGCAGGGCTCCACCTCCCGCGGCAGTTCGGCGGCCTCACGGCGGCAGAGGCCGCGGCCTCCCTCGTCGCCCACACCGCGTCCAGCACGCCTCGGGCCTCGATCATCTCGTCGGTCATCCCCAGCCAACCGGGCCCGCCAGCAGCAGCAACAGCAGGAGGAGACGAGCCGTCGTCGTCGAGACACTACCGCCCGCAGCGCCGCCAGAGCATCGTCCTCTACGGCCCGTCGGCGTCGTCGTCGTCGTTGTCGTCGTCCAGACTGCTGCAGCGGGGCGACCTGGTCGGCGGCATGGACAGCGTCCAGATCGACGTGGAGCCCGAGGACTTCTTCACCGAGGCGGCGCGGACGCTGTCGGGCCTGTCGTCGAGCAGCGACCGGTCCTCGGTCGTGCGGCACGTCCCGCCCCCGACGCTGGACAGCGGGCCGGCGGCCCGGGAGTGCAGCCGCGGCGGCGGCGGCGGCGGCGGGGTCAGCGGCCAGGCCGTGGCGTCGGGCCCGGGGGCGCAGCAGCGCAAGAGGAGGAGGGCGGCCGGGGCGGGGGCGGGGGCGGGAGCGGCCAAGACCACCCCCTCGCCGCGGCGGCAGAAGGTGGCGCCCTCGCTGACGGACTCTGGGTACGTGAGCCGGTGGAGGAACGCGGGGACGACGGTCAATGACGACGACGACGACGACGACGACGACGATGGTGGTGATGACCGCATGAGCGATGTGGATGAGGAGAAAGGCGATGACGAAGAGGACGGGGGAGAGGACGGGGGTGAGAATGAGAATGAGAATGATGTTGACGAGAGCGCGGGCCACGAGGCGCGCCAGGACGAGGGGGAGTATCGGCTGTCGCAGTCTGATTTCCACGGCACGACGCTGATGAGTCCTGACCAGGTGGCGAGCATGTTCCAGTGAGACGAGGTGATGTAGCCAGCGTTTGTGTTCGGGTCTGCCTTTTTTTTTTTTTTTTGGAGATAAGGGAGCATTTCGGAGTTTTTTGTTCTTTTTGGGCAGCAGCAGCATTACTAGACTTGTATATAGCCGGCTAGACGATGTAGATATGGGTTGGCGTTGTGGTTTTCATTTTCCCCTTCTTGCGTGGGACTCTCCCTCATCGTTGCATTTTCGATGTTTTTTTCCTCCTTATTTGTTTGCGTTGCAGCGTGGGGAAATTGGTCGTTCAAGGGCATAAAAGATACCAGCGGATCGTAACTATTTACTGAAATTCATTGAAGCGATTTTTACTTCATGATTACTTACATGCAATGGGCTACTCAAATTTGTTGCTGGCTCTTATTGTGAATCTCGTGCGGTTTTAGAGAGCAAATGTCAAAAACCATATCTAGATATTTGATCATCATGGTACATGGTCCCTATCATGTAAATAACCCTCCTCTGGACAAGTTTGAAATATGCAAGTTGATATGCCATACCGACTGAACGAGATATGTTTCTCTTTTTCTCTAAATCCCATCCATCACCTTGCCTGCCCCCTGTACCCCCCCATCAAAATACTCTACCCATACGTCTCTCCATGGCGGCCGGCCCCCCAATCACTCCGTCCCCGCATCCGGCTCCTCGGGCGCATCCTCGGGCGGGCCCTCGGGCGGCCCCGGCGGAGGCGGCAGCTGGATCGTGACGAGCGGCGGTATCGAGATGGTGACCCCGGGGGGCCTCGTCGACCGCGTGATAGGCCGGTCCGGGACGCGGGTCGGCGTGGTGCTGACCGGCGGCCTGCTGATGGGCGAGTCCGGGACGCGCGACCTGGTCGTCGTGGCGGTGGTGGTGGCGGTGGCGGAAGTCGTTGCCGGCCCGCCGTCGGAGGGGGGCCGGATCGTCGTCGACCGCGAGGGCTCCGGCGGCGGGTCGGTGCTCGTCGGCCGCCCGATGATGGTGCTCGTCTTGGCTGTCGTCCTGGTCCTGGTCGTGGTCGTGCTCTTCCTCGTTGTCCTCGTCGTCGTTCTCGTCCTCGGCGTCGGCGTCGTCCTGACCGACGTCCTGGTGGACGTCGGCGGCGGCGGCGGGCGAGACGGGGGCGGGGGGTCCTGGCCCGGCAGCGACCCGCTGCCCGCGCGGTACCAGTTCTCGGGCGGGTCGCCGAGGCACTCGCCCACGGTCACGGAGCGGTACCCCTTGGCGAAGAGCGAGGTGAGGAAGTAGTCGGTCAGGTTGTACACGGACTGCCAGTGGATGTCGTGCTCGATCTGGAGGAAGCTGTCGCGGGCCGGGCGCGAGGGCCCGACGGCGTCGTCCCAGATGTCCTTGCTGTCCTGGATCGCGGACGGGTCGTCGTGCAGGTAGCCCTCGGTGTCGAGGTCGAAGTAGACGACGTGGTAGCCCAGCGCCGAGAGGATCGTCTGGCAGGTCTTCTCGCAGATGGAGTACGGCGGCCGCATGTAGGTCGGGAAGAAGCCGAGGATGTCGTTGAAGGCGATCTCGTTGTAGATCATCTGGTCCCGCCACTGCTGCTGCGACACGGCGCTCGAGTTCTCGTGGGACCAGGTGTGGCTGGCGACCTGGTGGCCCTCTGCTATCATGCGCTGCGTTGTGTGCGTGTTATGGGATGTGCGTAACTTTTTTCCTTGCTTGCTTGCAAGTCCCGAGGTTGTCATCTCACCTTGATAAACCCGGCCCACGGCTTGGATGCATCGTTGATCATTCCCTTGCCCAGGTTGTTTCCAGTGATGAAGAAAGTCGCTTTCGCACCGTAGTCCTAGAGACAAACAGAGGATGGAAAATCAGCGAGAGAAAGTCCATAACCGATCCTAGCCTTCAGGAGGCGTCCGTATGTGTGTGTGCGCGCGCGCATGAACGCTCAACATACCGCAAACTTGTCCAGGAGATCTCCCGTATAGTCATACGGGCCGTCGTCAAACGTGAGCGCGATGTCCCCCGCCTTGTCGCAGTCGTAGATGCCGAGCCCGCCGTACAGCACGTCGCCCAGGTGCGGCCGCGCCACCGTCGAGGTGTCGACGCCCGAGGGCCGCTGGTTCCCGTCGCAGCCGGAGCCGTAGTTGATCTGGCAGTCCGGAGAGCTGCAGTACTCCTCTGTCAAGCCGCACCACCTAAGACGGGGAGAGTGTTAGCCTGGGTCGGCAACTCGATATCCTTCCCTCCCATCTTTCATGTATGTGTGTGGATGCATGACATACCCTTCGGCCGAGCAACAGTAGCCCCCGGCGCAGCTCCCACGCCCCGGACCGCAGCGCCCCGACGTGCCTCCATTCTGTCTCCTGCCGAGCGGCGGGAGGCTTGGCCCCTCGGAAGCCTGGTTTCGCTCGGCCCTCGCAACGTTTGGCGGCGGAGCGCGTCCGGGCTCGAAGCGTCGCGCCCGCAGCTCCGAGAGGATCTTCCTCCCACCGACGATCTTTGGCAGCCCATGCAGGTGGTCGTCACCGCCGTGCGCAGTAGCAATGCCTGCCAAGGCTGCCACCACGACAGTTGACCAATGCATCACGGCTCTGGATGTCTGCAGCCTGGTGGTACAGTCAGGGAAGAGAGTTTTTTAGAAAAAACAAGCAACGAAGGCCAAGAGACCTCATAAGTGTCAACAGTGCCTGGCTTGGAGAACGCCGAGTCAAATTGATCCAAGCAGGCGGGAAAAGGAGGTATAAGTCCAAACATATACACACACCGGGCCAATCCCTCAAGTATACACAACCTTCCGGCCCTGGAAGGGTATATGGTAACGTTACCGTATATCGACACAAAAGAAGAAAATGTGAATACGAAAATGGCGACGAGGCCACATACGCGAGCATGCCAAACTGGGTAGCGAGCTGCAGGAGGTTAGGGAAGTGAATATATGAACTGCAGTCCGACGTTGCGTGAGAACGTCATGAGCTCCCGCCCTTGGGGGGAGAGAAGCTGACGTTTCCTTGCAGAGAACACGCATGCAGTCTATGTCTGCATCCCGCAGACAGACACAGAATTTGGTATGCAGGACGTCCACCTTGGGGTCCCATTTCGCGGAGAGCCGACGATGGTAAAAGGAGGGACCCTCTGGCTCCGCGACTCTCATCACCATATGCTGCAGGCTAAATTGCTCAACGAGCCTCCATGACAAAGTGATGGACCCAAGGAAACTTCCCCTTTCGGCTCACTTATAAGGCTCTACGTACCGTACCTATGTAATAACCGGCGGCGGTAAGAAGCCCCCACAACAGGGTAAGCAATATAGCCATCCGTTTCCTGTCAATCCAGGCCCGGCGCCGCGCACAAGTCGTTTCCACAGGCAGGACGAGCAAGCTTCCGCTTTCCAACAGACGACAACTGGCGTTTCCTTTCCTCGCATGAATGTGCAAAGCGCAAGGGAGGGCGAGAAGACATCTTCCCAGCAGTAGCGGAAAGGCAGGCCAAGAAACCGGTCGACGGGGTCTGTTCGTCTCATCCGCAAGGCTCGCTGCCAAGCCGGCTGTTTCTGCGCTGCCATCGAAGCTTTTGCCAACCACGCGATGGAGCCCGCCGCACATTTTCCAGCGCAGCCTGGTTGAATTGCCAATGTTCCGAGAAAAAATAAGCTTTGTGATGCCCGTACTGCAGAATTGAGCCCTCACAAAAGCTCGACGGCACTTGCTCGTCGAGTGAGAGATGATGGCACCAGCGGAGAGTTACTTGCAACCTCTTGCCTCTGGGGCAAACGTGCCATTTCACCACCCAAAATACTCTGGATGCCGGATCCGAGAGTGCAAGATGGAAAATGAAAAAGGGGTCGGCTTTGCAAGCCGATCATCTGAGAGAGGCCACGCGTTCAGCCTTCCGGAATGTAACTGGGGTAAGGAGGAGAAGCGATGATGATGATTGTTGCGGAGGAGGGTGGCATTAAAAACAGAACCTCTATATTGGCAAAATAGAGTGGATGGGGAAAATGGACACGCACCCGAATATTCGATGATGCAGCCAGCCTCCAATATGCCGCCATACCGCCATACCGCCTCAAGGCCTCCTTCCCCCCCCTCCGGCTAGAGATTGGGTAGTCGTGAGAACTTGTAGAACCAGGCCGGCGGCATGTTGGGTCGAATTGTGCACAATACCCGTTTCTCCAAGCCTCTCTATTTCATCGTCACCAGCCCCCGAATGCATCACTTTCCTCTTGGGACACATTTTTGACTCGTTACTTGGTTCTATCGAAGTGATGAAGACCCGAATGCTACACGCCTCGTGCCAAAGACAAAAAAGAAACCGAAACACCGTGCCATCGAGCCAAACCACCTGTATAGTACAAAAACTTGGTCAACAGCCCTGTCGTCAGGAACCATCAAATCATGAAGAAAAAAGCCACAACGTTCCACTGCATGTTGCTCGACAAGGAGAGCCTGCAAGCGTTGCGCCATTTCAATAGTCCACGCATTCTCGACCCTATACCTTCGTCGTCTCGTCCGATTTCGCAGCGCCGCTGGTCTGTGTTGCCGCGGCCGAATCGGTGCTTGCAGCCTCCTGCTGCTTCTTCTCCTCTTCGAGTTTCTGCTTTTCTTCTTCCAACTTCTTCCTAGCCTCTTCCTCCTTCTTCTTGGCCTCTTCTTGCTTCTTGAGCTCCTCCTGCTTCTTCTTCTCCTGCTGCTCGGGAGTGAGACCAATGGTGCCGTCCTTCCTGTCGCCCTCGCAACGCTCGCGCTCCAGTTTCATGTCCATGATCAGACTGAGCTCGGGGCAGTACTGCAGGATCTTCTTCCGCTGCGCATGGTCCTTCCACACGTCGTCATTCAACCTCGAGCCACCGTCGCGGATGTGATAGCCCATAGGCTTCTCTATGTAGACATCCTCCACAGCAAGGACTCCCATGTTGCCCGATGCGACTTTTTCGTTCTTCATGATCCATAACCGCGAGCCAAACCACTCGTCCTCGGGTTCGGTATTGTTGTACCGCTCCTGGAAGTGCAATACGTTGCGAATCGCAGACACCTTGCGTAGTGAAAGCCCACCGTTTCCTGCAAACCTATCCTCTGGGGTCCTACATTGAGAGAATTAGCCAAAGCTACGACAAATGGCTTGAGAATGGTCGGTAGAGTGTACCTAGGGGCTCCAGCCCAGCTCCAGTGCAGCCAGTCGTTCAGGCTCTGCTCCGAGTTGGCACAGAGGATGCTATCGTATTCATACTTGAGAATCCACTCCACGCCTGGGAGGAACTCGTCGTAGAACCGGATGTCTGTCATCAAGCGGTATACCTTCTCCTTGGAATCAATCTCCCAGGGTTCTGGCAGGACCATGAGGTCGAGCTTCCCGACGACTTGTTGGTGCTTCACGGCGAAGCTCCGGCCGACGCTAATAACGCTCTTCTCGGAGCCGATGAAGACCATTCTCCAGTCGGGAGGGATAACCGTGAGCATGTGCAGCATCTGGGGGACGAGGTGCGGCAGAGGGCGAGGCTCGACGAGCAGGGCGATTTTGGAGGTGTTGTAGTTGCTGCGCGGTTCGGGGTCGGGACGCCAGTCTACCTTGATGGCAGGAATCTTCTGGCGGGCCTCTTCCAGCCGTGACTTGAAAGCAGCATGGATGCCCGGGGAGTAGTGAGGGAGCAGAAAGGCGATCCACCAGCTATACGGTTGGCCCTGCCGTCAGCATGAATCCTTCAAAAGGGAGACCAGTAGGGAGGCGACCTACGTCAAAAACAGAGAGACCACCACCATGATCTTGGGCTTGGTGATGGCGAACACGCCGGGGGATTGGTGTTGGGCCGTCATCGTTCAAGATCGCAAGACGCCTTGCGAGAGGTAATGATATGGTGGACAGGCGGGAGGGTGCTTGTGATCTTGATCGGTGGAGACGAGCCGGATGGTGTAATCGTTGGCAAATCGAGAGTTCCGCAAAGACTAATAAAGGACGTCCTTGCTACTTCCGCATCGTTGCGATGGTCGCGATGTTGTTGAGCGAGTGTAGGCGCGAGCTGACAAGGAGCCGCACAAGTCGATCCGTGATGTTTCGGCGGCGACAGGCGAGAGGTTTCCTATCGACTACAAGTGCCACTCACTGTGTGAAGGAGAGCGGGGGACTGGGACGAGACTTGTCGCGAAAGGTGAAGGAAAAAGGTGTATCGCGAGAAAAGAAAAGTAAGGTGCTAGGAGGGCTGGCGCCAGCGAGATAGGCAGGGATGGTGGTGGTTTGGCTTGGGAAGGAGGGTACTTAGTGGATCACACGGAAAGACGGCCATCGAACAACAGGCCGCTGCCTTTACGAAACACACCAAGAGAGCACAGGGGGGACACTTTGAGGTCGGGCGAGTCAATTCAAGGGCGGCGGACTTCCTCGCTGCAAAAAGAGCATCAGATGAATCAGATTGCTGCTTCTGGGTGGCACGAAAAAAGGGTGTGCCTAGAGGAGAGAAAGTCTGGGATGGTGAGACTTTGTGGAGAGAGACTGGAGGAGTACTTGCGAGGTACGTGGGCTTAGCGTCAGCCCACTCGAGGCCAGATGGTGCATACGAGAACCGCTGTACTTGTACAGAAAGGGTGATTGGGGGGGGATTTGCCCTAAACATTTTAATGGGGGAACTGATCAACCATCCATGGACGCATCCATGGGAGCAGGGGGGTCGGATGACAGGCCTCCATTTAGGGGTATTGACGATTACGGTGGGGTTGGTTATCGCTATCCGCTCCCTCTTTTAGTGACGCCCGAGCGCCAAGGCTCTCAATAGCTTCAGCTAGTCTGGTTCCCCTGCAGCAATTTCCAAGCCAAAAAATCTTCTTTTAATTTCGCAGACGCCCGCCGCAAATGCGGAAATGACTGCTGGCTGTTCAGACGGGAGATGGCACAGGATCTGGCCGCAAGAGTGAAGGCTCAATGTAATACAATTGGCCCTTTGAGGAACATAGGGGAGCATACAATGGATTCTTGAGATGGAGGGGCAGCGATCAAGAAGCCGGAACAAGGTGAGGGATCTGTCCTTCTCTTAAGCATGTGGCCAGCAGCGTGAGGAATGCGGTCGCTTGCGGCTGGTTCCATCCCATCTCTGCATCAGTAACGCGTCCCGCGAACCCCTTTAGCGTGTCCGGTCTCCCCGGGGTCGTTCTAAAATTGCCGGAGCCAGCATTGGCGTCTATTCTAGATCCAGTGTGCCAGACGACTTGCTCACAGGACAGGCCAGAACCAGACAGTTCCATCGACAATGAATGAATTCAACTCACCAAAAGACAGATTGTCCTCTCCATATGAGTGCTATGTATGTGCTGAACGAGGACGAGGAGCTCGACATTTGGCGATAAGGAAACCCTTGCTGATCCATTAGTTGGGTGTCACGACATATGTTCCAACTTCCCTATCCGAGCACTTTACTCAACCAATTGTCCAAGACAAGCGCCAGCCGTGCGTTTCTGTATGGCTGAGCATTCCTTCACTGAGACAACAACGGCTATGAACAGTCAACCTTTGGCTTGGCGGGAGGCGGGGAGTCTCGACTTGTGTCTTTAAAAGCACCACTCTGCACAGGTTCCTGAGGGCAAAGACAAGCACGAAACCACAGCAAATGCGATCCTTGGCTGTCTGGGAATGGATCGCGATTGACTCCATCGTGCTTCCAGCCTTGGCCAGCACCCCGACAGCCACCTCTAGCAACAGAGCGGCAAGCGGTTCCGAGACAAGGCTTGCACATAGCGAGTGTGCCTGGTTCCTTGGTGTAACACGGTGTCAAGATAAGGTAAACCGTGGGCTCCTTGTAAGTCAAGCAGCGTCAGAAGTTTGGCCGGCAGTCTAACTTTAAGTTGTCTACATCTGAGTTGGGTTGTGCCTGTCTCGCGTGACACCTGCCGGTGCTCAGGCATCATCGCTAGGGCTAATCATCCTCCGGGTTCGTCATGGCTGGCGACGAATCCGGAAAGGGGAGCTGACTGGGCGAGCGAGCGGCATGAGATGGCCGAAATGGGCGAGAGGGTTGCCATAGTTCGTATACATATATATGGGATGACAGCTGATGCAAGTCTCCCGTGGGTGCCAGGCCAGTTAGGGTATGGCTCTACCGAGTGAGATAAAAATACTGGGTTTGGGTGCTGCTTGGAGCGAGGTAATGATGGTGGACGAACCAATCCTCATCTATGGAGGCGACTTCTCACCCCCCTGGCACTCCTGGGTGGCGCAACCGTAAAAACCCCCCTGCTTCGCCCTTCTCTTCCCTTGCCAATAAGGCTGGGCGCTGATTCGAGCAAATGAATGGTTTGGTTTCGTACATAAGACGGAAAGTTCGGGACAGGGGTTCAGGCGGATGGGTGATCATCACTGATCAATGCCCCACGGTTCTCATGAGAAAGCCTCTGAATTGCATCTCCTTTTGACACTTTGCAAGAGTCGGTAGGGCTACCTAGACAGAACTTTGATAGGAAAGATGGTTGGAATGTTCGCTTCGAGTCGAACTAATAAAGTTAGGTAGAGGACACCTAACGTATAATGGTAACTTTTTTGTAAATGCGCTTCCCAAGCTGACGGGCTTGGACGGGGCAGGCGATTCCAGCGCGACTGCGCTGGCCTGCAGGGACGTGGTCCCGTCAAGTACCTCGAATGTACCACCCCCGTCCTGCCGAGCTCCGTATCGCCCCCCCAAAAGACGAGCCTAGACAGGCAATGGCGCTGGCCAGGTCGCCGCTATCCGCTCACACTACCACACTACCGACTTCACCAAATTGTCTCCCTTCAATACGCCAACCCTTTTTTTCTTTTTGCTCCATGGCCTGTCCTATCGAGGGCTGGACTTTTGGACCTCTTTCCCTGACTGACTGACTGACTGACTGACAACCAGCCTGCCCGGCAATGCTTACGCTTCTCCGGCGCCTTAGTCCACGATCCTTTCTGTCTTCCCTCTTAGATATTCCCCTTCATTATCTCCAACCTCAGCTCAGCTGTGCGACGAGGCCTTGCAGCCTGTGAGACACTCGTAGCGTTTTGTGTCAGCTGCCGCGACAAACGAAGAAGCGAAGTGGGAAGATCGGGCCCAACGAATACGTGGTCAACGGTGCACCTGCTACAACTCGGGTATCTGAAAAGGCATTCTGAAAGAAAGCTCATCTTCTCTGGCCGCCCTCTCCTGGCATAGACTGGTCGACATCTCGCTGCGATCCTGCGATCTCCCTTGTTATCTTTTCAAGGCAAGGGAATCAACATGGCGGGCCTTGCAGACAAGCTGGTGGCATTGCCGGCCGTGCTCTGGTCGAGAACGAGCCGGAAGATGAGGATATGGGGTGGATTCTTTCTTTTCTTGTAAGCCAGGGCACAGGTTCACTCGCCACGGCGCGCGGAGCTCTAACTGACAATCGCCTCGCAGTATCACATCATTAATGTTCCTCCGACCAGTCGCCAACAACATCGACTATCCCCGGGTCAGCCTCGACTATTCCTCGGGAAGAACGCGGTCGCCCTACAACGAGTCCAAGGTCGCTCTCCTCATCGAGAACCGGCCGAATCCGATCCTGGCACCTCTGATGCTGCACTTCATGTCTGTCGTGCCCCCAGACTGGCGTTTCCAGTTCATGGGATCGGTCGAGTCGGTTGAACATATCAACAAGTCTGTGGCCATCCGCGAGCACGTCGCCGCGGGCAAGCTGGATCTGACCTACATCCCTGCCAATATGAGCACCGGCAGCCAGGAGGAGATCAGCCGCTTCCTGACCACCCTTTGGCTCTACGAGTACGTCCTGCAGCCTGCCGAATGGCTCCTTATCTTCCAGACGGACAGTATTCTCTGTGCCAACTCGGTACACAACCTCAACGATTATCTCGAGTACGACTGGATCGGAGCCCCCTGGGACCCCAACGGCCGGTGGGGTGGCAATGGCGGTCTGTCCCTCCGCCGTGTCAGTGCTATGATCGATATCCTCAGGTATCAGGACCGCAAGGATGGCTCCGAGCCCGAGGACGTCTGGCTAGCCTTGCGCCTGGCCCACCATCCCGGCAGCAAGGTCGCCAACGGCACCGTCTCGCTGACATTCTCGGGCGAGTCCCACAGCGGGCAACCCGTGCGGCTCAAGGACCCCGGCAACCCCAACCGGACCCTCGAGGCGGCTGCCGAGGGCGAGCTGGTCAAGGGCATCGACGACTGGCGCGAGGGCTTCTATGAGCCCATGGGCTACCACACGGGTGGTTCCGGGAGCTTCCTGCACGCCGGCATCTGGGGCACGCCCGAGAAGCGCAAGCACATCTGGAACTACTGCCCCGAGGTCAAGATGACGCTCATGATGGACGTGGCCAAGTACGTCCCGGGAAGCTGTGGCACGAACTGGAAGCGCGACCTCGGCGGCGTCGAGGCAGCAGACGACTGGCAGTCCACCGTCGATGTCGGCTATGGCACTGAGATCATCGACGGCCAAGAGTACCCCATGCTGCCTCCCAACCTCGTGCCCTGGTGAGCTATCTCTATATAATGATGCCAGACGAGAGGAGGACGCAGGTGGTGGTGGGGGTTGGTGGTAGACAGGGATCTTTGAGGGGAGACTGTTTGATATCCTAGTGCCAACTGTACGATTGGACGTATCGTTGATGAGCGGCGTTATTGAGGCGTTTCTGGGTGGCTGCAAAATAAGTTCATTCTTGCACACAGGAAGGTGTGTGTAGAGAGAGGGCAGTGTTGCTGGAGTCGCATCGTCTAGTATTTCTGGCCAAAGCCTTGCCAACCTTTTATGGTCCGACCTATCCCCCCATTCAAACACCCCATGATATTCCATGGCTTTGTATCTCTCTTTAACTTTTTTTACCTACCTGCTTTACGGCCTTTGAAGGGAGGGTGTTCAGGCATAGACTTTCAATACCACAATCAAGCCAAGAAAGACCATTAATAGTACTGTGCTCTCACAGATGTACTGATGTGATCCTCATGCATGAAGCATTATGATCTATCTAGGTTGATATTGTAGTACATTAGAATGTCAGAACTCATACACCTGCCTACTGCTGCTCATCACCCGAACGATGCTGGTCAAAAACAACCTGGATGCAGGAAACTCCACCAACCAGACCCTTCCCATCCATCCATCATCCACAGCGCCCGCCCCTTTTCTTCCCTTCCCTTCCCTTCCCTGCCTACTATTAAACCCTTGGACATACAACTCTCACCCATGGCACTCACCCATAGCACTCACACATGCACACACACACACACACACACACACAAACACCAAGTTCTGGGGGCAGATAGTCAGACTACCCGACCATGGCCCCGACCACGCCCGCCAACTCGCTAAACAGCACGCCCTTGAAGACGCTCTCGCCCATGTCCTCGCCCCAGTGGCCCGCCCGCCGCAGCCTCTCCTTCCACGCGGCCCGCTGCTCGGCGGGCAGCTCCTCCCAGCTCCGGGCCGGCGGGCCCGCCTCGTCGTGCGGCGCGCTGGTCACCTCGATGCCGTGCTCGCCCGCCTCGGCGTTCTCGCGCACGACGACGGGCCGCCCGCCGCCGTCCGGCCCGAGCTTCTGCGCCGCCAACAGCTGGATCAGCTTGCCCTCGTGCTGGCGCGACGCCGCTCGGACGGCGTCCCGCGGGTGCTGCTGCAGCTGCCACGACAGCGGCACGAAGCGGTGCGCGTGGACGACGGGCTGCGAGAGGCCGCGCACCTCGAGGCTCGCCTGCAGGATGACGGCCAGCAGCGCCATGACGACGGCCGCCGCGATGATGATGCCCCTCGGCGAGCGCACCTGCGGCTTGAGCGCGACGACGTAGCGCGGCTGCCGGGGCGGCCCGCCGCGCTGCAGGGGGGCGTTGCGGTCGATGACCTTGCGGAGCGGGATGTGGTGCACCCGGACCGAGTTCTGGACCGACACGCTGGCGAGCTTGACGTACTGCGTGCGCGAGGTCGACTTGGCGGGCGGGCCAAAGTGCGACAGCGCGACGTCGGTGATCTGGGCCGCGTGCACGCGGGCCAAGACGCCAAATGGGTGGCAGTTGATGATGAGCTCGACGTTGCTCACGGCCTGGTGCTCCAGAGTGTAGAGGTAGATCGAGTTGTCGACGCCGGTCACGGCCACGGCGAACTGGCAGTCGCCGTACTTGGCGGCCGGGGACGAGGGAGGGGAGAGGTTGCGCACGGTCATGCCCGTGGCCTGCATGATGGCCTTGGGCAGCTTGGCCGAGAGGGCCAGGCGAGCGTTGTCCTCGACCTTGGCGGGCAGGCGGAACCCCTGCAGAACGACGCCGGTGCGCTTGGGCAGGTTCGCCGCCGCGAGCACGAAGGTCGGCGTCAGGAAGCGCAGGGACCGGAAGGCAGGCTTGCCCTTGATGCCCGTCGTGTCCTCGTCGGGCATGCTGAAGACGCACCGCGGCTCCTCCGTGACGCCCTTCTTGATCCTGTGCGTGAACAGCCTGTAGTCGTCGCAATACACCAGGAGGTACTCGTCCTTGTCTGTCTGGATGACGTCCAGGTCCGACGGCTCGCGCTCGAGCTCGAGCAGCCCGCGCGGCTTTGGGCTGGCGCTGATATTATCGGACGTGACGTCGAAGATGGCAATTTCGGGCTGCTGGGACAGCCCACTAGCGCAGACGCCGACCTGTGCAGAGCCCTCGAACGGGGAAGAAAGCCTTAGTAGCCTCTGGTAGGCATTGACGTCCTTTGTATTGAAGAGCTTGCTGCGACCGAGCTCCTTGATGGCTGGCGGGATAGGTGATTTGGCCCTGGACTCGGGCTTGATCCCAAAGACCCGAAGGTGCTCATTGTTGCCTTTCTTCTGCGCCTCGGGACTTGAATTGACACCTGCATACACCGAGATGGGCTTGCCCTTGGGGTGGCTGACGGCGAGACTAGTGACGTTGTCCTCCTCTTTGCTGAGCTCGAGCTCGGACGTGTGATAGATGACAGAGTCTTGATTCGTGATCGTTAAGAGTGACTACACGCCCGAGTTTTAGGTTAGCGGAGGGTAGCTATGCCTGTATGGTTGCGTGGCTGGTGAAGCTCACGATCTTGTTTCCCACGCCCGTGCGACTTGCGCCGCCGCCGCCTCCGACCACCAGCTTGGACGCATCTTCCGGGTCGAACTCGCACGCATAGAGTGGGTAGCTCAGAGAGGTGGAGGAGGTAAGGATCGACATCGAGGACTGAGTTTGCGGGCAGATTTGACAGGCGTAGACGTATATCGAGCTGTCCTGATGCTGCCTGCGACTGCGCAAGACAGGTGACGACAGGAGGAGGAGCCGTGCTGGGAAGGGTTCCGCGCAAATTCCAACCACCAACGGAAAGGGAGGTTTGAGACTAGTACTTAGTTAGGTTTGAGACTCCCTGTTGGCCAGAGTGCGCTGACAAGTCTGTGCATTAAAGTTTGGCATGCGAATGCGCGAGAACACGGAGAAGAATTTGGAGGCCCGGGCGAATTGACGCATGGATGTAGTGTCGTGTCAATATGAAATACCTTCCTAGGTAGTTTAGCTACAGTCCATTTTGCTGCTATAGATCACTGAAGCCGACCATGGTTTCCACCGTAAAAGGGCCCATAACTGCCTAGACCGGCGGGCAGTTGAGCTGCAATGGCGTAGTAGCTCCACCTGGACCACAGGCCTGATGATGTAATAGATCGCAACAAGCCACCATCGATTCCTTCTATCAAACTTCGTTGACTTCCTCATCTAATGTAAATCTGTCCAGAGCTTGATCAAGCACGACTCTATTTCTAGGAAGCAATTGGTCATGACTCTTAACTTCCTAGGAAACCGACTGTAAAGAACAGTGCAGGCAGTCAGTTGGAGGCCCGGTCGTGGCACCGCTATTCTTTGATCGAGGCACCGCTGTTGACATACCGCCTTCCTTTAGTCATGATCTCCCTACCTAGGTACTCCGTAGTCTAATCCCCGCCAAAAATTCACAGACCAAACGGCGCGTTGGGGTTGGTGATCGTGAAAATCGAAGCGTTCGCGTTGGCGGCGGTGGTGGAGCAAGAGCCCTGATATTAGACGGTCATAGCGGAAACAGAGGAAGGCGCGTTGCATCAGCCAAGGTTACCGAGACAAATAGGTGAACCGCTTGTAGCTATCAAACTATAGCAGAGGGAAAAATTACAAAGTCAGACAACCAGGCAAACCGCTCTCTCGCTAGGCGCTTAGATGTATTGAGAGAGCCATCGGAACGCATCGCCATATCCTTGCCTCATCACGATGGACACCATGAAAAGCTCGACGGGCCTGATGCCCTCCAGCGGAACCTTCCCCTTGCCGGTGGTCTGATAGAGGCCGAGTTGGTGCCGGAGCTCGTCCTCGGAGACGGCGTCAGGGTGGTCGATCTTGTTGCCCAAGATGACGAAGGGCACGCTAGACAGTTCCTGCATCGAGAGGAGCGCATCAAGCTCCGCCTTGGCCTCGGGCAAACGCTCGTGGTCCTTGGCATCGACGAGGAAGACGATACCGTTCACATCGGGGAAGTAGTCCCTCCAGAGACGGCGGGCTGCCAGTCCAAGTCAGCACATCAAACACCACACTGTCACGAGGGCCTGACGGCTAGATTAACGCACCTTGCTGATGACCTCCCAGGTCGAAAGTGGTGAACCTGACATTGCCTATTGACAGTTCTTCCGAAGCTATGGCGACGAGTGTCAGCAGTGTTCTTTTCGAATGCCGAGATGGCCTTTGGGACCGATGGCGAAGCGGGCAAGTTTACTGACTTGGATGGAGGGTTGGCTGTAGGATTGCAACTCGATCGTTCTGAGCAGTAAACGGTGTTAGCTAACAGGCTCCTGCTGAAGTGCGCAGTGCTGGCATCAGTGCATACCTTAAGCATATGCATCAAGGTCGTCTTGCCTGCATTGTCGAGTCCAAGAAAGAGCAGCTTGGCATGCTTGTTGAGCAGGCCAAGAGACGACAGGACGTCGTAGACTGAGAGGGACGAGCACTGTCAGCGAATGCATGTCCAACCAGGCAAGATCTCGTTGTTGTACATACACCAGTTGACGATCCACATTCTGACCCCGTTGTATTGTCAAGGATATCGGGAGTGTTGGGTGCGAGTCCGAAACGCGCAAAATGCTCGTGTGGACAGTTCTGGGAGCAGGACAAGTAGGAAGAGTAAAGAGGTGATGGCACTGCCAGTGTCCGCGAAGATCAAGGCAATAGTTAGAATGACGGGATAAGTCGAGGAGGGCGCGAAAGGACGAGGAGGTGGGCTTTTTTAAAGGTGGTAGGTTGAAAATGATGAGGGAGGACAGGTGCTGTCGTCTAGTGCGTGGAGGAAGCCACAAGTGGGCGCCTTGATTATCAGGCAGTAACAACTACGGAGTATATGTTTACATAACCCTGATTGCACTCCCGAAACGCCATCTTCCCTCGGTTTTCTAACTTCGGGAACACCCGCTGGTGTTGTCAGGACTGCTGGCCTTTCCAGAATCGATCTATCTTGGCAAGGTTCACAGGGTGAACAGTCTACCGCCCAGAGAGGTGAAGAGTCTGGTAGGAGCTACCTTGCCACTTCATGGCCCTCGAATCAGTTGAACTGGGTCATAAATAACCCCGACACACTTCCGGGTAGGCCATCCCAGAGCAGATCACGAGCTGAGAACCAACAGAACACGCAGTAGCGATCACCCTTCCAACCAAGGTATGTAGGCAGGCACCAGGCATGACTGAGGCTCCGAGCCAGACTCGGATAATCACCTACATTAGGTAGCTTATCGCAAATGCACTCACTCTACACTAAGAACGTGTCCAAAGATTTCAGATCTCGGTTGAATTGATCAGAGTCCATTCCTGTCACAGCGATTGACTATATCATGCAGATTGCCGCCATCCATCTCAAAACTGTAAGAGGTATCCTGTCGCTCACAAGTGCATTTGATATTCCCGCCCAGACTCCCGGAAAAGTGGAAAAGTGCTCATCGAGATAGAAGAAAGAATAGTGTATGTACAGCCTGAAATTTGAAACAGATGAGGGGGGGCTTCAGCCTCCCCTAAAAGAGACAGATAGATACAAGAAAATTCGTTATATGTACGCTGCAAATCGTAAGCGTGGAAAACCGAAGACCCAAGGTGCCGCCCAATGCAATGCTGATTCCATGAATGCCCCTCCCAATGCGGTAGTTTGACTTGTTTATATGGAAAGGACATAGTTGCCTGGACCGATCTTGCCAGCCATGATCAGACCCAACTCTTTCATGCGCTCTGCGCCTTTGCCCGGCTGCGGGCGCTTCTCAGGCACCTGTCCTTTGCGGGCCCGGTTGCAATACTTTTGATGGAACTTCTCCTTTCGCCTCTGCCGCTTCTGCTCCAGGCCCTTGACAATGTCGATGGCACCACGGACGTGTTTGTCCTTGGTACTGGTTGTAGGTGCACGGTTGCGGCGGTGCTTCATGTTGGTGAACCCGGCGCCGGGACGGGGCAGGGACTTGGTATGGGTGATGTTGGGCCGAGGGGCCATCGGCTCAAAGATGACACCTCGCTCGTTCTGGATGGGCGAAGCGTTAGGTGGTGTGATCTTTTGACGAGGAGCCGGCGACCTCCATCTCTTTGGAGGAGAGTGGCGCTCTGGGAGTCTTCGAGGAGATCGTCCTCGGACCTTGGGCGGCGGTGAGAAGTGACGTTTGGGAGGCGGCGAACGATATCGTTTGGGGGAATCGCCCTTCTTCTTTCGCCTATCGGCGCGTTCGTGATGCTCATGATCCAGATCCTCAATTTCGCCATGGAGCCACAACTGCTCATCGCTATCGTGGCCAGCCTTGTATGTGTCCTCGTCAGCTTCATCCTCAGGGTCTGAGGTGGGAAAGCTGGGATCAATGTCCTGAGGGATCACGCGAAGCTTCTCACGCTTACGAGCCGCCAGGCACGAGAGGTACGCCTCCTCCAGAGGCCGATCCTCATCCAGAGTACCGCACACGAAGTCGGTGCTGTCAGGTAGCTCAGGGGTTCCAGAACGAATGACTTTGCCCAGTTCCCGGTTTTTGGGCTTGTCCTGGCGTGGAGCTCTCCCGGAATAAGAGGATGAATCCGAATGCTCCCCAAGAGATGGGCGGCGTTCCATAGGGGTAGCGCCAGACAGGGACAGCTGCCCTGGTTGGCGCGTTGTCCACAGAACCAGATCATCGTCCTCGTCGTCAGAAGAGGCGAAGCCGACTTCATTATCGGTATTGTAGCCGTCTGAACCATCGTCGTCAGAACTGTAACCTGATGCATCGTCGTCCTCGTCCTGGTCTTCATCTTCATCATCCTCATCTTCCTCGTCCTCATCCTCGTTCTCGTCTTCCTCATCAAGCGCCCCATCTTCGGCTTCCGCATCATCGTCATTCTCTTCCTGTTCGGCTTCTTCCTCGGCTTCCTTGCCAAGACGCCGAATCTCGAGCTCCATCTTCAAGGTGTCGTCAATGGTGAGTTTTCGGCGCGTGGCGGTCTTGTCCTGACGGATCCAATCATCCTCTTGGGGCTCATCAGTGGCGAACTCATGGAACCGAGAGGACTCGGTCTGCAAGTCGAGATTCTCGCCAGAGAGGAACTTTTTGGCCCGTGTAGGCTGACTGGCGCGCCGAGGAGTGAGTGAACGGCCGCCGCGGCGTCCGACAGAAGGTGATCTCTGCTTCCGAATGGAGGCGGGAGAAGACTCGTTACTCCTGCGTTGAGGCGTATGCTTGGGTGTGGCTTCTTGGGTATCCAGTGGCTTGGCCGTGCCAACATCCGATTGGGGACGAGCTGGACAAGCGAACTTGATACACGGTCGCTTTGGAGCGGCAGCAGGCTCCGCTTTCTGCTCGGTTTTGACGGTCGGAACGACTGGTGCGGTGTCAGTCCGGACAGGTTTGGCACCGCAGGCGAACGAGATGCAGCGTTTCTTCTCAACAGCTGGAGGAGGAACGGATCCGGAGCCCTGAACAGGACCGTGCTGTTCCTTCGCCACATGACTGAGACTGGCCTCAGTCTTGGGCAGAGGCGCCAATCCAGAATGGGCCTGTTGGATATCCACCGGGTCGGCTGTTGCGGCGGCAAACGCGCCGCTCGGTAGACGGGGGCTTGGTGAACTCGTTCGAGCAGGGCTGGTGACCCCTGTATCGCTAGTAAGCTCGGCGGTGGATGCCAGGCTAATGTTGCTCGTCAACGATCTCCGGCGTCGGGATGTAGACAGATCTAGCGCAGGTTCAGCCGCCTCGTCGTCGGATGGGGTTTGAAGAGCCCTTGTGAGCAAGGACTGGTGATGTTGATCATTGCCACGACGCACAGCCGCCTTGGGGAAGCGGCTCGTGACGGGAGAGAGCTGCAGAGGGTGATGATCTGGGGGCTCGTCCGTATCCGCGCCAACGTCATCTTCGATAGCGAGGCCTAGCTTGGCATTCTGCTGTCTCCACGCCAGCATGCTGGACGTGGCAGTTTCGTGTCTTTGAGTGTAGTTCGGCATATTGAGAGTCGGTATGAGGTAAGGGGGGTGGTGGTGACAAGTTGTAGGTCGGCAAGATGTCGAGAGCCAATGTCTCGGAAGATCAGTGGGAGGAAAGAGGTTGAAAATCGCAAACAACAAAGCAGCCCAGAGAGGGCATGAAGAAGAAAGCTACACCAGGTGCAGTCTCTCCGTCCAAGTCGTTGCGATCGTGGAGGAGGGTCGTTGAGCTGGTGTCCCTAGGGACCGTATTGCTATAACTTTAATACACTCATTGTCGATTTTGAAAAGTCGAAAATGGTGTAAGTGTAGGAGAGAAGGCGGGAAGTTGGAGGTTGTCGAGTCTCAAGCCAGACCAGAAAGGCCGTGACCCGGGTTGGATGCACGGGAGGGTTTTCAGGGTCCTGGGCTGGCGATCGCCTGTGGGTGGCCGACAGGCCGCTGGCTGCTTGGACGCGGCGGCGAGGCGAAGCAAGCACAGATGACGTCGGAACGGGTGGAGTCGCGGCGAATCGTGAAGAAGGCGACTGTTAACTGTTGCTCAGCGTGTTGGATGACCACGTCGAGGGTCCAGGAAGAACACAATCAACGGAATCCTGTGTTCCAAATATTGGCCTGAATTGATGTGATTCCTGCAGGAGAGAGATTGTACGATTTAAGAGAGGGCTGCCAGAGAGAGGGGGTGGTGTGTGAGGGATCTCTGGGCTCTTTGTGTGAGGGCGCAGGTGGGTGGGTGGGTATTACTCGAGGGCAGGAAAACGTCGGAGCCTGCGCAGAAAAAAAAACCCTGGGCTAGGGAGGCGAGGGCAAGTGACCTCTACAAGTGTAGGAGGCATTTTCTGTAAGGGAAAACGCGGTAGGATATCGGGTCCAGGTACCTGCTAGCCTGAAAATACTTGCTGGCCTAGCGGTGAGAGACGGGATGGTCGAGGGTGTGCAGGGTGGATTCCGTTCCTCGACTTGGAAACGCAGCAATTGGCACATGAGCGACCAACAGGAGACCCTCGGCTGTACCTGTCTGACAGGGTACCTCCCCCTACAGAGGCAGGTTCCCTCATTCCATCTCCCCATCAACTCCGAATTAGCGTGCTGCGCCAGCACTTGAATGTACGACGTACGAGAGGTCGCTTTTAGTGGAGATTCAGCCCTGGAAAGTGTTAGCCGACTGGCGATGAGCCATTTTGCTCTCTGCCCGCGCTGCCTTTTCTCTTACACGCTTGACTAAAGTAGCAGGAAGAGAATGTGGTGCGTTGAACGGCCGCGTCTGTGATCTTCGGCGAGAAAGGGCTCCGTACGTGAGGTACCTCCTTGACCAAAGTGATGCCTCTTGGCAGACAATGGAGCACCATTCAACATTTCAAATTTCATCTTGTGGGTACCTAGCATGTAGGTAGGTAGGTAATCAATTGTGTAATATGACGAGACGAGAACTCACCGAGCTCGGGTACTTCACGGTGTTGTCCCTGTCGCCGAGACCATTGAAATATGGCAGGATACCCTCGTTTGTTGGGAAGGAAATATCGCGATGAGCGACAGCGGAGCCCTTGCGGCAACACGGACGATGGGTCCAAATGCGTGTAATTGCAAACCGCCAGCTGCCCTAACTAACCTACCTAGCCAGTGGTGCGGTGAACAATTTACATGACACCTTGAATCGAGTCGAGGATTGGGGCCAGGCCGGTGGCCGGCGATTCATTCAGTGCTGTTGACTGCCCGTACCCACAGCTATCTCATTTCACAAGCGACCAAACTAATCCAAGCCAGCGATGGTCAGACACGAAGAAGCGGTGAAATTCGACACGATCTACCTCACCAACGCCGCGATGGCGCACTCTAGATGTACGGAGTACGTAGGTAGTAAGGAGCACTCCGTACGCTTGCTTGCTTGGCTCTTGTCCTCCAACTCTGGCCGAGTTGGTAGGTCTGTCAGCCAGCGTTTGACTCGGTACGCAGACACATCGAGAGCAACCATCGCGGCAAGGGATCTGTGGTCAACAAATGAACATTGTGGACGTGAAACGGAAAGCCAAGCCTTTTGATCGCCGCAGCCCGTATCCATGTTATTTTGGGGCCATCCATCCTTTTGAAGATCCTCGCCGGAGCCAAGCACCATTCAGCAGATCTTGGCAACGTTCGCGCGAAACGAGGGTCTTTGCTGTTACACACTTGCCTGCTGTACGACGAAGGGTGGTGCAGCGTTCATTTCTGGCCGCAGATCCAAACAAGTCATCTACGGAAGTGCTGGCATGTGGATGTACGTACTTCAATTTGACCAGGCAAATCTGCGACCCTTTCATCCTTTCATGTGCCAAACGTTGCATTTCCTGGCCGACGAACTGCGGGCAGGCGCATGTACTTGCCTAAAGTACCTTATGCAGAACAGCCAGCAAAGCAATTATTCGCAGAAGAGATGCAGGGCCTGCATGGCGGAAGCAGATCGCGTGTCGCCAGTCAGTCAATCAGATCAGTCGGCAGCAGCAACGAGCGAGGTGGTCAAGAAGCTTTTGAGAGGCTTGCGCTTGCGGCCATTCCGACTTCTCCCTTTGCGGCCACTGACTCGATCGGGTCGGTTTTGGGACCTGGGCTGGCTCTGGACCACGCCATCAAGCCCTGGCAGCTCATATTTAGCAAGGCTAGAAACTATATGTACTTTCCAGGTCATGGGGATTTCGGGTCGGAAAGAGTTTCTCTAGTGTGGAAGGAAAAGAATTAGCATTCGACCTCGATGCTACCGCGCCATCCACGTTGGCGCCACGCTCCGAGTCGGTAACAGCTAAGAAGCGGGCTAACCTGAAGCTTTTTTGCTTGAATTGTGGTCGCGGATCCCACTATTATGACGCCAGCAGGATCGCTCCAGGGACAGGCGCAACGTGGGAAAGACCGATCCCAGGCTTGCCAGACCTCCCTTACACAACCAAGTGTGTGGTCACAACTTCGTGGCCTTTCTCCAGACTCCACAAGCATCCCAGGGTTTCTGGGGTTTGCTGCGAGTAAGTCGTCATTGTACTTGTCTTGCTTCCCCATTTCAAGACACGATGGACCCTGGGCTGGGGCTGTCTGCGAAGGGATGCTGTACGGAGTAATGCAAATGGCCATGGCTCCGCTATGATGACGCAGTACTGAAAGAAGTCCGGCAGGCAATACTAATAAGCCGACATACCCGCGAGTCTGGGCGACTGTGACCTATTGATCACTGCCGTCACTCGTTTGACACAAATCTGGTTGTTCATACATTCCTACCGGCAGCTACTCCTCTGAGGTCAAAGCACTTGTCTTCATGTGAAAGGTGCTTGCAAATGTGAACACTGTTGATCTGCTAGTCCTCCTGATATGATGATCAGGGGCTGAAAGAGCCACTACCATGCTAGACAAGGCATCGTGCAGCGGAATAAAGGCTCGTAGCGAAATATTGGCACTGAGATGGTGTGTAAATCATCCCCTGAGAGCCGAAACTCCGGCGATCATGAGGAGAGACAGGTAGATTTAGGTTTCAAGGGTTCTCCATCTTGGGGGTCAAAAGGAAACGTCAAAAATGTGCCGAGCCATGGCGAAAATAGAGATGAATGTATCTGGAAACAGCGAAATACTTTGATGGATTTGCACAGCCATCGTCCACTAGATGGCTACAGGAGTGACGATCATTGATAGACAGGAAGCTCCCAGAACAAGACGACAACTGTCACCAGGTCTGCCCAAGCAGAGCGAGGTCGCCTCGGTCGCCACCTTGGTCGACAGATGTTGGCCAGCTGGTGTGGCGAGCAGTGACTAAGCCGGTGTGGGAAGAGGTCTTTGGGGAAAGTGCTCGTGCTCACGTGACTTGAGCCACGGACCATCTCACGTGCAGAAATGTGTGACTGGCCAGCCTGCTCTCGGCTAAGCGGCGGGAATTTGCGAAATCGTCAAGCAGATTTGTTGACGACGTCGCCCTGAGCTGTTGCGGAGACATACCTCAATTGACCAGGTAAATCATCATGAACTCCCTTCGCATCGCCCGTGCAGCTCTCCGAGCTCGCCCTGCGGCCATTCGGGTGCCCCTGCAACGCAGGACCTACGCCGATGCCGTCCCCGACAAGGTCAGTCTCCTCTCCCCCTAACCGCGCCGTTCCGAAAAGCTCCCTCGATGAAATCGCAGCTGCTAACTCAATGCCCCCGATAGATCAAGCTGAGCTTGGCTCTTCCCCACCAGGTACGATTCCGATATACCATCGAGTCCGCACGATGAATACTGCTTCTTCTGAATCGAGTATTGGGTCGTGGCTCTGCGCGATGTCCACGGCGGGCCGCAGGAGCATAGAAGCTAATTGCCGCATCGCAGTCGATCTACAAGTCCCAGGATGTCGTCCAGGTCAACATTCTCGCCGAGTCCGGAGAGATGGGTGTCCTCGCGAACCACGTTCCTTCCATTGAGCAGCTGAAGCCCGGCCTGATTGAGGTCATTGAGGAGAGCGGCGGTAGCAAACAGTTCTTCCGTGAGTACTCTTCGGGTACCCGATATCAACGCTCGTCAAGGAAGCTAACAGCTTCAACAGTGTCTGGCGGCTATGCCATCGTCCAGCCCAACTCCACCATGAGCATCAACGCCGTTGAGGGCTTCCCCCTCGAAGACTTCAGCGCCGAGGCTGTCAAGTCCCAGATCGCCGAGGCCCAGAAGGTCGCAAACGGCAGCGGCAGCGAGCAGGATATTGCTGAGGCGAAGATTGAGCTGGAGGTCAGTGGCATCAACTACAAGTTTGCTGTGTTCCAGTCCGTGACGCTAACAGTATTGCTACCCACAGGTTCTCGAGAGTCTGCAAGCCGTCCTGAAATAGATGTGTATAAACTGTTCGACGAGAATACCTGTAGAATACCACAAAACGATTTGATCTGTCTATGACGGCATTCTGAATTTTACTCTGGCACTCATTAGTGCCTTCCATGACCTCTTTCTATGAGCCCGGCTGTCTCGTGCCTTCCTAAGCATTGGAAGACCACTCTCTCCACATGGGCAGGCATTATGCTTTCTGCAGCAGACTTACCCAGCTTGCGGCTACCATTGCCTGGCTTCGTTCTTATCACACACTCTATATAGGCTGCTTCAGCACTCCCGAGCCCAACCGCCGAGGCGAAGATCGCCGCCAAACGAGTGCTCTCGGTTCGCCGGTTTTTACACCCGAGTTTTGCACCTACACTGCGCAATACCTAGTACTTACTTACTCCCATAAAGAACATCAACAACAAATTCAGAATCCTAGACGGTTTTCCATTGGGCCAGTGCCGTCTGGCGAAGTAGCAGTCGTTGGTACAAGTGGTTGCCGAACAGACTGACTATCGCCGGCCCCAGTCATCAGCTTGAGTACTCCATGGCCAACGCTGTCTGCAAACCTGCCAGAATCTTCCGCGACGAAGTAAGATGTGTCGGTCGTGGAAGTCACCATGAAATCGACTCTATCCAGCTCAGGTTGTCCAACTGGTTGACATCAGCAACTAATTCTACAGTGAAAGCCCAACTCCACGACCACCCCTTCAGTGAGCCGGGCTGTCCAAGGGAAGAAGACAATCTTCGTGACATAGAACGGCGTCAATCTCCTGAATCGAAGGACTACGTAATGCCCGGCGTCGCCATCCAGCAGCCCCCGCGGCCCGCATGCTAGTCACTGGGCTCTCACGAAGAGTATGATGTGTTGCTCGGGGGAGATGGCACGCCGCGCCCTTATCTGTTCGCCAGGATCTGTCATATCTGCAATACGAATACCACGGCTCCCAATTTCTGTCCGTCGTGCGGGCATGAACTGTGTGGCTCTTGCCTCTGCGAGGTACCTGGTCATTCAGTGCAGGCTCATCGAGCCTTTGCTGCCGCCAGGGCCGCTCGCCGGCGAGGTGACGACACTCCCGTCACGACGCCCCAGAAGGTCAGTAATCAATAGCCATACTATGACTGTTGCGGTCATTGACTTTGTGTGGACATCAGGAGGAGGAATCGCATCAAACTCTGCCTCGAAGTGGTCCTTCAGAGCAGGGAAGATTGTCCCAAGAGGATGATCAAGACTCATCCAAGAGGCCTCTGTCCGACTGTATCCCGCACAGAGATGATCTCGCCTTCCGGTCCGACTCGCCCTGCCCGGCCGATTGTCAAGACCCGACTTGTCGAGCTACGCACGCAGGCCATCATCCCTATCGGCATAGCGTGAGCTGCACTCTCAACAGGGAGGCTCAGGAGAAACTTGGAGCCGGCAGCGCCGAGGACAGCGCAAATGAAGCATCGGCGAGACGGAACACAATGCCTTTCGCACACAGAGATGTCAGCCTCGATATGCCGAAGCCTGTCGTGTCGTACAGGTCATCCATACTGTCAACCGCGACAGAACCATGTACCGACGGTATGACCAACCGCAGATACTCGGTCGTTGATTTCAGCGAGCAGGGGAGCGTGAAGCACCTAGTCCTGCTGAAGCATCTGCCGCAGTCACCGGAGGGACGACCCACTCGCCCCGATATTCCGAGAGTCCGCGTGATCAGCCCTCCGGATTGGCTGAGACGCCCGTCTCATGTACCAGGAAAGATTGAGGGCCGCCTCCGGAGGGTTGAGAGCAGGAGTACTCCGCACGTTGTCAATCGACTTGGGTCGTTCAGCATGGTACCTTTCTTGGGGGACAGCACAGCAAGTGATCTGGAGGAAGCCCGTGCAAGGCTGAGGCCAACAGCACCACGAGCACCACGAACAAATGCAGCGGAAGATCGAGTAGACAGTGAGCTGAGAAGGTCCCGCCAGTTGCGCGGACACCCTGAATCCAGCCCATCGTCTCCCAGGGGCGAAGCCCAGAAGACACAGGCTGGCCATGAAGATCAGAGACTGCCCCACGCGCGGATCTGGAGCCCTTCCGATGAGAGCAAGTTGCTGCCCAGTACTTTTGTTCACGTGCCGGGCTCAAGAACAGATGCAAAGTCCGACAACACACGAACAAAAATGCTTGCCGCTGTTGACACACCACCACCCTTGCCTGTGAGTCCTCACAGCGCAGGGCGTGATCAGCCAGCAAGATCACGAGACATCAAGTCCGGCACAGCACAGGACCATGAGTGCGAGTGGAAAGTGAAATGCTTGAAACTGGAAGCCGAATACCGCGCAATGAAGTCTGAGATGGCAAGGAGGAGCCTCGAGTCTGAAGACGAACTTGGGATTGACGGGCTGACAATTGTGCTGCACCTGAAGAACAAGGAGGATGTGGTCATCAATACGGATCTGAGGCAATCCGAGTGAGGCTATGGAAGCTGATGGGTAACGGGGCAATAGAACACCGTCTGCTCGCCTTGGTTAAGTTTGTATCGTTTTCAGTATGTCTATAATTATTAGATTGGAATAATAACTACTAGGAAGACGGCGTCTGAGAATGCTCTACGAAATCATGAAACGGTCCGGAGCTGCTTAGTTGACTTGAAATCAAGACCACCACAGACATCCTCTAAGTCAAGGAGTGTTTGTCTTCGCAGAGATGATAGACAGCAGCTCCAGCCAGCCTCGGCATCTGTCAGAGTTGGCTCCTGGCCGATGACTAGGCGCGGGCGGCTTCCCCACATGCCCCATGCCGAGTCTCCTCCGCTGCCCCGCATCGACGCAGCAGTCACTGGCCCATTGAGCCGGCCTGGCATGTCCTCTCTATCAAACTGCATTGTGCGGTGCCTCCAACTTCACCTTCCTCTGGATATAGTCTGCTGCTGCTGCTGCTCGGATATGAACACGATTCAGTACAATATCCGCAGAACTGCCGCTTCAAGTCTTAGACATCGACCCATCCGGCCGCTTGGTAGCGTATCCTCCGTAGCACATCGGCGACTGCTCGCCTCTTCGTCCTCCGCCATGTCCCAATTCCAGAAGCCGCCGCGCGGTCAACGTAAGTCTCTATTCGTCATACAGCGAGCTAGCTCCCAGAGGCTAATGTTGCTATCTCCTGGCAGCCAGGCCCTTTGTCTTGTCCGTCAACCCCTTTCTCGCCCCGGGGCCCCGGGATATCATGATCATGCATGTCTGGACCTGAGCTTACCCCTGAGAAACAGCGTCTGCGACCTGCAGGAAAAGTTCCGCAATGCCATCTGGGAGTTTGACAAGGTGTAAGTTCGTCACTCACACACACCCCCTTAAACCTCGCCTCCTTCTCCCACCAAAATACCCGAGTCACAACATTCAACACAACCCGAGAACAAACAAGAAAGGAAAAGACCTCAAACAAACACAAAGTCTGACCACCACCGGCGCGCGCCCACAACAGCATCCTGACCACAAAGAAGCTCCTCCAGGCCGCCCAGGCCCTCTCCATCCCCGTCGTCGCCACCACCCAGAACAAGGCGCGCCTGGGCGAGACGGTGCCCGAGCTCGCGCCCCTGCTCGCGCAGCTCGGCGCCCACGAGGAGGACAAGACCCTCTTCAGCATGTACCTCCCCGCCGTCGCCGAGCGCCTGCTCTCGCAGGCCCCGGCCCCGGCCCCGGCCGACGTGGCCATCGTGGGCATCGAGTCGCACATCTGCGTCACGCAGACGGCGCTCGACCTGCTCCGCGCGGGCCACAACGTCTACGTGCTCGCCGACGGCGTGAGCAGCTGCAACCGGCAGGAGGTCGGGCTCGCGCTCGACCGGCTGCGCTGCGCCGGCGCCGTCGTCACGACGAGCGAGAGCTGGCTGTACGACATGATGCGCGACGCGGCGCGGCCCGAGTTCAGGGCCGTCGCCGGCGTCGTCAAGGCCACCAAGGACGACACGCAGCGGGCGCTGTCGGGGCTGTTCCCCGGGCCGGGGCCCAAGATGTAGATCAAATATAGGCCGCTTGAGAAGGGTAGTTCATAAAATAAAATGAGAGTTGGCTTAGAGATTGCATTGTCGTGAGACTTTGTAGAGTCCCGGGAGATAGGACAGACCGAGACATTTACGGGTCTCGATACAAATCAGGACATATTGTACCATCCATGCACTTGTGAACATACTGGATTTAGGCCGCACCCTTCGCTGATTCCATTTTCTTTTCCCTCTTTGATTTTGCATTATTTTGCATCTTTTGAAGCACTCGTAGCTAACTGTGTATTGGCCACATGTGTGCAGAACGGGCAGTGCGAACACGAATGAATATTAGAATCCGTTGAGGAAGACCGGGGTAGACGCTCCTGGCTTTTCTCGAGAAAGAAGCCCGCGGAGATCATCTCCCCGATGACATCTAAAACTGGCGAATCGTAGTATATAAATAAATATATAAGGGACAAGGGACAAGGATTTGCTATAGCAAAGCATAGCATCACTCACTCCGCCGACGCGGCCGACGCCTTGGACTTGGACGGGTTCATCCACGAGAAGGCCGAGGCGCCGCCTACCGGGTTCGCTGCCCGCGGCGGTGCGCCCCGAGGATCGCCGTTGTTCGACGCTTGCGTCTTGTCCCTGCCCCCTCCGCTGCCCGACGACGACAGAACACTGCTGCTCACGCTGCGCTTCGAATCCCAGCGGATGAAGCTGGACCCGCCGCCGCCGCCGCCGCCGTTGTCTCGCTCGCCGCCACCGCCACCCGGAGTCTTGCGTCGGTGCTCGCCGCTCGTACGAGGCGCCGGCGCCGGCTCGTAAGCCGCCCCGGTCCGGGCCGACATGGAGCTGCCCGACTTCTGAGGCTTGAGCACCTTCATGTTGCGGCTGCGGGCGGCGGGCTGGTACCCGCTCAGCGGCCCGCTCTCGCGCTGGCCGCCGTCGCTACCGCTGGCCGAAGTGCCCTGCCGCCACGAGCTCCAGATGGAGGAGTCGCGCCGCGCGCTCTCGACAGCACCCGCGGGCGGGGCCTCCCGGGTCGACTGCTCGGAGCTGATGGAGTGCCTGGGCGGCTTCTCGCTTTCCCCTCCGCTCTCGGAGATGTTGGTGGACCACTTGACGGATGGCTCCGGCCGGTCCTCGCCCGTCAACGGCGCCGGCTCCTGCTGTTCAGCTTCGTCTTCTTCGTGTCTCGGCGAGTGTCGGTTCAGCGCCATCTCAGTTGGTTCCGGGAAAGACTTGGCATCGCTGGACACAAACTCAGGCGCGGAACCATTGAGCTTCGGCTTCTGTCGTACAATATTCGAGGTGGTCAGGTTCTTGAAGAGAGCATCGTCCTCCGGTCGAACAAACGGAACAGTCAGCTTGTCTCTGTCGTTCCCATACAGATTCATGGTATTCTGAGAGAAGAGCAGGTCCGCACTATGAGCCCGCAGGGTATCGCTCCCAATGAATATGTGGATGCTCGACTTGGCGCCGGCATTTTCGGTCTGATCGAAGCCCATGACTTCAAAATTGGCAGTCATACTCGGAATCTGGGGCATCAAATTTGGGGACCTTGAATGCGAATGTGCGACAATAGCCTCTGCCAGGTACACTGGGAGCCGGACGCGATGCGTGCCATCTAGATCTCGGTGCATCTCGTGCTCCAGTTCCAGTTCCTTCACCAGGGAATAATCCAAGGTAGACTTCTGCGATCCCGAACATACTGCGGCGTACAAGAGTGCCCCGTGGGCAAAGTTGTTTGTGAGCCAGCATCGGATAATGGCCGGTACAGATCCAAGCACAAAAAGGCTCGGGGGTGGCTCTGGGATGTCCAACGGGGAGTCATCTTCATGACTGCCCACCAGGAAATGAGTGTCGAGACCCAAGCTACTGCCTCTGGAGGCCAGAGAGTGAACCGAGTGCACAGAATGGCCAGCAGAGCTGTGTCTGCCATCTGACTTGTGTGAGAGGGAGCGCTCCATCATGCCAAATCCACTGCCCGGGCGGATTGGCCCGAAATCTCCGGATTGTCGGTGTGCAGAGCTTACGCCTTGCAAAGCTGCTTCATCGAAGCGGACACTATTAGCTCTCGATGCGGCACCGCGCCGGATGGGTTCATCCTCGGGTTCCAAGTGCAATGAGCCCAGGAGGTTCTGGCTCTGGGCGTCAAAGTCGTCAAAGTCATCATTCGGTGGCATATGGATGGGCCCTTGTCATCAAGACGTTAGTGGTGTGGATTACAGGGCGCAAGGATAGGCTGAGGTCTCACCATGAAGAGGAGTACCGCTCAGAGCACTGGGAAACGGCGAATTGGCTCCCCAGATGGACTTAGTGGTAGATTCCTCATACTGACGCTTTTCAAGGCGCTGCAACCGCTCGGAAAGGGCACTCTGGCTTAGATGGAGCTGTTTCAAGTCCATCTGCACATTATGGAACTCGTCACGGTTGACGGTGAAACGAGGATCCATGCCCACCCAAGGGAAATGCCGCTTGGAAACCACACAGGAGGATAGGTGATGGCTTAGAGGAGACGTATCCGACTAGAGAGGAGCTGACTTAGCGGCGAGGGCTCGAATCACGGCAATGAGACTGCGACTCCCGAGTCTGGGCCTAGTTGGCGATTTGGCCGTATTCCTGTATCACCACACACTCGTGTCCTCTTGTTGCTGCAGGACCTAGATCATCGAAGTCAGGCCACAGAGTCCACCTCCCCCACCATCGCACGAAAAGACCAGCCGGTCTTTCTGCGGATCTCCAGATGATAAGCAATGGGCCGAGCAAGTATTCGAGGCCGGAGGCGAGGGGGCGCACAGCTTGTTGCACTAAGTCTAAAGGGTGGAGTTTGGTTCAAGGCGCCGAGAGCGGAAATGGAGCAAGTTGAACCTTGCCTACTCGTTCTTGGACGAGGGTGGGTGAAGTGATGTAGTAGATATGGACGGTATTTGAGCTTCCTGGCTCTACCGCAAGGCGAACCGCTCCCACAGTTGTTGAGGCTGTGAGCGTGACGAGGAGGGCGGAGCGTTTGACGTGTGGAGGGGCCCCCAACTCTATTTATACGTTCAACGGACAGCTGGCCTATTTGTGATCAAGTCCGGGGACAAAGGCGACAAGGAATCGAGCTTTCGTGTCGCGCGATCTCGGTGTGGAGGTGTAGTCTGCGGAGGTGCAAAAGGATTGGAATGAGGGCGTAGGCAGCCTAGTTGGCAAGGCGGGGAAGGGACGTCGAGAGTGATCTAGGTTGTCGTCGAGCAGGTATGATAGGCAGGCACCAAGCGGCAGGCCTTTGTGATGTGTTGAACTGGCTTTGTCGTTGGCGAGAGAGTCCGGAGGTCGAGGTTTCTCCAGGCAGGATAGGGAGCTGGAGAGTTGAGATTGGTGAGGAGTTGTCTAGTAGGGGCGATTTGGCATAGGCATGTCGTTGTTTCGAGGAGGTGACGATTAAGGACTGTTTTTAGTGGTCCCCGGGTAGCCGGCTCCCACAAATCGCTGCAACTAACACCAGTAGCGTGCCTCCAATTGAGTAGGGCCGTTCGTTTGGAGATGAAACACTCGACTGACTTGGTAAATGGGGGGGAAGATGAGATGAAGTGACACAGAATATGCACCTGTCAATTGGTCCGAAGAGGATGGAAACCCATCGGTGTGTCATTGTGTGTCCTTGCACTACTTCAAGACGACAATCTGTAGGACGTGGTGTCTACTTCATACCTTGTCTCCTTTCCAAGGAGGCAGAGATTTACCGTGTAGAAGGGAGGAAACAGAATAGAAAATAAGAAGCAAACGTGAAAACCACCTGTGTGTTCTATTCTTTGCTTTAGAGTGTCTAAATCTCGTCTCGAGTCTTCTTATCAAGTCCCTTAATTCTTCAGCCACTCGGCCTCGCGCCAATCGGGGTAGATCCATCCCTCCTGCGAGAGGTTGGGATGTTGCGGCTCAATGTGCTTCTCAACCGCCTTGAAGAAGATCTCGTACGCCTCGCCAGTCATGTGCAGGCCGTCCTTCAGGAGCTGCTCCAGGTACCCGCGCTTCCCCGTCTCCGGGTCGCCGAGCGTGCCCGTGCTGGCGTCAAAGCCGGGCGTCTTGGCAATGGCCACGTCCATGAGCTCCTTCCATAGGTCGACGAGCACGACGCCTTCGACCTCCTTGGCCACCTGGCGCGCAGCCTCGGAGTACTGCGCGCTGATCTTGGTCTCGCGCGTGCTCTGAGGAAAGCCGGCCTCGATGTCGAGCTTGGCTTTGAAGATCTCGTCCAGCGGGGGCGGGGTGACCAGGAGGACCTGGGCCTTGTGCGCCGTGACGTTGGGGTGCGTGATGATCTTGGCCAGGTTCACCTTGTACTCGGCCAGGTCGACGTGCTGGTTCGCAACCTGCATGGGGATCGCCGCATCATTGGCCCCGAGCAGAACAAGCTGTGCGCGGTGAGTGCTGTGCGCAGACGTGCGGGCGGCATTCAGAAGCAACAAGGTTCAACATACCAGGTACTTGATCTTTGGCCCGGACTCTGAGGGGGCCAGGATGATCTTGTCTAGTATCTTGAGGGTTTGCGAAGTGTTGTAGCCCGAGAAGCCACGGTTGACCACGTCATACCTCCGAACGCAATCTGTCTTGCCCGTTAGAATCACGACGCCTGTCTAGGAGTGGACCGGCGGTCTCTTCTGGGTGGCTTACGAGTCTCGAGAGCAGACTGGAAAGAGAAGCCTTCGTTGGTCTGGCAGGCACCCTGGATGAGAGAGTCGCCGAGGAGGACCACCTGAGGATACGGAGCCTACAGATTCACGTCTTAGATATCGGCCTCAGATGCCGGTGCAGGCACGAAAAATGAGGAACTCACTGCCATCTTTGGAGAACGTTGGCGTCGTGGGTTGAAATAGGGATGGATTGGATCTTTGGGCGGCGTAGACTGCTTACTGTTGCCAACAAAGTCACTGGAAGAAATAGGAAATCAACTTGCTCGCTTGACCAGTCTGTCCAGGGAGACGATCAAGGCCTAGGTCTCTAGCACGTATATATAGATGAGCCGCCCTAGCTTCTGCCGTCTCACTAAACAGGTCGAGGAGGCGTGCGGCGGGGTCGTCTAAGTCCTTGATGAGGCTTTTCGTGGACCACTTCTGTCAAGAGGACAGGCCAAAAAGGGCAATACCCGACGGATGCTTGCGGCGGTCTGGATGCTCGCATGCTGCCAGAAGGCACGCCGAATAGCGCGATACAGTGGGGTTGACTACTGCCTCATTCGCTTTAACCCTTCGACTACGTGTCCCTAGCCCGTCGACAGCTCGTCCTCCGGGATATCTGTGGCCGGAGCTACAACGGGAGTCGCACGAGTGCACAGCTGGTCCGGTGTGGTCTAACCAAGCTTTTGACGGCGGAACTACCTTGTACCGTCGACAGCCCGTGGCGCCTTGTGACCCTGGATGTGTACGATAAGGAGGTCAGCCATTGGCAAAGCTTCTGACATCTTGTCATTGCTCAGACTGATCTTCTGATCTAGAACCAGTCGAAAGAAGTGCAAGTATTGCACAAAGGGCTCGACTGTATGCTGCTATCCCTGCGCTGTATACCGAATCCAGCCTTGATGGCATACGGTCTGCAACCAAATAAATTGGTTTGTGTGAGTCTTCGTGATGAACGACTTGAGTTTGCCCGAGGACAAGGCGATAGCAAATTTGGGTACCCACATTGGAATTGTTGTGTGCCGAAGCTGGTCGGGCCAAAATTAATGCTCCATGGGAAGAATTCAGTAATGTGCCTCGGCGGAGGGTGATGCTGTTACTAGGTCGAAATTTACGCCGGCAAGGTCCCTAGCCTGAGAATCCGGATGCATGTGAACGTTTTGACAGTCTCAACAAACAGCCGTACTCCCTTGCCCACCTGCTCACCGACCACAGCATCCAGAATAGTCGAAGCTTTCAGTACGCAACTCAAGTCTTCGGCCATGTCTCGGGACGGACTGATACAGCTTCTGGACAACATACCACCGCCGTCGGTATGTTGCCAGGGGGCCATGCTCCTCGCAGCCGCGTGCATCTTTGCTGTTGCCGCCCTCCCGCGCGAGGTCAAGCACATCATGATGGACTATGGTGCCAGAGAAGAGCGGCCCCAGACTCACCAAAAGGGCGAGGCGCCGCAGGAGTACAGGCTCGTCAGGCAGCTCGCCGCGTACACGGCGGTGCCGCACTCCTGGTTCAGCAGCTACTACTACACGTCTGTCGCCGGCCTTGCCTTTTGGGCCTACCAATTCTTGCGCCACGGGCGCCTGATGCAGCTTCTCGCCAGCCGGCAGGCGTCTGCCGGCCTGCCGTCGATGGCAATGGAGCAGGTCTGCGTGACATGGGGGCTGATGGCCTTGCAAGGGACGCGCAGGCTGTTGGAGTCTTGGGCGTTGGTCAAGCCCTCCAAGTCGAAGATGGGGGTGCTTCACTGGCTACTTGGCATCGCGTTCTATGCTGGCATGAGCCTGTCCGTCTGGATCGAGGGATCGCGTACGTTGCCCTCGTCTTGTATTCATGAAGAGAGACTGTTGCTAACGACTACAAGAGGCGATCCGGGAAAAGCAACAAGGCCTTTTGAACGGAACAACAGCAGTCCCCGTCAAGACTATGGTAGCGGTTCCAACGTTCCTGTTGGCTAGCGTCCTGCAAAATGGCTGCCACAGGTATCTAAGCAGCCTGAAGAAGTACTCTCTGCCGGAGAAGGGTCTCTTCCGGCATATTGTCTGCCCACACTACACGTGCGAGTGTGTCCTCTACGCAGCATTGGCGCTGGGTGCGGCTCCAGAGGGTCGACTGTTGAACCGAACACTCCTATGTGCTCTCGTGTTCGCGGCCACCAACCTGGGCGTTACCGCAAAGAGGACCAAGGATTGGTATGCTGCCAAGTTCGGGCCAGACAAGGTTGCTGGTAAATGGGCTATGATCCCGTTCGTTTTCTGAGACCCAAGGCGCAGGGCCACAATTCATCGCTTTTGAAACAGCCCAAACTTGCTGCCTAGCTTCGACACCTTCAGCACATCACGATACGTCAGACTCGTCCTTGTCTGGCGAGAGCTCCGACCCGCCTCGAAAGCGGTGTTGGAAGAGAGCAGGCTCCAGTTTGCGATTGTGTCTTCCGACAAGTCCACGTCTTCCTCTATGTCGGATATGCCGTGCAGGAAATCAGTGTATAAGTCTCCGGTAGTGATGAGCAGGCTCCGTGGCTCCTGAAGGATCCTCCAAGCAGGTTCTGGTTCTATTGCCCCGTCTTCCTTGCTCCTGTAGATGTTCAGGCAGAGGCTCGCCCCGAGGCTTACTGTGCACACAACTGGGTGATAGGCGGCTCCATCCTACAGCAACGATAAGTCTACGGGCCTACAAGGTCGATGATGCCAAGCGACCACCCGACCTACCTTGTGCGGCATGATGCCGGTGCCGGGTGGGTATTCATTGATCAATACATGGTTGGGGCGTGAATGGGGGCTGTCCGAGAAGATATTGTTATCCTGCCCTTCCAGCAGCGGAATCGATAGCAATCGCGAAACGATGGGTTCGTCGAGCCATCGAGGCAAGGGGGAATCTAGTAGTGAGTTCTGCACGAGATCGGACGGCCAAGTCTGGAGTCGGCGGTGGCTCAGTTGTTTCCATCTGGGCTTCGGCGCAGCAGCGATCTTTTCCAATATAGAAGCCTCCTCCTCTTCTGTGATGAAGTTGGCGATGTAGTAGCATCGAGGAGGGAGCCTCGATACCCTGGCGAGCTCGAGGGACGAAGGCAGTGATGATTCCGCCATGCCGTGGAATTTGGACCGGAGCTCCCAACAATCAGACTGACTTGCCAGAGATCACTTTGCCGTGGCTACTCTGATTGCGGATGCTGTCGTGTGAGTACGTCGTGTGACGGTGGTAGAGGACAGAGACAAGGATGCACGCAAATAACTCGCTCGTTCGTGTTTGTTAGAGAAGGAGAGAAGGAGGTCGATCAGGCGGTCAGGCAGGGTGAGGGCGAGCTGGGTCGTACAGCGTGGCTGGCATGTTCCACTGAGCGATGTACGGAGTAGAGCTGAGATGTAAAGTCCGCCAAGGTTGAGAGCGTGGAGAAGAGACGAGGCCTTCCGCAAAAGGTTGAGGAACCGAACCAGCCCTGGGAGCGGAAGTCGTTGGCACAGACTGAGCCGTGGACCTGACCAAGGACGGTTGGCGATCTCTGGCTGGTCGTGGGTCGTCTCTTATCTGGGAATGGACAAGTGCTGGATTTCGTAAAAAATCTGGTTGTAATTTCGACACTCTGCAGAGAAACGGGGGCTTGGAAATTTGGACGAGCGGGCCCCGCTACGCCTGGTACGCTTTGAAAGGCAGGCTGCACATATGCAGGGAGTCCTGGCTGATTCTGAGACGGAAACCAACGAGCCGATAGCTCTGGAGGAGAGGGAGAGAGACTGATACCTACTTCGTAGATAGCCAGTGCTTGAGGGTTTTATCGAGTTGATTTGCGATGATGCCTGGACATGCAGGCCAGCAGGCAGATTGGCAGACAGGCACGCAAGCAGGCAAGCCAGCCACCAATGCCACGCACGACACCAGCGTTGGCATCGGTAGATGGTCAGGATGGATTCATGGAAGATGCATCAAAGTGCATGAGAAGCACGTTCCCCACTCACACCAGTCGTTAGCCCGTCTCTGCATCCTTGCTTCAGTGGTGAGAAAAAAGGAAGCTAACGGTAGGGGGGCGCAGCAAAGGAGAAATAAAAACGGCGGTTGGGGTTCATATCGCCCGCCGTACTCTAGTCATTTCGGAGCGCCACTGGGAGGGACAGGTGGCGATCAGACCTGGAGCATGGGCAAATCTCAATGTACGGAGTACCTACCGCCGTTTGCCCATCTTTTGGCCCGTCCCGGTACCCAGGAACGCAGTCGAATACTTAGTCGAAATGCCCGAAGATAGAATAAAAATACAACAACAATCCAAATTTACATTACTTGGAGTATTTCGGTAGATGATACCATCATCCATCCGTTTGGGAAGATCAGGAGAGGCATGTAGATGTCATGACTCTCTATGTAGGCACATCAAACTCGTCCCCCCTATCCGCACTCCGCAACGTAAACCCAGCCCCCCGAGGAGCTGAATGGCGAGTAAGTGCCAAAGTGCCTGCTGTCTGCCTTGACTTGACCATCTAGGTATCTGCATGTTTGTACTCCTTCGAGTCCTTCCAGCACAGATCACCTGGTGGTGGTGGCAGGGCTGATCAGATCTTTGTCGAGGTACCTAACCTCCAGACTACAGAGCAAGTGTGGTCCTTGTCATTGCATATCCACCCAGGCCGTCCATCTCCTTCACGCGTGTTGCCTGAAGCCCGCATAGACTGGAGCGGGCTGCCCGCTACTGCCCGCCCTCCAATAGAGCCTAGTCATCTAGCCATAGTGGATGCTTTTTGGTGCTTGTCTGCTGCCACCCTGCTGTTGATGCTGCAGCTGCAGTGTAGGTATGTACATTGATACCTAGGTAGCAGGGCTGGGACACTGCCTGCTGGCGTGTCTGTTTTGTCTGTCTTCCTGTGAAGGTAGTGGATTCCTCTTGGTGGTCGTGCCTTTGACCAATTCATCCCTCTCCCTCTTCCATCCTTTTCACCTTTGGCTGATTGAATCATCATTTTCCCTTGCGACGCGAATCAATCAGCCTTTACCTTCCCTCCAGTCCTTGATCGTCCAGGGAAGCGCCCAGCATGGTGCAGAGCAATAGAATTTTCTCGAATTAAATGACATGGATGCGCAGAATGCTGTCGACGCCGCCTCCACGAAGCCTGCCGCTTCACCCAAACACTCAGCCGGTGCGGACCCCGACCAGGCCACAAAGACGACCTCTCTGACCAAGTCACCAACCTCCGTTCGATCATCGCCCCCAGTCAAGGAGTCCAGATCCGGTGCTGCCCATCCTCAAGCTCAAGACGACGATGGCGCAGACGCCAACTCGGAGGCTGAAACCATTGTGCTGTACGATAAGAATGGAAATCCATCACCCTCAAAGTCTCGCAAGATGATCAAGCATGAGGACAAGAGCGATGGCGAGGGCAAGATCGAGGCCCCTGCCGCCCTCAAGGCCTCGGGCAGTCGAAGCAGGGAGGGCGATCGCTCGGGCCAAGGCGGGGCTCGCGATGCCGCCTCAGCGCCGCCCTCCGCAGCTTCCCACACTGGAAAAAAGAAGACCTCGCAGGAAAACAAGCGGACCAAGGACGGCTCGAGTGGCCTCAGCTCGGCACCGGCCTCACCTCCGCATCACCACCGCCCCAGAAGGCTCTCAACTGCACATCCACATCCACATCCAGATTCCGACTCTGATTCTGTTCGCGCCAAATCGCCGCGACTGCCTTCAGCCGTACGGGACAAAGCGCGCTCAGTCGACAGGCTCGTGTCCCACAAGAGGAAGGCACCAAAGGCAGAATCCGACGACGAGGGCGAGAGTCGCAAAGCCCGCAGGCAGCGCACTGCTCTGGTTGGGCTCGACAACGGCAACACTTCGAACAAGACGCACCGCGAGCACAAGACATCGGCTTCAAGACCACACCATGAGACCAACCAGTCTTCGCGCAACCGCTCTATTTCCCCTCAACCTCGGGCTCACCGTCGCAGCATTTCAACCCAGCTGCCGTCCAACGGGCTGAGCCACAAGAAGAAGAGAGTGCCTGCTCCACTCCAGTCCACTGATTACCATTCTGATGAATCCTCTGCCAGTGGCAGCCCCCATATTCGAAGCTCCAAGCTGCGTAGCCTCACTACCCCCGCCACGGCTGAGTCCACCATCTCGCCTGCCAAAATGGCGCCGCACAAGAAACATCTCGATGCTCACGGCCAAACATTCTTAGCGCGCGCATGCGCGAGAGGCGAGTACGATGGGGTGAAGCAGAGATTGGCCGAGCGTCCCGAGGATTTGAATGTCGCAGATTTCGCTGGCAACACTCCTCTGCAGATCGCCTCAATTAATGGTTACGATGATATTGTGAAACTTCTCATCGAGGCTGGCTGCAATCTGGACTGTGTCAATTACGATAAAGACACGCCTCTTCTGGACGCGGTAGATAACGGGCATCTCGAGGTGGTCAAGCTACTTCTCGACGCAGGAGTCAATCCGCGGAAAGCCAACGTCAACGGCGAGGAACCACTCGACCGTATTACGGACGATCTGGAGAATGCCACTGAGATACGTGCTGCTTTGGTCAACGCCAAGAAGAAGATGGGCGAGCGCCGCTTCACTTCGGAGGACAACTTCCAAGACGCTAGTGATACGCGCGCTTCCCATGGTCCGGAGAGCCCCCGAAGGTCACCACCGGCCTCTAGCCTTGCTCACCAGGTGGCAGCTTCGAGGAGGGCTGGGACCGTTCGAGCCAACAAGACTAGCAACCACCTGCTGTACATGCCCATGGATGACAAGACCCTTCGTCAGGCCGCCGGGCGCGGTGATGAGGAAACGGTGACCCGCATTCTCCAAGTCAGGGATACCTTTGACGACCCAGAGTCTATGGTTGCCGCAGCGAGGGGTGGCCATGATATTGTTATGCAACTCCTGCTCGCGTTAGGGAACGCAAATCCAGACCCAGCAGGTGTGACCTCCGTATCCCCCGATGTTGCGACGCCCATGCTTGCAGCCATTGGGCAAGAAAATATCAAGGTCATCCGGCTCTTGCTTGATCAGACTAGTTTTGACCCGACGCGAAAGTTCAGGGGAGAAACCTATTACGAGATCGCACGGAGACGCCAAGGCCCGAACTGGAAGGAAGAGGAACATATGCTCAAGGACGCGTACGACGCGTACAAAAAGACTCATAAAGACTCAGCCAAGACCAAATCTCCGGCGAGACGGGATCTGGATCGGGATAGTAAGCGCGCAGGGCGCTCCGAGTCCAGAGACGAGTCCGCTAGGGCCCACAAGCGGAAGCTTTCCAGTCCGACCAGGGAAACCAAGAAGGCGGCCAGCAGCAAAGCACCGACCAGTCCCAAGGACAAGAGGCGGTCCAACTCGTTTTCTGCTCACCATGACACCCAATCTTCGCCTAGACGTGGTCCGGGCCGACCGAAGAAGGATGACCGCCCACCCACAATCGCAATCTCTGACCGAGAAGTCTCACCGCCATCAAAACACTCCAAACCCAGGCGAGCCGAGTCAGATCTTGCAGCTTTATCCTCTGAGGGCGAGACGATGAAACCAAGACGAAAGCTCGTTTCCGGAAGAGAATTGAAAGGCGAGCGCGATAAGCAACGACGAGCAAGCATGGCATCGACGGCCTCATCACTGAAAGAGCCGTCTAGTCCCCGTGATTCTCGTCATGATGATGTCCACGAGCGCCTCAAGGGGGAGAAGTATCACGACCGAACTAAGCAGCTCAAGCGCGACGAGTCCAGAGATAGGCTCTCGGTCTCCGGCGAAGGCTCAGGCAAACGACACCGTTCAAGTGCAACGCCGCCGCACCATCCTTCATCGGAGAAAGAAGGCGGAGAAGGTCCGGTCAAACGACGCCGCTTGGATGTCGAAGGCAGAGAGAAGCGGCAGAAATCCACCTCCCTTGATGACCGACCTCACAAGTCCGCTGCCTCGCGAGACCCCTCGGCGAATTCAAGTCACCGGGATCGGGACGACGCTGAATCGAAGTCAGCGAAACAGAAGAAGCGAGACGCCTCGTCGGACCGAAGCCGAAGGGAATCTGGAAAGTCTAACGCTTCGGAGAAAAGCATTCACGTCAAGTCCGAGGATGTTGATATCGAAATGCATGACGTCGATCAACCTAAGGAAGGTGCCGAGATCGAGGCCCGTGTAGCGAAGGACAAGGAGTCGGACAAGAAGAAACAAGCCGAAGCCGAGCAGCAGGCTTTGGAAGCCAGAAAGGCAGAGGAAGAGCAGAAACGCCGAGAAGAAGAGGAGCGTAAGCGGAAAGAGGAAGAGGAAGCAGAGGCGAAACGTCGAGAAGAGCTCGAGAAGAAACAGCGACTCGAAGAGGAAAAGCGAAAAGCAGAGGAAGAAGAGAAGAGGAAGAAGGAGGAGGAGGAGAAGAGGCGAAAGGAGGAAGAGGAGAGGAAGAGGCTCGAAGCGGAAGAAGAACAAAAGCGTCGGGAAGAGGAGGAGCGGAAGAAGCGCGAAGAGGAAGAACGGCTGCGTAGAGAGCAACTGGAACGCGAAGCTGCCGAAGAAGCCCGAAGGAAGCGCGAAGAGGAGGAGAAGAAAGAACAGGAGCGACGGGAGCGTGCGCAACGCGAGGAAATGGAGCGCCGCCGCGCTGCCCGGGAGGCCGAGAGGGCTGCGAGAGAGGCTGAGCAGCGAAGGATCTTCGAAGAGCAGGAGAGGATCCGTCTATCCAAGTTGCCTCCACTGCTTCGATGGCTGGACACCTGTGCCAACCCCAAGTCTCCAGAAGTGGCACAGAAATTCAGCAAGATGCAAGGTGTCCGCTACGACTGCATACGCCCGGAGGCAACTGGCAAGCCAGATGGCCGAGAGCAATGGCTCCTCAACACACAGGTGGCATTGCTACTCGGAGAGAAGGATCTGGACCTCTCGCGCTACACAGCTTGGGAACGCATCCCAGTGTCGATGATTGCAAAGAAGACGATCTGGAGGCTCGAAGCTGACCGGTATGCCTTGACGACTCAGAATCTGTTTGATATTGGCAAACAGCTTCCCGACTATTATGAAGGGCATGATCCAGACACGATGAGCTATACAATCATCGAGAGACTTCGCAAGGAGGCTTGGCCGCTCTTCGCCTCTCTCGAGATGTTCTTCGTCAAGGTAAGGAGCAAAGCACTTCACGAATCGTCCCCCTTTAGACACTAACAATTAGCTTCCAGGCCTCCGAGCTGATGTATATCATCCCCACAATGCCCCATCTCCGCAACATTAAGCTTTCCATGGCATATCGCGAGCTTCCCGAGAGCGAAGCTCAGATGATGTATTGGGCGCCCACGCAGAAGTGGAAGAGCGATCCCGATGCAGACCGATTCCATGGCTTCGCTCCTCGCAACAAGTACTTTGTCAACGGCGCCATGGTCTCCGAAGACAAGCCAGGCTTGAGCGCAGTCAGCAAGACGCCCTTCCCAGAGAAACGCGTCCCTCGTCGAGGACTCAAGGCTGTGACTCCCGACGACCCAGACTACGACAAGATTTGTCGTGAACAAGGGCTGGAGCATTTGATATCTGGATCGAGCTCGCCCACGCTGCCCAATGGAGTCCAATTCTCGCCTGTCAGTCAATCATCTACCCGCCATGGTGCACCTGCCGGGTTGTCGACCGAACAGACCGCGCAGACATTGCTTAATGGCGATGGCCAGCACCAACTGGCTTCTCCCACCACTTCCTTGCCCGGTACCGCACCTGGTAGCCACACGGGTGTCAACGGAAACCACGTTGATGCTGTGGCTGATTAACGAGCTGAACAATGATGAGTGTATGGGTACAGAGGATGGGAAGCAACTATTATGTATGAGAAGTCGTATGGTCTAGCGGTATGATCGCTCATGGAAACCCCTATCTCTTTTACGAATCGCCTATGGGACGACGGTTGGGATACAATGGGTTGCTGGCTTCACCTTAACAACCGAGACTACCTAGACCGGAGGAGCGGTATCTTTGTTACATTGCTGGTAGCGACATGGTATGATTCCAGGGAATATACCCCGTGTTCTTTTGTACAAATCCATTGAAGGACGTAATATGTTCGACGTGTGTGACGAGTTGGCCTGGCTAGATGTTTGTTGAGTTCTTGCTCTGTACGAATCATCGCACGCATGGTGCATTATGTGTAGTACATGTAGTATATCCGAATGGCCGCCAGCCGGAGACGGTCCGGCAGCAATTTTCCCCACTATGAAATTTCACCCACATTAACCAGTCTTGCCCCGCGATAATAGAAATTCAAGATCGACCAAAACCGTCTATCGCGGTTCTTGCCCGACAGTCCACATCAACAAACAGCATACTAGGAGACCGCCCGAGGGCAAACAGTCGCAGAGATGTCGACCACGGTAGACAAGGTATGTTGCTCCCTTGGCGTTGCCCTGCTCGACGGACGCCACTGACTGAATCTTCAATACAGATTAAGGAGATCGAGGCCGAAGTACGTTTGCAGCTCCTCACGATCCCGATGAATCACCAACCATTTGCTTTATTGCGATACCGCCGTACGAAAAGGCACCTCTGCTGACAAAAAGTCACGTCTCTCTGTTATAGATGGCCCGGACCCAGAAGAACAAGGCAACGTCCTTCCATCTGGGTCAACTCAAGGCCAAGCTCGCCAAGCTGAAGCGCGAGCTGCTCACACCGTCTGGTGGTGGCGGTGGAGGTGGCGGCGCAGGTTTCGATGTTGCGCGCACCGGTGTAGCCAGTATCGGCTTCATCGGCTTCCCCTCGGTGGGCAAATCGACGCTCATGAGCAGACTCACGGGCCAACACTCCGAGGCCGCGGCATACGAGTTCACGACATTGACGTCGGTCCCTGGTCAGGTCATGTACAATGGTGCGTGCAGGACTTCCCTTCTTTTTTTGGTCCACCTGCTGTTTGCAACCCGGATCATTACACTCAATCACGGATCGGCGTACGAACCAAAGTTGGCCAGTTCAGGGTAGGGTGTTGGTTCTGGGATAAGGCTTCCAGGCGCATGGCAGGCATCTCGTGTGATCTGCGCGGTCTGCGGGCCGTGGGCCTCGAAGTTCGAGAGAGTCGAGCATGATGCCAACTTTTTGCCGCCCCTTTCACATTCTTCCTTTACTTTGCCAGTCAGGTTGCGTTGCGCTTGTGTAAACAGCCGAGCAGAACGGGGCGCTAACTGGCGCGGGTCACCGCATGAAACAATAGGCGCTCCTCTGCAGATGATTGACTTACCCGGAATTATCGAGGGTGCCAAAGACGGCAGAGGGCGTGGTCGCCAGGTCATCGCCGTTGCCAAGACGTGCCATCTCATCTTTATCGTGCTCGACGTCAACAAGCCTCTGACGGACAAGCGCGTGATCGAGACGGAACTCGAGGGCTTTGGCATTCGCATCAACAAGGAGCCACCCAACATCACTTTCAAGAAGAAGGACAAGGGTGGCCTCAACATCACCAGCACTGTCCCGTTGACACACATCGATCATGACGAAATCAAGGCGGTCATGAGCGAATACCGCATCAACTCGGCTGATATCACCATCCGTTGCGATGCCACAGTGGACGACCTCATCGATGTGCTCGAGGCTAGGAGCCGAAGTTATATCCCTGTCATTTACGTGTTGAACAAGATCGATGCGATTAGCATTGAGGAGCTCGACCTCCTCTACCGTATCCCCAATTCCGTGCCCATCAGCTCAGAACATGGTTGGAACGTCGACGAGCTAATGGAGGCCATGTACGCTCTTTCCCGTCCATCTTAGTCGGCGAGCAAGGGGTGTTCCCTGGTGTATGCACAAATGCTAATTCAGTCACAGGTGGGAAAAGCTAAAGTTGGTTCGAGTCTACACGAAGCCCAAGGGAAGGATGCCCGACTACTCCGCTCCTGTTGTGCTCCGTTCCACGAAATGCACCGTTGAGGACTTCGTAAGTTTTAGAACCTCGCCTCCACGCTGGTCGTTTGGGACAGGTCGTGTGTTCTAACCGGGTCTGCCTCGTCCGTAGTGTAACGCCATCCACCGAAGCATCCTTGAACAGTTTAAGAATGCCGTTGTGTATGGCAGGTCCGTGAAACATCAGCCACAGCGCGTCGGCCTATCGCATCAGCTCGCTGACGAAGATATCGGTATGTTATGCATCCGCTGACGAGTTCCATTCGAAACCTTGGGATGTCTGTTTGGCAGTTCAGCTGACCTTGTCCCTCCCTGTAGTCACGATTATCAAACGGTGAAAGACTCTCCCTCTCAGCGCGCCACAAGACCAGGGCGATATTAGAAGCCTCAGTTTCGGAGCTCCCGTTCTGAAACGACCCCTGAGGCGCCCACACCCGCAACTTGCCGAATACTGGCTCTCGCCCGTTTCAATTCCCCGGTGGCGTAGCGACGCGTCCCTCGAAGAAGGACAAAATGCTGGTTTGCGATTGGAATAGACCATACCTATGTGTGGCAATACGTCACAAATGCATTGCCAGGCTCAGCAAGAACGGCATGATACGCGTCCCAGTGCGAACACGGAGATTGGCAGCGCCAAGGCGCATGAAATAGCACGCCTTTCTTTGCAGTCATGACTGCAACCAGGACAGGGCTGGCAATGGCAAGATGGGGGACTGATCGAGGGACGCAAATTAGTCCAGGGGTGGTTTTCGGCTTGGGGACAGGCCTGGATACTTGCATACATCAACCCGACTGTACATACCACATACATACATTAGAGGTTTCCCCCCCTGCATCGGACATGGGGGAGGCGAACAGAAAAGAAGCAAGTTGAGACGAAGCACTGCATGCGACTGCTACTTTCAACGGCTCGAAAGCGTCATCCGGTACCTTTGTTGGGTTGGGTGGCAGATGCAAGAGAAGCTTTAGTCGGGGTGCAGAGCGAAGCTGGGTTGCAGTAAACCCCCGACGTCGCCGTCCAGCCCGAGGTTGGGAGGTCAGAATGTCAGTGTCAAGTCCCCCCCCCCCTTCACCCCCGCAAGGCGCCACATCCCATCCCAGGCAAAGGTAGGCCCGGCAGGCCCAGCAGGCCCAGCAAAGAAGGGCAAGGCATCATCTTTCTGCGACAGGAAACAGGGCCTGCAGGTCGGTGCGGTCTTGCAGGGCCAGAGGTGCATAACCGAACGGGTCGCCGAATCTGCGGCCAACGATATCCAAGCTAGGGCATGCATGCAGATAAGGTAGGGCAGTGTGCGGTGGAGGCGTGGGGTGCACCTCGGCGCTTAACAGGAACGTGCAGGAGGAGGAGCAGATGAGGGAGTGTGTACCAGGAAGAATGAGTGAGAGTGAGGTGCAGGTGTGTGTTTTCTTGGTGGCAGCTAGCTAGTTAGCTACCTTGGGACGAAAAAGCGACGACGTCCATCATCGGAGCGAGGAGAGGGAGCGGTCTGGATTTTACCAAGTCATCTCACCACCACCACCTCCACCTGCGAACATCGGATGCAAGAGAAGCTTACGGGTTGGGAGAGTAATATCTGCGCGTCGGGCGGCCATTGAAACAATACCACACCAGCACCTGTTTCTTTCCCGATTATCTGATCATGCCAGGTTCGGCGAGAACCTGGTACCGCGCGATACTTGTTGGATGTAGCCCAAGGTTCAGGGGCAGGTCAACATGCTCTGCTCTCTCTCCTCTTCACTCTCTTCCGGAGAATGGATTCATAATCCACGACTGGGCATTATGGAAAGGCATAAACGAGACTGACAAGGAATAAATCAAGCGGGATGTTGGATGATGACGAGGTAGGCGACTTTTGCCGGAATACGGTCGCCTCTTTCCCAGGTTCCAGTGTTCAGTTGAAAATCGAGCTTGAGCCATCATCAGTCGGGACATTTTGGACCACTGACAGGTCTTGGTGGCCACCCTAAAAACGGCCGGGAGGTTGATTAACTCCAACACCTGGCCTTGCGGATCTCAGCCGACCTTTCACAGGCCTTCTCTTGCCGCCGACATTGCCTGGGCCGTTTCTAGAGTGCCCACCTTTGAGCTGGGGGGAACCCACACGAGCGAGCTCGTGCTGTGTACGGTACAAGTAGTGAGTAGTGCTGCTACTGCTGATCTTACGGCCAGACAGTTCAACCCTGTTTCCCGTTTCCCGAAGTAAAGCCAGGACTTGGGCTGAGGCTGGCCGGGTGGCGGGTTGCAGCCTTGTGGACAGGATCAACCGTCCTGGCTTGTTGGCTCAACAAGCCTAGTCACAACAACGGGACCGAGCTGCGAAAGAAGGCCAACATCATCTTGGAAATCGTATGCAAAAGACAGAAGATCAAACGGGCGGACGGGGGAGCGGGGACCACTTACCGGAAGTGGTGGAGAGATCAGACTTGCAGACATCCCATCCAACAGCAGAGCACAGACGCCGCTGAAGATCCCCTGTTACACTAGTTGGCATGGCTTGCAACTTGTGCAAGGGCTACCCTCCCTCTTCCCTGGTCGATTTATTGACAAAGACTGTACCGTACAGTCGGAGGTATGTCTGATGTCTGGCGACCTCTCTGTCTTCTCTCAAAGACCAAATCTGACTCCGCCATAAACTTCGCTCAAATAGCATGCCATGCCTGCCGCCAGAGGCCATGCAGTGCCGTGCAATATGTCGTCATTGCCTCTGCTTCTCACAACTTGGAGACGAAACGAACGACCAGGCTGACGACTTCCCGACAAACTGGCTGGGAGTAGCCCATGCTTAGACCTATGGATGCCGGGCATAATCCAGTCCACCAGGACCATAACCTGGTCAGCGTGGAGATTGAGATCTGGGCGAATAAGAGAGCCTAGTCTTGATACAATCATTGGTTGACTAACACAACGGCCTTGTCGACTGGGCTGTTTCTGAAAGTGTTAGTTCGCTCCGCAATCTGCCGCTCCTCCCAGAGACCGACCGAGCTTGCCATGTGGAAAATACATCCGATGACGCTGTCGCGCACATCCGTCGCCATTCGGACATGCTCGCTCCCATATCTCTGCCGTCAAGAGGGGCGAGTGCACACCGCTGCTTGCCTTCAGCAGGCTGAAAACGTCAACGACTGTCATGTGGATCTACGCAAAGTGCAAATGACCTTCTCTTGTACCTGCTAAGATTGGTCTCACAGCACGCCTCGTTTGGGCATTTCAATCGTTGAACGGCCGTCCGCTAGGCTCGATCCGGGTCCGGACGACAAGGGTTCTCTGGGTCTGGGTGGCATGAAAAGAGGCACTTGACTTGATACCCTCCCTCTCTGGTGCGAGAGGTAAGGTAGCTAAGGTACCTGCCGTCGAACGGGGCAACTGAGGGAGGAAGATACCCTACTCTCTCAGGGATTCGACAGAGCACCAGCCAATTGGAACATGCCCCGACGACGGATATGGTGTGTTGCTAGGACCTTTTCCTTCACTTTGCTGGATTTCTGCCCAATGAACGTTCCCTGGGATCAGCTCGTGTCTGAACCGGAGATTAACCCAAACCGCGACTGGTCTTCCACGGACAGATCTTTCTCGTTGGTCGGCAACTACGGGAGATGGGCTTGGGGCTGGGTGGCTCCAGCATCGAAAATCATCATCTTTCTGTCTCTCTCTCTCTCTCCCCCCCCCCTCTCGTGTTTGCCATGGGGGTGTGGCCGTTAGGTGGTAGTCTGCATGAAGATGGTCAACCCCGGCCTCGCCCACACTCACCAGCGAAGATCGTGATAAGGCCAGCAAGTGGCCCGCCCGCCCCCAAAAGCTCGCCTTGGTGATCTCGCAAGACAGACGCTGGACGTACAGGGTACGACGGGCGGATCTACATAACTACTATGACGGCCTCCCCCAAAAGAAGGCATCCCTATGCAGACCCCGTGGGAGATGAGATGGCGCCAGAAAGCCTCTAATGCATGAAGGAGGTGACATTTGCCCCTGCAACAAAGGTTAAAAAAAAGAGACCACTGATCGTTCCTCCGGGGGAGGAGTGACTAGGGGGGCTCAGCAGCATCGCTTATGCCCTGTAACGCTTTGGAGAGCCTCACTGACACACTGACTCCCTTGTTGTTGCTTCTGCGTACTTGTATTGTAGTAGTCAGGGGCCCTGCTCGCTCGCTTGATGGCCGCTCTGTGATCAGCAAGCCCGATCCACCTGGAGCAGTGATCGTCGGTGCTCAGTCAAGGACAACCTGGTCTGAATTAGAGATCAGGTAGGGACGTTCCGGCGCTAGGTGGGCGCGGAAGGATGGCTGCCCAGCTAGCTCCCTGAACCGCCAAGTAGCGGAAAGCCTTTGAAGTGTCCGCGTCGTCAACAAGGAGTGTTTTGCGGTGCGAGGACGACAATAATCTGGACACGGGGGTAGGGCAGGCACATGGGTCCAGGAAGACCCCTGCGCGGAGAGCGAGCGAGAGAGAGGGAGATACCTAGGCTCGAGAACCTTGTCGACGAATGTTGGACTGTGCCGTACGTTCTCCGTCAGTGCTCAGCCGACGCGACGACACAGCGGCTGACCTGGGAGGTATTGTATTGTTGAAGCCTTGATCAACTGGGTACACCATCCAAGCTTGTGTAATTCAAGAGCAAGGGCCGTCATGGAGCCCCGTCCTTCAAGTCCCATGCCCATATCAGGGACTAAGCCACCTCTAGAAGCAAGCATCTCTCAACTCTTGGACCAATTCGACGCGAGAAACGGCTTCTGAGAGGAAAATGCCTCAGAGCCATTTTCGTTGATAGACTCCCAATAATTGCTGACTAGGCCAAGCCCATGTCGCACGAACAATGATTGGGAGCTGCGGTATTTTGTCCAGTGGTCACGGGCAACTTCAGGTCTGGAAGAGACAGACTGGCTCCTCCTCCTCAACCACAGGGACACCCTTTTAGACTTCAGCCAGTCAGCTAGACTTCTCCGCATCAACACACCCTAGCAAGGAACATGGGGCCATATTTTTACACCTAAACAGGCACTGGCTGTGCGCGGACGGTCGCCAGAGGACGATCGTCTAGGGTAGCCCCAGTGGGTCAGGCCAAGGGAACGAACTGTCAAATAGGCTGCATAAACCCGTTCCTACGACTCTGATATGCTGAGCGCCTGGTTTGAGATCAGGACAGTGCCGCTCCCTGGCTTGCATCAAAAAGTAGAGAGGAACATGGCGTGAACAGCGGTGGATTGCTCGGCGGATGCCCACTCATCCCGTCACCGTCGTCTCTCGTCGAACAAGGCGTCTTGAAGCCATTCTGTCCGGCCCCTCACAGAGATGGCTATGACCGGTGTTAACTATTTGTTCCCTGCTCTACGAGGTGAGGAGCCATGGCTTACTTGGTGTATGGAGAGTGGGCGAATGGAGAAGGGGCCACACTTGTAAGTCCCTGTCCAGTGCTTATATGTCATACTCCAACTTGATGCATTCAACAACTACCAAATCGGTGAGCAAGGCTTATGGCGTGTGTGGAGACGCATAAACAGCGAAAACAGGTGCTTGAATAACAATGTTAGAAAGAAGTGTTTTAATTCCAACATGTTTCCTTCTTCTGCCCTGCTCTAATTGCCGCGGACATGGTGGGCACCGGACAGGGCCGATGGGGGGGAGGTCAGACACCCTGGTTCGTCACTCACGTCCCCCATCTCATCCACTTTCCCATCTGAAGGAGGAAAAGAAAGGCACGGCTCGAGACAACCGTTGCGGTAACTAGGTACGGCTCGAAGGTAGGCGCTGCCGCTGCCGCTGTCGCCGCCGCCGGCGCGTTGTTTCTCGTCTCTCCATGTTCCCTCTTTTCCAGTGCCCATCCTGTCCATCCCTTCTCGACCTCGTGTCCCTTTCCTTGTTACTCTGTACTTGGCGGTCCCCGTCTTCGCTTTCGTCCCAACAGGCGTCCGAGGCTAGCACTCAAGAGGAAGGGCAAGGATACATGTAGGAGTGGCACATTCCCCAGTCTTCTTGTCACGACCTGGCCCGTTTTCCTCTCATTGACGGGATGACCTCTCTTTTGTGAACCCGAATTTCTATTTCTGAAGAGAACTGTTCTCGGCTTGGCTTCCTGCTACACCTTAGGTCTTGTTCGATATCACCTACGGGTATCTTCATGTGTGAGTTGCTCTTGTACTCCGAGATGCCGTGCACAATGCCACCAATCGCGCTCTCTCTATCTCTCCGAACACTCCGCAGCGTTGGACTTTCTGGCTCCGGCCTTGACTTGTCATCCTCAGTCAACTCCTGGTTTCAAGGCCTGTCTCTACATGATTTGAGATAGCTACCTGGGCTGTTTGCCAGCAAAAGGACGGATGTCGAGGCGTTGTAAACAGGAGATCATTAGATCCGACATCATGGTTGCTTTTTTCTTGCGCCTTCCCACCCCTGTCGACCACGGCGATGCGATTGCAACTCTCTCTGACAAACTAGTATCAGGTATCAGTCCTTCTCCTCAAGACGGGTTTCCCTGCCCCTTGTCGTCTACAAGTACATACAGATTCGGCGCGCCTCGCTCTGATCTTACCCCTGTCGGACACTTACGGCCCTCTCTCTGGTCGAACTTATCCATGACCACCCACCTACAACCCCTACAGACCGGCCTACTCTATCTTAGTTCACCCGCTTCCAGACCCTGCTTGCTCTTGTCATACTGTACCTGCTCCGTGCTTGCGTACGGCTCAACAGTCAGCCATAGCTCGGTAGGTACCTTGCTGCATACCGCCCATCCCATCCGCCGCCTCCTCAGGACAGAGGTTCCCCCCAACGTGATCGAGCCACCCCTCCCCCCTCATCTCCACCCTTTCATTCTCAGTAATACCAGCGAGCGGGTTGCATACATATCACAAACAGCAGAAGACCCCCCGGCGGTACATTGACTACATATACATGCCTGTCGACCTGACCTACATTACCACTGTACTTACACACTGCTTGCAAGGAACCCATATGTAACCGCTCTGCAACCCGCAGCACTGCGTCTGCCTCTTGTTGCGTTTGATCTCTCTTGACGTACAGCTCCTAGGCTTTAGAGGTTGAAGAAAGCTGCACATTGTGTGCATATACGCCGGTCCCTACCCTGTCTCGGTACACTCTGCGTGCGCCACCAGCAGCCTCCTTGGTCTCTCCTTGCGGCCTAGCTGCCCTCCCCCGGGTTTTGCGACTGGTCCACCCAACGGTTATTTCTTGACAACTCCGTCTTACCTGCGTCCGAGACTTTCCTCACGGTTTCTGTGCGACTTGGTGTATCCTGTTCCCGCTTCGGCTTCAGCCCCAGCCGGATCCTTATGCTGGGGAAGACACTGCCTCAGTCCGCGCCTCGAAACGCTTCTCCTGGATTGATATCTGGCCGAGGAGCACGGATCTCAACTGGAAAAGGATAAACAGCCAAGATATGCATGCTGAGAGCAACTTGTGAGGCTCAAAGACAATTGGCACCTTTGCGCGCGGTCATCCTTCTCGGGGAGAGCTTAGCGAGGCCCGTTGATATCCGGTCGACCGCCTCTGTTGCAGGTTCACCAGAAGCCCAGGGACGAATCCGCGAGAAGAGGCCGAGGGTCGTTGTACGCAGGAGCAGTTAAGAATGCATAACCATATGGTCGCGTCTGGGACTATGGATCCAGAGAGTCACTCTAGTCATGACGATTCATACGATCATGGGAACTGGGCCAACATGAACTCTTACACCCAGACATCCATGGCGGACTACAGTGGTGGTTTTGCGTACATGCCTCCGATCTCCCACGGACTCCCTTCGTTGCCGTCGGAATCTATCAGCAGGATGCCTCCGCCGCCGACGCCGATACAACCGCCCTCTCACTCTCACCAAAATCACCCGCAGCTCCCAATGCTTATGGTACCATCGCATCCAACATGGCCCAGCATGTTGACGAACCCGAGTAGCTATTCAGCTCCTCCAGTGCCTATACCCCCTTTGCCAGCAGGACCACCGCTCAAGGCTCCCAAGTCTGCGCACTCTCAGTCTCAGCCCCGGAAAACACTGACGGATGATGACCGCCGAAAGATGTGCGAGTACGCCGAGGCCAACCCTGGAGTCAAGCAGACCGAGATTGGATCCATGTTTGGAGTGGAAAGAAGGTATTTCTTCCTTGACAAAGACCCGGCCGCGCAAGCTCTTGCTCGCAATGTCTAATCCGAACGACAGTACCGTCTCAAAGGTCCTCCGAAATAGAGAAAAGTATCTCGCTTCAAAGGACCGGGACAGTTCTCCAGTCAGGCGAAACAAGAGCAAGTTCCCAGACGTGGAGAAAGCACTGTCAAACTGGCTTCGCAACGCACAGAAGTCTGGCGTCCCTGTATCGGATGCCGACATCAAGGAGAAGTTCAGGTTTTTCGCAACCACGACGGGCGGCTCAGAGACTCTCATGTCCAAGACGCACAGCTCGACCTGGTTGGAGAAGTTCAAGCAGAAGAACGGCATTGGTCCCGGGAGACTTGTGCGCAGGGCCTCCGAGACCAACATCCCTGACAGCGCGCACATGAGCCGGGTGTCGCCAGTCCTGTCGACTTCGCACTCGTCAAGTATCATCTCGCCTGCGTCGCCGACTGCGCATCCATCTCCCTCGCCTCTGTCAGCCAACCGAAGCGACGGAGACCGGGACGGCTTGGACAGTCTGATGGACTTTACTACATCACAGGCAGGTGCGTACCGTTCGGGATTGGAGCCCCCAAATCTGCAGAATCTGCGTTTGCGAGACATATACTGACTCAACAGTTCCCTCCTGTCTAGCCAGCGCAATCAGTCCCACAGCGCCATTCTCGTTCTCTCCGGACCAGAGCGCTGGTGGGTTCCTCTCCAACGAACATGCGGGCTCGAATTTCCAGAGACCACGAAGCCAGACCTTTCCTACGCTCGACCTGGAGTATCTGAACCAGCAACAGCAGCAGCAAGAGTCAGAGTCGATGACCCCGAGGTACCACCACATTTCGGCCACTGCCCCGTCATCTGCGCTGGACTCGCCCATGACTGAAGGAGCCGCACCTCCCTTTGGATCGCAACAAGCTGCGTCCTCCCCGCAGCTGCACAGGACGAACAGCAGCAATAGTCTCGCGCACAGGTCCTCGAGCACTTCGGTGGGAGGCGGTGTCACGTCGGCGTCCGCAGGGTCATCCCCGGTCTCGCCAACACAGGAAGATGCCAGAAAGGCGGCCGACACACTGTTGAACTTCATACAGAACGCGGTGCCCAACGGCTTCGTCGTCGACCAGAATGACTACTTGACGATTGTCCGCCTCACGGACAGGCTCCGGCTGCAGCAGCACCAGCAGACGGGCAAGGGGATGGGCGGCCTCTCCCGGATCCCAGAGGGCGAGGTGGAAATGTCGAGCGGCCCGCCGCACCTGCTGCCCAAGCTCGAGACGACGATGAGTGCATAGTGTGAGCATATCTGCATAAACTCGGCGTTGACGGGCAAGGGAACCGGGAGCTATAACGGGAGGGATACCCACGGCCGGAGCAAGAGAGGAGAGCGCTCTCTCAACTCTCTCCACACCCACATCGAACACAGCAAATATCTTGTCCATAAGCAACCAGCATTTCTTCAACATCCTGTCCATATGATGGAGTACTCTTTTTGTTTCTGATCTCATCTTTTTTCGCTCTCAACCACACAGCACACTTGGCGTTTTGCACGGGGAAACCGGCAGAGGAGAACAAGCGGGAACGGGGTTCAAAGAAAGGCAGGAAGAGAGCTTCATGGTGTGCACACGCCTCCAAGAGCTACGTCCCACGACGCGCGGAACGGAAACATATACACCCTACAGGTAGAGACGGATTGCATCGAGGCGACCAAGGTGGCTTCACTCGCCGACTCTTTGGCTTCACCGACAACAAAACTTCGAAGATCACTGGAACTGGCGGAAGAAAAAAGGACGGTGCTGTGTCTGCAAGCCATCAACAGCGCCGAAAGCCTTTCGCCTCGATACATCCGTTTTCTACCTCGATTCTTCTTCACCACCCTGAACATATTACTCTATATTCTCTCCCCACCTCTCTCCACATTGACTCTTCTTTCCATGTATATTTTCGTCAGAGGAAGAATCTGCGCTCACGCGAAAACTCTACCGAGGAGACAGACAGTCGACGTCCGTTCTCGGCCCCTTTATACCACACACACCCTCTTCTTGATATCTTTTCCCCATTTCATCTTTTTTTCTTTCTGGTTCTGCGTTTTTCTTCTTCTTCTCTTCTTGCCTCTTTCTCAGTCTCATTGTGAACTCGTTTCTATTCATCGTTTTTTTGCGAATGTTTTTTTCTTCTTGTTTTCCAGCGAGTACCAGTCCGCCAGGCACGTTTCACACACTTCTCTCTGGAGGCCCGTGTGCGTGCACGGAGGCGGTGGGAAGGGGGCCGGGATAAGCGTTTCGTGGGCCGAAGCTGAAGAGAGAGAAACAGACAGCAAAAGCCATAAAGGCTTCAACATGCACAGGATGGGGTGGACAAAGCAAGCACACGCAGACAGACACACACCCGTCCCCGAAGGCACGTTTCGGGAAGGAAGAGGAGCGGGATGTAATCGGACCACACAACAATCACTTCAGACGAAGGCAACACTTGAGCTTGGAGCGTCAGGAAAGCGAATGTCCGAGATGGGCGGTCTAAGTGATTTTCTCGCGCTCTTCTTAAACATCTCCAAAATTTTCGGACCTATCGTCCTGGCCAGCGGGAAAGGGGGCGCGTGTGCGGACTGCTGCTTCAACTCATCACGTCCTTCCCCTTTTCCTGTCTTGTCTGGGCTAAAAAAGTCCGCTGACCAAAAAAAAAAATCCAAAAAGCACTCTGGGTGGCCATTTGCAAAAAATCACTCTCTCGAGAGATCGGACCATACTCATTGCTCAGTGCTCGCAGTGACCAGTAGCGTCAAACTACATGCATAACATGGTGCAACAGAAACAGCAGAGACACGGATGGGTAAAGGGGGTATCTCGACTTGGCTTTCACGCTAACAAAAGGTCTCTCTATCTCTGCGTCTATTCAGCCGCCCTCATTGGCCACGCACACCGCAATCACCTAGCTCAGTCTCTCCTCCCACAGCTCGGTGACGCGCCGCTCCGCTAGTTCGGGCATGAGGCGCACTAGAATGAGCTCTAGGACACTGTACATCAGATGCTTGTTGCAGTAAGCATCGCTAAAGGGATCGAGCACATCCCGCTCGATATCGTCGAGGATCCGGCCATCACTGTCATCACCGTAAGTAGCAGCACTAGTAGTAGTAGCATCGTCGCGCCGATCTTGGGGCGGCCGCGGCCTGTGATCGTCCGCCTCGCTAGCCTGCGCAGGCGAGGAGGCCTGTCCCTGCTGGCCGCCGCCGCCGCCGCCGCTGGTGCTCGGTCCGGACCGTGGCGTGAAGCCGGACAGGGCTCCGCCAAAATAGAGCCTGCCCACCCTCCTCGGAACAAGCTCCCAAAGGGCCCTAGCGCTCTTGCGCCTCAGCGCTCGCAGCTCCGCTTCGGACGAGGGTGCCACCAGGGTCGGCGTGCCCATGGCATTGTTGGGGAACAGGGCGCCGCGCAGCGTGCGGAGCAACGGTGGCAGTTGGGCAGGGTCGAGGATGTGGCGATGGATAAGATACGAGAGTTGCCTATTTTCCACCTTTGGTCAGCGATCGCATATCATCATCAATAAGATTGACTTATAATCAATGCTTCATGCGTGGGGGGGTGAAGGAAAGGAGGGCGAGCGATATGGCGGCTGAAAGAGCGAGGCCGAAGGTAGGGTGGTAGACGTCGGCCAATGCACCAGTGTGGCACATGTCAAGGAGGAAAAAAGCGAAGATCAGATGCTCCTTTGGGCCCCGCAGACACGACGTCAAACGGCCGCCGAGAGGGGGCCGCTCCAAGGTTGCGCGCCCATTGTGTTTTCCCAGGATTTATGGCCGCGGAAGCTGCGGCATGAACGTTGGAAAATGTGAGAGACGAGGCTTGCCTGCCAAAAGGGCAACTGGGGTGTGGGCGTCGTGTGATAGGGTCAGAGCTTTGTCCAATGCGGGGGACAAGGGGGCAGCCAGTCCGACAGGGATCGCAAGGAGATGATGGTGGTGGGGAACAAGGGTTTGTCGACACAAGGGAATTGGCTCTTTTCGCGGACGTCGCCGATCAAATCTCAGGTTTGCCCTCGAGGCACCTTTGCAGGTGCACTTGCATCCCCGGAGCGACAGAAGTGCACTTCGTCCCTCACCCATTCTCTCACCGGTCCCTGGAAACGATGAGGAGCAGAGGAGGAGGCGAAGATAGTCGGTCCAGACCCCCTTGGGGCTACAGTGACATCGAGGCAGGACTGTTTCAAAAGCTCCCCTTCCAGTGTATTACTTCCGACCGCGCGTCATGTTGCGGCCCAACGACAAGCCCGGTCATCTGGCCTCCCCATAAGGCACCAAAAACCTCCTGGAAAGGCAAGAGGAGCTGTGGCAAGATTGCTACTCCCAGCCCCTAGCATTTGTGACGAGCGTCATAGACTCTTCCGACGTAAAGAGGGAGGGTGTGATATGCCAAATACGCAGGAACCGCGATTGTTGCGCTCGCAAATCGGGTGGGATCCAATTTGAAACCCATGTCTCCCCATGTCGTTCCACGCTCTTGAGAAGACATCATGCAGACGGGTGAGAATGTCTGTGCAAACCACGAGATGCTGTGGGGCGCGTTGAGAGTGAGGCTAGAGAAGTGTGTGCACGTGTAGATGTGAATAGATAGCCCTTCTCGTCCGGATGTGGTCGAGAAGAGTCCACTGTTGGTAGACCCTTGTAAGCTAAAGGGCCGGCGCGTAAATGAGGCTTTCGGGTGGCCAGTGCTGGCGAGCCCTGCCGGCCGATCGTGCAATTGGAGGCGAGACCGCCACTTTGGCCGCACGATTGGCTAGTCTCTTTTCAAGCTACCGGCACGTTCTCTGCAGATGCGTCCTCCTGGGAGGGGGCAAGTAACTGCACCAGGATGAAAACGCACACCGGCCGAATTGACGGCTGGGCGGGTTGACAGGGGCACCCCGAGGCGTGCCGCTTGTAATATCCTTCCACGCACACCCTCGCACACCCACTCAGCCGCCTCTACATCGGCCGGATTCTCCAGTGGCAGGGTGATTCATTTGCGAAAGGATGCCATGCAGAGCGGCCTCGGGATCAGAGCTTGTCTTCCCGATCCATGCGCACTTGCGGGTTGAGCCTGCTCTTGCCCATGACTGGGTCGCGTCGTGGTCCAGTGACCAAAAGGACATGCAGGGTGACGGGATGAGCCCGAGATGGGGGTGGTCTCGAGAAATGAAACACGGTAAGACTCACCTGTCAAGGATCCCGTCCTGTCTCGCTACCTGGCCAGGACCCATCATGGCGGCCCATTGTAGCATTGACAGAGCGCCACTCAACCACGGCATACGGCCGTCCAGCTCTATCAGATTTGATACCGCGGCCCAGACGCCAAAAGCGAGCACTGGCCTCATGATTGGCTCCGGCGAGCTTGCTGTGCCGTGAGGATCTAGTGCCTCCTGCGTCTCGTCGTATCGGGGCATCTGTTTTGCGAGACTAACGTACTGGCGTCGGGATGGCAGAGACCGGGCCATGGCGATGCTGACGAACAAGAATCTCACAAAGGCAAACGCGGCAAACGCCCATCGTATCATGGACCAAAATAGCCTCTGAACGAGCATTGCGCGAGCATCGTCATGAGATTTCGAACCCACGCGGCCTCCCGCCTGCGATTCGTCCACAGCGGAGACTTTCTGTCGAATCACTCTCGCTAGGATCGCGAGACCTTCCAGAATCATCCAAGGCTCCGACGCCTTTTTGGCGATCACGCCGCCGATTATCAGCTCGGAGAAGATCTGTCCAACTAGGGACGTAAGACAATCGTTTTCGAGATCTTCGGTGGGGAGGAGGACGGCGAGCACGCCCTGGACGAGCAGCTGACGGTACGCCACTTCGTTTGCTTCCTGCTCGACGACGGTCTGTGGGTCCTGTGGCCTCGGGACGGGCGAGGCAAGTGGAAGAGGACAAAGCGAGTGATAGATCTCGCGCGGAGAGCGGTCGATAGGCGGCGAAATTAATGGCTGGTGGGCCACCCGATATGCTAGAGGACTCTGTGAGCTGATGAGGCATGCGATGAGCGCGATGACTGGTACAAACCCTGGACATGTCTATCCAATAGTTCAGGAAGCTCGTCAAATAGCAGGCCTTCCAGGTCGACCTTGCGCAGGCGCTGCTCGAGGGCACGGCTGCAGTGGGCAATGATCTGGACGATCTCGGCGACGAAATTCTCGTCCGGCGTGATGTTGTTGTACCACTTTTGTACGAACTCCCGTATGACTATCGCAATTATGGCGTAGAGCTGCAGATCTACGTCGTTCCGGCTCGTCAGAGGCGGAAGAAGCTCCTCAATGGGCGCCTGCGCCGCTCGCTCGTCGTGACTGAGCTGCTGGGAGCACAGCACACGCCTGATCAATAGTATCGTGGCCTTGTCGGAGAGCGGGTCGATCGATGGAGTGCGCGCGGCCCTCCTCGGGGCGGCGGTCTGCGCGGGAAGAGCCGTCCCCCCAGCAGTCGAGGACACCGCTGCCGGGCGAGGGTGGTTGGGGTTGCTGTTAGAGGCTGTCACTGACTGAGCGGTCGTCGCCGAAGTGGCCGTCGATTTCAGCCGCGGGGTAGGCGCCCGAGCCGGCGCCGCCGTAGTCATGACTGCAGCCGTGACTCTATCCCAGTCCTCATAGCACCGCTTCTCATATCGGAATGTTGCCGTAAGACGCAAGACACACAGGTCGCCAGTATTGGAGCCGAGTCTGGCAGGACGTTGGGTTAGTCTCGGGCCTTAGGGGTAAATTATGACGCTAGTTGTACAAGTACAGATCGCTATCTTATCGGGACGGCCCCTCCTGGGGGCGTGCTTTAGCGGCTTTAGCGGCCGGTGGGCACCATCAAAGTCACCCGTAGATTGGTGGCAGAGGTACGGAGGTCACTGTTCTCACATATTTGTGCCATGGGATTATCAAAAGCCGTCTTTCAGTTGGCAGACAAAGGATAGAACGATTTCAAGTACAGTCTTGTGTTACCAGTGGTTCTTCTAAGCTGGGATAAAGCCCTTGCTGCTTGTATGACTGGCACAATTCTGATAACTGCCCTTGTTGCCTCGAGAAGGCAAATGCAGGTGTGACTTTGATGAGCGAGGGCCGAGCTATTCGTCAACTGTCCGTAAAGGAGAGAAATCCTTGGACTCGCTCGCTCACAGGACATGTAGCATCCTCGCGGCTCTGCGGGCGGATCATTGATGGCAGTGATCGCTCTTGGAAACCCCTGTTGCTGCATGGAATCGCCCCTGCAGCCAGGGCTGCGACCCGCCTTTGCATCCCGGCGGGCGCCGACGTCTCCCTGTTCCGCTGGCCGCCGAAGCTAACGCCATCCGGCAGCACGCCGCCGATAATGTACCAGACAAGGTTGCCGAGTTGCATAAGCGAAGAGTTGCGAATCCAGATGGTCGGGACACAGATAGCTACAATTTACTACCATTTGGTAACAGTTGATGTCATCCACCCTCGGCACACCAAGGACCATCATGGTGGTTCTTCGCCGTTCCCGGTCACCTCGAAAATAATCACAAATCAAGTTGAGCCGAATAAGTGTAACATCACTACACGGCTAGTACAAATCCAATCAGTCTCCTTCAACCTCTCACGAGATGCTGGTTGCCTATGTAGTGGAAGAGCACAAAACGTACTGGCTGGAGGCATTGGAGCACATTGCCATTCTTTGATACACATATGTTGGATCCAAATATCATGAAGCTCGCCTGTGTTCTTACAACGCTAGAACACTGCTAGGCGAGATGGTCTATTCTGGGTGGAGATATACAGTAAAGTACAAGTCGTGTCTCCGAAGACAGCTGGCTATATGGCCCAAACACAGCCTTTCACAGCTATCGGTCTCATATAATATAGTACAGAAGCATTATTGCTCACTTTCCTTTCGTGTCGCCTCATACCTATTGTCTAGTGTCAGTTCTGCAGCTCCTTTGCTTGAACGCAAGCTTAAGGGGCACATACCTCTTGCCGCGGAATGCCCAAACACCCCAGTTTCCGCAACTGATATCTTGGGGGTCCATGTCGTTCAAGTCCCACCGCAAGCTCCGGAAGGTGTTCTCACCAGGTTCCATGAGCATATCAAACTCTCCGGCGGCCGACTTGTTCACCCAGTCGATATCGCGCTCCATATCATACTGAGTGTACCCGGTCACAATGATGGGCGCCTTTGTTTCAAGCAGCATCGGAACCGTCTCATGCCACTCGTGGGAACTAGCAGGGTGGCCAAGACCTGGATGGAACAGGACGAAGCAGTCGAAATAAGGGTCATAAGGGGCAAAGTAGTTGGCTTTGTGGATGGTGTGGTAGTAGTCGACGATCGTGCTGATCTTCATCGACGGCCAAACGCGGTCCTCAACAATAGCGCCAAACGGATTCGAAGGCGTGCGCTGGGGGAGGGGGAACTCGTCATCGCGGTTCATCATGCTCTCAGGGCCGATGAAGATGAGATGGAACTTGGAACGGGGAAACAGATGGGCCAGCTGTACCCAGACGTTACGCGGCAGCGAGGATTCGGCACGAGCGCCCAATATGAAGAGGCGCACTGGCGGGGCCTGAGGACGAAGGCCCTTGACACCTTCAGCAGCACCGTCCTTGGGCGGGTGAAGGGTATAACGAAGAGCTAACGATGTGTCAGTGCGAATTCCCTGACCCTACTCATGTTCTTGCCCAGGCAGAGTACATACCACTCAGACTCTTCAAACCCTCAGCAGTGAGGCGCCCCCCAGTTCGAATGTTGTAAGGGCTGAGCTCATGGAGGATGCTGCCAATTGTGACAGGGTAGGTCAGGAGGCGGGTAACCTGTCTCATGCTCCGGTCGTCATTGACAGCAGCGAAGTTTCGAGTATACATGAAGGTATCCCAGTTGGTCAAGTTGACGAGAGCCTCCTCCATCTGTGGGCCTGCATAATCAAACTCGGGAAATATCCTGCCGGATCGCAAGTCGTGGTCGTCCTCATTGATCTGTCGCAGAGTATCGCAGATTTCCAAATGCGCCTCGTAGTCATCCGCCCAATGCTCCTGGCTACAGTAGACAGGTATACCGCAGTCTGGGCACTCAAAGTCGACGTGAGCGGCAGGAAGCGTGCCGGTATGGTAAGATGGCTCGCCATTCTCGGACAGCCGGGTCGGCTGATGATCCACGTGCTCGCAATACGCATGTTGTCTGATGAAAGCGGCTCGCTGTCTGATTTCCGGTATGGGGGAGTTGGTGAACGAGTGGAAGAGATTGTCCGGGGCCAGAATGGGTTTGTGAGCCGACTCTGCGGTTGATGCGCTTGAGCCTTGCAAACCTGCATTCTCCTTGAATGCAAAGCCTGTTGAAGAGTTCTGCCGCACCTGGTTCGCTCCAGTATGCGCCATCTGCTTCCGAGTCCTCTCGCCGGCCCGCAGGTGAAGACGGCGGGCAGCGCCAGGAGCAGACCATCTCCGAAAACTGACTGGTCGCGAGGCCGCCGGCGCTCCCCTTGTCCACACAGTCGAGCATTGTCTGCAGAGATGATTCAGTGCCTGTCGCACTGCTGGCTCGGAGGACATTGCCATTGCGCGAGCCTCTGGGTGCACGTCTGCTCCCAGATGTCTGTGCAGTGCAGATGGCAACTAGAATTTATGGCGTGAGCTCGAAGCTCTTTTGCGGTGCAGTTGATGGGGTCAGCGAATAAAATCCGCGGAAGCTCGGTGGATTGATGACACAAGCTTCGGGGCTTCTGTTTTTCCATCCCAGCAGCGAAATTGATCAAGCGTGCAGCACGTTGAGCGCTAATAAACCTTTTGGTGGAGGCTGCCAGTGAATGCGTCGTGGTGTACTTGTACAAGTACGGCCGGCCGGTGTGGGGGCTTCCTCTCCAAGCCAGAGCCAGCCAGTCAGAACTGAGCCCAGCTGCCTAGCTTCATCAAATTTATTTGCGGCGGTCCTGTTGTTGTCAAAGCTTCACGAGCTTCCTCCTCTCTGGCCCAAACAATTGTCGCGAACCTCTTGCCGACAAAACCAAGTGAGCCGCGCAGGCTTACTGCGCAAAGCCAATCAGTCAAGATGGCGACCACTTCGAATATGTTCTTGTATTCCCTCACGATCCAGCCGCCGACCACCATCTCGCAGGCGATCCTGGGTCAGTTTTCTGGGACCAAGGAACAACAAATCATTGCAGCTTCTGGCTCCCGCCTCACCCTTCTACGACCCGACCCAAGCCAAGGCAAAGTCATCACTTTGGTCTCCCATGAGATCTTTGGCATCATCAGAGCCGTCGCAGCTTTCCGGCTTGCGGGCTCCAGTAAAGGTATGTGCTGTCAAACAGTGTCGCGCTTTTGGTTGTCACTTAGTGACTTGGAACCCGACCACTAGACCTCTGGGGATCATCTTCTTGAGACGTGGTCATCTGGTCAAATGGGGTGCGCTTCATGTTGAGAATGGATCGGCTCAGAAACTAACCATCTTGCAGACTATATAATTCTAGCCACCGATTCTGGAAGGATTGCCATCATCGAGTACATGCCAGCACAAAATCGATTCGTGCGTATCCATCTGGAAACATTTGGCAAGTCGGGTGTACGCCGCGTGATACCGGGCCAGTTTCTTGCAGCAGATCCCAAGGGCAGAGCATGTCTCATCGCGTCTATCGAGAAGAACAAGCTTGTATATGTCCTGAATCGAAACTCACAGGCGGAGCTCACCATCTCATCGCCGTTGGAGGCACATAAACCGGGCGTTCTTGTTTTCTCCATGGTGGCGCTAGACGTTGGATATGCCAACCCGGTCTTTGCTTCTTTGGAAACCGAGTACACCGACTGTGACCAAGACCCCACTGGCGAAGCATACCAGGAAGTAGAGACCCAGCTCGTCTACTATGAGCTGGATCTGGGCCTGAACCATGTTGTGCGGAGATGGTCCGACCTCGTGGATCCAACGGCATCTCTGCTCTTCCAGGTTCCTGGAGGTAACGATGGGCCAAGCGGTGTCCTCGTTTGCGGAGAAGAGAATATCACCTATCGTCACTCAAACCAGGAGGCGTTCCGTGTTCCGATTCCCAGGAGGCGAGGCGCCACGGAAGATCCCAATAGGAAACGCAACATCGTCGGTGGTGTCATGCACAAGTTGAAAGGCAGTGCTGGCGCTTTCTTCTTCCTCCTACAGACCGAGGATGGCGACTTGTTCAAGCTCACACTCGATATGGTGGAAGACGACGAGGGCAATCCGACAGGCGAAGTCAGAAGATTGAAGATCAAATATTTCGACACGATTCCAGTTGCATCTAGTTTGTGCATCTTGAAGAGCGGTTTCCTCTTCGTCGCGAGCGAGTTTGGCAATCATCAGTTCTACCAGTTCGAGAAGCTGGGTGATGATGACGAAGAACTCGAGTTCTTCAGTGACGACTTCCCTAGCGATCCCAAAGCACCATATGACCCTGTTTATTTCCACCCTAGACCCAACGAGAACCTGGCTCTTGTCGAAAATATCGACTCGATGAATCCTTTACTGGACACCAAGGTCGCCAACCTCACAGACGAAGATGCCCCACAGATCTACTCAGTGTGTGGTAACGGGGCCAGGAGCACTTTTAGAATGCTGAAACACGGCCTGGAAGTCAACGAGATTGTTGCTTCTCAGCTCCCTGGCACGCCTTCAGCAGTATGGACAACCAAGCTGCAACGGGATGATCAGTATGATGCATATATCGTACTTTCCTTCACCAACGGCACACTGGTTTTGAGTATTGGAGAGACTGTCGAGGAAGTTACTGATACCGGTTTCCTGGCATCCGTTCCAACGCTCGCCGTCCAGCAACTCGGTGACGATGGCCTTGTACAGGTTCACCCCAAAGGCATTCGGCACATCCGTCAAGGCCGGGTGAACGAGTGGTCTGCCCCGCAGCATCGATCAATCGTCGCCGCGGCAACCAACGAGAGACAGGTGGCAGTGGCTCTCAGCTCAGGAGAAATCGTGTATTTCGAAATGGACACAGACGGTTCATTGGCAGAGTATGACGAGAAGAAGGAGATGTTTGGCACTGTCACTTGCCTTAGCCTCGGAGAGGTACCCGAGGGCCGCCTGAGGAGTTCTTTCCTGGCCGTCGGCTGTGACGACTGCACTGTCCGCGTGCTCAGTCTTGATCCTGAGTCAACACTCGAGAACAAGTCCGTGCAGGCCTTGACAGCAGCCCCATCTGCACTGTCGATCATGTCAATGGAGGACTCGTCTTCCGGCGGCTCCACCTTATACCTACATATCGGTCTTCATTCTGGCGTCTATCTTAGGACCGTCCTCGATGAGGTCACAGGAGAGCTGACAGACACGCGGCAGAAGTTCCTGGGGCCCAAAGCCGTCAGGCTATTCCAAGTGTCTGTGCAGGGCAGCACCTGCGTGCTTGCTTTGAGTTCTCGCTCTTGGCTGGGCTATGCAGATCCTATTACGAAGGCATTCACCATGACTCCCCTCAGCTATGAAGAGTTGGAGTGGGGTTGGAACTTCAGCAGCGAACAGTGCGAGGAGGGGATGGTAGGAATTCATGGCCAGTTTCTCAGGTTCGTACCTCGCCCTTTTCTTAACTCTCCTTCTCGACATTATGATGATAAAAGGGAAACCTATGCTATATGCTGTGAGGCCTTGTTATCAATCTTATTTGATTTCAATTGTTCCTTCTGACAATGTCTTCCACGTCAAATATTACCTGAATAATACTTTGGCGCGGACAAGATGCTAACATCGATCAAGGATTTTCTCTGTTGAGAAGCTTGGCGAGAGCCTCATCCAGAAGTCGATTCCGTTGAGCTATACGCCACGGCGACTTGTCAAGCACCCAGAACGCCCAATCTTCTACACTATTGAAGCCGACAACAACACATTGCCCCTTGAGCTTCGAGAGAAGTTGCTGGCTGACCCCAAGGCTGTCAATGGCGACGCAAAGGTGCTCCCGCCAGAAGACTTCGGCTATCCAAGGGGCCCTGGGCGCTGGTCGTCCTGCATCAGCGTTGTCGACCCCGTGAGCGAAGAATCCGGCGTGCTCCGTAAGATCGAACTCGAAAATAACGAGGCGGCTGTCAGTGCTGCCGTCGTTTCATTCGCGAGCCAGGATGGCGAAAGCTTCCTGGTTGTCGGAACTGGCAAAGATATGATTCTGAACCCCAGACGCTTTTCTGAGGGCTACATCCACGTGTATCGCTTCCACGATGATGGCAGAGATCTGGAATTCATACACAAGACCAAAATCGAGGAGCCGCCAATGGCATTGCTGCCATTCCAGGGTCGCTTGGTTGCAGGCATCGGAAGGATTCTTCGGGTCTACGATCTCGGCTTGCGTCAGCTGCTACGAAAAGCACAAGCTGAAGTCGCCCCCCAGCTTATCGTCTCTCTGCAAACCCAGGGGAGCCGCATTGTCGTGGGCGATGTACAACAGGGAGTGACGTATGTTGTCTACAAGTTCGAGACAAACAAGTTGATCCCGTTCGTTGATGACAGCATCAACCGCTGGACTACCTGCACAACTATGGTTGACTACGAATCTGTCGCTGGCGGCGACAAATTCGGCAACCTGTGGATCCTTCGATGCCCCGAGAAGAACAGCCAGGAGGCCGATGAGCCTGGGTCGGAAGTCCATCTCATGCATTCCCGAGACTACTTGCACGGCGCTCCCAACCGACTGACCCTGATGGCACACGTCTTTACGCAAGACGTGCCGACAAGCATATGCAAGACCAGTCTGGTTGTCGGTGGTCAGGAAGTGCTGCTGTGGAGTGGAATCCAGGGTACTGTCGGTGTTCTCATCCCGTTCGTCGGCCGTGAGGATGCAGACTTCTTCCAAAACCTTGAATCGCACATGCGAAGCGAGGATCCTCCACTGGCTGGCAGGGACCATCTGATGTACCGGGGCTTCTATGTCCCCGTCAAGGGTGTGATTGACGGCGATCTCTGCGAGAGGTACAATCTGCTGCCCAATGACAAGAAGCAGATGATTGCTGGAGAGCTGGACCGCTCAGTGCGAGAAATCGAGCGGAAGATTTCGGTAAGTTATCAACTGCCCCCAAGCACCCACAAGCATAAAGACAAGTTGGCGCTGACCATTTGCCCGCAGGATATTCGCACTCGTTCTGCCTTTTAGTGCATGTCAGTTATAAGGTTTGAATCAGACAAGATGGTCTTGGACAGGCGTCAAGCAAGAAAGGGACAGTAATGTATGTATATTAAAGCGAATATCTCTAGTGGCGTTTGGTTCAACAGCCCCATCTGGCCGTACCTGGAAGGGGCCCGGGGACTGGAAAGGGTCAATCAATGACATGATCAGATCGTTCAAGATCTGTATCTTTGCTCTCGAGCAGTGCCGCCTAGGCGAGTAAAAGTTATGATTTGTGATTCCTTAGCCTGAGGATGTCCGTGACAGACTCCCTTTCCCAAAGCGGAAGCGGTTCTTCAAGGACGATGATGGAGCCTTGCCGGTTCTGCTGGCCCCTGATCGCCCGGCACCTTGCTCGACGGGGTGTGCCCGCTCCCACTCCTCGTCGGCCAGGTACGCCTCGGTCGCCAGCGCCAGGTCGTAGTCGGCGCCCTCGAGGTACAGCACGGCCACGTCGTAGTCGGCCTCCTTGCAGGCCACCATCCAGCGCCGGATCTTGGCCTTGCGCAGCTCCTCGGCCTCGCCGCCGACGGGGCGCGGCGACAGGCTTACGAGACCGCCGCCGGGCCCCGGCCCCCTCCTCGTCCCGGATCCGGAGGGGATGACGACGGCGCGCCGCGCGGCGAGCAGGGCGTCGCTGGGCAGGCGGTTGGCGGCGCGGAGGGCGGCCGCGGGCACGCCGTAGCGCAGGGAGAGGGAGGCGACCGTGTCGCGGTCGTGGTCGAGGAAGTGCAGGACGTCTTCTACTTGTGCTTCTGCTTCTGCGGCCGGTGCCTGGGCCTTGCTGTCGTCGTTGGCGGCGTAGTTGGTCTCCGCTGCGGCGGCTGCGACGGCGTACGGCGGCGGGGCGTCGTCACTGGCGGCTGGGGGTACACGCTGCCGGCAGGGCGGCTCTCTGTTCTTGCTGTTGCCTGCGGCTGAAGCCCCGTAGGGCGGCGGGGCGCGCAGGCCGCCTGGGGGCAGGGCGGAGGGGCAGGATGAGATTTGGCAGTAGGGGCAGTAGGTGGCGAAGCGTGTGTTTGTCTAACCCGGGGTTGTTTTGACCATTAGAGTTGGGAAAGGCCTTCGGTATGGTTGGGGAAATGGAAGGGGAATGGGAAGGTCTCCTTACGGAAGTGCAGTCTCGGCAGATGACCCGGCCGCAACAGTCTAGTCTGCGGTGGTATTCCGGGAATGCTCCGTCGATGTTCTTCTTCTCGGAGCCGGACCGGCCGGGATCAGCGGAGAGGAGCCGGGCGCAGGTGCAGCATGCTTCTTGCATGGCCGGCGAGAAAAAACGCGTCAAGCGTAAGGAAGAAGGACGTAGAGCAGGAGGGGAATACGGGGCCGGTCTACGGCTCTATCCAAGAAAGAGAACAGTATGTGTGTATTCAGCACAAAGCTTGAGGTGGCGACTGGAAGTGACGTTGTTGATTTGTCTGTCTTATCGCTTACGTGGGGTTTCAAGTTATTGAACCTCCCTCAAAGGACCCCTGAAGTCCACGCGACAGCGGGCGCTAATGCAGCCTGGGAGCACTAGATCTAGTGGGAACCATGCTGAAGGGGTCGGGGTACGGTACACTACCGAGACTCCGTACATGGAGGCCAGCCGTGAGACAAAATGAATCAAAAGTTGGTCCCAACATTCATTCGATAAGGATTATCATGAGGATGCCTGTAACTATCAAACAAGACATCTCATCCTCTACAAAAGCCTCTCAACTCTAGGCTCGCCCAGCCAGCTCATGTCTCCCGCGGCAGCCATCTTCCTGCACCTCGCCAGCTCGTCGATAAAGTTGGGCACAAAGGTCCCCGGCCCCCGCACGGCCTCGTTCCGGGCAGCGATCTCGGCAGCGCCCTCGTACAGCAGCAGGCCGGCCAGGGCCGCCAGCAGCTTGTCCGCCGGCCGGGCCGCGGCCATGGCGCTGACGGTCGTGCCGAGGCAGCAGCCCGTGCCGCTGACCTGGCCCAGGTACTCGTGGCCGTGGCCGACGGCGTACGTCCGCTCCCCGTCGCTGACGTAGTCGGTCTTGCCCGTCATGACGACGACGTTGCGCTCCCGGGCGGCCAGGTCGCGCACCAGGCGGGCCTTGGCGGCGGCGTCGAGCGTCGAGCCGCTGTCGACGCCCCGCTGCTGCGCGAGGCCGGCGGCGCCGAAGACGGTCTGGATCTCGCCCTCGTTGCCCTTGATGATGTCCAGGTAGCCGCTCGCCATGATGGTCTTGACGGCTGCGCGGCGGACAGCCGTGGCCCCGCAGCTTTGATGAAAAGAATCTTGTTAGTTTGCGTGAAAAATCGTGGAATGAAACAGAGATGAGGGGTGGGGGGGAGCATACCCAACAGGGTCAAAGACAACAGGCTGGCCGACGCTATTGTACGCCTTGAGCGCCTTCAGGTAGTTCTCGATGCCTTCTGGTGTGACGGTGCCCATGTTGATCACGAGGGCGCCTCCGAGCTTGCAGAGGTCGGGAGCTTCCTCTCCGTAGTTGGCCATGATCGGTGAAGCCCCAACAGCCAATGCGACGTTGGCGGCGATGTTCTGCACGACGAGGTTTGTCATGTTGTGAGATAGGGGCGTGGTATCATGGACAGCCTTGATGATCGACGGCACCTGGGCCAAGATATCTTTGACGTCGGACACCTTGGCAGGGGCCTCCTCGACCGCTTTCCGGAAGGAGGGAGGAGACCTGACGAGTTGGAGCAGCTTCTTGGACTCAATCTCGGGATCTTCAGCCGCCATGATGGCGCTGACTATCGCCACGCCATCCAGCTTCTTGCTCGGAGCGGTACTCTGGAAGATAACACGCTGGAGGTTGGAGGCGTTAATGCCACCGATGCATACCGTTGATGTTGAGCCATGGCCTTTTGCACTCATGGCATCAAGGATCTCTCTGAGGCCCGCGGTGCCAATGACATGTTTCGTATTCTTTTTCCTAACCTTGAGTGTTAATACAGATCCAAGATCAGACGACAAGCCTTCTGATCATCTCTTACGTTTGAGTAGCGAAGACGGTGCCCACGCCGAGATAGTCAGCGCCGTCTTCACAAGCCCTCAGAGCCTCGTCCAACGTGCTGGCCGTGACACCGACGACGGCGTCCGGGCCGAGCAATCTCCTTGCCGCGGAATAACCTATGACATTTGGTGTCAGAGAACTCACATCCCATGGCCGACTGCAGGCAAGACTCACTTATATCGTCCTGGCCGATGTGCACGCCTTCGCAGCCAACGGCCAGCGCCACATCCACCCGGTCGTTGATAAGAAGCGGTACATTGTACTCCTTCGTGATTGCGTGCAGTTTAGAGGCCGTGTCGATGAGCACTCCGGTGTCGCTCTTCTTGTCCCGGTACTGGACGATGGTCACGCCGCCCTTGCAGGCCGCCCGGACGACCTCGCAGATGTCACGGTCTCCGAGGATTGCCGGGGTCGAGTCCGTGACGAGGTAGAGCGAGTAGTCTACCGTTGGCTTGCCCATGCTGTCCACCAATCCCTCACAACTCACAAGGGTTTGCAAGCTACTATGATCAAGAGCGACCCAAATTTGATTTTGGAGATCTAAGATCAGAGAGGGGATGTGCTGGTTTGCTACAGTTTAGACTTGTGACGCTATTAACTATATGAAAATGAGCGGATATTTGGCGAGAAAATTGGGCCTTGGCTCTTTTCGCTTCCGCTAACTCAAAGACAAATTCAAGAAGCACAGCAGCATGCCTGTCCCACGGAGAACACAATCAATTTGGATTATGAGATTGTCCCTGTCCTTTCTCTCCTTCAGCTTATATCCATTCAACGAGCAGAATTATAATCAAATAATTTAGATTTCCCAGGCCTTGACTGTAAGCTCCCAAGCATCCAGAAGCCTCAACCACACTCACTCATAAACGACAGTACCAGTCGGCAAGGGAAAAAAAAGGGCATTAAAACAGTAGAACTCCTTATCCCCACCCAGAGTTATCAAAGGTAGTTGCAGATCAGGCCGGCGGTGCGGCTGCGGAGGCGGCGGGCGGGATCACAAACGTCCCGATGCCCCGGCCCGGGATGGAGCCGCTCACGGTCCCGTCGGCGCCCACCGAGCTGTCCACCTTGTCGCACTTGTGGGTGTTGTCCGACACGTACAGCGACGCCGCCGTCGGCGTCTGCCCCGAGACCTTGACGCTGACCGTGCTCGCGCCGCCGCCGCCGTTGATGACGACGACGGCGATCGTGCCGTCGACGTTGCTAAACGCCGCCGCGCGCAGCCCGCCGCCCCCGCCCCCCGTCGTCGCCACGCGCTGCGCGCCGGGCCGCACGTACCGGCTGAAGTTGGCAAAGGCCCAGAGGCGGCGCGCGACCTCGTACGTGTTGGTGCCGTTGTCGACCTTGATGATCTTCTCGTTGGTATTCGGGCTGGGCCACTGCACGCCCTCCCAGTAGAGGTAGCCGCCGACGTTGTTGTTGAGCACGGCGTTCATGATGTTGTTGGCCCAGGTGAGGCCGTCGCCGGCCCCGCCGCCGCCGGACCACGCCGTCGACCACTGCCCGTTGAGGTCGCACTGCTCCGACAGCCACACGGGCACCTTGGTGTTCATGCGGCCCGAGGCGCCGCTCGTGTACGTGTGCGACGTGACGGCCTTGAGCATGGACTCGGCGCCGGCCGACTTGATGGCGTTGAGCATCTGCACCTGGTTGCCCCAGCCCTCCGACTCGCAGCAGGCGATGCCGAGCTGCTCCGTCATGTTGCGGTCCTGCATCGTCTTGTACAGCACCTTGATCATGTCGGCCGCCTGGTTGCCGTTGGAGTTCATCGAGGCGTAGCTCGAACTGTGACATGGTTGGTAATGTTAGAGATGAACTCCGCTCGTCAAGGGTAAGGGGACAGGAAAAACCTACGCGAATTCCGGCTCGTTCAGAAATCCGATGCTGGTCACCAGGATAAGTACCATGTTGACAACCAAAGACCCTGGCAGACTTACTGAGTCACATTAACCCCAGCCTCGGCATAGAAGCCAACCCAAGCCAAGAGATAATCAGCATACGCCTTCCATGATTGCCGGTCAGCCCAAGTCCACAGTCCAAAGGCGAACCAGTCTCGAGCAAAATGAAAAGCTCACATACCTGGCGCCAGTCGCCGCTCTGGCAATTCGCTCCCGGAACTCCGCAAAGGGTACCGCCATTGTTCTCATTGCCATTCGTCTTCATATAGCCTTTCCCAAAGAGAAAGTCACGTCAGCCATATATTCTCCCCTGAAAAGGAGGGTCCTGCCCTCCAGATAGGAACAAAAAGACCTACCAGGCGCGCTCCACGCATCCCCGTAGATCGTCTTGACCCCGTACGTCCTGACCGCCTCCTGCGCCACCCAGAGCTGGCCGCTGTCCTTGCCGTCGAAGCTGTACTGCGGCGCCGCCTTGGGCCCGCCGGGGTTCCTGGGCGCGAACGTGTTCATGTGGTCCGAGCTGCTGTCGGGCGACGACCCGATGCCGTTGCGCAGGATGGTGAAGCCGGCGCCCGTCGTCGCGTTGAAGAGCAGGTCGAGCAGCTCGCGCTGCTTGGCCGGGTCGCGCATGTTGGTGATGAGGTTGGCGCGCTGGAAGGCGAGGCTGAAGCCGAAGCCGTCCATGGTCTGGTACGTCGTCGCCGTGTTGACCATGATGGCCGAGCCGGCCTGCCGCGGGCCCATCAGCGGCACGAGCACCTCGTCCTCGGCCAGCGGCCGCGAGGGGCCGGCCTGCACAGCCTGTGCTGCGAGGGCCAATGTGAGAGGATGGGCGAGTCTCATGGTTGCAGTCTGTGATAGGTCTGTGAAGGCAGTTTCCAGCGCTGCTCTCGTGGCTCTGGATGCCCTACAGCTTTAGTGACTGGGCCTTTGGCTTTCACTACTCTATCAAGGGGCTTTTTAAGGTGACCGTTCATGTTGTGTATTAATACATAGAGCTCTCCTAGACCCCTCTCAGCCTGCTCGTGATACCCCTGGGGGATATTATGTTTTATATTTGCCTGCATGGCAATTGATTGCTATTCGTACAAGAGACAGACCCGGCTCCTTCGATCCCACATTAAGAGCTTGATAGAATCCCATTAAACGCGAGAAATGGTCCATGAGGGCGCACAGTTGTGCGTGTAAAGACACCCGCCACTCCCACGCTAACATTGCTTGCCATCACCTCGTCTGCCGATCATATCGCGCAGGTCGCCAGCCCGGCTCGGAGGTTTTTCTCTCTCGAAATAAGGTCAACAAAGCTTCAATCTTTGCCATATTCCCACCGGCTTGGCTGTGGGGTACGTAGCAGTCCGAGTTGAAGCCCGGGTGCGGGTAAATAAAAGGGGGTCTGCCATGACCTGTAGGGACTCTTCCGCTCCGCCCGGACTTTATCCAAGGGCCATGCCCTCAGCTCCCCGGCAGAATGATTTCTCGTCCATCGTTCGTTGCATCCTTTTGTCCTCGAGGCATGGCACCAGATTCACCAGTCCAGTCTGAATGCTCTATCGTTCTTGGTTGAGAGGGGAGATAGAAACAGTCCTAACGGCTTCGGAGTGCAGTTTATTCATTGTGTCCCCTTGCCACTGGACACCATTAGCAATCAGAATATTCCTTCTGACAGATCCGAAAATGGCATATTGAGATAGCTGTCCCACCCGCCTGGGCCCAGCATATCGGCCCAGGCTTCGCTGTTCAAGTCCTGGAACGAGTCGAACTGTGACATCAAGCCCGAGTCGAGAGCCATTGGCTCGGCGCCCGTATCTGCTTCCAAAGGAGACGGCTCTGCTGCTACAGGCGCTTCCGAGACTGGACTTGTGGTGGTGGTGGTGGCGGTGTTTGTGGCGGTAGCAGCATCCCGAGGGAACTCGCCATCGAGTTCTTTCACCAGGGTGCTCCGCAAGAAAGTCATCCGCTGAGCAAGGCGATCGAAGGGATCGATGAACCCCTCGCGGAGACTTCCCTGGTCCATGGCATCTCCGATGTGCACCGTCCTGCGCCTCCGTCTCTGTGCCAGCACCAGCATGTCCGAGATTTGCCTGTCCAGGTACTCGTCGAAGTTGAGCATCCTTCTCGCGACCTGGGGGTCCCAGCCAGGCGTCCGCAGCGTGATGAGCTTGAGCGATAACAGGAAACAGTACGTGTACTCGTATGAATTGAGACATATGAAGCGCGGCTCGTTCCGGATGTCCTGAGCGAAGCGGTTCATGAAAAAGTCCTTGACGGCAGTAAGGCTGGACCACAAAAGTAGCAGCCTCGTCTCCGCCGAGGTCGCTATGCCCAACTGATCGACTTGCATGCCGATTTCGTAGAGAATCAGCCTGGCCACCTGTACATGGCTGTTGATGGCATCTATATGGCGTTAATCAGCGGTCCTTTCCCCATGTGCCATGCAGAATTTCTTACCGTTGTCTCGAAGATTCTGGGTGAGCGAGGCCCGGTAGACGTCGATCTCCTGTTCGAACTGCTTGACCATAGTTCTGATGTCTTCCTCTGACGTCGAAGCACAAGACTGAATCGAGACTACTTTGATCGATAGTTTCTGAGAGAGCAGCTGGATTCGAACAAGGGCCAAGAGAAACTCGTCGCTGGGGAGCTCCATCCTGTGCTCCAAGACACGGCAGCAAGCTTCGACCATTGTCGTGTCCATAAGCCCGTCGATCTTCTTGCTCGATGCAAACACCCTAGTTGCCCCCTAATTTCAGCAGATGCATTTCTGCAAGAAGGAGAGTTCGCGATTTGACTTACAAGCTAGAGATATAAAAGGCACCCAAGAAAGCCCTCATCTCCTCCAAAACCTGCGGCCCATGATCTTTGCCCTTGATAGCCAGCTGCGCCTCGATAGATTTCAACGAATAGGCTATCGAGCGCGCCAGGTACAGCAGATTCGTCGTCTGGAAGCTGTTGATCCCGTAATTGTACCTAACGAAACGCCAAAAAAGAATTAGTCAGAAGCCCTTTTTGAACAGAAAAACTCAAAAGTAAGCTCTCAGTCATCCTTACCACGCAACCAGAAGCTCCAGGGCCTGCAGCACGTCGATCCCCCTCCTGGGCGCCGTCAGCGCGGCGGCCGACAGCTCGCCCAGCAGCGCGGCGCCGAGCGCCATCTGCCGCGCCCCGTCGAGGTGGCACGCCCCCATCATGACGGCCTTCCACAGCAGCGGCCGCGCGACCCGCAGCTCGCGCGACGGCACGCCGGCGGGCAGGGCGACGAAGGGGAAGAGCGGCACGAGCTGCGCCCGGTACTCCTCGAGCAGGCTCTCCGCCTCCTGGCCCCGGGGCCACAGCGGCTCCCGCGCCTCGAGCTCCTCGGCCGTCGGCTCGGGCTCGGGCTGCCCCGGCGGGACGAAGGGGCAGAACTTGCGCCGGCGCTCCTCCTCGATGCTCTCGTACTCGGCGGGGGCGTGCGCAGTCGTCGGCGGTGCCGGTGCTGGTGCCGATGCCGGCGGCGTCGGTGATGCGCCCTCGGGCGACGTGGGTACGGACTCCACTCGCCCGTTGACGGCGGCGGGAGGACTGGGAACGAGAGCAGCAGCAGCAGCACCGGAGCCGCTGCCCATGTCCATGGGGGAATCCGTAGGTTCGACGGCGCCGACACGGACCTGGTCCAGGGGGAACAGGTGGTTGAAGGGGGCGTACCGCGACACGTGCAGCCGCGGGTTCCACGGTCCGTGGACCGCCTTCTGCGACGCGGCGGACGCTCGCTGCTCCAGGGACGACCCGGACGCCGGGCTGCCCGCCGAGTCGGGCGGCGTGGGGCCCTGGCCCCGGGAGACGCTGTCCAGGCGGGCGGTCAGGTCCTCCAGGCGGCGCTCCAGCTGCGAGACGCGCGTGGGCTTGGGGGACCGGCGCTTCCGCGGCGGCGCGGGCGTCTGGGACGAGCAGGGCTTGTTGAGCCGGTGACATCTGATTATCGCGTTAGCACTTCGGTGCGTTTGGGAGAGCTTGGTGAACTTTTGACGACAACATTACCTCTCACACTTGTCCGGCGAGGGGCCAGGGATGCAGCGCGACTTGGCCTTGGCGCAAGTCTTGCAGGCACGAGGCCCCTTGTTCTTGTTGTGAGCACCGTCGCCGTTATTGTTACTGCCGTCAGCCTCGTTGGGAGAGGGAAGTTGGTCCAGCGGGACTTGAAGTAGATACATGGTATCTGCGCCGGCCGTCCGGCCAGTGTTCGGTGACTGGTGCATAAGCAATTAGTGTGTAAGTGATGTGATCTCGGCTTTCACCAGAAGCGAGCACCGGAGCCGGACGACATCAGAGCTTTGTAGAGTATTTCCTAAGATCTCGAAGGATCCCAAAACATAAAAAGAGACAGATCTTTCCCTCCAAGGAAATTCATCATGCCAGGTTCAACAGACTCGCGCGTTGGTGAGCAGCAGCTGTGCCATGTAAGTAGGAGTCGGAGCTGTACGTTCGAGTCAGGCTCCGGCGGAAGCGGAGGGCCAACTATCGCTCCGACTCCGTTGGCCTGGGCCGCATGATGGCACGTGCACCCAAGCATATTGACCAGAATGACACCAATTCGGCCAAATCCATCCCTTCCATGACCACTGGTAGACGATGTGCCTCGTAGACTTTATCGGAGCCTTGACCATAGCCTAAGATATTTCGCACACGCCGGCAAAGGTCCCGACGCGTAACATTCCTCAGCCTATCCACTGCAAGATCAATGTGTACTCTGGTAGGAGAGCAGGGTGGAAAGGAACATGTCACTTAGTGGCATGAGTAGAGAACACGAGGACGTCCCCTGCAAAAGGGGCCAGAGAAGAAGATGGCAGTACAATCGCTCTGTTGGCGATAAGCCTTCATTTGTTTAAATTCTGGTTTGTTAACTATCGGGTCTTAAATGGCCAGGACACATCCCAACAAAGGGGGCCGCTTTGGTCACAAAGTGATTTTTGTACGAAGAGAAAAGAGGCCTTGTCTGATCGAGCAGATACAAATCCCAGACAGATCCTAGCTTGGACAGCATATGGATGAATGATTGTACACACACACATCTCAAATGCTGTCCGCAGTGCTGCGCGCGCGCGCGCTCCAATGAACGTGATCTCGGGTCGGATGAGCGTTGTTTCCTGACCATATGCACACACACACACACACACACACACACAAATCACAGCTCAATTAGCAAGCGCGTTTAGGCGGCAGTGGCGCTGGCAAGCTGGGGCAGGCCGCGCTCCAGGAGAGTCTCGGTGAACTCGCCGGGGCGGAAGTTGCCCGTAGCCTTCATCTCGCTGGTCGTCTGCTCGATGCCGAGCTGCGCGTCGGTCCAGAGCGGCTGCACGTCCTGGCTGTTGGGCTCGCCGACGCCGATGAAACCTCCCTCCTCGGCCCAGTCAGAGGTCCGCTTGAGCTCCAGCTTGGCCCAGATGTCGTCGAGCGCCTCGACGAGCTGGTCGCGGTGCTCCTTCTTGTGTCCCGGCGTGGGCGTGACCCGCAGGCGCTCCTGGCCAACAGGCACGGTGGGGTAGTTGATGGCCTGGGCGTAGATGCGGTAGTCCTGGAGGAGCATGTCGGAAGCTTGCTTGGCGAGCTCGGCATCTCCGACCAGGATGGGGACGATGTGCGAAGGGTTGGGGATGACGGGAATATCGCGCCTGGTCAACGCCTCCTTCACAGCTCGGGTGTGGAGCTGCTGCAGCCTGCGGTCACCGTGATAGTTTGACTGATATTCGATGGCGGCCGTCGCGCCTGCCATCGTCGCGGGTGGGAGCGAGGTCGTAAAGATGAATCCGGGAGCCAGAGACCGAACCATGTCAATCAGCCTTGCGCTTCCGGCAACGTAACCACCAACACAACCATAGGCCTTGCCCAGGGTGCCGGTGATCATGTCAATGCGATCAAGGATGGTACCCTTGGGCTGGCCCTGCTTATGCGCCTCGAAGTCGAGATGCTCGGCAACACCAGCGCCGTGCGGCCCATACATACCAACAGCATGGACTTCATCGAGGAAGGTGATGGCGCCGTACTTCTCAGCCAGGTCGCAAATCTCCTCAATCGGGCCAATCGAGCCACACATGCTGTAGACGGACTCGAAAGCAATAATCTTGGGCACATGGAGCGGCAGGGATGCCAGCTTGGCCTCGAGGTCCTGCACGTCGTTGTGCTTGAACACCATCTTCTTGGTGCCAGAGTGGCGGATACCCTGAATCATGGACGCATGGTTCAGGCTGTCCGACAGGATGACGCAATCCGGCATCTTGCTGCCAAGAGTCGCAAGAGTGGCGTCGTTTGCGACGTAGCAAGAGCTGAAGACGAGAGCTGAGTCCTTGGCATGAAGTTTAGCCAGGCTGGCCTCGAGTTCGACAGCGTGCTTGTTGTGGCCCGAGATGTTCCTGGTGCCACCAGCACCGGCACCATACTCGTCCAGGGTCTCATGCATAGCCTTCAGGACGTTGGGGTTCCGGCCCATGCCGAGGTAGTCGTTGGCGCACCAAACGGTCACGCGGTCCTCCCGGTTCTCACCCATGTGGGCGACGGGGAATTCCTTGGCCAGGCGGTTGATGTTGTTAAAGTAGCGATACGACTTGTCGGCGTGCTTCTTGTCCAGCTCGGCCTGGTAAAAGGCCTCGTAGTTGAACTTGGCGGCAGAGCGGTCGGCGTGGCCGGTCACACCCGGCGCAGCGGCACCGAGACGGTTGACCGACATCTTGGGGGGCAATGGCACTACATCAAGAGTACAAAGGTCAGCCATGCGCGATCTCCCATCTCACATCAGCCACACAAAAGACCTATGCTCACCCTTCTCGCGAGTGTTGAGGAGGGGCGTGTCCACAGCCCTGGCCTCCTGGCTGCGGCTGGTGTGAATCCTGGCCTTGGCCGTCTTGCCGTGGCCGGCAGCAGCAGTGTGCAGACCGGCGACGGAGGCGGCGCCGTGGCGGCCAACCCTGGCGGACTGGACGGCCATGGCCTTGCCCATGACGGGGCAGCGGTGGGCCAGCACCTGGAGCTTGGAGATGGTGCCGCCGCAGGGGGACGAGGGCAGGAGCTTCTGGCGCGAAGAGGTCGACAGGGACCGCAGGGTGGCGGGCGAGGCCGTCTTCAGGAAGGGGCACATGGCCTTGGACTGGCGAAGGACGGCATCCATGACGGCAGGTCAAAATCGGGCTTGTCTCCGAATTGCGATCGTGTGCTTCAGAGCAGGCGTCCTCGGTCGATCTCGTCTCTGAGAACAACAGATGACAATGGCAGGATAAAGAAGGAAAACAGCGGGAAGGAAAATTGTTGGAGTAGGAGTCAGTTTTTTAGGATGAGTCTAAGTAATGTAGGCCCGCGGAGACATAGCAGCCGGGCTAAGCTCAGCGCACCCGACACACTCGCACACACCAATCCATGTCGAATGCGCCACCTGTAAGAGCGGAGCCCGAACGGCTGGAGCCCGTTCCGAGGCAGCCCTGGAGCTCGCTAGCGGGATTCATCTTCTGGCGCATGGCCTGAACAGCCTCCAGAACGGCACCATTTTTCAATCGCCTAGTCCCCTCGAGGGCTCCGAAACGGGGACTCGCTTCCGAGACCTCACTCGCCATCACAAATGGCCATGATGGCCATGAATTCTTACTGCTTCCGGTGCGAACTCGTCAATGTTAAGAAGACTCACACGGCTCTGCGCGGTCCATGGAACGCTTTGCCAACGGCACGGCAGCAAAAATCAGCTTGTGGACACTTCTCTGCAATCTCAGAGGCCGTACCGGTCTATGACAATAAGCGGATGCAGGTACCTTGGGGCGCACTAGAATTCGGTGGTGACTCGGCATCGGCATTGTGTACAACGTGGTTTAGGCCTTTGCAGCTGCTGAGGGGTCCAATTCATGAATCTGTGGCTAGCTGAATGGAAGCTTTGCGGTTTGCCAATAACATCCCCTCAGCTCAAGTGCCATCGACTCAGCATGACAACTCGCAAGGATCGCCATCTTGGCCTTTCTGTTCCCTTCCTTTGCCCTTCGTCCCTCCGATCCCATCTGCAGGCAATCTGGGGGAAAGAAGCCTTAGTGATGCCGACACCCTCTTTAGCCTCAGGGCCCGGGCCCCTCACCACCCCGATCCCAACCCAATCACGCCGCCCTTTTGGCTCCCCGCCTTTCGCTCTCATTACTATTCCCTCCGTCCCATTGGCTGATCGTCCCACGGCCGGGATCTGGTAGGTACGTGCTCCGTACAAAACCGCCGGCATTTTCTTTTCTTTTCCTCTTTGGACCAACAAGCTCTAGTGCTAGAAATTTTCGATGCACTTCTGGGCCTGCATGGAATGACTGTCGCTAGTATCACCTCATGTCTCCTTTCCGACGCGCAACAAACCAAACCCAGATCCATCGCGAACCATACCGCTTTTTCTCTATGTTCCCCCCTTAGGGCCATAGCCTCTCCGACCCCGGCTCGCTATCCAATCATCGTTGTGTCTGTTGTCTGCGGCATCTTTCCAACGGCTTCCATCTGAAGTTGTAGCTTGACGCGTTTGCTTGCCATTCATGTTACTTGTTACATTTCCTCTTGTGCGTAGTAGGTAGGCCTGGATTACTGAGATCTGGTTGATAGGCTATTTAGGAGTCTTACGAGTCTCGAGACCCCAACATTTCTCTCTCCTTGAATGACACGTAGGGACATTCGATCAAACGCATCGATTCATGTTTACGCAAGACCACCGGTTCAAGGTCATTATGTCGAGAACCATCTTATGTTGTTCATCATCATAGTACCTAGCAGAAATGGTCGCCCATCAACCATCATTCCGCCCTGATCTAGCTAGCTCGGGTATCCGACCATCTTCCATAGCAGCCCTGAACTCCCGCCATCACAGCTCAGCCTCCCGCATGGCATGCAGAAGCAAGAAAAAAAAACAAGGTATGACTTGGGTATAAAACCGAAATGCGAAAGAAGCAAAAGTGAACGCAGGTAAAAAGAGGGCACCGGCCCCTACCGCAACGTTGTCAGATACTCCTCAAAAAACGCCATTGTCCCGTAGTCTGTGGTATGAACCTCTGAGTTGCTCTATCCCTCCAAAGGCGTTCAATCAATCATCAATGACGATAGGGACGTCAGCCGCATCGCCCTGCTTACGAGCCTCTTGCGCGCTGCCTCCACTGTCTAGCCGTCCAGGAGGAGGAAGTATTGATTTCCGCTTCCATGCGGCGGGCGACTTTTGTTTCCGTTTCCCGCCTGCTTGTGACATGGGGGACTCCTTTTCCGACTTGCACTGTTTCTCGCCTCGCGCTTGGTTGTTGGTTTGAGGACCCCTGTCCTGGATTTGCTGTTGTGAAGAAATATCGTCAGCCGAGTCTTTTGTTGAGATCATTGATGAGTCGTCCTGATATCCGCATAGGGCAAGGTAATTATGATAAATGGGAAACTGAGAAGAGAAAACAGGGAAGAAAGAAAGAGGTGAGGGAAGGGCTCAATATCATACAAGCTTGGGCTTTTTCCTATGCGAGCGGATAGTTTCTTCGAATTCTTGCAGTGGGAGAGCCTCCAGCGCCTGGATCCGCTCCTTGATGGTCGAATCTGACAACATGGCGAAATAGTCTGGTACGAAGTACCTAAAGAGAATCGCTTTCGCAAATCTACGGCTCTGTGTAATTTGAGTGGTAAGCAGGGCCCATCTTGACATCGCGGGGATGTCTTTGCCGATAGCAGTACTCAAAGCTGCTACAATGTCGTGTTCGAGGGTCTCCACGTTGATGTTGAGTTCGGCGAGCTCTGGTAGAAGAGTATGGATCTGAATTCTCAGTTGCTTCCGGAAGTTGTCGGCTGATCCAACCAGTCCAGGGAGTGGGCCAGTTACACGCGACGAACTAGTCTCAGTCGCTTGCACTTCATGTTGCTCCGGTAAGACTGACGAGGGTAGTTTTGGCGAAGTTTGGGCGTTCCTGATGTTAACAGGCTGGCCGTTTGCTGTGAGAGGCAGAGGAGTGCTGATCTGGGGGTGCGTCCCACCAAGACCCCCATCATGTGCCTGTCCCGTTGACTGAGTCTGAATCGTAGAGACCAGCTGGTTGTGGTGGCGAGCGGCCATGTTTTGGATCTGGACTGGGTGCTGACCCATCCCAGGACTGCTCATCGATGCTTGCCCATTAGGCTGGCGCATGAGAGAGTGTGCATGCGGGGTGTTAGTACTAGAGGGCCCAGCCACCCCAGAGAGAGGTAATTGAGTTGGCGGGGACACATTGCTCATCGACTGCTGGAACAGCAGCTGCTGTTCCTGATATCGTTGCAGATCAAGGTCCCGAACCCCTTTCCGACGTTGCAACTCAAAGGCCTTGGGGTCCATGATGCGGAGTTGATTAAGCCGGATCATCTCTGTGGCACCTTGTAGTTCTTCCGGGGTGAGATTGTCTTCTGGATCTTCCTCTTCAAAGGTATCGGTGGAGATAATCTTCCGAAGATTGTGCTGGGGATCTTGCTCCAGGATGAAGTCCAGAACACGATCTTTGCCCCGTGCATTGACCAGCGACTCCTCGTCCATGTCAACCATCTTTGGCTCAGCAGTGTAGTCACGCACGGTCTGACTCCAAGCAGCAGGGTTTTTCTTATCTACGACTCGAGCCGCCAGTTGCGTCTTGAACACCTGCTGGTTGTGGAGCACGGCTTCATGTGTTCCTCCGACGATCAACCAGTAGACAAACACGGGTTTTGTCTGGCCTATACGGAAGGCTCGACCGATAGCCTGCTGCTCTTGGGTAGGATTCCATTTGAAGTCGAAGATCACGACTCGGTTGGCTCCAGTGATATTGAGACCTATCCCACCTGAAGTGGTCGAGATCAGGTATACATCGTCATCTCCCGCGTTGAAGTTCTTGATCAGGTTCTGTCGCAGATGAACATGCGTGTCCCCATCGAGCCTGGAGAAGTTTCGTCTCTGCCTTCTGAACATCTCCTGCAGATAGTCCAGAGTATCTCTGCTCTGTGTGAACACCAACGTTTTGTCCCCGACACGTTTGGCCTCGTCCAGGATCTTCAAGAGGGTCATAACCTTTGCAGAGTGTTTAATATCATCAATGTCGCGAGCGTGTAGCACTTGTAATAGCTTGCCAACCATGTCCAGAGTCAGATGCGGCTCCTTCTCCTTCCCGTCTTTCGCGAGCTGTTGGTTTGTGGGTAGCTTTGCAGCCTGAAGAGTCTTCTTCGAGTTCTTCAACTTCGCTTGAAACACCATCGGGTGTGCTAAAAGCAAGGTGAGGTTGAAAACCAGGTTGAACAGTCCCACCTGTGAAATTTCCCCATTCGCTAATCCGTCTCCAGAAGGGGCAACAAGGTCCAGGAAGGCCGTGTATGCCTTTCTCTGGAAGTCAGTTATGGACAGGAACAGGATAAACTCCTGCTTGACGGGCAGTTCAGATTTGAGCGCTGCCATTGTGACCCGATGAACCTTCGGCGCGACAGTGTCTTTCAGTACTTTGAGCATCTGAAGTGCTTTGCGCCTCTGCCAGCGGTCGCTATCGGCGTAGAGGCCCTCCTTTATGGGGTTGGCATATACGCTTGCAAACTCGTCATGTTGACCCAAGTAATTCGGTGCCAACCAGTCGATCATCGAATGGTACTCTTCGACAGAGTTAGCCAGAGGAGAGCCTGTCAGTGCGATGCGGATCTTTGTCTCGAAATTCCCTATGACTTGGGCAAGCCCGGATTTCGGGTTCTTGAAGGCGTGAGCCTCATCAGCGACGACAATGTTGGGTGATCCATTCAGGAGAGATGCGATTTTTTCGATTTGCATGAGATTCCTGAACAGGTCGTACCCAATGATGAGCACACCGCCACCACCATAGGCCCAGTCCTCAACGAGGGCGGCTCTCACGCCTTGCGGGACTTGAGCGTCCATTGAACGGAACGGTCCAAGTAAGCCCTGTGGCGTCCATAGGAGGAGCTCGTCATGCCAATTGTTGACGAGGCCCGCTGGGCAAAGCACAAGTGTTTTGGAATCTCGGAGTTTACAGGGAATCTGATCCCTGATCCGTGAATCATCGGATATCGCCGCTTCAGCAATAGCAACCAGCAGGGTGATGACTTGCATTGTCTTCCCCAAGCCCATGGTATGAGCAAGCAAGCAGCCCTGGCCGCTGTCTGAGCCAATGATTTGGTTCCACATGAATCGCACCCCATTAATCTGATGATCCTTGATGCGCTCTGCGATGGCGCGATTCACAAAAATCTCTCCCTGGTCATCCAGCTTGCTTTCATTGATAATCAACCGGGAAGCATCGCGCGATATAGTGGTATAGTCCGAGCGAGCAAGTCTCTCACGAAGAGCATTTCGTCTCTCCTCTTGTTCTTTGACGCGGAGTAGATCATCTTTTCGCAGCTTCATCGCGGCTTTATCTGGTCGCACCTGTCGTCGTCGCCGCTGCTTAGACGGTGACGAACCATCAACTTCCGAACTGCTGTCACATTCAGGGGAGCTGCTTTGTTCACTCGGCTTCGCGCTGGACTTCCGGGGAGTCAAAAAATCTGTAGGTTGTGACTTGGGGAAGAACTCGACAATGCTGTCAATGAAATCGCGGAAGTTCGCGATTCTTTGGCGATTGTCCTTTAATCGATCGATAAGATAATTGCTCACCGGGCGCCATTCTCCAGAGGAAGGGCAGGCGCAATCACTGAAGGCGAGAAGAAGCCTATTGAAGTTGAAGGCAAGCTCTTCCAGGAGGGCATTTGGGGTCCCTGGCACCGTCTCCAACGACACTGAGGGCCGCTCAATTGCTCTTCTGCAAAACTTGCGCCAGAGATCGTCAGGGTCTCTCATATTGTGAAGATAATCGAAAAGGCGACCAAGTAGCTTGTCATCCATTCCGCATAATATCGTGATCACAAGGCGACGGTTGTCCCCCAGACGTCGCCAATATTTGGTACCCATAGTTGCTATCTCCTGCGGCTTGCTGAAGGGAAAATCGTTGTCGATCTTTTCTGCGTCTTGCGACGTAGCCGCGGAACTGGCTTCTGGGATAGGCAATGTCTTCCCTGGCGTTCTGAATAGTACCTCATTATTGGCATCGTTCTGCAAGTCTCCCGGAAGTTGATGATCCTCTTCATCACTCGAGTCAGGGATCTGCGTGAGATCATAACAATCATAGTTCCCGTCACTGGACTCGGCAGAATCGGCAGCATCCAGTTCGAGATGATCATGTTGTGCAGAGCCGTCATCCACATCCATCGTATCGCTGACCCAGCCAGTCTCGCCATCATCATCGGGGACGATGAAGTCGCTAGAAGAGTCGCTGCTGTAAAGCTCCTCTTCATCATCTCCAAGTTCTAGGGAGGGCTTCTTCCCCTTCGATATCAGTCTGGCTTTAGGGCGTCTGAATCTCTTTGGTTCAGAAGGGCTGTTGAGAACGCTGACAGTCCACGAACAATCCATCTTGTCATGCACAGTCTGCTCAAGTGAGCCAGTTGCAACCTTGTACACCTCCTCTTCCGTGGCCCAATCGAGCTCTCGAATTGTGTCACAGCACTTGTTCATCCGGGCTTGAAGCTCCCTGGAGGACTTGCGTGCCCCAAGGATGATCTGCTGACGGACAGCTTTCTTCCGTCCAGTGTGCCATAATCGATTGGCCCTCTCGCGCAGTTTGGGGAGCTTATCAGACTTCCAAGAATTTTCCAGATGTTCAATGGCCCTCTTGATGGCTAGATCGACTTTGCCTTTCTCGATGGGGCGCTTCTTCCCATCCTTCAGCTGCTTCGCCTCAAGCTTCTTGCGGTCTGCCTCTTCGGCCTCGATCTCTGCCCAAGTCTCTGTGTCATAGTCATCATCGGAGTCTCCAAAGGCGGGCAGAACCACATCGGACTCGAGATTGGCAGTGCCGGCTCCAGTCGTCGATGGAGCACCTCCCGCCCGGCCGCGGCCCAGGTTGACGTTCCGAGGTCGAAGATATCTGCGCAGCTGCCTGGCCGCAATGATGCTGATGCCCGGAGACTTGGGACCAACTTGTACCAAGCTCACAGAGTCATCCTCAGTACCGCCGGGTTCAATTGTCTGCGCACCAAGAGCCCGCTCCAGTCTTTGAGGACCTAGGTAGGCGCCTCGTCGTAGTGAAGGCCGTGGAACCAGGGTAGGAACGATTCTCTTTATCTTCTTCTTGACGGGCTCTTCGTCTGGGGGAGCTCCATCCTTGTCGACAACCCCATTCTCGACTGGCGGAGGCTGAGCACTTGGCTGCTGTGTGGTGTTCGAAGTATGAAGAATCTGTGCGCCGGGAGGGGTCAGTCCTGAGACTTCGTTCAAGTTGTGAGCGCCTGTCAATCCTTGAGAACCTGGTCCCGCTGTGTTGGCATCACCGTTTTGGAGATTCTCATCTCTCCATTGGCGATATGATTGGCTGTTGGCCTGAAAGATCTTGATGGCCTTCTTCATCGAGGCTTTGTGGGGGATTTTGGTAACCCCAAGGTCCTTGAATAGTGCTTCGATGAACCCTGGGCCGAACACATCCTCGTAGGTCAGCAGGTCCTCGCCGTCTAATCCATGTTCTCTGAGCTTTTGCTCTAAGACGACTGGATCGGGCATTTTGTTCGCAGCGGGAGCAGGCCAGGAACGATTGGCCGTACATAGCTCCTGTACCAACCGATCATTCTCCCAGAGGAAGGGATCATCTCCACCGTGATCCTCCATCATTGACTATCGAAATCAATGCCAACCTGTCAAACGGTCAGGACCATATGATAGAGGTACGAGGGGAAATGCGTCTAGAAAAGAGTCGAAGCTTTTCTGATATCTGGGCGAATCAATAATGGTGCGGGTTGCCGCAGAGCAAGAAATGCTATAACCAACAGAGAGCTGGCAAGCTCAAGTCTTCTCTTGTCTGATGATGAGGATAAAGCGAGATTCTTCCAGACTGCCCGGGAGAATGTTGAATGACACAGGGGCGATAGAAGTGAAAGTCGGTGGCAGGATGAGAGACACGAAATCTAAGACTCACAACATGCCGTGTATTTCAGGATCTCCGCACCTGACATCCAAGCCTAGTTGGTGAATAAGTTGTGGCACGATGGAAATCGGCTGCGACAAACCCAAACCTCCGAGGCGGAAAAAAATCTATCGAAAAATAGACAGAGTCGGGAAAAGTTTGTCAGAGATCCCGTCCGAGGTTTGCTTCATCGCTTTCGGCAGGGTGGAGTGGTGAATGGGTGAGGGTTTCTAGACGCGGATGTGAATTTTCGCGATGCAAATACGACGAGATTGATGTGAGGCAGAGAGAGAGGCTGTGTTCTCTCTGCACGCGCCTTGAAATAAACAAACGTTCAGTGATGGAAGCTGCTAAGGGTGAAGGATGACCGCCTAGATGCCTTGATCGGATGCAAATGTGGTGCAATCGAACAGAAAGTGCGTCATTCTTCAGGTTTGGGAGTATATGAGTGACTGGCGTGGGGTGAATGATGCGTTGGTGTTGCAGATTGCTGTTGGTGACAGACAGAGTTGGAGCTGAGACGACGCTATTGAGAAAGTACCTGTGCATTCAACGCTAAAGGCTGAGGCAGTTCAGGGGTATCACGCGCCAACACGGCGGCTAAAGCCTCTAGATTGACCTACCTACCTAGGTAACATCTCGAAGGGGGAAAAAAGCAAAAACCGCCCTGCCTGTTGCCTAGGATTGGTGTTACTTTTGGAAGTAACGACCCTTTCTCACCCTTGGCATGCAGCCACCCATTGAGCTGACCTTGGAAGACGACGATCACGATAACAAAAGGTACTTGCGCGGACCAGTTGTTAGAAAATTCTACGTGGTGAACAAACAGCAAGCAAAAGTGTGCGCGGCTCGGTCGTTCCACATGTAATGGTCGTTTCTTAAGTTTGATGCCGGCAAATAGCTGGGTGGATTTGGCTGGATCTTGGCCAGGGACCTAGCGAGGCTCTCGAAGCTCTGGCAGAAACGCATTAGTCAGGTGCCGCGATGTGAGACTACTACATATGGACTGTATGTACCATCGACTTTGCCCAATTCCTCTCTCTGTGGTTACCTTTGGGAAAGACTCTGCAAGGCCTGATCTATTCAAACCACTCATACTTCGAATCTCTACGCCATTGTGTACTCTCAGTCACATCACTTGATCGCAAGGTGGAACCTGGCCCAAGGCCTCCGCATCAAACACATACATCTCCACATCACATCACGGTGTTGGCCCATCCCCACAACCGCGCCGGCGGTATTTTCCCAGCTTTGTCATCTACCCTATCCTCTCTCTGTCTCTCAACCACCTTGCTGCCAGCTCACAATGGGTTTAAGTGCCGGTTGCGCAGAGGTTTCATACCCTCCCGACATTGATGATGCTGAGAGGGAGCGCCTCGTGCAGACCATCAAGGACTGGGGTATCGCTCACGGCTTGGCTGTCCGACCCCCGCCGGCCGTCATCGCTTCCGATGCGGATCCGCAAGGCATCCTTGCCACAAATGCGCCGGTGACCCTGTTCCCAAGTCCCTTCCCCAAGTCTTCCTTTGAGGAGGCCAAGGCGGTTCAGACAGCGTACAATAAATTGTACGCGGATGTTAGCCGGGATGAGGCTTTTCTAGGCCAAATAGTTCAAGAGTAAGTCGAGCTGAAAACCCAAACCCCGCGTTCCTCGACATGGAAGCCGTCTGGCAAATTCGCAAACTACGGAGATGTTTCCATAGAACACCCATGCTGATGATGCGTCTCTAGGGTATCCGGAGATGACTTTATCTCACAACTATGGCATGTCCACCAGAGAGTCAAGGCCGAAGGTTATGTTCAGGTAAATATCTGTATATTGGTATGTGTAAACCCTTGGCTTTTGACTGACAAATCACAGAAACTCTCCTTGGGGCTTTTCAGGTCAGACTACATGGTTCACCAGGACTCTACCGATCCTACAAAGGCACCACAGATCAAGCAGGTGGAATTTAACACTATCGCATCTTCGTTTGGTGGTCTGTCTTCCAAAACTTGCGAGTTGCATAGGTGAGAATTACGCTCTATACCACTATGCGTCATTGTCGACCTTGACGACTCACGCCAAATTTAGATTCCTTGCCTCGACTGAGTATCCTCAATTGAAGCAATCCAACGCAAACCACGGGTACGATCTCCCCGAGAACGACAGTGCCAAGGGACTTGCTGCAGGTATCAAGGCCGCCCACGATGCCTATGGCGACTCAGCTCTCGGCCACCAGCGATGCGTCCTGTTCCTCGTGCAAGGGGGCGAGCGGAACGTTTTTGACCAGCGCCACCTGGAGTACGCACTGCAGTCTCTATCCCCAGGGCTTCTCGTCTTCCGGCTCCCGTTCGCCGAGATCCTCCAGCGGACCAGCATAGCCCAGACAGACAGACGCCAGCTGCTGTACAAGTCCCCCACCAACCCTGACAAGGTTTTCGAGGTTTCGGTGGTGTATCTCCGCGCGGGCTACGGGCCCGGCGATTACCCGACTCCCGCGGATTGGGATGCGCGGTATCAGATCGAGCGGTCAAACGCTATCAAGTGCCCGACGGTGCTCACACAATTAGCCGGTGCCAAGAAGGTCCAGCAAGTGCTGGCCACGCCTGTCACTCAGTCCCAGCCATCTGAGCTGCATCGCTTTGTTCCTGATGACTCGGGGGCCTCAAAGCAGATTCGGAACACCTTCACCCACATTTATCCCCTGGATGACTCCGAAGCCGGCCAGCAAGCTCGCAAGTTGGCCCTGGACCCCAAGGAGTGCCTCAAGTATGTGCTCAAGCCCCAAAGAGAAGGCGGCGGCAACAACTATTACAAGGCCAAGATTCCAGCGCATCTGAACAGCGTGCCTGAGGAGAGCTGGAAGTCATACATCCTCATGGAGTTGATCACGCCGCCACCTGTTGCCAACATTATCCTTCGCAACGGCAGCTTGGAACAGGGAGGCGTCATCTGCGAGTTGGGCATTTATGGTACTTGCGTTTGGGACCAGGGCACCGGAGACGTCGTCCATAACGCAGAGGCGGGCTACCTGCTTCGAACCAAAGGCGATCAAAGCGAGGAGGGCGGCGTTGCAGCCGGTTTTGGCTGCATGGACTCGTGCACCTTGGTATAGAAACGATTTTTCTTGGATAGCATCGTAGAAATAGCATATAGAGAGCAACACAGTCGAATGCCGCCAATGAGTCTTCACAGGAACCAGCCGTAGTGCCGCGATTGTCGCTCAATTAATATGGTATCATCTCTAATATCCTGGTGTACAAAACCATCCATCAAGCCAGTTGACAAAGGAGACTGGTTCCCATTCCATCCTCGAGTGAGTAGAGAAGTGTTACAAATATCCGTTGTCCCAAACGCATTGCGCCGTCCCGACTTTGTGTTATACGCCAGGAGCTTACTGCTCAGTGGTCTGGGGTCGCTTGAGAACCTCAATGTTCCCTAGACAGGTGGGTTAGGCGTCGAAGCGAGGATCCAGGGGCGGGAAGTTGCAATCTTACGCTGAACAATGTTCAGGGAGCTCCTGTTGTTCCCCTCGGCATCTTGGTACGTGCTCATGGTAGCATCGCCCTCAACGTAGACCATGGTTCTGAACAAAGAGGGGGAAACAGGATCAGCCTCATCGTAGCAAGCAGCAGCAAATGCGCATTGGTAGGCCGACTCACCCCTTGGGAAGGCTGCGGAGGAAATCGCGGCGGGGGCCATCGCCCTCGAAGCTCGCGACGCGGAACCAGCTGGTCTGGCGGTTGTCCTTGGGGCCGCTGTTGCTGGCGACGGCGTACTTGATGATCTCGTGGCCGGTGCTGGTGGCCTGCAGCTCGGGGGTGTCGGCGAGGTGGCCAATGATGGTGATCTTGGCCAGGTTGCGGGACGGGGTGGTGCTGAAGGCCCGGACGGCGGCCCGGGGAGCGGCAGTAGCGCGGCGCATGAGGAAGGCGGACATGTTTGGTATTGGGGGTGGGACTGAATATACGGAATGGTATCAAAATTGTCGATTGCAAGAAAGAGCGGCGAAAAAGAGTCTGTGTTGGAAAGGTGGTCTGTTGGAGATGTCAATTTGGTGCGACGAGCCTACGAGGAGGAGTCGCGACGTTGCGAGAGGGGGGACGCGTTTAATTGATGAAGTTGTGGCGTCATCTGCAGGGAGAGCCAGGCAAGTGGGGCCGTTGAGGCTGCCACATGTGGCTTGTGAGACCCCTTATTGCCCTCCAGCTCGTGAGCCTCATCGCGCAAAGACGACAGCTCGTGATGGCTCTTGGGCCGGGCATATCGACCAGGCCTGGCCATGTCAAGGCCGGGTGATTGAGTCACTTGAATTGGCGACTCATCAACGGTATTCGCCATGGCTGATGTGGACAGCCGTAGTCTTCGTGACCAGCTATCACGAAGCTCGTCATTCAGGAGATTCAGGAGCCTCGCTCTGGGCTGCTTCACACCCGAATCACTTGAAGAAGATCCAAAAATGGCATACTTCAACCCCAAAGCTGAATGAGGCGTTTCACACTTTCCCACGTTCACAGCGATGAGTGGCCTTCTTTTTCCAATCCAGTGTTCTGATACGTGCCTGATTCACCCGTGATGCCACCATCTCAATCCCCGCCTTTCCTAAAACGGGTCTCAATAAGGCTTCAATAAAGTTTACTTGATGACATCTCACTTTTGGGTCTTGGCCGACACTAAGACTTATTGCTTATTCTTATTGACAACTCTCGTTTCACAGCCATGCCCCCAGCTGTCCTTTTTGGATATCTCAGCTTTCTCAATAGAACCGAGATGAGCTCCCTGGGTCACGGCCTGATTGATGCCGGGGCTTATTGGGGTTCTGCGACCCCTATTCGATAGAAGCTGCTGCTTTATGCGTCAGTCTCTTGGTCTCCTCGCTCGATAAGTAATTGACTTGTCCGGTGTGGGAATCCTTGAAGACTGACTGCCTTCTCCTCTTGACATCTGGACACTCCTGTTCTGTATCTTGCCCCTCGGCGGAAACTAAACTCTTCACGGAACTTTGCGAGATACCTTCTTTGAAAACACATCATTATGGCTCCTCTTATGGACTATATGGGCTCGGAGGTCATTGTCTTAGGCAATCCGGACCTGTCCTACGACCCCCGTCTCATGGCCAATGCGGTCTGCAGAATCACCTTCGGCACCATCTTCGTGATAGCCTCCTGGATACCTCTGAGGCTCCTCTGGAGAAATGGAGAGTTTGCTGCCTCCATATTCGTCATCAACAACGACTTGCTCGCCCTCTTCTTCATCGTCAACGCCATGATCTGGCACAACAACGACATGGAGCATTGGTGGCTCGGCGGCGGATGGTGCGATATCCAGCAGTACTGCGTCTGGCAGATGACTACACTGTACGCCTCCAGCGTCTGCGCCATTATGAGACAGCTTGCGAAGCGTGTTGGTGTCGCCAGGATGGCCGAGTACACCGCGACACAGAAACGGAACCAGGTCCTGATCCAGGCGGCCATCATCTTCCCAGTCCCACTGCTTCAGGTGCTCATCGCGAGCATGGTCCAGACAAAACGATACAGCATCACCGCGGTACGTGGCTGTGGGAACTTCTATGCACCGGATGTCATCTTCCTGGTCTTCCTGGTTCTTCCTGCACCGGTCTTTACCGTAACAGCGGTTGTCTTTGCTTGTAAGTCAATGGGTTGCCCATCCCTTTCCCTCAACACCACCAGTCCACTAAACATCAAACACGCAGGCATTACCTACTTTCGTTACAAGAAGGTCGAACAATCCATCAGGTTTGCGCACAATTCGAACAGCGCAAGCAGTGCAGCGTCGCGGAGTAGGCGAACTAAGAGAAAGCTCTACACGATGACCTGCAGCATCCTGCTTGTCTACACCCCTTTTCAAATATTCTTCCTCGGATCAAACATCAGGCAAGGCTGGCCGTGGAGCCTCCCCGGAGCTTTCAGGCAGCACTACGTCGATAAGATCTTTCTCATCCCGTACGGCTTGTCTGGCTGGATTGAGATGAACATGGCCTACGTCTCGATAGTCACTATTGCCGTCGTCTTTCTCTTCTTCGGCACGGGTAAAGAGGCTCTCAATATCTACCGACGTATATTTCTTGCCATGGGACTCTCAAGGCTGTTTCCCTCATTGGAGCATGAGTGGGACCCCGATCGCACCCAGCGTGGCACTTTTGCCCAGATCAGCTCGACTCAGAAGACAACGAGCACTGGGTAAGTGACATTCTTGCCTCGTTTAATGACAAGGTATTGACTAACAAGTACAAGCACTACTACGAAAGCATCGATGACAAACCTAAAGGGCACTACTCAACACATCAGCCTGACCGACAATCCGGCCATACAGCAGCGGCCGGCTCATACGGCCCCTAGCGACCCATATAGGACCGGAACAACCCCAGGCTACGACCAGCACAGCGCTCCCCATCAGCCCTTTGAGACAGACGTCAGAGACTTCGAGCCACCCAACCCCCATACCGCTCTGTCAATGCTCGCACTGCCGCGGCCATCGCTGCGCTGGTGGGCGCCCGCCAAGCTGCCCTCGCTCTTCAGCTCCAGGGGCAAGGACGCGGCGCCCGCTTCCACCATACCCCTGGACTCGGTCCATACGGCCCCGAGCACGTCAGACGGCCCCCAGGAGTGGTCTCACAGCGCGACTGCGCCGCTGGTGCGCACCCGTGTCTGGGCGGCCGAGGACGCCGAGCGGGTGACGAGGCCCAACACCTCGCAGGACAGTGGTGCTGGCCCCTCGGTCCGGGTGGAGACCCGCGTTACAAGGTCGACCGAAGATGCGGATGACGACGAGCTCTAGTGGAGCTCCTTTTACAAGTCTTATGGCCGCGTAGTATGACGAAGGGCCCAGTCGGGATCGACTCGACTGATCGCTGGGTTGGCGAGCGGTCCGGAAAGGGGGGTTGCGCGGGAAGTCTATTTGGAAGGGCACAAGTTTGCATCACATCCTCTTCTCTTCTCTTCTTTCTTTTTCCTTGCATTCGAGATAAAGAGTCTTCGGAACACGTTTGGGGGGTTGAGTCATATTCTCGAAATGCATTTTTGGTTGGTTGATAACAAGGATATACATACATAGTGTGGGAGATAGCAGAATGCAGCTGTTTTCCAAGAGTCCGGCCGGTGGAACCACCAGCCTTGCTTCGCTTATCATAGTGACGGAGTATATTAATATCGTACGGATGCAAGTGCCGTGGTGCTCGGGAGTCGTCTGCGAACCGGAGTGCTCAGAGCAGCAGACCAGCTGCAGCTTCTCGGGCCGCTGTCCTGCGACCTAGCCGTTCTCATTTCCGTTGCATCGTCAAAGGGCTGACTTAACCCCTTGCTAGGCTCGCAATCCTCTTGTTCCACAGGACATAGAGAGGCCCGGAGTATGCGGTACAACCTCCGGACCTGGTCGCACGAAGAACCGGGAGTCTTCGTATTCGAAAAGACTTCTGCTCCGTATGCACAATTGAAACGTATCTTTCAAGCATATCGTCCCCTTTTCTCTGCTGAAGCAGGGGCCTTGCTATCTGCCACGACTACCACCTGGTGATCAGTCATCCGACATCGTCGCTGCCCGAGATATGCACCGCTCCCGATGCTCACAATGAAATAAGTAAGAACCACTCAGAGTCAAGGCCCGTAGGTGCATATACGGTTACGCTCCCTCTCCCCCCACGGCGGCACATCACACACCCCGTACACAACAGCTTCACCGGTCCCCACAGCTCAGCTCGGATACCCTTTCTCCTGCTCTGCAGAACCCGGTCGTTACAAAGTGTCAAATATGTCATAGCTTACCAGACCACGCAGCCTGGCCGCACATCCGGGCCACGCAGCCTGCGGGACTGCAAGGCACGCCGACGCGCTCGGTCGTGGCACCGCGGCCGCAGGAAACGCGACCCGGGGCAAGATACGCTGTCGACAAGGGAAAGTTACACGCACAAAGTAAAAAAAAAAAGAGAAAAAAGCATGGACATTAGTCAAGCGCCGGCACTTGGGGTGCTGCACACAACTGCACGTTGCATCGTGAGCCGGGATCAACCCTCCTCTCGAATACGAAACCTAACAACAGGAAGGATTGGTGCGGGTGTGTCATACCCGATCAAAACCTGCAGAAGCCTGTGCTGCCTTGCTGGCCATGAGGATGCACGACCTTTTTTTTTTTTGTTCTTTGCGGGGACTGAATCGCCCAAACAATGTTCGTTTTCCTCAATGGGGCAGAAAGAGTGCAGGACGGGACATGGACATGGGCACCACAATCGCGTCGACGCGGCGAGTGGTGTCGACGAATGCATGGGCCGAGCTGATGGGGCCCGGTGTAGGCAGGGATGTGGTAAGCAAATGCTACAGTAGCCCTAGGTATGATATGAGACTCGGCAGCAACATCTATACGTAGATGCTTGACTTCAAGAACAAGGAGCTGGCGAAGAGCCACTCTATGGAGGATGCATAGGGATGGTGCTGTGGTCTTCGAAGTAATTCGGCCGGTAACCGAAAGCTTAGGCATGCCGCCACCGCCAGTGTGACGGACTGCAACGACCGAGCATATGTCTCACGACTTCCATCGTGGCTTGCTCTAGAACCCCCGTCTCTACCTGGGTGCCTGTCAGAAAGTCTCAGCATCCCGGGCGTGTGCGTGTTGGCGCACAAATCACACCTCTCTGTGATATGCCAGGGGTTGAGAACTTGTGAGAGATCTTGTTGTTCAGCCCAACCCCTTCCTTGGAAATCTGCAAGACATCCATCCTACCTACAAAGGAAAGAGATTGAAAAGAAATTTGCATAAACGCCACGTTGTAAGGGATGGTAGGGCGGTCGACCGGACCCTACCCTGTCCATGTCAGCGCTGCAGGATGGCCCAGGGCTGGGAAGTCCGAGCGACGTTTTTCTCAATTTTTTGAGAAGTCGCCGTCTTGGTAGCGAGGGAAAACTCGGCGGGTGTCTCCCATCGCTGCAGCCCAGCGCCGCCCGGACGCTGTGAGACGGAAGGGAAAACCCATACCCAAAGAATCTCAGTGGCGGAAAGTGGTTTGCCAGACCCTCTGATGTTGACCAGTCATGACAGCGGGACAGTGGACGGACATGAGCTCGACCAAAGAAGCAAGGGAAATGCCCGACGCATGGACGGCACGGCTCCGGACTTGGCTGCCTGTGGAACTCTACCAACCGGGACAGTCGTCATGACGGCTGGCCAGCCGCCTTCAAAAAGAAATCCAGCAATTATCTGCCTTGCCTGCCTGGTAAAGGACTTGATATGGTACCGGTGCGGCAGGGGATGTAACGCACACGGTTGCATCCCGGAGAACAGTACCAGAGTCCTTTGCTTCAGAGAACTGCTCTGGCTCCAGGAGCGAAGGTTGGAAGACCCATTCGGGTGACTCTGAATCATAGAGGGAGAGAGCAATACAAGTACATGGCCAGCGCGACGAGCGGCTACGAGCAGTGTGAAACTGCACATTGCTGTTGGGGAGAGCGGGGAACAAGTCACATGTAATGGAGTCTCTCGGGTCCATCACGGCTGCTTTGGAACCAACTCTCCGAATGATGCAGAGTCGACGGTTGCTTGCACACCGCAATTCGAGCCAAGGATGGGGACGGACGGCCACATGTGTCCTTTGCGCGCGCCGTTGAGCTAGGCAGGAGGGCCGTCCGCCCAGAATGATCGACATGGCACATGTAAATCCGGCTTTGTTTCACGAGGAACGATTCGGGAAAGGGACGCTGGCGCTAGAACATTCGGCGATCTCGAAACGCGCTGGTGAGGGAGAGTGGGAGGAGGCATGGGAGGCCGTGGAGCGTGCGTACAGGGGACGGGGGAGAGGAGAAGGAGAGGGTGGAGGATATGCATGCTGCGGCCTGCGCATGGATGGGTGGTGGGTGGGTGGATGCAGAAGGGCAGCAGGAGATGCAGGAGACTGCATGGCGAAAGCGGATCTTCTCTTCGAGAGCCTTTCCAGGTCGACCAACCCTCGGGGCAGATGGGGGCACGAAAATCGGATACCATGTGAGACCGACCCAGAAGTGCGGTGCAGACCACGCTGGCGTCAAGAGCTGCCTTGATGAGTTAGATCGAGTATTGACTTTTGGGCCAAGGTTCAAACCCTGAGCATCTCGCAGAGGCGGGGAGAAGGCATGAGAGCGTGTCTGTCCGTGCACAGCGGCCGACCGTTGTCTTTGGGGCAATTGGCAGAGCAATCGCAATCAAAGACGTGGGAGAAGTCTTGGAAGTGGGAGAAGCACCGCGTTATCTCCATATCATCTTGATAAACGCGGGCGTGTGGTGTGTGTGGACACATGGGGAAGCTCGATGAAGCTGTCAGCAGGGAAGACATGACGACATGGTAATCAAACCCCAGTGATTGCGAGTGCATCTCTCCGGGCTCTCTCTCATTCTCTGCATGGCCACCCTTCGGCCAGAGCGTCTGAGATAGGCAATGAACGGCTTGGCCCTCCGAAAGCTGACCATTCTTGCACACAAGTCCTCGTAATGACTCTGAGACTCGGCAAGGTGCAACAAGGAAGAAAATAAAGAAAAAGGTTCACATGTTTGGTTCAAGGCCGAGTTGCCGGATGTTTCGTACAAGTGAGCAAAGACCGCGGAGTCAGTGGGGCCAGCTAACTTGGAGACCAGTCTCAACCTCTGTCAATCGCCGACCCGAGTCCACGGCTGCGTCCCGTTCCAACCCGCTAGGAGCTAGTAGGAGACGGCACGAAACTGAGAGGTAGAAGAGGTAACTAGACACTTTCGTTGAATGTCTCTCGTCTCGCGGTGGCCAGTGGGAATCTGGCCCTCACAGCCCCCCAATCCACTCGAAGAAGTCCGAATACCATCAAGTCCATCGTGATGGTGGATAGATGCGTGGAACCTCTCGCCCCGCCAGGGCAGGGCTGGAAGTTGCTGGTGTCACTGTCAATCTACTCCGTACTGTACGTACAGCACTTGGCCAATCCGGGACAATGCCAGGGAAGAACCACATTTCAAGACCGGTGACTGAGCCGTGAGGCTTTTCCAGGACATCCCTCGTCTCCATCTGACACCACAAGGTGCGTGTCTTCAAGGGCGACAGTGTGGCTCACTAGCTCGCAGGCTTTTCCTCTCCGAGCTGGGATTGACATCTGCTTCCGCTTTTGACACATACGCCGTTGGGCACCAATTTTCTCTGGTGTGGCTGCAGACCATGTCCTGGTCAACTGGGCGCGGCTCAGCTTCTGCACCAATCCGTCGGACCGGTTGTACGGAGTAGGTACCAAAGGAAGGATTCTTTCCTCGGCTGGCATGACGGGCCTGTGCTGGTCATGACTGACTTGCCCATCTCCTTGTACACTCAGATGATGAAGAGCGGCATCTTAGTTTGCTGTGCCATGATGGTGCATACCTAGGTGCCTGTCTAACAAGCTCAATACATCGCTCGTGGCTGTAAACAACTAGTGTTGTCAGGAACTTTCGCAGCTCGAAGCCACCCGGAGGGATCCCTGAGCATCTGTCTGGATACCAGTACCTACTTGGCGCCAGGTAGGAAGCAGATCTGAGATACCATATTACTCGCAAGCTAGGCTCGAGTGGCTCGTCATGTACATACGTACCTAGATCCTGACCTCTTCCTTGCAGACAGCAATCCCCTAGCCGTCCTTTTCTCAAGTACTTGTAAAATATTTCAAAATTGATCTTCATGCTGCACCCAACACAAGTGCATACGAGTGCCAAATCTTACCCATACGTCGTCCTCTTCTACCCATTTCCATTTCCCCACTGGACTGATGCCTCGTACCTAGGCTTTTCCAATGAGCAAAATAGCCGTTGTGTGAAACAGCACGCTTCCCAGGCACCTTTCCCAAAGGACTTGGGGGATTGCAGATCCTTCAACAGCGTCAGTTGGACCCAAGGCCCGATCCAGAATAGCGCATCTGGACTTGGGACCAAGGATAAGGAGCAATTGACCAGTCAGAGCCAATGCCAGAGGCGTGCCTGGCAGAATGGTGGCCCGCCAAAAAAGGACACCAAAATGCAGGGGCCGCGGCGGACGCGGCCTCGCTCCCGCGATCCAATAGCACTGGCGTCTCTGGGGCCGTGTGGGGAGGGAGAAGGGTGTGAGGCCATTCTTCTTGGTTCTCTGGGACCAAAAGATTGTCCGCTCTCCTGTTGGTAGACATGTCAGGTTGATGGGTGCTTCCTCGGGCACCTGAACCCAGGAACCAGTGTCTGTTGGCCTTTGCGATGTTGTGCTTTTTGCGTCATATCAGTTCAGGCCGCAGTAGTCAACTTTTCCACCCTCGGGACCGACGAAGGGGATCTTTGGAGGGAAAGACACCCACCAGACATACATGCATGGGTCTTTGTGCCTTTCCCCCCACAATACCTGACGATGCTTCTCGTGGACTCTCGTACTGGACCATGTTTTTGCTTTTCTCTTCCGTTCCACTGTGCTGGGAGGACCAGTTGCATGTAGCTTGTCCACCGTCTCTGCGCTAACCCAGCCCGCTCAATGCAGCCGGAGCCTGGCGAGTGGGGGTTTTGATACCTGGCCCAGGTGATCCTCTGGACCAGAGAGAGTGCTTGCCAAAAAGAAAAGAAAAAGAAAAAGAATCTTGAGGTGCGCATGAAGTTCGGCAAAGAATGCTCCAAAACCTACCGGGTCGGCAACATCAACGCCCAGAGCCACGGGTTCCCCGTCTCCTTGGCCTCTGTTGATCTTGGTATGGAAGTGGTATGGGTGGGAGGACTGGGAAAAGGAGCTGCCGAAACAGGGAGTACCCCAGATCTGCCCCCCACCCGCCTACATATCTATCCACTGAGCAAGATACTGGTTGTGAGTTGGTCCTTATGGCCTGCTCGGTCAGCAACTAGCAGTATTAGCTCAGATATTGTCGGGAGTAGCTTCGGCCATGCTGCCTTTGCATAAAGGTACGAAGTAGTTGATCTTGGCAGAGTCGGTAGATACCTGTCCTTTACACTGCCTGATGGCGTCAAGAAACAGGATATCGAAGCGGACGAGGAATAGTCATTGAGATCGCGGCGAGCATATCTGCTGTGAAAGCACTTATTCCTAGGGCAGGCGAGTTGCACAAGGTCTGAGCAACTTACAAAGTATGGTTGTGCACGCGACATAACTCGACAAGTAACAGACTTCTAAACGGATTGGGTTGGTGTTCGACCCATGGCAATGCGCGTAAACACGCGGCGTGCGGGTACCTTCAATCATTGACGCCGACCATCCGCTTGATCTTTTTTTTTCTTCAGTTCCCGGTAGTTAGCTCTGACCACTATGTTTAGTGAATCGTTAGTCGTGGAGCTGGTCGCTCCCAGGATCTCGAGCTGGGTCTTGTCGATCGCGACCTACCTTACGAACCCACAGGTCTCCGTCTTGTGGAAGCACCGCGTTGGAGCAAGTAGAGCTCCACGAGCTCGTAAAAGGCAACGCACCAGATGCCGGCGAGCTCGACCGGGTGCATTCGCGCCCAGCACCTCAGTCACCATTCTGCAGTCTACAACCACACCCCTAAGGAAGCGGCATTGGTGCAGCTCTCGATATGCAGAGCCAGTAAGGTAAATGGCTGATATCGTAACTTTGGGCCAAGAGGTTGGACTGTTGCAATTGATCTCCTGATTGCGTGTATCGACGATCTGTTTGCCTACGTACAAGTACCTCGTCCATGAATCATGCCTGGAATCGCGAATCGAGCAGCAAGCGACGATACAAGCAGTGCTATTGCGTTGCATCAGACCAAATATAGAAAGTTAGTCTCAGCAAAGCCTGCATCCCAGTGCCACAGCTGTTGCAATAGCGAAAGCATATCCATGCCAGCCGGTGTTCACTTACCTAAGTGCAGAGAACACAACAAGGCATATGCATGCAAGGACGGGGCGTTATCACGCGATTTGACTGCTGAACAATCATGACTATCCCGTCCCAAAAGTGCTATCTTGCCTGCATTCGATCCCTGAGGTCCTTCCAGGTTGTTACAGCGGCCGGCGAGGCCACACAACGCCACCACCCAGCCCAGCCCAGGTCAACACGCCTGTGCCAGCCCTGCAGTCGCTCAAGAGTGGCTAGCAAGCAAGCCTATGCCCGCCAGATGCGAAACGAGCAGGGAGGTTTTGAAGGAGTCCGCCTGTTTCCAGTCATACCTGCTCGTGCACACGGCGCGGCCTTCCTTCATCAATGCCGACCAATCTTGCAGCAATGATCTAGAGTGCTGATCGAAATTTGGCAGTAGCGTTTGTCGACCCAAACGTGGTCTCTGGTGCAAGCCTAGTTGTTCGGCGCTCCAGGGGCCCGGGAGCTCGTACATAAAAAGGATGAATTGAACGATCCTTCAAGGGGACCCGGGAGAAGAAGGAGGAGCTAACCGGGGTACTGACGCACGCCGTTAGCAGATGAGGCTGGGCCAGCTCCGGTTTAGCCCATTGCCGTGCCGAGACAAGGAGCTAACTAAACCCCTTCTCCTGTGGAAATGTCCTGGGAAGAGGCCGAGCTAGTCCTGCTTTTGCACGGAAGAAGGAAAGGGCCCTGGCAAGCCTGGCAAAGACTGGTGAAGCCGCCTTGGAATCATTGGAGTCGGATGGCTTCCCGCCACCAAGGACCCCAGTCAGTGGCTCTCAAAAGGCTGGGTTTTGTCAAAGATATGCCGTGACCAGCCAAGGACCCTGCCTCTCTGGCGGCTGGCTTTGGCCAACGTTTCGGATATCTCCAGATATCTGTCGACGTCGTCGTCGGCTCACAGGGGACTTCTCCAGTGGAACAAGGTTGTTGATCGTGTTATTGCTGGGCACCCACCCGTGTCGCGTCGTTATGGTTCTTATGACGGAGTGACTGAGTGACTGACCAGCCGCTGGAAAGAAGAAAAAAAAGCTACCAGCCGCACGTAATTATCAAGGCCCTGTACGTAGCAAAGAACCGCCAGCATGATTTGAAACGACAGCCTTTGGGACATTTGCTGGTTTTTTTTCTTCTTTCTGGCTAGCTAGGAAGCACTTTCCTGTCAAGGGTGCAGATCGCTTCTTAGACGGCAGGGGCCACTGCAACAGCAATTCAGAAAGCAACTTCCAAAGTTGTGTGACATTCCCAGCAGTCTGTATCTGTGGTGGTACTCGGTAGAGGCAACCTGGAAGAAAGCACCTCGCTTCAATCCTCAATTCTTCCAGAAGGCCAGATAGTCGTCCCAACATCTCCATCACCACACCCAGAAAAGCCTCTACGCCGCTCGCTTCTGCACCTCTCAATCTTGAGGGCCATGGGGCCGCCAATTGAGCCGACACGCGAGAATCTTCCCATTGCGATTTAAATTAACCCGCTGCTCGAGAGAATTTGGGGACATTTTCCCGGTCAGCACCACACCCCGGATTGTCCTCCCGCAACCCACACACCACAGCTTCGTGGGAGATACGGAGTATGGGCTTGCAGCGCTTCTGCTGTGCTGCAGTGTGCTCGACGCGTGCAGAATTGGGAGAGACTTCCGCAAGGGTGCCAGAGGGAGTTGCTCGATGAGGCTAGGGGCAGGGAATCCAGCCCACACACCCCCCCGGTCGTGAGGGTGCGAATCCGCAAAATTCAAATCCACCAGCATCCAACAGGCCTTACCCCTGACGTTGCAACGACGGGGTTGAACCTGCTCCACACCTCTGGCCATAATCGGTCCCCGTCGCCCTACAGAAACTCCTAAGGACACTCTAAAAACATAACCTCTGGGTACTGGGATGGGCGAGCCAAACAACGGCGGCATTGAGCGCAGCCCACATTGACTAACACCAAAAAGAGGGCCCTCTTCACCAACATCCTGCACCCTGGTCTCTTGTGTCTGCGCTTGCCAAAGGGGACCACCACCAGGATCGCTCTCATTATATTCCCCCGTTGCTTCCCCCATAACAAAAGTTTCCATCCATCACCCACGTATTGTAATACTCTAACCTTTGTTCTTGTCTGTGAGGGAAAAAGGCCTTGTCCAATGTGCCCGCGCGACTCTAACCTAATATCCGCTGCCGTACGGGTTTCTCATCACAGACAGCGTCAACTTGACCAAGGACAACCAATAGCGACCCGGGCAAGATTGACCACTCTCTCGGGATCCTCCGTCCCTAACTAGTCGTATCGAACAACGAGGGAAGTGTAAGAGGGGGGAGTTTTGGCAAATCTGGCTTCGAGACGGGAGAGAAACGACTTGATCGGCTAGACCGGCCGAGGGAGCCTACTGTTTAAATCTTTTTCAACACCGACAACGAGGCCAGTGCAAGAACCTGCTGCTCGCCATGTACTTTGCGTCGCCGTCATTACCTGTACACCAAGTGCCTCCGAAGTCTGCGCGTCGGAATGCTTCCAAAAGTGCGCCCTCGTCCGCAAATGTGTCCCCTCTTGCGTCGCCGCCGCCGCCGCCCACTCCATCTGGCTCGGGTCGACACGATGCCGGCGCCTTGCTGAATCTGCTGGAGCCGGCCATCGACGGACCGCCCTCGCCCGAGAGCATCCGTGCCTTCAAGAGGCAGATGAAGCGGACATCAGTCTTGGACAAGCACCAGAGCCATCAGACCAGCTCCTCAGGATCGGCCTCTCTACGATCTCTGACCTCGGTCGACCGCCCATCATGGGAGCAAGCGTTCGACGGCATCTCACTCTCGAGAAAGTCATCTGGTCGCTCAACCAGCAGCAGCATGCAGCAGCATCGGGACCGCCCAGAGAGTGTCCAGATCTTCGGCAAGACCATTTTCAACCGCAGAGGCAGGCTTAGACGTGAAAGCAGTGCCCCGAACTCGTCCGGAAGCTCGCTTCACTCGAACGAGGTTGCTGCAGAGACGACTAGTTCAACCTCAGCCAAGGATGCCTTTATGCCGTCGATCTTCGGAAGGCGACGAGCAGGTAAGCCGGAGGCCGTGGCTGAGGAGTCGGATACCAAGAGGAAGTTCACGATATCAGGGCCGTACAACTTTCAGCACCTGACCAACAACGACCCAGACACCCCTGACGAGTCGCAGTTTTCCGACTTCTCGTCCGAGGCGCTTCCGCTTGGTGACACAGGTCTCGTCGCTGAAGCCCATGCTCGACCTCCGACGCTGCGATCGCCACCGCTCCCTCCCAGCGGCTTCCTCCCGCGCACGAGGTCACAGGAACAGGTGCGAGTAGCCCCGCCGCGCCCGCCGCGGTCACCGATGAACCCAACCTTTAATGCCAGTGCGGCACCTGTACCACCACCTCGGATCTCGAGTCGGGTCTCGATGCGGTACGACGGTTTCGACCCGCTGGAGAGCACATCACTCGAGCGCCCTCTGACGAGCGGCAGCGTCTTCCGTAGGCCCCAGCCACTCACCATCTCTGAGGACGACACGTCACGCCAGCCCTACCATTCGCACTCGTACTCACACTCGGTGGCGACGACCCCCACCGCGGAGAAGCGCTACTCCCAGATATTCAACAGCGTCCCGGACGAGAGCAACTGGCCCCTGAGCTGCCCCCTCACATGCCCCTCGACGTCGACATTCGAGGCCGCTCTACCAGATGTGCCGGAAGAGGACGAACAACAACAGTTCCACTTTGGACACCGCTCGCGCATCAGCAACGCCAGCAACGCGTCTTCTCTGCGCGGGAGCCAATCCGTCCCCCTATTGCGCCAATTCGCGCAGGCCCAGTCCTCGAGCTCGCAACGGCCGTCCAGCGGCGGATCTGACACACTGGGCCGCTTCGATCTGCTCGCGGCCCAGCGGGCTCTGCGTGCGTCGTGCGACGAGGGCAGCGCCTCGACGCCGGATCCCTTGGCGCGAGAGAGCTGGGAGGATGACATCGACTACTGCTACGACCATGAGGCCGAGGCCGACTGCGACTACGCGTGGGACAGACCTTCACTGGACATCCGCCGCGACGAAGCAAACAGCACGCCTGTGGATTTCTCCAGGATGATCAGCCACGCGAGGAATCCATCATTCGGACGGCTCAAGCCTCCTGCGCAGGGCGACGTCCCTGCCCTGAGCCCTGTGAGTCAAGCATCCGTGACGTCGGCCCAGGAAGCCATCACTCCGGGCACCATTGCGCCTGCAAACTTCTCGCTGCCGAGGTCAGACGGCCGGCAGTCGCAGCGGTTCCTCAAGGTTCGACCTGTTTCCCAGGCCTCGAGCTTCAAAGAGTCGCATGGCTTCACTCTGTCGCCCTCTCTCCTTATCCCAGGTAGCGACTACCATCGCGAGATGCTCGCCCACGAAGCCGATGAGCTTTCTGGCAACCACGAGTTTCCTCCATACAAGGAACCCACGCTGACGATGGAGACGTCGACTCTGCTGGTGCAGTCGCGAACAAGCGCCTCGACCACAGCCAGCGTTTCCGAGCGGTCCAGCTCGGAGCGCCATATCTCGACGGCCTCTGCCTCGACGGCCATGACCCAGCTGACGGCGAGCACCTCGTCGCTGAGCATGGAGGAACTGGTCGTAAAGGCGGAGGCAATCGGTGTAGTCGAGGCGCAACCCCCCGCAGCTCTTCCCGGCCGCGGACGCGGCAAGTCGCTATCGCACATCCGCACCATGCCCGAGGTGGACGGCCCCGAGAGCCCCGTCCTGATGATGCACGACACTAGCCAGGGCATGTTCAGCCGGCGATCCAAGGACGATGGCGCGGCGGCTAAGCTTGTCAAGAAGAAGAGTTCGGGGCACTTTCGCCGCCAGCGAGCGAAGACCACGAGCCTGAGCACTCCGCCTCCGCCGATTCAGTATTCGCCGTTCCCCGCCGTCAACATGACGACTAGTCGCATCTAAAGACTGTTGTTGTCTGGGTCGCGACTGTTCAATCTTTTGATACTATACAATCTCCTTTTTCTTCTTTTCTTCAATCGTTCATGTTTTCTTAGCGAGCGGCATGTTTGACTTCCATCGTACTCTGACTCGAGTACACACGCTGTTCCTGTTTCGTATGCGTGTTGCAACTGTGCAAGGCGTTGGCATCCACGGTGCTCAAAAAGAAAAAAGGGGCCATTTTCATTTCTGGGATCATATAGACTTTTATAGCCGGATTTTGTCTCCGGCGGCCGATGGGACCACTTCTGGTCCCTTGTTTTGATACTGTCGTTATGGACATACTGTGTTTTCTTTTGTCGCGGGATAGGGAACGGGCAAAGGGTCCCCAGGGACCGTCGGGGATCGGTTCAATATTGGGTGGAGAAGTACAGGAATTTCGCGAGATACAGGCCTCGGACAGCCAAAGCACGGAGGACAGGATGAGGATGACCAGCTCACGACTTTTGAGGTTTGGTGTTATGACTGGTCGTCGCCTATGAGGAAGGAGGATGGTCTGATGTCGATGGAAAGCGGTTGGTTGGTAGAAACCACCTTGTCCCTTTGAGAGGGGCGAAGAACCAAGAAAAGCCCCAAGGGAAGCAACAGCTTTCGCTTGCCAGGCTGAGACCGATATGTCCGTTGAATTTTGTCGGTTGGTCGGTCATGAAGGGGGGGGGCTGGAATAATACCTGTTGGGGAGAAATGTACAATGAAAGTACAACGAAAGATGGGAGCCTCTGCCTCTTGGATAACTTGATAGAGACAAAATATAAGAAGACAAGGCTCCACAGTATCATATATGCCCGAGATTTTAATCGGCTAGCGTGTTTGCTCTTTGTGTATCACGAATCGCCTTACCTGAAACGAATTTGATTGATGTGCGTCTGGCGTTGCCCGGCAGGTCCGGGGGGAAGTGCACGGATGTTGCATCATGCCAAAAACCCCAGATATTACCTCAAGTCGTGGGGAGTTGGGGGGAAATAAACTGGAAACAAACAATCCCCGGTTTTCCGATTAATAAAGATCAATCTGACAAGATAAGATGAAGGAAAGGGGTGTGGGTGTTCAGCTGGGGGCAAGCCTCGCCTCGTGGTGGTGGTAAGGCGAAAGAGGGCGAAAAAAAAAAAAAAGCTTGCTTGGACGTCAAATGGGACCATGCTGGCGTCGACAGTGTTGCTTTGGAGCCCTCCCTTTCAGCCTTGTTTTTTTGGCCTCGATGCCCTTTTTTACCGTCACGATGCCATCATAGGGCCATTATAGTGGAGCCGTCCAGGCGCGTAGGTACTACACACAACTGAATGTCCAGTCGTTCTTCTTAGTTTCTCGGCCGGGTTGCCGGCCGGTTCCAGTGCGTCGGCGCGGCTGTTTGACAGCTTGTCAACAACGTGATATTTTGGCGGTGCATCTTTTTATCAGTGAAACCATTCTCTAGAACAAATAGCAAGGCAGGGGAAGGGTTTGTTTGCATCTCTGAGGGTGGTCGTTTCCTCCTCGTCTTTTCTTCATATCTTCGCCTTTCACTATCTTCAACCAAATACACCCACTTAGTCATGCCAACATTGCCCGCCAGCCAAAAGACCAATTGCCCGGGGCTGTCCCGATCGATCGAGATATCTCTTCGCCAGCCGACAAGACATCAGTGATGTCATCGCGCACTCGCTCCTCCTGGAATGCCGTCGTCGTGAAGTGAAAGGGAAGCGCCTCGTCCCTCCTAGCATTTCCTCCTTATCTCGAGGTCTTTCTCTGAGGGGCCCGCCGCGTTGCTGCGCCGCGCAAAAAGATCATCTCGATCATCTCGAGATCTCGGTGGTGGGTTGGTCATACGAGTTGTCGGCCGTCCCGAAACGGAGAGCGACGAACACCCGCGAATGTTGCGACCCGGGTTTCCGAACCACCGAGCGTTTTCAGCTTTTGGACCACTAAAAGCCCTCCGTTTTGTTCTTTAGGCTCTTCAAGTCAAGTGCTTTCTCCCCAAGGTGTCCACATGACTCGGTCACGTGGGGCGCCGTTGACACCCGCCCCGGGTCCGTCTCCGTGTAAGTGGACTTTTTTAGTGTTGTTTTCTCTTCGGAGGGCCCCCCCCTTTTTTTTTCTGCTGGTGCTGCGCTGCGCAACGGGTATTGTCCCAAAGCCGAGCGGCTTCAGGGAGTCAAGTGATGGAACAGAGACTGCCGAAAAGCATGTGAAAAAATGGCAATCGTCGGCTTCTAGTGATAGTGACGAATAAGGAAACTCTTTCCGTTCCCTCCGTCATTACCGGCGCTATCTGTACAGACCCGGCAGTGGCGGTGGCGTGAGGTTCTTGGTGTTGCCCGCAAGGTCGGCAACCAAGGCCTAGAATGGACCTAGCTGGATAGAGTTGATGCTGCTGCAAGGCAAGTGTGGCATGGGATATTGAACCTGCTTGGAGAAGCAGTGTGAAGAACCCACCACGAGATGTTGCAACTGCACGTTTTCATGATGGTTGTGAACACTCCGTGGACTCACAGCAGTGCATCGGAATGGGGGATCATGCAAATAGCACGCGGTTGAGTTGGCTTTTCGGAGTCTGCATGAAGCAAGTTTTCCGTACAGATCTGAAGCCATAGGCCATATATGGAATAAAAGTCCCAAACAAGTTTTTCCTATCGTCATGTAGGGCGTTATGCATTCTTCTATCTCTATTGTTCTACCTTCGTCTGCATAGTTCTTGAGTATTTCTCCAGTGTTTAGCCGTTCGCGGCAAAGGATATCCCTAATGGGGAGAAGACAAGTTAAGCCTGAACAATAAATCATAACTCCCCAGTGTCTTTGAGTATTTGCGAAAATGTTCTTCTTCTATCCTCATCATTGGGGCTCAAGTGTCCACTGCAATATTTGTGTTGTTTTCGGACCTCCTAGGTCAAGTGTTTGTTGCCAAGGTTGCCGAACGAGTGTTGGCTTGCGGAGGCAACCTTGATGAACCAAGCAACTGTGTTCTCGAAGTCAATTGATAAAGGATATGGCAAGTCAGCCATGTCGAGGAGCTGTCTCGCTACATCAGAGCAGACAGAATGCATGATGATGTTATGTTGACTTTCCAAATTCATCTTGTGTTTCTTCGTGCGGTTATGCAATGTCAATATCATCAGCTACCTCTGGAGTTGTTTCTTTCAAGGGTGTGGTCGTCATTGCAGGGGAGGGTTGTCGTTGTTCGTCTGTTATTGTCGGAGGCTGTTGCCACTTGAAGCTGCTGTTCGTGAAGGTAGTCGTCGATATCGTCATGGCCGCCGTCGTCGTCGTCGTCGTCGTACCATCATCTCACTTGTTGTTCTCGGTCCATTCCGTCTTCGTCTTCGTCATCGTCTTCGTCGTCAGCTTCGGCATCCTCACTTCCCTGTCGTATCCTCATAATGTACCCGCCAGCAGTCATCGGTAAACGTCGATTTATGTCTCCATCCATCCGTTGAGCTTGGCCTGTCTCCATTTTAGTCTGAGGTTGGTTCGGCCTCTCCCGAGGCCCGGTGCGTGTCTCAGCTCAGTAATGACAGTCTTGAACTCTGTCAGTATCATACCAACACCAAACGACATCAACAGTCACTTCAACGCTGACGGGCGCGTCAAGGGTCTGCTGCCGTATCTCGAGGTCCGTGTCTTCGGCTCGGTGGCGACCGACTTCTCCGCGCGCTCTCTCTCTCCGATAGACGGAGAAGATTTTTCGCCCCTTCATTTGTTTAAACTTTCAGGGGCCCAGGTACCATCGTGAAGAGTCCCATGTGGGACAAAGGGGTACCAGCCGCGCCGGGCCAGTGGCAAACTAACCTCACAAAGGGCAAACGAACCCAACCCTCTCTTGTCAACTATCACGGCCCTCGGGGAGGAAAGGACGGAAACGTTCCGAAACCTTTATCCGAAGGAGGGAAGAGAGAAGTTCCCCATCCATCATCCTTGTATGTTCGGTCTTCTCTGGTATTGTCATCTGCCGTCGTCGTTGCTTCTGTCACCGTCGAGATGGTTCTATTCTTCGAACAACGTCGAGCGAGTCTTCGATTCTACCGACTGGGATGGGAACGGTGTGCATATGCGGTGAGAGTTACAGGACCGTTAGGGGCCAAGCTGGTCTGCTTCTTTCGGTGGGGATAAAGGGGGGGTACCATTCCCGCTCAAGGGTATCTGGCCTTTCGCGGGAGGGACATCATGCATTTGTTTTTTGTTTAGGACCCGACAGCAGCGTCGCGCCCGACCCCCATCCCCTTCCCCTCCGAAGTAGGTACAAGTGCGGTACGCGCCCTGGGTAGCCGAGCATGCCGCCGCTCTTTGTCTGTCGGTGAGCTTGGTGCCACTCCTTCCTCATCGGGGATCGTTGCGCGATATCTTTGTCACCGTTCACCTGAAGGTCAAGCAGGTCGAGCGAGAGCGAGGGAGATGCAGGACGAGGGAGGTCCGAACGCGTGGCTTGTAACTGGGAGCCCCCTCGCTCCCCCATTGCCGGGCCAAGGCTCGTAGAGCTTTTGCCGGGCGTGGCGACTTGGAAGAGATCCATCCATGGGAATTAGGGACGGGAGAGGATGCCATTTGGGAGAAGTGACTGATGGCAAACATGGGGCCACTGGTGGTCTGGTCGACGCCATTTCGGGTTTGCCATTGGTCTCGTCAACCTCTTCCCGCCAGGGGAGGGCCGGCTTCCAGACGCAAGAGACCCTGCATCGCCGACCAATAGCCAAGTCCAAACGTCGTGATTCCTTTCGATGCCCAGTCTTTCGAAGCAAATATACGAAGGAGAGTAGTGGCGAGGCCAGGTGCGACCCAACAAGTGGAGATGCTAGGTACAATCAAAGGACATCTCTCGTCGTCGTCGACATGATAGGTGTCTTCGAGAGGCACTCAACTGTGGCGGCGCTATCTTGACAGAGTGTCGTGATGGCGTAGGACCAGGGCTGGGTCGCCGGTCGGCAATGACTACCTGCTAGTGATTAGGCCGCTGTGGCCTCGAGGACAGCCGCCCTCCAAACGCTTCGCGAAGGACATTGTTTACTGAAGTTCGACGAACTTCCTACGTATTTCTCGAAAGACCTGGATGACAGGTGAGCGAACACCCATTAATAGATGTTCTATCGCGTCCAGACTCAGGGTGGGAGTCATGTGCCCCGGGTCCTGTCCCAGTATCTCGTGACTAGGCAGGTTGGAACAGGTCCCCTGCCACGCACTTCTCACCGTCAGTCAACAAAGTATCGGCCAACAAGCCACCAAGGCTCGAGGCACTATTATCTCTCGCCAAGGCAAGGTCATTTCTTTGCGACCCGTAGACGGCGACTCAAAGCCAGAGGCGGCATAGCACTAGCGACCGCATCGGCCTAGCAGGCCAACAAGCCACTGCCCTCTCGAGGAGAAGTCTCTCGAGGAAACTACCTGAGCGTTCTCGGTACTGGCCACTGGCCACTGGCCCCACATTCATCACAGTCGTCCCCCTGAGTTGTGCAAATGTCCCCCCGAAACATCATGCAATTGTGGCAAGTGGAACTCTGCCCTAACCACCCGGCCACAACACAGAACCTGCCATTCCACTGCCTGTGAAGCCTCAGCATTGGTTCTACGAAGCTCCTGCCGTCAGGGACGGGAGACAGTCACAGATAAGGCTGTGTGTAAGTGACGTAGGGACATACGATCGCGCAAGCTGGGGATGCTAGCAAGGGTAGGTCCCCGAAATGGCCTTCCTTTAGGGTACCGCAAAACAACTCGCCGTTTTTTTCGTCCACGGGAAAGCTTACCTGGCCACCTTGGGCCGCAATGGTCCTCTATCAAACTACGGTTCGGCAAGCAAGACCGTCATGTTTTGACGCCATACCAAGCAAAGACCTTGCACCAACACCAGGTCTGCCCTATCAGGCTTCGTATTTGTAATATTAGGATAATCCTCTTAGTCTCCTTCGAGGTAGTTGGATTGTTTCAAGAATGTGTGCAGGTCGGGGGGTGTAAAATACCTCGAGCCAGGGGAGACGGTATTCCCGCCGCACTATGCAAATAGGTGACTAAGAGAGGAGAAGCCCTCTCTCTCCCTTAGGCCCAACGCAAGGTGCGGGAGACTGCCCGACCCTGGTATCAGTCTGGGGACAACAGTCAGTAGCGTCAAGAGAGCAAAAAGCCATCGGTGACTAGCGTTACTTCCCGCGGGTCCCGCTCGTGAATGACAGGACAAAACAGTCAGGACCACCGCAAGGAATTTTCGGCATAACTACTTATGCAGTACTCAGCTTGGGTCGAGGTGATTGTAGACCAGAGGGCAAAGCGAGGACCCCACCGGTCAAACCGGAGAGGGTGCGCCTTGCAGGGCCCTTACTGTACAAGGCACCAGATGGTCCTCGGGGCTCAGCCCTCAGATGGAGGCAGCTTCCGCGCCCCCCTCTTAAGCATCATCTTAGATCTAGGTGAATGCTTGTTGCAGATCTATCAGGGGAGATTGGTCCAGTGGAGCGGGACACCATTCCGTTTGATAATTCCTAATACCACTTGGTATGTCAGGAAACGGCTATTCGCACTTAGACTGTGGAACGGCGGGTCGTACGAATCTTTCCCGACTGGTGAAGTCTCGCATGGTTTGGGGTGGCTTGTGTTTGCGGAGAACACCAGGGCCGCTTAGGAGAGGCGCTTCAGCGGCGCCAGGATTAGAACCGAGGCACTGGAACACACGAGACCCCTGGTGAATGCTCTCTCGAGGAGCGATGAGCAACGGCGAACCACACCTCACAAAGAGAAGAGCCATCCGATCCAAGGGACCAGGCATGTGTCAAGGTATCTAGATGAGCCCAGAATAGTCTCTGGCGGGTTGGGTGACGTCGAGAGGTACTGGCAGAGTACCAGAGGACCGGGACGTCAAGCCCATGCCAAGACTAGCTGCTTTGTGAAGCGAGCGGGCTGAGAGAACGGTAGACGAACTAGTCCCAGATACGGGCCCTGGCCGATGGCTGAGGGTACATAAGTCCCCGTGAGGGTATAGCCTGCCCGACAGGGAAGTAAGAGGGGGCGAGATGGCATTGTCTGTTCTCTCATGGAGGGTTCCTGAGTGACTGGTGGTGGGTACTGGTGGACCAGAGAGAGCAGCCATTCACCCGACTCACTCCACGTGGTGGATTCCTATAAAGACGCAGTCGGCTGCATTAACCAAAGGGAGGTCTTGAAAGTTGGTTTTGCCGCTTGCAAAGAGGTCGATGACGGTACAAGCCGTTGAGAGGCTGAAAGGACGTGGCGCTTTCCAGGTTCTACCGTAGATAAAGTGGGAGGTATTAATACCCTGGCTTGACCCCATATGCAAAGGACGCCAACCGAGCACTCTTGCGCACGCTTGCGAGGAAGACCCCGTTCCTCGCAGCCGCCCATCAGCAGCACCCAGGTTCGGAGGAAACAGCTGACATTAGCAACATCTCGACCTCGTGGACGGCCACCCCCATTCCCCGAACCTCCGGGCCCGGACACGACACTCCGTTTCTGGGCAAGGGAACTCGGGATTACGGACAGAAACGGAACCAAGAGAGTGGGGTGACGCGAGCAGCTAGACACGCGATTTTACGGTGAGAGCCTCTTGCCGAGACCAGCACACAAAAGCAGCTGCCTTTGCTCTTTGCAGCCTCCACTGAAGACGACGATTCATGAGCATGGATTGGCAGAACGGGACTGTCTAGCCCTCCCGAGGAAGCCGCTGACTTCAATACTCAGCCCTAGCCCAGCCACTTGGACCGCGGCTGCAGCCCTGCCACAGCTGCCCCAGAACCGCGCCGAAGGGTCTAGTAGCTCCGTTCCAGAGCCACGCCCAGAGGCCGGTGACCTACTGCCTACCTTGTCGTCATCGCAACGGACCAAGACGGCCATCCCGATGCTGACTACTTATGGGCGTCCTGACTGATTAAGACGAATAGAAGCAGTCGATACCCCAATGCGGCGGCAGTCTTTGGCCTAGACACGGCAATTCAGACAATCTTTTGCAGGGAAGCTCGAAAAACCTGCCCACCACTATCATGACGCACAAGGGCAAGGGCCCAGTGCAGTACGACTTTGGAGACGAAGACTCAGAGGTATGCCAACCATTCGTTTCCCGTCAAGCAAAGGCCCGAATCTTCTCGAAATGGAACTTCCACAACCGCGCTCTCAAGACGAGAGCTCCTTGGATTTGCGCCCCCCTCCTCGCCCAAGTGGTATTGCATGGGAGGTAACACGAAAACAACATGGCCCCGTATTGCCAGAAAGTTCGACCTTGGACGACAAGGGAGACGCCAGCCAAGAAATCTGGCTGGTGGCAAGCGGAGGGCACTCCCTGGCCGCCACCGGGAGGTTGCAAACGTGCCTGGCGCGTGGCCAAGGTCATGATTGGGTTGTGGCGCTTGCCCGGGGGAAGCAGTGCTTCCCCAGACCCGATGGGGCGACTCATGCTCCCTGCCAGTGTGCCAAAGTGGCCTGGTGATGCGGCATTCAGGAGTCGGACAACACGAGAGAAATGTGATGAGGCAAGCAGAAGAGAAGAGAAAGGGGCAGAATGATGTCAATGACGAAAAAGAAAATCCCATGACTGACCGAAGAAATTTCTAGATGATTGCCCATACTCCCCTGTCGCCTGAGTTTACGGTCGACGGTCTAGAGCACTTTCACGCCACATCGGCCACTAATCGAACCACCGGAGGTGGACCCACCCAACCTCCGCCACCGCCCGGGCCGGTCTATTCTTACACGCAGGGAGCGCCTGATGTGGCAGCCCTTTCCCATCAGGGCTTCAGCTCGGCGTCCATGGGTGCCGCTAATGTGCCAGTGATGGTCGGAGCTGAGTCCTACGACTTGACGTCACCGGTGAACCCTGGTTTGCCGTATATGCCCGCTGCCAATTTTGGCTGGCAGTCTCCGAACTCTCATACGATGCGCGGCGGCGATGCGTCGCAGACCATCGCCGGTGCCTCTCTCAGCAGCCACTGCGACTTTCAGTATAGGCAACCGCAGACCGGCGGCCGCTCATTCGACGGCTATGTGTCACCAGCGACGCTGCAAAATCCCGCGCTCGGGTTCGAGGCAGGCTATGCCTGGGCAGGGCAGCATGATAGGCAATTGACCAGTCAGATGGCGATGGGAGGAACTGTTCCGGGCAGGTTGGCAATGGCAGACGAGAACGTTGGCGAGGTCAGCGTGAGCCCGGAAGCGGCCTTCTCAGCCGTGGAGCAGGACCCCACGGATGGAGCACCCGAGGAAGCGAAGGCACAGCGAAAGAAGCCACGGCGGACAAAGGCAGTGACTAGCCCGGCCCAGTTCGAACACCGAGGGAGCACCAGCTCTCAGACAACGATATCTTCGTCGGGGTCCAATAACACCGCCAAGCCCAAATCGACGAGCAAACTCCGATCCGCCTCTCGAACCTCCAAGAATACCGTCACCAGGCCATCCGAGACGCCAGAAGAGCGAAAGTCGCGCAACTCTCACAACCTAGTTGAGAAGCAGTATCGCAACCGCCTCAACGCGCAGTTCGAAAGCCTGCTCAACGCATTACCGGACAACATTCGGGGAAGCGGGACTGGCGATGAAAGTGACGGGCCCAATGTGGATCTTGGCGATAAGCGGGTCAGTAAGGCCGAAGTCCTGGATATGGCGCGTCGACATATCAGATCCTTGGAGAGGGACCGAGATGCATTAGAGCAAGAGCGCGACGAGCTGCTGAGCGACATCCAGCAGATGCGCGAGGACAAGGATGCCGCTGCTTGGACCAAGGACGCACAGTAATCCGACAAGATGCCAAGCAAGAGTGGCCGTGGTGGCGATTGACGGCTTCTTGGACAGCTGCATACCATCGGTCTAGCGTCCAACACAAGGGTCCCATCGGCGTTGTGTTCCGCCGCTGGCATGATGAGGTGGTGCTTCATTCGGACGGATGGATGGATAAGTGAGCTTGTCTGGATATGACCAGGCCATCGAGCTTTGCCTTCCCCTGATTCAACACGCATCTAGCTCCTCTCCCACGACAGCATATTCGCGACGGGTCGCATGACTGCATATTGGCCCATTCGGGACCGGGACCGTTCTTAGGGAGGTTGGTGTTACGTTATCATCGCATGGTTGGCTTCTGGGTTTGCACTCGGAGTTTGAGAGCACGAAAACGAGAGGCCGTAGACGCGGCCTGGGTCGGATGCAGATGGACAAAAGCCGGGATTATTAGGTTTGGTTAGGGGTTCCTGGGCTATTCTGGAAGATCCTGGGTCCTGGGTTGGGGTTGTTTTTTTCTCCTTTGCAGAACTGGCGTTTAGGGTTGGATCCACAGTCCCAAAGAGACGCCGGAGACCGCTGGAATTGGCGAGAGTAACGAGTCATGACCGCATATAGACAGGCTTGCTTCGATTGTCGCACCTGGGAAGTCCCGGGGCATGAAATAGAACCATTGCTTGCTTCTTTCATCCTCGCACAATCCTCGAATCAGGTCTGTCCATAAGCGAGGTGAAGTCTAATACCAAGATTCAAGTGAAGAAGTTATCGACCTAAGGGCTAGCTACCTCGGGTGGAAATTCGGGTTGCGCTACGCAGCTGCCCGTTTGGCTTGGACCGAGCCAGCGACGGATGAACCAGACCAGAGCTTGCTGCTACCCTTTGGTTGTTTTGCCAGTCTCTATTCTCTGTCGTTGCAAGAGACTTTGCGGCCGAGAGACCAAAGCGACAAGGAATCTCGCCATGTCCAAGCCGGCCCCTGACTGTGTTTGAACCTCGTGTGCTCTGGCAATTCGACAAGACGGAACGTTCTGTTCCACATTATGGCGAGGAATTTGATCTTCTGCCTCTAATATGCCCCGTGGTATGCCGTCAATCTTTGTTCCGTTGATGTCGGATCTCGCTGCCGGCTGCCTAGCTCTGAAAGTGGTATCCATTGGCAGCAAGGGTCGGCTCTTTTGTGTATGCTCAGAGCCAGACCACGGTCCTCATCATCGAAAGAACCCATGGGGTGCGCTCGTCCCGTTATTTTCTTTTGATACAAGTTTCGTTCGGCTCTTTTTATGGCGAGCAGTGGTTTATGAGAAAGAAGTTGCCGTTCGTCCGTGTGTGTCTCGGTGGTGAAGCCGGGAGAATTGACGTCAAACTTACGATCTGCCTAAGTTGGTCGACTGGACAGGCTTTCTAAAGAGAAAACTTACGGCAAGCGCATCCGTCCCAAGCTTGATGCCTTCCGCATCAGTAGAAAGAGCTGCCATGCCGACTTACGTACATTAGGCAGGTACGTAATCAAGTAGTTACTGCCTGCTCACTTAGTCGACCTAGATAGTGCCTGCCTTTCATAGTTATATTGCTTTGCCCCTGTGTCTAATACATGTAGAAATCACACAGGGCAACACCCAGGTTTATCGATTTGAGAATGCCATTTTCTTCCCTATCAGACCTCAAATTACCTGCTCTACCATCGAAGAACTTCCGTCGTACCACTGATCGTAAACTACCGTATGGTGGCCTCGAGAGAGTACTTACCCAACCCAAAGCCAGCGAGAGTCTATGCAGACCCATTCTTGACTCTCATTGAGCCGCCGCCATATTCACCGACCCTGGATTGGACCCCTCGCCGCTTTCAGGGATGTCGGACCCGTTGAGGAAGACTCAGTGCTATTCCGACAGCATCCATGGAACAACAACGCTACTCTCGAGTCTCTTGCCCTCGGGCGTCCAACCAGCCGACGCGAGACTGCCCCGGTGGCAATCACACGGGGGATGTAGCGGTTCCGATAGAGTTCTCAGCCCTTCAAGACTTTGTCGACTGTCTCGGAAGGCCAAAAGGTAGACTCGTTCCTTCGCGCTGTTGAGCTGCCTTTCAGTAACAGGCAAAGATGGCCGATGTTCGACCACTGGCACTCGCACCTTTCACTTTCATCTTGAATTTGTACCGTTGGTCACAACTGCTTTATTCTAGATGGAGCAGTCTTCTGGTGCCTTGGACCAGTCAGTGATTTCCTTGAGACCACCGTATTCCTCTCCACCATACCAAGAGCTCTCGACATAAGGGCTGTCAAGAGATCTCACTCAGCTGTCGTCCGAGGTCGTACCGACGGCCTCATTCATTTCGCAACTGTCCTCGAGCTGGGCGATAAGGTTCCTTTGCGCCGTTTCAGTTAGGGAGAACTTGGCATATCTGCCGCCAAGGGGCTTCTCGACGCTCTCCATTCCTTGCCAGTGGCCTCTCCAAGGATGTTGTAGCCTTTGTTGAGGATTATGACGACATAAAAGGTCGAGTAGAGGAGAGTCTTGTTCACAGCGGGATAGCACTGCATGAGCACCTCGGCGCTGATGGCCCCGTAGTTGAGCTCCAGGGCGTGAAAACCAAGGTCAAGGGCCCACAGGTGGGCTTCGGAGACGGGGAAGGATATTGGAACTCCTTGACGAACAGAGGTGCGAGCTGCTGCTGTAGACATATTTGGCGTTGGCGATCCAAGGGGCCTTCCAGTGGAAACACTGACGAGTGTTATCTCAAAGGTAGGCCGAGCAGCGACCTTATAGCTTATCAAATGAACTTTGAACAAAGTAGACGTGGACTCGGCACGGATGAGGCCGGAATATATCCGGTTATTCTGGAGAACAGACACATAGGAATTCTGTACTTTCGTTGATCCGGCAAGCAGGAGTCAGGTTGACGGAAGAGCTACCTCAATGCTGACACTGTATAGCGTCACTGAGCATACCACCGGCTGCTCGAATACCTAGAATGAATGGATGACTTGATGGGTACATGTCAAGTACTTCTGTTACCAACCCGTCAACTAATTTGACCCCAACACTTCAAGTACACGGTTCATACCACAACTTGGTGTTGTCAGGATAGGCCCATGAAGTTTAGGGTAACCCGTCAAGGCCTGGCCAAAACTCAGGACGCCGTTTGCGGGTCGGCGCGATTTCAAGGGTGCATCCGTTGGTCTTGGTGATGTTGAATCGCTACCGTCCAGGACAAAAGCTTGGGGCCGACACCCGTTCCTAGGGATATGTTAACACGCATTAGCTTTGCTATCACAGCGTCACACTACAGTCAAGCCCAAGAACCCCTTTCACTCTCATCAACTCGCCGGGGCAGGAGGACAGGCTATAATGATGATGATAAGTCCTCAGTACGTACATTGAATAAAACTATGACCTGCAAGGCAGAAGTTCAGCTGAAAGAATTTTTCAAGTCGGAAAGTGTAGTTAGTCTGCAATGACAATAATCACGAATACAAGTTGCTTGATTTGACTAGACACACCAGAAGATGCCTCTACCCAGTATCGCCCGCTGGCCTCTTTCCGCCAAACCCAGGCTTTCCGCGGGAACCACCCGATGCTTTCATATCCGACCAGCCTCCCGGTTCCCTATATATTCACATAGAGCAAATGCTCGACCAACAAACAATAAAACCCTCAAATTAGTAAAACCCAGATATGGCACAACTCCAGAACTCCACCGCCGTCCCTGCAACTCCATCCCTTGGTATCAAAGCACTCCAGCAACTGAGAGAACCGCCGCTCTGTGAAATTGTATGTAACAATATCAAATCCACCCCACACCACCCCACACTCCGCGTATCCGCCGTGCAAGCTGGATATCCTTCTGCATGATCGTAACTCTCTTGGCGTGTATGGCGCATAGATTTGTATCCTCGAACAGATGTACCAGGAAAGCCTCGGATGCTTCTTGGAGCGCTTGTATGGCTTGGGACTGCCACCTCATGCCTTCATCCCTTGGTCGGACACCCAATGCGATCTCTCGGACCTGCGGAATCTGATGTGAGCATGCAATCATGCCTGGAAAAGCCTCCCGAGGACGACATACCAGTCTAGCGAAAGGAAGCTTGAGAAGTAACAAGTCGGTGCTGCTTTGATATTTGCGAATTTCCCTCAATGCCACCGTACCAGGCCTATATCTGCGCGCGCGCTTCTGCGGCACTGGGTCTCCGGCTACAGAACAACAGGGTCAGGTGGCGCATTCACACAGAGAATTCGTCAGACTGAACTTACGTTGAACATCACTGGGCCTTGATCTCCTCCTGGCGGGGCCTGACTGCTTTGCTCTCGCCGTGCCCTTCTTGGGGGTTCCCTTTGCTGGTCGCCGGCCGGTCATGATCTTGGAAGCGCGTAGTTTCGCGGGGAGCTCAAGAGGAAGGCGAGCAAAGCCGTGTGCTGCGCTCGATGTAGCTACTCTGTGCGGAATAGGCAATTAGACGATTAATTGTACTGGTAAACAAAACAGGGTTCTGGGAACGTCGTTTTCGAGAGAACAAAAGGTAAAAGAGAGGGACGGCGATGTTGTGCGGGTCTGGACGCTGCATGTCAAAGAGGAATGCGACGCTTTCGGCGAAATTGGAGAGGCTGGTGAGCTTTACTAGACGCGACGATTCGCGATCAGGCACGTCCCCACCCAGCATGTTTTAATTGATGTGGCGGGGGGAGGTACCTGTAGCTTCCTCGTCCAGCCGACACTCCCATTGGTCGAACCCCCTACGGCTCTCCCAGCTGCCCCCAACGGGCCCCTATCGAGCCCCTAAAGAGCTTGAGAGCGCACTAGAGCCGCTAGAACCACCGAGCTTTTACAGTTCCCATTTCGCAACATCCATCAAGCATTGAGCCCTGCAGCGGGTCCCGTGGGCGTGGGGAAAGGGCCCTCCAAGGCAAGCTCACTCCACCAGCCCCAAAGCGACGTCGGCTCTTTTATCGATCGGGATGCTGACTGATAACGGAATCATCAAAAGAGGCCACCTTTGATCATCGACTCATCGGGAGCCGATAGATATATCGCCAACACTACCGACAGTTGCCAACACGAACGCTGGCATTTTGCCTGCATTCCAATCATTTCTCCTTCTGTCTCTCTCCGCCCAAAAACTTGACAGCCACCTTCGCAACCCTTGCCAATCGGGAACCCCTCCTCACCTGGTTACCAAGTGATTCCGTCCATATCCGGCCTCGTGCCGAAGCTACCACAGTCAAACAACACCCGCGCCCAGCATGGACCAGATGATGGGAGGCGGCGGCGGCGGCGGCGGCGGTGGGAGGAACCCGCTGGAGGAGTGGTTCTGGGATACTCCCATTTGCACAAGATGGTGGACCACGGCCACCATCGCAGTCAGCGCCCTCGTTCAGTGCCAGATGATCACGCCGTACCAGCTCTTCTACAGCTTCCGGGCAGTATTCATCAAGAACCAGGTATGCTACTCACCCACAGCCATTCCTTCGACGATGATTAAGAGCAGGTCTTCTAACAGCTTCTTGGCATAGTACTGGCGACTACTCTCCACGTTCCTCTACTTTGGTCCCATCTCGATCGATGTCCTCTTCCACGTCTACTTCCTCCAGCGGTATTCGAGGCTCCTCGAAGAGTCCGCCGGCCGGTCGCCGGCGCAGTTCACTTGGCTGCTTCTCTACGCCACGATCAGTCTGATTGTTATCTCACCACTGTTCTCGATGCCTTTCCTCGGCCATCCGCTGGCATCAACGCTGGTCTACATCTGGTCGCGGCGGAATCCGGATACCCGGCTTAGCTTCCTGGGCATCCTTGTCTTCACCGCTCCCTACTTGCCGTGGGTGCTGATGGGCTTCAGCCTAATCCTACACGGGACGGTGCCCAAGGACGAGATCATGGGCGTGGTGATTGGTCACATTTACTACTTCTTCTGCGACGTGTATCCACCTCTACACAACGGCTCCCGCCCGTTTGATGCTCCGAGGTGGTGGAGGCGCATTTTTGAAGGCAGAGCGGAAGAAGAAGCGCAGGAGACGGTCGATGATGTTGACCACGACATTGCTGCTGCTGCTCGGGCTGGAGCAGTGCAGCCGGAGGTGATGTGAGCGGAGCGTTGCCACGGCAGGACCGCGATATACAAGGCGCAAAACTCTACTGTGTCCGTCCACTCCTTTTTCATTCATGAGGTATTGCATGGCAGCGCGGTTAAACAAAGGGCTCAAAAACATTGGAATGGCGTTCATGGCTGAAATTTGAAGAGATACATGTCAGCCCTAGCAAGGGTGAGATACTAGGTAGCTGTACCTAACTATGTAGAGCGTCGAACTCTGACTACAAATTCGGACTATTTGCCTGTCTAACTTCGTGCGGTGTAGATCTCTCCACACTCTCACCATCAGCATTACATGCCCACAATTCGGACTTCTGGGCCGATAAGAAACAGTGCTTGAGAAGGATTTCAACGTCCTGCGTTACCAAGATTGGGCAATAATCTGACGCGTACCACACCGTGTAAGATCGGGCCTCATACCCACAGCACAGATGTTCGTTTTTAAAGAAGAGAAATTGGCAGATTTCACCTCTCTTTCTTCCCCTCCTCATCACAATTAGCTCAGCTTCGTTCATAGACAAAGATCCCACCCAGCAGACAGACATACACCCCTCTCAACTTGGTCGACATGCCCCTCCCAGACCACGCCTTCAACCTCACCGGCGGCTGCGACTGCCGCGCCATCCGCTACCGGATCGCCGTCCCGGCCAAAGACCAACGCCCGCAGTACGTCACCCTCCCGGAGCGGCCCGGCGGCGACGACTCCGCCCCGGGCCCGGACGTCCGCGTGCCGTTCAGCGTCTGGTGCCACTGCGACAGCTGCCGCGCCTACTCGGGCGCGCCGGCCAACGCCTTCCTCATCTGCGGCGGGTCGCAGGTCACCGTCTCGGCGCTGCCCGAGGACGCCTCGACGGCGGCGACGGGCACGCGCCTCGCGGGCCCGGAGGTCGTCGACGACGGTAAGAGGGCCGCGGCGTACCGGCCCGGTGCGGAGGTGCTGGTCCACGGCGGGGAGGGCGCGAGGGGCACCTGGGTGCGGTGGTACCGGGCCGAGTACTGCGGGCCGGCGGCGGCGCGGGCGTTCTGCGGCCGGTGCGGCACGTTCGTGGCGTTCACGCTGACGCCGCTCGAGGTGTGGACGAAGCGGCCGCCGCGCGAGGGGCTGGAGACGCTGCTCGAGTTCCCGCTGGGCAGCCTGGACAGGGAGCACGTGGGGCAGGAGTGGATGGCGCCGGAGAGGGCGGTGCACTACCAGGACGGGCTGGGGTGGTGCCAGCGGGCGATGAAGGGGTTCGAGGGGCCCAAGCACCCTTGGATTCACTATGACAGGGAGATTGACGGGGCTGACAACTGAGATATCCGTCTGTTTGGAGTCGCCTGTAGGCAGGCGTGTTAATTACTTACTGATATGAAGGCGTCGCACTCAGGGAAGAGAAGAAGGGACGGAAGACCACGTGGAAACAAGTTGAAAATGTGATTGTATTTTGGAGATGCAACCTAAGGTCCTGAAACTCATCCAAATACGACAGGTATATACGCTGAAATTTCATCATGATAAGTGTAGATGGGCTGTTTGCCGAGGAGCCCCTTAGTGTAGATACGACTCCACATACTGCTGCCGGTGAACGTTTGAGTCCAGGTCGCTCGACCGGTTCAGGGGAGTCCACTTGGGCTCGTCCTTGAAAAGCCGCATCGCTTGGATGTACTGGATATCATCACATTTAGTCAGAATGGCCCACAACATTACGCACGGGTTGGAGATGCCCGGAAGGGACTTGCGTTGGACTCATCGGTAGTGAAGCGGTGGTAGATGCCGGCAGGCAGGATGAGGAGGTCGTCCTTGTCGAGCTGGATGCGGATCCAGTCGTCGCCCTTGCTGCGGACGTCAAAGTAGCCGGCGCCGTCGCGGATGTACCTGATCTCCTCGTCCTCGTGCAGGTGCTCGTGGAAGAAGGACTTGACCTTGGCCTCGTAGACGTCGCCCATCTTGTCCGGGGAGACGGTGATCTCGTCGCGGTTCTTGTAGCCGCGCTCCGAGGCCAGCTTGTCCACGCCGGCGATGTCGCCGATGCGGTAGTAGAGCACGCCCAGCCGCTGCAGGTCCTCGACGTCCACGGCCTTGCCCGAGTCGTGAGGCAGGCGCTGATCGCCCTGTCCGAAACCTGTTAATCGCCAAGGTCCTGTTGGGTGTTTATGCAGCATGAGACTCACCTCGAGGTTGTCGTAGAGATATGCCTTCATCGTGAGATTGTGTGAGTGAGCGAGCGAGGGAGTGAGTGAGTGAGGGCTTTTCCGACGATAGCTGGTATCACCCCAGGAGCACAAGTGCCTTGTCGTCCTTGAGATGTATTCAGTGATTGGGTGAGGTTTGTCCGGTATTTGAGTGACGATGTCGAAGGTGTCCAGTTCGGGGCCGGCTTGTTCAGATATATTTTCAATGCAGCCTTTAAATGGACCGTTTTGGTACTAATCGCCTTGAAGGCAATTGGCTAAGGGGACCTAAACGTGCCGATTTCTAGCGCTGACATGCGCAGATCCAGCGATGGTGGGATGCCAACTTGCGATGACGATAAGTGGGGGCCAGGCCTGGGTAACCGCGCTATTGTCACCGGCGGGAACTGGCACACACACCTGGAGTTGGAGGGGATCTGCAGGATACCTACTAGGTATGTGCATGTTGCTTACACAGTTCCGCTTGCTGATTCGCAACTACAAGGAAGCCTTGCCTGAGATGGAATGTCGCTTCACGAAAGTTACACTCACTAATACCCCAGAAGATATTCAATCGGCTGCAATATTAAAAGTCAAGACTACTATAACTTACCTAACAAGGTACATAGGTAGGTAATCAACTAGGCCTCTGGGTAACGGGTGGCGGAGGTACCTTACATAAAGGAACCATCAAATTGCCGAAGCTTAAATAACGCTGGTTGGGGCTTCGGGCGTCGCGCATTGACAACTGCCGCCTGTGCGGGGTAGAAGCTCAGATATAACTTCAACCAAAAGGACATCGAAGTACTGTCCCAAACCGACATGTTCACAACCCTGCGCTCCACTCAAGGCTGCATCCATTTACGCATGGCTTAAAATCCCATGGACTAGACACATTGACTCTACAGGCTGTACAATTGACCAGTCATTTGGTTCGGCATTCAGTTGGGGCCTCGCCCCCGTCTCAGAGGTTGCTGGGTCATGGTGAAAGGGTGAAGACCTGCTAACCTCAGAGAGCCTACACATCAAACACAGAGCTCTCACCCTGCACAGCATGTCAACAGTGGGAGATTCGAGGAGCGTCACTGATGGCCCTCCATCCGAGGCAGGGAGTACAACCAAGCCCAAGCTGCAGCTCCCTGCAAGCTGTGACCCACCCCTCCCGAATAGTCCTCGAAAACAGCTTGTATGGGTTGTAAGTACAACATATTAGCGATGTATTTCCTTGGAAAAAGCGAATTGACAGTGATGCCAGGTGTTTGGAGGCACTGGCCACATGGGCCGGTCTCTGGTCAAGAGCGCGTTCGCCCACGGAGACCTGGTTTCTATCGTTGGCAAAGTCTTTGAATCGGATCCAAAGACCATGGGACAGACATCGCCGCAGTGCCTCACTACCGTCTGTGACGTGCGGTCTCGAGAGTCGGTGGAGAAGGTCATCAACAAAACGCTGTCGCACTTTGGCCGCATCGATGTCATCGCCAATTGCTCCGGCTATGGGGTGATTGGTGCGTGCGAGGATCAAGACGAGCATGATATCCGCAACCAGTTCGAGACCAATTTCATGGGCACGTTGCACATCATCCAGTCAAGCCTTCCGTACTTTCGGCAGAACGGGGCCGGGCGGTACTTGATATTCAGCTCCACCTCCGGAGCACTGGGCGTGCCGGGGCTGGGGCCGTACTGCGCCACAAAGTATGCCGTCGAGGGCCTCATCGAGGCCATGCTCTACGAGATTGACTCCTTCAATGTCAAGGCTACGCTCGTCGAGCCAGGGCTCGTGCGAAGGGACGAACCCGACTCCAAGACGAATCCCCTCCCGACCTGGGGCCACTTCTGGATCAAGCCTGCGAGTGAGCCATACGGCCAGGCTACATCGCCGGCGCTGCACGCCAAGAGAATGGTATCGTGGCTCGGGGACCGGCAGCCGACCAGCGCCGTCAAGTGCGCAGAGCTGGTATGGCAGCTGGGCCACTGCTCTTACCCACCCCTGCGTCTCATCCTCGGCAGCTATGCAATCGAGAGCATCCGTGACAGGCTGCGCTCCGTTACCGAAGAGCTCGAGGATTGGAAGCACCTCAACTTTCCGGCGGCCCCGGAGTCCGGCGGCGGAGACAAGGACAAGACGGAGAAGGACGAGCGGGGGGACAAAGATGACAAGACGGACGAGGACAAGGACGAAGAGATGGCCGATGTCTCGGGCCAAGGCGAGATCCAAGTTGCTACTTGAACTTGACACCTGGCCCGAATGGTCTATTAAGCCAAAGTACTTGACACGACATGCCTTGCTTTACGGCCAAGGTGTAGCGGGGAGGACCATGACAACTTTTACAGACAAAGAATGAGCTGGGGAAAGACACTTTTGTGTCTTGCACATCTGAAAGAGGAGATAAGGATCTATCAGAGGATTTCAAGGTCTCAGTCTGGGGAATTTAACTACTTGTACTGAGAGGCATGTCCGTTCAGGGTCCAGCTGCAGTATGGGATGGAGTCATGTACAGCGGATATAGGGGTTGAAGATTACCTCTATTGGGAAATTTCCAGGGGTTTCAGCAGGTGCAAGCTGCTTGGCAAGTTCTAATTTTACCTTGTCAGAGACTAAGGCACGCGAAAGAGGCATTGAAGTTTTCCAACTGCACCAGGACCCACTTTATTTGCGAGGCAGGCATTGGCGCTAGCCTGCTTTTCGTTAGCGGCTTGCTTGTCCCTCTCTCCCTGCTCTGCGTTATCGAGGCCCCGGCCCAGTAATTTAACAGGTATTCTTTTTCGACACATTTTACCGTGACACGCGTCTGACGGAACTATCCCTTCTTTTTCTCTCGTCTGGAGATAGATCGAGTCTATGAACTGTCCTTTGTGACACGCCTTGACTGTCGAGAGTGCTGAGCATTGAAATACCGGTTGCTTCTCGTCTCGGAACCAGCCTCTCCTTTCCTCTCGCCCATCCTCCCGCCCCTCGACATCCCCGATCCTCGTCTCCCGGCGGAACCGCATTGGACCCCCTTAGTCCTGTTCAACAGTCGCTCGTTTCGAAAACTCAGACACCATGTCGGACAAGAAGAACGACGAATACGTCGTCCAGATGCCCAAGAGCAGCCCGGCTTATGGCGGCGAGAAGGACTCCTTCCTCGGACGAGGCCCGTCGCACCGTCATGGTGGCCAGGCCAGCGCCCTCGCATCCAAGATCGAACACAGCCCTCCTCTATCCATCCTCGCCTACTGTGTCGCATCCATCAGTATGACGGTTGTGAACAAATATGTCGTGTCGGGGAGCGACTGGAACCTGAACTTCTTCTACCTGGCTATCCAGGTATGCACACCTGGCCTGACCCAGACTTGCTCACATGTGGCCACATCGGGAACTGAGGCTGATAATTGCTTCTTTTTTGTTTGACAGAACGCTGTGTGCACCCTTGCCATCTTGCTCTGCAAGCAGGCCGGCCTGATTAAGGGTCTTTCACCTTTCGACATTGACAAGGCCAGGAAATGTATGTCCTTGCTTGATCGCAATCAAGAACAATCTTGACCCTTGTTTCTTGTTCCTGGGTTACTGACAGTGTGTAGGGTTTCCCATCTCGCTTCTCCTTGTCGGCATGATCTATACCGGCACCAAGGCCTTGCAGTTCCTCTCGGTCCCTGTCTACACGATCTTCAAGAACCTGACCATCATCGTGATCGCCTACGGCGAGGTTCTCTGGTTCGGCGGCAGCGTCACTCCCCTGACCCTGCTGTCCTTCGCCCTTATGGTTCTCAGTTCTGTTGTGGCAGCCTGGGCTGATATCCAGGCGGCCATCAACAGCTCTGGCCTGGCGACCGACACCACTGCCGCCATCTCGACTCTCAACGCCGGTTACGCCTGGATGGGTATCAATGTGTTCTGCTCGGCCACCTACCTCTTGGGTATGCGCAAGATCATCAAGAAGATGAACTTCAAGGACTGGGACAGTGAGTAGACCCTTGAAGCCATGCAATTGAGGCTGTGTTGCCATGCTAACACATGTCCAGCCATGTTCTACAACAACTCCCTCACGATCCCCGTCCTCGCTATCTGCACTCTGCTCTTCGAGGATTGGTCGCACGCGAACCTGGTCAGGAACTTCCCTCCCGAGACCCGCAACAACCTGATGATCGGAATGGTCTACTCTGGCCTGGGTGCTATCCTGATCTCGTACTGCTCTGCCTGGTGCATTCGAGTCACCTCGTCGACTACCTACTCCATGGTCGGTGCCCTCAACAAGCTCCCCATTGCCCTCAGCGGCCTCATCTTCTTTGACGCCGCTGTGACTTTTGGCAGTGTGTCTGCTATCATCATTGGCTTTGTCAGTGGTATCGTCTATGCCTGGGCCAAGGTCCGACAGACGGAGCAGAACAGGAACAGCTTGCCTACGCAGCAGCCTGTTATGAGCGCTAGCTCGCAGAGCAACAAGGATGCCAGCAACTCATAGATTACAAGCGAGTGAATTGCTTATATCATGAGCACAGCAGCATGCAGTCCCTGCTGCTACCCAGTCATTGACCTGACTGAATCTGGGTGTGATATCCAGACCAAAGCCATGAAGCGTCAATGAGCCTCAGGGGGGTCACTGCTAGTGTCCCCTGCAGGTTGGCTTTTGTTCAATGTTCATGTTCATGTACCTCATAGACAGTCTACGCGTTTAATTTTGGTGTTTGTTGGCATAGAAAGAGGGCTTCTTGTCGGGAGCGAGAGACAGAGGCACCGGTGAAGATGAAAAGGGTGTAGGGTTATCATATGGCATCGCGTCTTTGCATCCATACAGCAGCACATGAGCCAGGATCAGACGAGCTATCCGCGAAACATGGGGCCGGCGTTTGGAGGGAATCATCGGACAAACGACTTTGCGGCTTTCGCGCTCTCCCGTGAAAATGAGTGCACGGTCTAGAGCAGCTTATTTACATATTTCCTTACCACTTTGAAGTAATGGCATGTTTACGACATTGGAAGTGATGCATGGTATTGCCTAGCAACGTACCCTTATCAACTTGCTGACTTGCTGGGCCATGGTGACAAGCCAACATTGAGTTTACCAGAGTTTGCCTCAACCTACCTACCTAACCTACCTTACTAGGTATTTGCCAATATGGTGGTCAGGAGGTGCAAGTCTGGATGGCTTGTGACAGCTGCCATGCTCCAGAATGAGCCGCCTAAATTCCGAGGGCCAGAGCCACAGCGCCTCCACATGTGCCAGGCCGCTGCCCTACTATTCGGCAAGGCGAGTTTTGGCTGGTACGTCGGGTCCTGGTGACGTGACATCATCTCCACTCCAGCTCTTCCTCATATCTTATCACCAGCAGATCAAGGAATAAAAAGGGTAGCTGAGCTTTGACGTTAGTTCTTTCAACGACAACGACAACGTTAACGGCCACCCAGACCAAGCTCTGCTACACCAGACAGCTCCGGCTTCCACCCTTCTTCCAGTCCTGCTCGTTTTCTCTGGCCTGGCAAGCCTCTCGACTGCACTGCTTGCTCTGTTACTAACCCAGAATCCCATCACTCTTGCCCGAATGCGCTGCGGCCTTGGATTCCCGGCTCTTGATCGCATGGAGTAAAAAGGGCAACCCACCCCCACCAAGATCCTCAACCGATTTCGTCGCGAGGAAGACAGCCAAGATGTTGCCCTACATCAACGCGCGTATGTGAATGCTTGCACTTACTGCTACTGGCGCTGAGAGCCTCCCATGCTGACTGACCTCTGATCTATAGCTTTTGTCTTCCTGGCAGACAAGATCGGCGCCTCACCTGACGAACGTACGTATGCGCCTCGATTGTTCACGATTTCATCTTCGTACAAGGAGGGTTCAACCTTATTGCAATAATATGGCGGGCTGACTTGAAGCATCCAGTCAAGCTTATAACCTCTTTCCTCCTCTCTTACCCATTCGCCGGGCTTCTGAAGAGAGTGCCCGATGCCAAGCCTGCCTACAAGAACCTCTTCATTATCAGGTATTGCGCCTCGATAGTACCGTAGCGCGTGTGCTCGAACTGACCTGAATTTATTCTAGCGTATCTCTTTTCTACCTCGTGGGCCTCTTCGATTTATGGAGTGGTCTTCGCACCGTTCTCATATCCTCGGCCGGCGCCTATGCCATTGCCAAATATCTTCGTGGATCGCCGTACATGCCATGGATCGGTTTCGTCTTCGTCATGGGCCACATGTCTGTCAACCAGCTGGCCCGACAGTTCGCAAACACTCCCTCTGTTGTTGACATCACCGCGGCGCAGATGGTCCTGGTCTTGAAGATCACTGCCTTTTGCTGGAACGTGGCAGACGGCACGCTTCCCGAGGAGCAGCTGAGCGACTTTCAGAAAGACAGAGCCCTCCGAGAGCTGCCCGGCTTGCTGGACTATGCTGGGTTTGTCTTCTTCTTCCCGGGATTCATGGCTGGGCCGGCGTTCGACTACGCCGAGTACAGGCGTTGGATCGACACGAGCATGTTTGACATACCAGCCAACGTCGACCCGGCCAAGCGACCGCCCACGCGGAAAGCGCGCAGGATCCCGCGCTCCGGGACCCCGGCAACGCTGAAAGCAGTGTCTGGTCTTCTCTGGGTTTTCGCGTTCCTGAAGCTCTCTGGCTACTACTACCCCCAGAGTCTCATTGAGCCCGAGTACCTGAACTACGGCTTCGTGCGCCGGGTTTTCATCATGCACATGGTTGGCTTCACCACACGGTGCAAGTACTATGGCGTCTGGTCCCTCACCGAAGGCGCCTGCATCTTGGCTGGCATCGGCTACAATGGCGTGGACCCCAAAACTGGCCGTGTCTCGTGGAACCGTGCTCAGAATATCATTCCCTGGAGTGTCGAGACGGCCCAGAACACCAGAGGATATCTGGAAGGGTGGAATATCAAGACCAACTCTTGGCTGAGGAATTACGTCTACCTTCGAGTGACGCCACGGGGCAAGAAACCTGGATTCCGCGCCAGCATGGCTACCTTTGTGACGAGTGCCATCTGGCACGGCTTTTATCCCGGATACTACCTGACATTTGTGCTGGCGAGTCTTGTCCAGACCGTTGCAAAGAGTGCGTGTCTGCCCATTTCCATTCCATCCAAGACCACACGCAAGGGCCATTTGCTAACCAATGAAACAACATGTAGACTTCCGCCGCCACGTCCGCCCCTTCTTCCTCAACCCGGCTACGCAGCAGCCTCTGCCCTCCAAGCGCTACTACGACTTCTTCTCGTACGTCACCACGCAGCTCACGTTTGCCTTCATCGTCGTCCCCTTTGTCATCCTGGGCCTCGGCGATTCGATCCTGGCGTGGAGCCGCGTCTACTTTTACGGCATCGGCGGCGCGCTCGCGTCGATCGCCTTCTTCGCGTCGCCGGCCAAGGCCCTCCTCAGGAAGCGCCTGCAGGAGCGGGCCGCCCGCGCCGGCGTGGTACCGAGTGGGGCCAAGCCCGAGGCGGGTGGCGCCGGCGGCGGCGGTGGTGCGATGCACAAGTCGGCTAGTACCGAGAGTCTCAGGGGGCCGATGCTGGGCGTCAGTCCCGATCTCGAGGGCGAGATTGAGGAGATGAAGGAGGAGGTGAGGCAGGAGATTGAGAAGATCCAGAGGGAGAGGAGGGCGTCCATGGCCAAGAAGAGCAAGTAGGTCCGTGTCGAGGTCCAAGTAAAAGTGTCTGGAGCGGGCTGACTGCGGTTGCACTGGCGGCACTGCAGAGTGGACGGACAGAAACGTAAAGAGTCTTTGTTAGGTGAAGATGCCGACCCGGGTTTTCTGGTGACGAGAGCGCATGATTAACGCAGTCGAAGTATTCAAGTTTACGGGGGCATTTACCCCGAGTAATTGTCTTGCACAGCCTTGCGAAGATGTTGTCTTATATCCATCCTTCTTCATAGAATAAGCAATGCCGTCTAATTAATCAATATCATTCATAAGAGAGAGCTATGGGGCTCGTAACAGTCATAAGGACGATTGTGAAAGCAAAAGTAGCCAAGTCAATGGTCAGAGATCCACTGCCTTCGCCAAGCTGGACGGGTAAACTCAAGGTTGTATGGTATCCCCTGTGAATCCAAAAAAGGTGTAGAAAGAAAGGGACCACTGCGTTATGGTCTTCCTGTGAGAAAGAGAGATTGGACTCTGGTACCCCCAGAAACTCCACACAAGAACAGCGTTATGTAATGTAGTAGGGTGTCCGAGTCCCTGCTTTTTCGTTTTTCCTTGCCCGTTTTTTCCCCATCTATTCGCCAGGTTTTGTCCCCTGAACTTTCGGTTTCTTTTTTATACAAAAAAGCTCGCCCTGGAGTACTATGGTCCGGTCTGCTATAGAATATCTTCTGATGTTTTGGGTGGTGATACAATTTGATACAAGGAGGGTTTCGAAGTGGAAGAGAAAAAAAAGTATTCTCGGTTTCTCGTCGTGAGCGTTGCGGTGAGGTTTGATATAGGTTCTAAAGATGCTTCGTTCGTGGTTTGAAACAAAAAAGTAGTCGAGGTAAGAAAGAGAGAGAGAGAGAGAGTCGTAGGCCGTAGCGGCGTAAAGAGTCGTCAAAGCGTCATGATAGAATAAAAAAGCCCAAACAAAGATATAAACAAGGACGGTAAGTTTTTTCGTCGCCTTGTGGGCTGGCTGGCAGGCCGGCGAACGATTTCTACCGTCCCAGCCCCCAGCCCTGCCGGACGCCGATGACGACGAGCGCCACGACGGCGCCCAGGATGAGCAGGCCGACAAAGGCCATGCAGCGGTTCAGGTTGCGCCACCACCGGGCGCTCTGGTACCGCACCTCATCGGCCGTCAGGAGCTGCTGCTTGAAGGCCTCGGGCACGCCGAACTCGCCCTGGGCGCGCTCCAGCATCTGCTGGGACTGCGACTTGGCCGGCAGGGGAAGGAACGCGGCGATCATCCAGGCTATATATCATTCAGATAAAAACATTAGAACCCCATTGCTAGAACCACCAGACACAATAATAAAAAAATAACGTTGTTGATGTGTGTGAGTGACACAGATAGGGGGGAAAAAGACCAAGGGAGCAAAAAAAAAAAACTTACCAAAGGGGAATATGAACCCCGCCATGAACAGCACGACCTGCGCGTTGCGGCGGCCCATGAGCCCGCTCTCGGCGCTCCAGCTGACGCTCGGCGGCTCCCAGATGCTGTACCGGCTCGCGCGGCGGTCGAACCGCAGGTGCGGGCTCCAGATGGAGCTCGTCTTGTGCCTGGGCTGCCGGGCCCCGCCGCCGCCGCCGCCGCCCTCGTAGTAGTAGTAGTCGCCCGCCGGCGCCGCCGTCGCGGCCTCGCCCACGGGCAGCACCATGTTGGTCGACGAGTCCGAGAAGGGCCCGCCGGCGCCGACCATGGCCTGCTTGGCGCGCTTGCGCTTGCTGTAGATGTTGAGCGGGAAGTGGTCCGCGCTGGGGCTGCCGTCGGACCGGAAGCTGCCGACGCGCCGGAGGGGAGCGGGGCCGTAAGGCCCGCCGCTGCCGCCGTCCTCGGACTCCTCCGATATGCTCGGGGCGCCGATCAGGCGCCGCTGCTCGCCCGAGCCGTAGTACAGACGCGCCCAGGCGGGGATGTTGGCGCCCGAGGTGAAGCTGTTGGCGCGCGACGACGAGCTCGCCGACGAGTGCAGGTTGCGGCTCGACGAGTTGGCGCTGCTCGCGAAGAAGCCGCTGAGGCCCGTCCGCGACGGGTGCTGGTTCAGGTCCGCCAGGCCGTCGCCGTACTCGTCCTGGTCGCGCACCATGATGCGCGGGCTGCCGCCGCCGCCGCCGTTGCCGCTGCCGCGCACGTAGGCCGGCTGCGGCCGGTCGAGCGAGTTGCTGCGCGAGTGGGTGGCGGCGGCGGAGGAGGACCGGGCCAGGGACTCGCCCTCCTCGAGCTGGGCGGCGAGCGAGGACGAGATGCTCAGCATCTGCCTGCTGTGCGTGCTGCTGGCCCAGCCCGCGCTGCTGCGCCGGCGGTGGCTGTTAGCGCTCGGCGTGGCGGACAGGAGCGAGGCGGACCGGGCGGAGCGCGACCCGCTGCCGCGCGGGCTGTCCTCCTCGTCCTCGGACATGACGGTGGAGAGCTGCGAACTCCATTGGTGCGGGTGGGACTCTACCATCTGGACTCTCCGCTGCGGTTCGGCCGGGGCGGGGGCGGTCTGAGCTGGCGGGGTCGCCTCCCATGCGTCCGGCTGGTCTGGGTTGCCGGTCGCGCTCGGGGTAGAAGGGCCGCCGCGGAAGTTGATGAGCGCCGGGCCGGCAAAGATGGGCTGGTTCGCTTCCTCGCTGATGATGGAGGAGATGGACCTGATCGACTTGATCGAGCCGGTGCGGCGCAGCGATTCTCTCGACCTCGACTTGTAGTACCCGTACTTGTCGGGCGATCTCCTCCGGGCTGTCCGTAAGGGGGGCACCAGCAAGCTCTCCTGCGAATATGTCGGTCGTGGCTCCCGCGATACCGTGCCGAAAGAGGGCGCCGGAGAAGGGTCGCCGTGGACGACGTAGTTCTGGTCGCTGGCCGGCGTTCGGATCGAGATCGGGCTGCTTTCCCAGACGGGCGCGGCGGGGGACGACTCTCCCAGGAGCTGGACGTTGGAGTCGTTTGAAGACGGTGGCCGGATGCTGTCGGTCGAATCCTGGGCACCGGGAGATGGACTGTACTCGTAGACCTTGTAGTTTGTTGTCTCGGAGAGGGTCGACGTCGACTCTTCAGAAGTGAACGAGTCTTTTGGTATCACGAGACGCGGCGGCGTATCCTCGGGTGCTTGCGGCGGCGATGAATCCCCTTGCTCCGCCAATGTCGTGTGCTCAAAGTCCTCGGGCGACGATGCCTCGGGCAGTGGTGCAAGCGGCGTCTCCTGGGCGGCAGCCGAGTACGTGACAGCCTTCTTTTGCCTGGAATCTGGTGTCTTGGGGACCTTTCGAAGGCCGCCGACCATGCGATCGTTTCCGGGCGAGGCGGGTATAGGATCCTCAGCTAATTGCGTGGTGGAGGCGGTGGGAGAGGGGGTGGATGGGGAGAGGGAGAGGTCGGCAAAGGTAGCGGTGGTGCCGGGAGAGCTCGGGCGATCGTCGCTGAACGCATCAGATGAGAGACGTTCATGCGAGCTCGAGGAGCGAACCGTGGAAAGGGAGAGGGGGGGTGACTGGAGGCTGCTGCGGGCGGCGTCGGAGGACGGACGGCGCGGCACGAGCGAAAAGGTCTTGTCGGCGTGGACGGCAATGAAATTACGACGGCGGGATAAAAGCTTCTCAGCTGAAGCCGTGGGCGAGGCTGGACCGGTTTGGCCATCTTGGTCGTCATCAGACTGGACATCGGTGGCGGCGGCGGCGGCAGCAGCAGCATTAACTGCGCTGCTATTGCTGAAATCCGACCGGGGTCTTGGACCAGGGGCTGGCTGTGGTGTCGGGCCAGTAGCGGGTTTCGATGCTGAAACGCCTCCAACCCCTTCCCACGACCTCGCCAATGAAGTCGCCGAGGACGAGGGCGAGGACAATGCCGACGCTTGGCTGCCAGACGGCCGCTCTGTCCTGTCGCTGGCCCTCCTGGCCCAGATGGTGCGAGCTGGACCGGTCCCCTGCTCGCCATCGTTTCCAGAACAAGATCTGGCTTCTGGTGCATGAGGATTTGCAGAAGATTGGCTGGCACTGCGACCTTGGGCATCGAGCCTCGGCGGCGTGTAAGGCACGATGCGGATGGCGAGAGTGTTGTTCTGCGACTGGGACCGTTCGCGCAGAGGGTGCGGCCGTTGAACAATGTCCTGCGGGCTGGTCGGCCGACCAAGCGATGACCGGTGGGGATCTCGCTCTCCAGACTCCGACATCGTCCTGACGAGACAAGACAAAGTCGAAGCCAGTCGGGCTGTATCCCCCTAAGTCGTTTCGATCAAGAGATCTCACAGCAGGAAATCAGAAAGATTCCATGACGAGCGGCTGCTGGGTAACCTGGGAGAGATCATTAGGGGGAAAAGTGTACTGCCAGCTCGCCAGACGACCAAAGTGAGGCGAGATGGCGATGTCTGCTTGTTCAACAGAGCAGCAGACAGGTCCGCAATGAAGTTCCCTTTCGTTCCAAGTTCCAAGAAGCTGTCGGCCGAGATCCTCAAAATCGTTTGGATTTCCACCGATTTGTTTCCGTTGGGGAGCAACAATCCTTGACGATAGCAATTCCGGAGCAGGTGGGCGCTTTTCACCAGGGGTCCCCAGGTAAGTAATTAGGTAGGCGAATATTCGACAGGATGAAATTCTACAAAGGCAAGGCCGCAAAAAGAGTGAACGGCCGGAGACGACGAAAGAAGAAGACGGCAGGAAGGAAAATGGCAAAATAGAACAAGTAAGGTTTAAAGATAGTAGAGAAGGGCAAGGTGGGTGGGTGCAAGATGTACAAGTATTAGCAGGCAAGCAGATATCGAGACATGAGTGGCCAGGGGCAGCCGTCTTTGCTTGGCCAGATAGGCGCAGTGTATCCGGTTCCAAGGCAGAGGGAAGCTTTCGAAACGGCACGAACTGCCTTGTGATAAGACGAGGAGAAAGGGAGAAAAGGCACGACGACGGTGGTGGTGGTGGTGGTGGTGATGATGGCAGCGCCCCCCGGGAACGACCAGGACCAATCTCAGCATGTGGTATTGGGCGAGGGTTCAAGGATGGCATCTGACAGAATCCAGATGCACCCCCGGTCCATTGGCCAAGGAGACAAAGGAGACAGGCCACCGGTCTGCCAACTTACCAAAGAAAGAAGCCATCCCCCCCCCCCAGCTTTGCAGCTTTGCAGCTTGGCACCCCCGGCCATGCACTCTTCAGGAGGATGGAGCGGGTGGGCGCGAGATTCACCGCTCGACAAGAGCTGCGCGCGCCGGTAGGCTCGGTTCAAACCGAACCCTGGCCTGGATGGAGACGAGAGGAGTCGAGAGGAGACAAGAGGAGAACGAGGCTGGCCGACGTTTAATTTGGTCGCTCCACCAAACTGCATCCAAACCCATCAAACGCTCCGTCCTTTACCCACGGCCGCCATGTGTCTCTGCTGAACCGCGCGTCTTAGCGGTCTTGGGGTGTCCCTGTCCCACCGACGCTTTTGGGCAGTGGGCGGGCCCCCGGCGGTTCCCAGTTCGGCGCTGCTGAGCTGTACAAGCCTCTGCAGGCTAGCGATGTATTGCTACATTAGGGCGCTGGAGTGCCCCAGAATGCCCTGCGGTCGACCACTGACAGCTGCAGCTGAGTCCTGGACACTGCAGCTGGCTCATTTCCCGTTTCCTCTCGCAATATTCGGAACCTCAGCCGCGACGCAAACTTTGAGAGACCAAAACTAGACCACTTGTACAAGTATGTCGACATGCAGGTCGTCGCTACTTGACTGGGGAAACAGCAATCAGGGTCAATGACGGCTGGCCATTTGTCAGGACGAGACAGTCAACACGACGGGACCGTTGGACCAGGCAACCTCGTACAACGCCAGTCACAGGTTTCATGATGATCGGCCGTCTGGAGGACGGTCTGCTGCGGGTCTTTTGCTCTTGTCCTTGTCGAGCATCTAAGTCCTGCATATGTGACGTTTGGACTGCCCAAAGCATAGGACGTCGTGTGCTCACGCGCACAAATTCTCGGGTTGCGTACCGTCCCGACGGCCAACGTTAGGCGCTTGTAAACAATGGCCGAAACCATTCGCTCTCGGGTTGTCTGTCGTCCAACATGCAAGTGTTGCAGCTGGACCGACCTCGCCTCGAAGCGGTACTGCCCAAATCAGGCCATATGTCTTCTCCGCAAAAGTCTGATACTCACAAAGAGACGATAATGTATGTCTGGTCGTAGAAGGTCCTTGGCAACCGATTGGCGACGACTGCCGAACAGTTCCCACCAGGACTGTATACTGTACATGAACAACCAAGTCTGTGTCGTCGTGTACACATCTCGAAGGAAAAACCCTGCTCTTCGGGAGTGAAGCCCACATGATCACTAAGGCCTATCGACGATGGTTGAAGCCGGGGGCGGGTCTATTGGAGAGATCCAACAGGTGGTAATTTAACAACGCGTAGCCGCGACTTTTCGCGTTCATGCGGACCCCTGCCAGCGTTACTGTGGCTTAATTGCTGGTATATGCGATACCTACTCAGCCACCATACAGATGCCACTGGATGCTCCCATTGTGACATTGTCATCGTATGTACAAGTAGATACGGGGTCGGCTCCCCTTGATCCTGGTGATGATCTTCCAACTCTATCTTCGGAGGAATAGCAGAAGATGGATACACAATCCGGAGGAGGAGACGGCCAAGATTCTCCCTAGTCGTCTTCTGGTACTTGTAGATCCAGTTACTAGGGAGAAGGGTAGAGTGGGAGGTAACTACGTACTTTGCAGATACATAGACATAGTCCAAGTGTACGGAGTATACTTGGAGTATGCGAACAATACCAAGAATGAGGATGAATCCAAGAATGCATGCCGCGACAAAGACAGCGCATCGAACTAGCCGGAAACGAGGAAAGAAATCGCTAGCCACTCGATATTTCCATCTGCCGCAGGGATAAAACAGCGCCGAGTTTTCTGCATAATGTAGCAGCAACTCCCTCTTCTCTCCGCGCGCTTAAATGACCCGTTGAACCAGTCGATTCACACATCCGGTCACACATCCGGACCAGCTTTTGGCACCTTTATCCGCCGGGCCTGCCGTCTGCCCGCAGCTGCGACCCATTCTCCCACAACTCCACCAACAACGGCTGTCTAGGACGCGATCAGCGAGGGCGGCGCAACCCGCAAGTGAGAGCGCCTGACACAGTTGTCGTTGGAAGAGACGCCGTATCGGGAAAGGCAGGGGGTCGTGAAAAGGGCCAGGGTGTCAATTGACTGCCCCAAAGCGGACTGACCAAGGTGTCAAGCTCTCCTGCACTCGGGCGAACCCACCAACCAGCTTCTTCAATCCCGGGAACCCCTGCGGTCTCCGCGTTCAAGCATCAAGGATCACCATCGCCCTGCTGCCAGCGGTTCACGTCAGGTAGCCTGGTCCCAGCAGCGGCTGTTCAGAGACATCAGCCTCGTGTGTGACAGCGTTTCTCTGCCCAACCGCCACCGACGACAGCCCATCATGCCGGCCATCAAGAGCTTCATCGACAAGTACATCTACCACAAACGTGAGTGTATATGTCACGTCACACCTCAAGGTCCTACGCTGGCTAGGTGATCTTTACTAAGCCATGCGATCAGAGGAGAATGTGCCGCCGCCCATCACGACAAACACGGCCACAGCATTGCTGGTAAGTCGATGCATGCCTCTGCTCATTTTTCACTTGTATCGGCGGGCCAGCGAGTGCGATGTTTCAGAATGACCATTGTCATCCCGCCACCTACAGTTATCCACCGCTCCTCGCAGGAGCACCCCCCTCAGCCCCCTTGCAAGCAAAGACCAAGTCCTGTTATAACATATGTGTACCTAGATCGTCTACACCCTCATATACGTGGTCCCTTTCTACCTGTCGCCCCGCACCCGGCCGTCGCCGGACCTGTCCCGGGATGCACCCTCCGTCATCCGGGCCCGCATCGCCTCCGTGACCCTCACGTGCGTCGTCTGCTCGGCCGCCACCTTCTACGTCCTCACCAATCAGGGCCGCGCCCCTGCCCTGGATGCCGCCCACCTGATGGGCTACCTGCCCGTCGGCCTCGTCGAGGCCGGCAAGACGACCCTGCTGACGGCCATCCTGTTTGCCGGCCCCCTGTTTGAGCACCTCGTCGTCGAGGGGGCGTGGAGGGACTGGCTCAGGCTGGCGCCTCTGAGGGAGCTCTTCAACGAATGGACCGTCTGGAGGAACATCGTAGCTGCAAGTCGCTCCCCCCCCCTCCCCCCCCTAATCCCATACATGTCTCCATTCTCTCTCTTTTTTACACACGGCGACCCCCTAATGCTAACAAAACAAACAACCAAATCAGGGCCCCGTCACCGAGGAGGTCCTCTTCCGCTCCGCGGCCGTGCCCCTCATGCTCCTGGCCCGCACGTCCATCCCAAAGACCATCTTCCTGTCCCCCGTCATCTTCGGCCTCGCCCACGTGCACCACTTTTACGAGTTCCGCATCACCCACCGCCAGGTGCCCCTCGCCGCCGCCCTCGCCCGCTCCGCCTTCCAGCTCGCCTACACCACCCTCTTCGGCGCCTACGCCACCTTCCTCTTCCTCCGCACCGGCAGCCTGCTCGCCATCTGCCTCGCCCACGCCTTCTGCAACTGCATGGGCCTGCCCCGCGTGTGGGGCCGCGTCCAGCCCCCCGGTGGGGAGGGGGGGGACGACGACGTCGCCGTCGCCGTCGCCGTCGCACCGCGGGAGGGAGGGGAGAGGGGTGGTAGCGCCACGACGGCGAAGCGGCCGACGTTGCTGTGGACCGTGGCTTACTACTGCCTCCTAGTCGGTGGCGCGCTCACCTGGTACCGCAACCTGTGGAGGCTGACCACCAGCCCGCAGGCCCTGGTGCCCATGGATGGCTGGTAGTTTGGTGGCCTGCGAGGAAGGGTCAAGGTCTTGGGGGCGTTTACCGATATCGAGACCGAGGGGCGGGCCTTTAGGAGGATGAAAACCCCGCAAGTGTGGTTGGTGGGGATCAATCCTGATCAAGGGTGTTGTTGATGATGATTGATCATCGATATGCGGTCACCTCCCTTACTCACCTTGTGTGCTCCGTTGACTAAAGTGTTCATCATCGGCTCTACCATCCGCCGTGATTTGCCATTTGTATTAGGGATAGTAACAGGATGCGCATATCTAAACTCACTGTCCAATGAAGAGCACGCCTTTTGCGGAGGTGAGAGAATCCATATTTAGGTCTATCTTGCATGGCTCGGTGCTCACTGGACTGGCACACAAGGACAGACGACTCCGGCCGTGTGGTCAGTCGTAGTCAGAACTAGTCGGTCGTATGGAGCGTATTATAGCTCCTGCTCTAAGTAAGCCACCCTCCATGAAGGCAGTCCGGCTGGAGGAAATCCCATCGCCTTCAAGTTTGCCCTCTTACCCCGAGACGCAACATACGCCCGCGTCAAACCGCCTCGCGGCTTGACAAGAACCCCCCCTCCCGGGTTCGGACGGTCTGCGCCGGGATTTTGGCGTTCTATGGCCGGAATAAGCTCGCCACGGCCTAGTCAATAGGTTTCCGTTTCCATCTGCCTAGCTCGCGGGTAACTCATCCGGCCGAGGGGTCAGCGCTTTTTGGCGCCAAACATAGCCCCGAACTCTATTGACGCTGCTAGACGGCACTGCTCTCACACACACTCTCTCTCTCTCTTTCTGCTTCTCCCACGAACCCTACCCTCCCTCTCCTAATCGTCTCCCATGTACCAGAGATGTATCGTCATGTTCCACAAAGTCCCCTACACACCCTCACCGACGTGCCCGGTGGAGATGAGAAGCTGCTTGCGGTTGACCACCATGCATCAATGGGGTCTCGAACGGGCGCTTGGGATGCGCTAAGCCGTCCAGTGCTATTCCCCCCCCTGGACCAGCACTAACAATCACGGGCGAAGACAATTTGCTGAGTGACGTCCGGCTCAGCTTTGCGTTGGACCGCGCCATCGCTTTTCAGATCAAAAAGCTGGGTGATATGATTGGCGCCAATGCATGGAGCGAAACATCCAGGAGGGTGGTAAGTCGCTGACCAATGGCTCGATGATCGAGAAACGCGCTCCGACATCTTGCATGAAGTGCATCACATGATTGGGTTTTGCGTCTCTCTCTCTCTCTCAAGTCTGCATGTCGACGTTGAGGCCCGGCAGGGATCCAGGCATGGAGAAGGCGTCCTCCACCCTGGACCGCCGTCGGTAGCGGAGCGAGTCCTGCGCCCACTCCGACCTCGCGCTCGACTCCGCCTCGACCTCCTTCCTGGCCTCCTCCCTGACGTCCCGCCCAATCTCCAGCCCCTTGGCCTTGCCCATGGACCGTGGCTGCGCATCCACAATCGCCTCGTCGCCCCCTCGCGTGTTCTTCTTGCGCGGCCAGAAGCTCGGCAGGGCTATCTCCTGGAAGCGCGGCTCGACGGCCCTCTCGTCGAACCAGCGGTGCAGCCTCGACTCGACGAGCTGCGCGATTTTGGGCACGTCCTGCAGGCGGGACCGGCTGCCCACCAGGCTCCGGATGGAAAAGTCCAGCCGGTAGTCGTCCAGGAAGGTAAACGTCATCTTGGTGGGGGTCAGCTGCGACGGGTTGCTGGGCACGAAGGATATGGAGAGGGTGCCGCTGAAGCGGACGACCGACACGGCAAGAGCCACGGGCAGTACCGCGGTGAGCTTCTTGGGGTAGTTGAGCAGTAGCTTTGTCTCGAGCGCCAGGGTGATCATGTCGCTTAGGTCGACGTCCATCCTGGCCTGTAGTCTAGCCCCGTCCCCGGTGGCCATGTTGGCGTCAAACGGCCTGCCCTGGCCCACACTGACCCCGTCCTCGTCCACGGGTATTATCCTGCAGTTGCTGAAGATCGGGAAATCCTCTCCCAGGCTCAGCTCGGTGACCCGGATCTCGTCCAGGAAGTCCGGGCGCGAGGTGCCGTTCAGCGCCTTGGTCAGAGACGTGAGGATGGCGTCGTCGTGTTGCGCATCGCTGCGGAATTGAGCGATGGTTTGCGCGATCAGCACGTTGAACCAGTCTAGGCTCTCCGGCTGGTGGCTGTCCACCTTGTAGTATGTCTTGTTGAGGATGGACCCGATCGTCAGCAGCGGCGGGCTGGGCCGCAGGATGTTGCTCGACTTCTTCTTGTTCAGGCCGGGGTGCTGCTGGTGGAGGCTGCCCCTGCGCGCACTTGTCGACCTCAGAGTGAGGAGCGACTTCTTGTGCGCCAGCGTCCTCGACCGTCGTTCCGTTGCTCGAATGGAGGCTGTGACCTCGGCAGAGGGAGGGTCGCCGAAGATGAAGAACTTGATGAACGCTGCGATCAAAAGTACCACCGAGAGCTGGCCGACTATCAAGCCCTGGGTAAACGATAGCCTAACAGGATAGATAGCTTGCGTCAATATCAGGCCGGCGAGGGTCGACAGCCAAGCTGGATTGTAGTGGATATGGGTCGACTCACGCGGGCTCCGGCCTCGTGGGGCACATCTCGGGAGCCATATTTGCCGGGCTATGGCCTTCTATAGCTGCCTGGATGAGCGCGCTGGTATCGAATAGGGGGGTAATGACCGATACAGCCGCATCAACATCATGGTGTTGAAGGCTGGAGCTATCGTCGACGACGATGGGGCTGCTTTTTGGTGGTTTGACATCTCAGGTGCTCTTATCTTATCGGGCGGGCACTATGACATACCCGCCAGTTGCTGGGCTTGGTGGATGCAGGCACCCCTCAGCCTCATCATAGCAACACATCTCCATCTAACTCTCATCTAGTTAACTCATCCAGCTCATCCTCCCAGGTCTCATAAAGCTCATTTCTTCGTCCAAGAAACTTAAGTTCTCCCAACAGATTCTCTTTATCGCGGGGTGATTACTTGTGTGACCAGTCATCAACCCTTTACTGTGAGGAAACTCGCGGGTCCAGCTCGCAGGGGCCTGGCGTTGTTGACGTGGCAGGGGATGCGCACCGCCTAAACACTACAGCTCAACGTTGAAGCTACCCCCATCTCATCTCATCGAGATCGCGGCTTCTCTAGCCCGGCGCGCACAGGTTCGAGAATGGATCTCGCACAGGCAGTATCGGGATACATCAGCAAGATGGTGTCGACGGGCGACAGCGTGTCCGGCGCACCATCTGCCAAGATGAAGGTCCTCCTGCTCGACAGGGATACCGTCCCTATTGCGTCTACAGCCATCACGCAGTCATCACTCCTCAACCACGAAGTGTATCTGACCGATCGCCTGGACAACCCCAACAGAGAAAAGATGCGCCACCTGAGGTGCCTCTCTTTCGTACGGCCCTCACCGGACTCGATACAGCTGCTGATCGATGAGCTTCGGGATCCAAAGTATGGCGAATACCATCTCTACTTCAGCAATGTCGTCAAGAAGTCCTCTCTTGAGCGGTTGGCTGAGGCCGATGACCATGAGGTTGTCAAGGTTGTCCAGGAGCACTTTGCCGACTATGTCGTCATTAACCCAGACTTATTCTCCCTCAACTTTTCCCTGCCTCTGAATCGTGTCTGGAGCGGCACATCGGACATGTGGAACTCGGACTCGCTGCAGCGGGCGACCGAAGGCATCCTTGCAGTGCTCCTTTCACTGAAGAAGAAGCCTTTGATAAGATACGCTCGCAACAGTCTTCTAGCCAAGAAGCTCGCAACGGAGGTCCGATACCACATGACTCAAGAAGATCGTCTCTTCGATTTCAGGAAAGTCGACACCCCGCCTATCCTGCTCATTCTTGACCGGAGAGAAGATCCGGTCACTCCTCTTCTCAACCAGTGGACGTATCAAGCCATGGTACACCAGCTGTTTGGCATCAAGAATGGGCGGGTCGATCTCGGCGATAATGTGAATCCGGACTTGAAGGAAATAGTCTTGTCGCAAGACCAAGACCCTTTCTTCAAGAAGAACATGTATCTCAACTTCGGCGACTTGGGTTCGAATGTCAAGGATTACGTCGAGCAATTCCAATCCAAGCACAAGAACAACGAAAACCTCGAGTCTATCGCTGACATGAAGCGCTTCGTGGAGGAGTACCCAGAGTTCCGGAAGCTCTCGGGGAACGTCAGCAAACACGTGCATCTTATCTCTGAGCTGAGCAGGCGAGTTGCACAAGAGAATCTTCTGGAGGTCTCTGAGTGCGAACAAAGTCTGGCTTGCAATGACAACCACGCCGCAGATCTGAAGGTAGGTGAAAACATCCTCGTCCGGCCCCGTCATCGCCTGCCCTCTTACTAATACCAAAACAACCTAGACTGTCCAGAAACTCATCCAGAGCCCCTCAGTAACAGCAGAGAACAAGATCGGCCTAGTGGCTTTGTATGCTGTTCGCTATGAGAAGCATCCAAACAACGCATTACCTATGCTGGTTGATCTGTTGACCGCGGCAGGAGGAGTCCCTGCTCGGCGGGCAGATCTAGTCACCAAGCTACTAATCTATCAGAACTCCCTACCCCAAATCGGAGGAGCTACTGGTATAACGGATATTTTCGAATCCAGCGGCATCTTCTCTGGGGCAAAAGCACTCCGAGGCTTGAAGGGAGTGGACAATGTGTACACAATGCACTCACCGACACTGGAGAACACCCTCCAGAGTTTGATCAAGGGGAGGTTGAGGGACCAGCAATATCCGTTTGTCGAGGGCGGAGGTTCCACGAGGGACAAGCCACAAGACATCATTGTCTTCATTGCTGGTGGAGCTACTTATGAGGAAGCGAGGTCCGTGGCGAGCATCAACGCATCCACGCCCGGCGTCAGGGTTGTGTTAGGCGGCACCACTATCCACAATGCAGACACCTTCCTGGAGGAGGTAGAAGATGCAGTGTCAGCATGGCCAGAGCCCCCTCCGGCCACTGTTGCTGGGAGGTTAAGGAAAGAAATTGGTCGAAGATAGTGTCATCACATAGAGGCGATCGCTAATGGGGATCAGTTCGGCGCCCGCACTCTATGTTTCTCCCTCGTCTGAAAGTGTTTCCCAATGAGGGAGACCTCACAATGGTAGTGTAACTCATTATATCCGTAAATCACCATCTTGAGCAACAAACTGTGTTCTTCCAAGTAAGGTCACTCCGTCCCTGTGGCCACGGTGGGGTGTGTGCGCATGACATGAGCTTATCTTATCAGTAAATTTCTCGAGATTGCCTCATCCCCAATTTCTCTCCTGTAATTGCCACGCCCAGCACTAACGCCCCAGAACACAGTAATCAACATGATGAGGTGGTCGTGGCAGTCTAGAGGGCTGGCGAGGTCGGTAAAAAACCCCAGGCGCCAGCCCTGCGCGAGAATAGGACGGCGAGGACTGGCCTCAGTTGCCGAAGGGACAAGGTAAGTCCATCACTCTCATGCCCATCAACACCCGAATCCTTTGCTCAACACCACGTGCGCAACAAACACAGGCCATTCGATGTCGTCGTCATAGGCGGCGGCCACGCCGGCGCCGAGGCGTGCGCCGCAGCGGCCCGCGCCGGCGCGAGGACGGCCCTCGTGACGCCCAAGATGGACAACCTGGGCGTCTGCTCCTGCAACCCGAGCTTCGGCGGCATCGGCAAGGGCACCATCATGCGCGAGATCGACGCGCTCGACGGCGTCGCCGGCCGCATCATCGACAAGGCGGGCGTGCACTTCAAGGTGCTCAACCGCAAGAAGGGCCCCGCCGTCTGGGGCCCGAGGGCGCAGATCGACCGCGCCCTGTACAAGAAGCACATGCGCGAGGAGCTCGAGGCCTACGAGAACCTGTCCGTCGTGCTGGGCAGCGTGTCGGACATCGTCGTGGCCGAGGACGTGGACCCGGCGTCGGGCGCCAAGAGCAGGATCACGGGCGTGAGGCTGGAGTCGGGCGAAGTCATACCTACCAACCGCGTCGTCATCACGACGGGGACGTTCCTTGGGGGGGAGATTCACATTGGCCTCGAGGCCTACCCGTCCGGCCGTATGGGCGAAGACGCCACGTTCGGGCTGAGCAAGTCACTACGAGATGCAGGGTTCCAGCTAGGGCGGCTGAAGACGGGCACACCCCCCCGCCTGGACAAGAAGAGCATCAACTTTAAGATCCTGGAGGAGCAGCCAGGAGACGAGGCCCCCCTGCCTTTCAGCTACGTCAACGACACTGTGGCCGTCAAGGACCAGTTGCATTGCTACGCAACATACACAAACGAGGCCTCGCACGAAGTCGTGCGCGCCAACCTAGACAAGACGATCCACATCCGAGAGACCGTCAAGGGCCCGCGGTACTGCCCGTCCCTCGAGGCCAAGGTCATCCGCTTCGGCGACCGCGAGCGGCACATCATCTGGCTGGAGCCCGAGGGCTTTGACAACGACGTCATCTACCCCAACGGCGTCTCCATGACCATCCCGGCCGAGGCGCAGGAGCAGCTCATCCGCACCGTCAGGGGCCTGGAGAACGCGGTGATGCTGCAGCCCGGCTACGGCGTCGAGTACGACTACGTCGACCCCCGCAGCCTCAAGTCGACCCTCGAGACCAAGATGATCCAGGGCCTGTACCTCGCGGGCCAGATCAACGGCACGACGGGCTACGAGGAGGCCGCGGGCCAGGGCGTCATCGCGGGCATCAACGCCGGCCGCGAGGCGCGGGGCCTGGCGCCCGTGTCGCTCTCCCGCGCCGACGGCTACATCGGCATCATGATCGACGACCTCGTCACCAAGGGCGTCTCGGAGCCCTACCGCATGTTCACGAGCCGCTCCGAGTACCGCATCTCGTGCCGCTCCGACAACGCCGACTCGCGCCTGACGCCCCTCGGCCGCGAGTGGGGCGTCGTCGGCGACCGCCGCTGGTCCCGCTTCCGCGACGACCGCGACCGCATGGCCGAGCTGCGCGGCCGCCTGGCCTCCGTCTCCCTCGCCGGCACGGCCTGGCGCGCCCTGGGCTTCACCTCGCGCGTCGGCGACGACACGCGCCGCCGCTCGGCGCTCGACATCCTCGGCCTCGGCCACACCGTCGACGAGCTGGCCGCCGCCGCCGCGCTGCTGCTGCAGCGGCTCCACGGGATACCGCCTCTGCACGTAGCGCAGCAGCTGCAGGACGCCGGCGGGCGTGACGCCCTCGATCCGCCTCGCCTGCGCGAGCGACTCGGGCCGCGCCC